CGATGAGTGATGTTTGCTGGAATCGGGAAGGCCCCAAATTTCAAATACCATCGTCTGCCATTAGTCTTGAAACACTGCATTTTCGACACAACCCATGTGCTTTTACTTGCCCATCCACTATCTCATACCCGACATCCTCTCATAGCTTACAATTCGCTCAGATTCTGCTCACAGGCACTGTCAACCTCTCAATAAATTGTGCCGTGCTTCCACAGTAGACTCTTGCAGATTGAGTATGTACATACCGTAAAAGAAAGTCAACACCCGGTCTTGAGGTCAGCGCCAAACGCTTATTTTCCGTCAGGTATTTGCTACTAATAAGTATTGCTACGATTGTCGTTCTCGCTTAGGATTAGGACGCCAAGCACCACTTTATCACATGACCGTGATTGATTACCCAATTCATAACACCATCATCGGCGCCCCAATTTAGAACTTGGTACCAACCACCACAAGTTCGCAACAACTGCGGTGCCAGCCGTTTCTTCGGCATCTTCGCCTGACACCGACGATACTGTTATGGTGCACCGTCCAGCAGACTCGCGCCTTCTTTCGAACCTTCTATCCCAAGAAAAAGAATACGCAAAACATCTTACCACCCTTCTCGACCATTCCAATGCTTCTCTGGCTTCGGTGACCGCCTACGCCGCAGCCTCCTCGCCCGCCTCTGCGCATCTCATTCTCGCGGTTTCTGCGCAGCTCGCCTCTGCCGACGAGGCCCTCAGGCACTACGCGGTCGCGGTGGGGCGATGGCAGGAATACCTGAAGAACCTCAAGGGGTTGGAGGACGAGGTTGGAAATATCATGAGGGACAGAGAGATTCTGTAAGTGCTTCGCGCATGTCCGTGTCCTTCGGGTGTGTTTCATGGCCTTGCACGGGCCCCTGAAGTGGAGTCTTGTGCCAGACGAGCTGTCTGCGGCGAGGTTTCAGCCTTACCGGTATGATGCGATTTTACGGTCAGAGCTGACGAAACTGCGTAGTGTCACCCGTCTCATCAAGGCGTCCAAACTCAGTCCACATCCGTCCCTTTCGTCATCTTCGCTAGTCCTTTCCGCCAGCCAGTCGCATACGTCACTTCCATCCGTCAACTCCAAACTCGCCGCGGCTCAAACCGAACTGCAGGCTTGCGAAGCCCATTTGGCGTCGAAGGAGGCGGAGCTGGACGTCCATCGCGCCGCGCTGGTCAGAGAGGGTCTGGCTGATCGGTGTCGCGCTCTGGCTGAATGCGGCCAGCAATGGAGCGAGGCTGGGCGGATCGGCGCCTTGACGGCTCAAGGGGGACCGCATCCTCGTCTTCCATCGCCCGTCTCGGACGTAAACAAGCCTCTGCCGGGCGTCTCTGGCTCGGATGTATCGCTCGCTCCATCGCAGTCCGCGTCTCAAATCCAACTTTTCCCCGAACCTCAACAGCATATATACAGCAATGCAGGTCTGCCTCCCCCTTCCGCGGAAGGCTCGAGCTCTAGCGGTATCGCTTTCCCTGCTGCCCATGCTTTGCACGACTCATCGGCGCCCGTCCTGCCATTTGCGCATCGCACATTACCGAGACGAATCACGGAAGAAGATCTGCTGCGTACTGCGGAGGAAAACAGCAGTGAAGACGAACCGGTATCCCCTGCGCAGCTCGAGATTGTCGAGAATCCCCGGTTTGCGAATAACGCCAAAGTCAAAGCCGGGCCGTCGAGAAAAGATAGTTTCCTTCGACGACAATCTCTGCGCAGCACAAGCACAATGAGCGTGCCTGCCCCGTCAAAGAGCAGTTCAGGCTTTTTTGGCAGCATCCGAGGGCTGTTTGGTGGCCGCAAAGGAGGAAGCGATGTCGCTGCCGCTTCTGCTGTGCCTGCTAAAAGACGAGGAAAGCTCAGGGAATTGAGCGAGGAGGACGATGCACGCGGCGAAGTGCTTTCTGAGCCTCGGCCCCGTGTCTTGAGTGAAGGCTCTGTTCGGAGAAAGGGCAGTGCAGTGAACAAAACAGCGGTCCTCAGAGCTGAAGAATGGGTCGGGGGGCAAGGGCTCATGCCGCTGCCTCGACGGGCGGAAGTCGAGGATCGAGGATGGGCTAGTGATGGGCCGTCTTCTGAAGTCGTTCTCGTTCGCAAGAAGAGCAAAAAGAGAGACAGGACGGCGGTGTCCAGTGTTTCGGCCGATGGCGACAGTGTGGTCCCACCACGCACCCACAAGCGTCGAGTTTCGCTCGATGTGACTGCGGCCGGTGGATCGCCGCAGGCGATCGCTCTGATGCCTGCTGGGTCAATCAGGAAAGAGCGTCGGGCCAGTATGCCCGTTCATTCTGCACCTCGTGCACAGACCGATATCCCCAGTCTGATGAGCATAGTTGAGGGCGTGGCTCAAGCAAATCGAGAGGGCTGGGCCGCCTATAACGATGCGAGCACAGGGTTGAGCTCGAGCGCTCCTGTGCCATCGTCATCTATAGACGTCCCGCGCTCGAACGGTCAGAACAGTCGTGGTCGGACAGGTTTGCCTGCAATGACTTCCAATTTGATGCAGATTGACGGGCTGCCTCGAGCGCCGGGGTCTGTGTTTGCCACCGCATATCCACAAGCGCCCGCATCAAACAGCCTTTCGAACCCGGCGTCAGCTGCTTCATCACCTGCTTCATCGATTCGACGGCCTGCGAAATCGCCTCTTCGAAGTGCGCTGAGGAACGCGTCTCCTGCACCAGTCGTTCCTCCGCTCCCAGCAGCCGTTGCGCCCTCGTTTCCAATCATCGTCAAAGCTCCCGCGCCCATCACGGTGACGATTCCGGTCCTCAATCTCGAAGGAAGCAAGACTGTTGTTCCGGTGGTCACTGCAGACGGCGGCGATTCAGATGACGGAGCGTCTATATCATCGTACGAGACCGGTCACGAGACCTTCTCCGACGGCGACGAGGACAAATCGCCTCCTCTGCCACCCAACAAAGAGTCTGCGACGATGTTTGATAGCCCTATCAACGGCAATGGTAATATCGAGGCCTATGGAAGAGGCTCTGACGTGTCAGCCAGCTCGACGTCGACGCAAATGCAAGGTCCGCAGCGTCGTAAGAGTGTGCGGGTGTCACTGCAGCCCACGTTCTCCACGACACCTCCGGCGATCGACGACGATGACGACGATGACGCTGGGAGCGAGGGCAGGCATCCTCCATGGGAGCGAAGCGCAACTCCGGATATGTGGGCAGACTCGAGCGAAGAAGACTCCGAGTACCAGACCGCGAGGAAGCTGCTCACTCGAGTTGCCCGGAAGAAAAACAAAAAGTCTCGGTAGCGGCCTCTATACGTATACTTGTTCAATTTTTCAGTGTTTAGTGTATTGTCGTCTCTAGTGTATTCTATTTCGGATAATGAATGGCTTTTGAGACTTTTGTTCGTCGAATGTGATGACGTAAGCCAAATTGCAGACCCGCCGTCTTTTTTGCTCTTCCACTTCGTCCTCGCTCCGAGCTCTATCACACGCAACCGCTTCTCACACTTGCAACACACTGAAATGGCCGAGGAAGATCAACAGGGCACCCAGGAGGTCAAATCTGAGGATGCTCAGTCGACCATTAACATCAAGGTCTGTGCCTCTCAGCAAGTCAGCGGCCGACGATACATCGTTTCACTGAGCTGCATGCGCTGGATCTCGACGGGCGGCTGACGGATCTCTTTCTCTGCGTGTCTGCAGGTCGTGAGCTCGACCGGCGAAGAGGTCTTTTTCAAGATCAAGCGGAGCACGAAGCTAAGCAAGCTCCAAGGCGCTTACGCCAACAAGGTCGGGAAAGACGTGGGCAGCATCCGGTGCGTGTGTCTCCTCAATGAGGGGGGTGCGCTCGTTCGGCTGTCGACTTTATCTGCGCTTCGATTGTTTTCCGTCCACCCCTGGCCTTCCCGTTTGAGGTGCTGTCATTTGGACTGACTTGTTCTCTATTATGCAGTTTTCTCTATGATGGATCTCGCATAAGCGACGATGATACGCCCGCGACGTTGGATATGGAGGACAACGGTCAGTCGCCTGTGTTCCGTCTGATTGATTGGTCCGTGCTGACTGTTCCCGCGCTCTGCAGATACCATCGATGTTATGGTCGAGCGTGAGTGGCTGCATCGCCTCATTTCCTCTCCGCTCAGACACATTTCTGACACTTCCTCTCCCTCCCTCTTCTCTTGTGCTTGTGCCCACCAGAGGTCGGAGGTCGTGCATCGCGGCGCTAGGGTCCCGGACGCGACGCGCAGTTTCTTGATTTTCCTCGAATTCTTGTCTTGTATCCACCTGCCACAGTATAATGTACAAAGTTCAGCAACGCTTCTCTACCGCCGAGTCCCGGGCCCTCGCCAGGCAGACGCTTTCTATCTTTCGACCGCCAACACCGCATAAATGAACGAGCGCTCGCAGGACGGACGACCTCGTGCGATCTGATGGGGCGCTCGGTACTAGTTGCTGTTGTCGCTGGATGTGTGAGCACGCCGATCTGCTCGGGAGCAGGCCGTCTTGGAACAAGACACGAAAATGCGCGATTCGGACTGGATCAGTGCGCTGCTCTGTCGGAACTGACCCCCAGAATGCGCACAGGGTGGAGGAAGGATCTCGATTTCGGTCACAGAAAGACCATGCATATATCTTCTATGAGGGAACAAGCGGAGATCGCAGGCATGAGCAGTACTCTATCTGAGCGGCAGCCAATAACCTTGCGGTGATTTGGTGCCTGCCCATTTGCGGTTACGGAGAACGATCGTGATCCGAAAGGTGTTGACAGCCGCAGTGTTTACCGGCTGACCGTGATTAAATGCGTGTAGGGACACGGGAAGATTTATGGCCGATTGCAGGAGAAGCCTATCCGAATAGCCATCGGGAGCGAGGATAGGAATCGAGCTGATGCTACAGAACTGCATCCATAGCAGCCTTCAATTTATATTTATCGGTGCTTTTAAGCGCAAAAAGGCTACAAGCGGACTGTAGAAAATCGATCACGTGGTAAAGTAATAGTAGACGGCGATCAAAGGCTCTCTCACGTGATCCCAAACTGTTCTGCTCGAAACGACGAGACCTGAGGTCGTCGACAACGGGCCATCTTGAGCCATCTTACGCACTGGAACGAAAGATGTCGATGACTTCGATGAAACGCGATGAAAACCTCGTGGCCGGGGAGGATTCTTACCGCGATTCATCTGGAAACAAGTAGCCAAATGCAGGTCGAGAACAACGCGGTGGTGTGCAAGCCAAGACCACGCTCAATCAGCAAGTATGAGCACTGCTACCACGCTCCTCGATATTCACTGCAGGCTTTGAAGTACCGGATCCGACCATCGATTTCGCCGTGTTCGATTGCCGGGACCGGATTGATCGATTGCCACGCCTGGGGGAATTTCTTGGCTGTGCGTCTTGCGGAAGCTGTATCGTATCGGGCCCGCTGGGCTCCATACTGAACCAGTGTGAGTTGTTTTCACACTGAATTAGCCCATCTATCCGCAGCTCGTGGACCACATTGCAAGGCAATGCAGGTAACGACACAAATTTCGGCTGCGCGAGGTGGCTTGGCCCGCCTGAGAACCCGACGAGGATGCCGTATCGCCAGAATAGACTATGGTTCGTGATTGGGTTCCGATGGACTGGGTCCCATCGAATCCGGTTTTCTGCCTTTCTTTGTGAAGTTATCAATCGACTTCCGCTGCGTTGGGTCTGTGCACGGTTCGGGAGGATGAGCTAACCGTTGGATTTCTCTCACTGTAGTTTCTCGGTCTCATTCGGTCCTCACCGAGCTGGTCTCGTATAAATGCTGGCTTGAATCGACGAATCCAACCAGGTCCTCTCCCCTCAGGTCCTATCCCTCGGCAGCCTACTGGCAAGCGTCTCGAAATGGCTTTCGCATTCGCTCTCTCTGCTCTAGCTGCTCTTGCGGTCTTTGTTTCTGCTGCACCCACTCCCGATGTGGTGTGCGCGGATGGCACTCGCGTTCCCAGCAACGTCTGCTGCGCGTTCATCGCGGTCAGTGGATGCAGCTGCGCCTCCAGAGAGAACGACGCTCATGCTGTTGCAGGTCGCCCAAGATCTGCAGGCGAACATCTTCCAGAATATTTGCGGCGAGGATTCCCATGAGGCTCTGCGTCTCACCTTCCGTTCGTACTTGACTTCCGCGGAGATTCACATTTTTTGACTTCCTTTTTTCCATTTCAGACGACGCTATTGCGATCAGTCAATCTCAGGGCCCTTCTGCGTTGAGTTCTTTCCTTCTCTGATTCTTTCCATCTTCTCACAGAATACACATTCTGTAGCGGTGGCGGAGCTGACGGCAGCATGCTCCTGTTCCCCACGGTACGCTTCTGCTTCTGCCGTGGCTATATCTGGTGCTGAGCTTGTATTGAATCATTCAGGTCGAGCCCAACTTTGGCGCCAACAACGGAATTGACGACAGCGTGAACAACCTGATCCCCATCCTTGCCCGTCACAACGTCTCGGCTGGAGATTTGGTCCAGTTCGCCGGCGCAGTCGCTGTCGGAAACTGCCCGGTACGGCCCTGATGCATTTACCCAGCAATCAACACATAGCTTACTGATATTCCTGATCAGGGTGCTCCTCGTCTCGAGTTCCTCGCCGGCCGCAAGAACGCTGTTGCTGCAGCCGTCGACGGCCTGATTCCTGTGCGTGCGACTGCGATCGCGGTTTCCTCTCTTGATTCGCAAGCTGACACACACTTCCCCCCTTAGGAACCGTCTGATTCGGTCACCAAGATCTTGGCCCGCTTTGCTGACGCGGGAAACTTCAGTCCCTTCGAGGTCATCTCTCTGCTCGCCAGCCACACTGTTGCCCGGGCCGACCACGTCGACCCCACCGTTGGTGCCGCGCCGTTCGACTCGACCCCCTTCACGTTCGACACCCAGGTGTTCCTCGAGGTCCTGCTCAAGGGTGTCGGCTTCCCGGCCCTCTCGAACAACACCGGTGAGGTCATGTCGCCGCTGCCGCTCACTTCCGGCAACGACACCGGCGAGTTGCGTCTGCAATCCGACTTTGCGCTCGCCCGCGACCCGCGCACGGCCTGCTTCTGGCAAGGATTCGTCAGTGAGTCCCAATTTGGCAACTTCTAGTGGCGTGGTGGGTGGCTGACGCTCGGGTGTCAGATGAGCAGGAGTTCATGGCCTCGAGCTTCCGCGCTGCGATGTCCAAGCTGGCGATTCTCGGCTCCAAGCGATCGGATCTCGTTGACTGCTCTGCGGTCGTTCCCATCCCCAAGCCCGCCGTCAACAAGCCCGCCACCTTCCCTGCCACCAAGAGCGCCAAGGATCTCCAGCTCACCTGCAATGCGAGATTCCCGACTCTGACCACCGACAGTGAGTTCGCGTGCCTGCCCCTGCCCCTGCCAGCAGGATACTGACCATCCCGGTGTGTTTTCGCAGAGGGTCCCACGGAGACGCTCATCCCGCACTGTGTCGACGGCGGCCAGAACTGCCCTGGAATCCAGTTCGCTGGCCCGGCCTGAGGCTACTGCGACCCCTCATATCAATTGTCATCGGTGCCCACATTCATTCCCCGCGCACTCCGGTTATAGTCTATATATGTATGCTGAAGAAGTTCCCTCCTTTCATCCGCGCCGAGCTGAGAATATCCACTATCGCTACTACGATATTTGATTTCGCAGACATGTTTTATTAAGAATGTTTATACTTGCGATCGATCCCTCGTGTGAACCCAGATTGAGATGAAGAAAAAAGATTGGTTCTAAAAGTTGGAAGCAGTGGTCGAAACATTCATCTAGCTCTAAGGACTGGGGCCGACTCTGCCATTTGACGCGTCCGGTCACAATCACGTGGGGAGTCTCTCACGTAGCGTCCGCATTCGATCGCCAACTACAATCTTGAGCGCAGGGGAACAAGATGACTACATGTCTATAAGTACCTGTTGCGTTTTCGCATGCCTATTTGGCCAATGGCTATCGTGAGTGCACTCAAATGGTTTGAACAGATACTGTACCCTTTCGACCATAAGTTCGCCGGCGGTGACCGGTGACTATCATAATTCGAAGTTTGATTGATTCGATGTGGCCGGTGACCGGTGACACCCATGTTAGGTAACAAAAGTTCGACTGATTTGAAGCAAAATTTTGCCTGTTGCAGGCCCAATCTGGCTGAATCTCAGAGTTCTGGGGCTCATTCATGCCCAAAATGAGCAAAGAGACCTCAAAATGGCTGCAAATGCGTAATTTGAGCAAAAGCCAAAAAAGTCACCAGTTTGGCCCTTAGTTCGAGCCCCCCGGTGACCGGTGACAGAGGAAAAATAGGTTTGGTTCGGAGGGCCTGGTGACCGGTGACGCGAACCTACGGTCGAAAGAGTACAGTACTGTCGTCTGCCAGTGGGCTTAGACCGAGCAGAAAATCCTGCAATGATCTTCACGGGATGCGGAACGGGAACGTGACTTGCTGGTCGGGATGCGTAGAGTCTCGCCAGTTTCCAAGCCAAGGTATGTGCTCATGGAAAACGGCATGTAAACCGACAAGATCGTAGTGATGTCAGGCATATGCAGAGATCACGATCCAAAGACTAAGCGTTGGGGGAGAACACTGTCTGAATCGTGTATGTGCTTAGATTTGAACAGGCATTGCAATCCGACTACTACTACGCTACTGTTTCACCCGCTAAAGGGGAAAGCAGCCGGGCTCTTGAAGCCATTGGCTCCCACCGCACGCACCCCAAACTGCACATTATCCTTGGAGAGCAAGACTGTCGTCGAAGACACGTTGCCGACAGGAACAACGTGGGTCCAAAGCGGCTCCTCAGTGGCTCTCCAGACAACCTCGTAGCCAGCAGCAGCGGCATCCGGCGTCCACCGGAGCGTCGAGTTGTTCGTCAGCACACTCGTGTCAAGGGTCAGCCCCTTCGGCGTCCCCGGCGCCTGCGCGAGCGACCAGAGGGCCACCCCGTTGACCTTGGCGACGCGCGCGTTGAACTCGAAGTCGCAGAACTCGATCAGATCCCCGAACTGCACACCGTTCACGACGCGGACGTCCTGGTGCTGGTGCGCGAAGTTCTCGTGCGGCTCGGTGAATCGTACAGCGGGGTAGCCGTGCGCGATGAACGACTCGTGGTCCCCGCCGCGCAGGAACCGGTCGGGGCGGTAGATCATCTGTACTATTTCGCAGAAAGAATGATTGGTTATGAGTCGAGCCGATATCGGGATATAGCGCACCGTTCATTTGAGTGATCGCGTTCGAAGCCACTTCGACCACGAATCTCCCGAGCTGGCGGATCGGCGAGTCGTTCTCCGCACCCGAGCTGATTCGGCGATCGATCGTGGCGAGAGTCTCTGTGTTTGGGATACCCTGCGCGAACATGCGAATGTTGAATGGATCACGGGTACCGTCATCTCCCGTCGAGCTGCCCACGATGTCGTTCTGGCGCGGCTTCAGTCTTCGAAGCCACAAGCAAAAAGGGGGGATGGATATAGCATACATTGAGCATACCCTGGACATCGGCACTTGCGTTGGCGAGTGTGGCAGCCATGAACGCCGAGCCAAACAGCCCTTGCTCCTCGCCAGCCACGGCGGCGAACATGATGGTCGCAGCGGGGCTGTGGCTCGCCATCACTCTAGCCAGCTCCATGGCCACAGCGACGCCGGAGCCGTCATCGTCTGTCGCGACACTCAGCAGTAGCGCTCGCAGCGGGCGGCATCCACGTACCGGCTCCGGGAGAGTCATCCAAGAAGTTCGAGTTGTTCGTCACACGGGAATCATAATGGCCGGACACGACGTAGATGCGGTTCGGGTCTTTCGAGCCCTTGAGCGTGGCGACGACATTGCTGATATTGGTCGTCTGGATGATGCTGCCTGTAGGTTGTTGGATGTAACTCGGCACCTAGGGGAATCCGCTCAGTTCACAGATCAAGCAGAGAGAACATGGAGAGCGCCCGGTACTGACAGCGACCGTCATCCGCCCACCCGACGTCGCCGCGAAGCTGCGCATCTCCGCTGCGATCCAGTCGCGGGCCGCGCCGATCCCACGGACAGGGTCGGTCTGGTTCGACATCGTGTTGCGCGTTCCAAACGACACGAGCTTGGTGATGATCGCCTCGATGCGCGCGGGGTCGATCTGCGCCATCATCCCCGCGAGCTCGCGGTCGGGCTGCTGGGGCACGAGCGCAGCTCCGGGGCCGGGAGGCCAGGAGTCGGGCGTGAGGCCGAGGAGGGTGTTGTCCAAGGACGCGACCTGCGCAGACACTGGGATGCAGATTTGAGCGGGAGTAGGGACACCGAGACCAAGTCAGCCGGCCAGACTACGCAACGCACCGCAGGACGCGAGAATCACAGTTAGAGCGTAGAGATGCATTGCGCAGCCAGGATTTCTCTCCCCCCGTCATAGATGTACCATGCACGCAGGAAAGACACACGCGGTGCCCTCAGTCATCCGGAATCGGTTACTGGATTGGGCGGTTCACGAGACAAAGCAGAGAGAAGTTATCGGGAGCCACTGGGAAATATGCGAAATAGACTGGGAGAAGGCCTATTCTGAGCTCAGGCCGCGGCAAATAGCCCATATGGCATTGGTCGAGAGCAAGTTGTTCCGGTGCTCACCGCACAGCCATTGACCACAACCACTCCTCGTCAGAACTGATTAGTCTTGCCAGAACGCAATGACTGGAGACTAAAGCGACAATATTGGGACGGGGGCAAGCAGCCAATCGCCAATCGCCAATAGGATCAGCAATAAGATACATCAATGTTTCCGCGCGACCCGCTTATCGAAAATGAGCTATGCGCCCTGCGTCGCAGGCTGTCGCAGGCCCTCGCCCGGAAAATCCCACCTGTCACATGTCCGGCACTGGAGCCTGCACTCGTCCCGAGTCTCATCGCAGATCTACGGGAGAGGGGGGAGACTCCCCGGCCCGGACGCGTAGGTTCCAGACGAAGCACTCGAGGTTGGGGCAGCCCCCCCGCTTCTGATGCCGTCAGCGCGAGTTGCCCTGGGACTAGATCGTGAGACACGCGTCACAGTATTCGCGGTCTTGGGTCTGGTGTGTGTGCTTGGATGAAGTGAAATGGCACGGACTGTTTGTTGTGTACGTGTCAGATGTGCCTGACCAGATCTGCTTGGCGCGCGACCGACTAGCAGTACCGGGGTGTGAGCAGCGCAGACTCTTGGGGGATGTGGACGAAGGTGTGCTCCTTCTGGTCCGATATTGCTGAGGTTTCGGAGGGGTGTGCTGGTCGCGTAGAAGTATGATCTTGCCACTCGATAGGATAAGGGGAGTTGCTGAGGGCGGAGGGATGGATGTTATAACGGATGTGCCATCGAGGCTGAGCGGGTTCGTTGGTTGCGCCGGGCCAGATTTTCGACTTGGAAAGGAATGGGGACTGCAGGCAACGAAATGGCTTCGTCTGGTACCGAGATACTCTAAGTTTTTGAGCAATCCCAATCCAGCTCGAGATCTGTCTAAGACCAATCGTCGATGGTGATGCGCTGATGCATAGAAGAGAACGTGTAGGCGAAGTCATGTTTGAGAAGAACGAAGAACAACAGTACATGCTGTGGACAGCGCCAAAGGAGAACAACCCCTCAGAGCGCGCGTCCTGTCCGAAAACTTCAGGCAAATGATGTCCAGTGCGCGGCACGACCTCGGGCATTCTGCGGAGGTGCAAGCAGTCTCACAGTCCGACGAGTTGATCCATGAGCAGGATCAAATACGTCATGGTCCCTGTCGTACGTGGAATCGCTAGGTGGAGTTTCGAACTCAATCCATCGCAGAAACGGATGCGGCCGTCACTCACCAGTTGCCTGAGCCAGCGTCACAGACGAAGAACTCCATAGACAGATGAACAAGGAAGGAGGAGGCGAGGTAAACAGAGGAGCGAGCTTCGTAAGGGCAGAATCGACACGCGCAGCGAGGGCGCAAAGGCCAGAAAAGACCCTGCGGGAGGTGTCCCCTTGTAGACCGTTTCGGCCGCAGTCGAGCGAACGTCTTCGATTTCCCGTTATGAGCCCATCGGTGTCCTCGAGTAAGACATCAAACTCGGAGCTGCAAGCGAGTCTCTATGACCTAAGACCATCGCTGTGAAGCGCGTCGCCCATATCCCCTGGCCGAGAATCGATGACTACACCAGGTGAGAGCACCGCCCGTTTTCAGGTGTTTCAGGAGACAGAGAAAGTAGTGATCCATTCCCCGAGCAGTAACGATCGTAGGGAAAACTTTGCGCCACAGACTCGGACTAAATACCCCAGAGCTCGATGCTTCTCGTTCCTGCGAGTCGTTTGGGTTGCTGGCCTGATTCAAAAGCGACCAATACCAGATAGGAAGGTAGTGCCGTGCTTAAAGATCATAGCTGATTCGCAGGATCCAGTCCAAGTTTAAGATTGGGACCCGGCGAATCTGTAACTCCTGGTCTGTGGCACTAGGACTCTTAGTGAGAATTGCGGTGATGGCGGGCCGACTTGAACAGTGGTGATGGCAGATTACGATCACGTGCTGTACTGTGCTGTTTGGCAACGTTCGTTTGCTCAAGAGCAGGAATGTGTGCAATATTCCCACCCCTTCTTTTCCTCGCACCACCACAGTAGCCCCCCATCCCAATGGCAAAGACTGAGACTGGTACGCGTTATCGCCCCCAAAATACATCAGCTGATCTTTTTTTCTGCACTAATAGAGACCAAGACCAAAACCGCGACGAGATCGGCAAATGCGAGGACGAAAAAGGCCCCCGCTGGTCAGTAGCGCGTTTTTGCCGTGGGCATGGCTACGATGTACTCATGATGCATCTACCAGACGGTGTCGAGAAGAAGAAACGCGAGCCTTCTGCGTACAACCTGTTCGTTAGCGCGAACATGAAACAGTGGATCAACGACAACCCAGGGAGGCCGCGCCCTGAGGCCATGAAGGCTGTATGTCTGCTGCCCTGATGCCCCGTCCTCGTGTCATCTGACGCTGACATCTATCGCTTGTTATAGGTTGCCGCGATGTGGGCTGACGCCCCGGAAAACCCGAAACGCGGACAGCCGGTGGTCAAGCGTGCGCCGAAGGAAAAGGCACCGAAGAAAGCGAAGGAGACAAAGGCGAAGCCCAAGCCCAAGAAGAAGAAGGCCGATTCTGAAGAGGAAGAGGACGTCGAGGAGGATGAGGATGAGGAGGATGCCAAAGAAGAAGACGATGAAGAGTGAAGTGAGTATTCATCTCACTGCGACCTATCATCTCTTTCTGACGGTACTTCAGAAGCCTCTGTCTACCATCGCGCGCAGATGCGTGTATGCTCGATGTACCCCAGTTGCCATGACCGCCTATCCTTATTCGTGTTGTCTGTGTGTACCTGTAATCCCCTTTTACTGTCACTTCTCTCTTCGTTTAGCAAAAACTCCCTTCTGTAATGGCGCTCATATCACAACTCGTTTCGAATGCAACTGTTCTCGGTTCTTGTTCCGACTTTTCTCCCTCTTTCCCCCGGCGCCATTCGAGTTGTTCAAGAGGCTTTGATCCAAGAGTCTCACTTAGCGTGCATTGAGACTGCAACAGACTAAGGACCTCGTGCACATGCCTGATCGTGGCGTACATGCGCTCAATCATATCACTGGCTTAGCGGCCCACGCTGGTGTGTGCAGCGCTGGCCAGCAGCAGCAAGCCGACTCGCTGGTCTCGTCAATCATCTGTGCTTGTATGCGGGCGGATCTGCATCGGTAGTCAGTCCTGGAGCCCCAGATATGAAGCACACCACATGCGCATATATCCACTCCCGAATTTTTGCTTCCCCAGGGAATTGGCTACATTCCAACTCCGCTTGTTTCTTTCGGTCTACTGGGATATCCACGAATCAACGCCGACCAAGAGATGGAGCTCAAGCTCTATTCTTTGCGTCTGTTCTAAAGCGGTCTTGACCCTAAATAACTCACCGCGTGCTATGCTTGGTCAAGATTGCCTCTGCTCGGGACGATCTCCGTCAAACTCGCGAATCGCGATGCGAGATGGCTGACATAGATTGATTGCGGGCAGTAGAAACAGCTAGCTACTCTAAATTTAAAAATAAAATAGTAGTAGGCTGTCGCGTGGTAGAAATATATGTAGCATCTGAGATCCTTCCACTTCAACTAACTAACGGACACGGAAATAAGGGAATAATGGTTACGCGGGGAGAGGTGAGTGGTAAGTGGTAATATGATACACGACGTCAATGAGGTCTAATAAGTAGCGTGCGATTGAAGATGCAGGTGAGGAGGATGGGGCAACATGAGGCGAGAAAAGGAAAACCCAGAAAATGGAACATGCGCTCAGATCAAGCAGGCCCATACGGTTGCCAGGCCTCGCCACCACGGTTGCCCATGTGCGATTGCATTTGAGAAGGCCCTTGAGTGAGACTATACACGGTCCGGCCATCGCTAGACTCGGTCGTGCTGCCCTCGATGGTGGGTGCGGCGGTCACGTACGAGCCCGCAGCCGTGCTCACATCGGGGTAGCTGCTGCCCATGTCGCCCGAGCCTTGCTGCGGAACCTGCAGCGTCGGAATCGGGATTCCAGCGGGCTCAGGCATCATCAGCATGTTATCCGAACTGGGTGGGCGCGACACGGTGCGTTCCGATATCTGCTGGGTCGACGGTGCGGTGAAAACCGACAGCTGTGACTGCGAGGACAACAGATACGATGACGGAGCTGGCGCAGGAAGCCTCTCCGGGGACACCTCTGGCGAGCCCTCGGACATGGTCTCCAGCACCGGCGGCTGTGCGGACAGGGGTTGTGCGTGCAAAGGCATACCGAAAGTGTGATTCTCGACACTGCTTGGGACAGCGTCCGAGGCGCTACCAGATCGAGAATGCGAGTTGGTCCGTGAATCCGATAGATCCTCCTCCAGCCTTGCCATCGATGAGTTGGCCCGATTGCGCATGGCAACTTGAACAATTTCGATCGAAGACTGGGATGCCGCGCCAATGTTCTGCAACAGAGACTGAGCTCTTGACCGGGCCGAAACAGAAATCAACGATTCAGCACGAGATCTGGATGACGAAGTTCCTGAATGCGAGTGTGTTCGCGAGTGCGACGAACTGGATCCATAACCCCTTCGACCCGACACATTGCTGGCCCTGTGACGTAACGCAGTGAAAGAGGACCGAGGACTGGGCGCAGCAGAAAGTGACAATAAGCCGAGCTGGTCTTCGCGCTCCGCTTCGTGTGAACCCTCCGACTCGGTGATTTCCGGTTCGTCAGGAAGCGGTGGCTCCAAGACGTTGGGCGCAACCACCCCAAACGCATCGGTTACGCGACTGTCCATTCTACCACGTGATCTGGGGAAATCAATAGGTGGTCCAGACGACGAAGACGAAGACTCCGAGACGGTATTAGGCACGGTACGCGAGCGAGTCCTGCTTCGCGGATGGCGTGGTGGCATCGGAATCGCACTGGCCGCACTATTGTAGCGTATCCCGCCCTCCCTGCTTTCGAGGCCGGAACTGCTGAGAGTGTGTTGGGACTGGGGTGACTGCGATTCACTCGATTCCGGGTTCCCAGTAGACTGCGTCGCCCGGGAGAACGTTGAGCGTGCATTCTGTGACTGCGTCGACCGAGTGTTGTGCGAAACGGGAGTCATGTGAGACGCCGCACCCGACGACCCGCTGCGAGCGTGACCGCGATTGGGGTGCCGGAATTGGAAGGGATAACGAGATGCGACAGGCTGTCCTAGACTCGACATGGAACCCGAAGCCCGTCCTGACGAAGGGCCTTCGCTGAGCATCCCTTCAAGCATCTCTTCATCGTCCTCATCCTCGTCTTCTTCATCCTCGTCTTCATGCTCCACTTCCTCCAAACTGCCACTCGAGTCTTTGCTGTCCGTTGGCTCCGGAGACGGCGGGAACGGTACCCGATCTTGCGAAGACACCTGCGCTCCCGGAGTCGTGAACGGATACGGCAATGCCATCAGCGGCGCGGAAGGCCCAGTCGACGGCTCCCAGGAGGACCGATTCACCACCTTGGGGATGATGTCTGCAAACTCAGGGCCCTTCTCGCTGATTGGCGTGTCGAACAAATCGCCAGAAAGAGCACCCCGGCGAGCAGCTGCGGGCACCGTTGGCAACCCAATAGCCGCCATGATCTGTTCCATCCCATCCACAGGTTTGGGCTCTACGGCCTGGGAAACGGCCGCCGCCTCCTCCTTGTGTTTGCCAGTCCACCGTGGTCGCACAGTGAGACAGAAATCGAAGGTGTCTTGGACTCGGAGAGCAGTAGCCATCCTCCAGCTCCAAGGCAGCGCTTCCAATTCTGAAACGTTGTCGCTGAACGCCGACATCCGTTTCTCTGCTTCCTCTTCCTCCCAGCGGTTCCGAGGGCCGCAGAGACCAGCACAACCAGCACCACTCAGAATCCAAAGCCCGATCCTAAACACGTTCAGCACGACAAACGCGCCGTTACAGGAGCACTCACCAGCTGATCAGAACCACCAACGCCTTCCAGGCCGCCCATACCGCACTAGCAATGAGCACACCGCGAGAGTACCCAGTCAAGGTCCCATCCGCACGGAAGAATGTCTCGTCCCGGTTGGACGTTCCGGAATCCGACATCGCCACAACGAGCGGATCCGGGGACCAGAATCCCAAAAGCAGCGCCAGGCACAATCCTGCACGGGGAAGAAGCAGAATCACGGTGGGCAGATTCTGGGAGTATAACCAGAACGTTTCAGCCAATCCATCTCGCATACCGCCATGCTCGCCGAAAAACGCAGACCAGCGCAAATGCTGCATGAAACAGAAGTTGGCATAGGACGATAGGCACACAAAGTTGAATGCAGGGGATGAAAGATAGAGCGGTAGCATGACAGGGCGTTCTGTGCACAAAACAAATGAGACGCAGTGAAGTGAAGATGTAGAGAAGTGATACGCACTGACACGCCATCGCCGAGCGAAAGAATACACCAACTCATAAATAACGAAGACAGGAAAGATCCAAACCAACCAGCATGCGGCATAGGCCGCAGCAGCCAACTCCCAATTGCGACCGGAACCAGGCACACCGGGAGCTAATGGGTTGGGAAACTTCGCGATCCTTGTCCAGGATTAGCCCATTTGATAATACGCCGATCAGAGATGAGCTCACTGAATTAACATGAACACGGCATTGAAGTCGAAGAAAGTTTGCAGTGGTATGTGTGCGAACACAAGCAGTGGAAACAGCAAGAAGTAGAGACGGGACTTGAATCCGGGGTTCTGCACCAGTTCGAGGTGCAGTCCCTTGGCTTTGAACCGTGGCTGAGGTATCCGTGGGTGCGCCTGTTCGTGTGAGCCAGCAGGAAGAGGCACACCCATTCCCCGCGACCAAACACGGGGCGCGGGGACCCCAACCTTCGTCTGGTCCGTGGGCTCACGCCGATCCTTCTCGGCACCGTACGACGCGTCGTGGTCGTTCATACTGACAATGCGCACGGACCGCGGCGTCGCCTTCCTCCCCCCAACGAACGGCTGCTCGCTCGGTCCCGCATCATTGATCGACCCTTGAAACGTCGAGGCCGGCGCTGGATGGAGTGGGCGCTTGGGAAGCCACGATGGATAGCCCTCCGAGTCTTTCGACATACTGCGACGCGCGGCGGATCCAGACGAGGGCTCCTCTGAGTTGTTGTTATCCGCCTGCAATTGCTCGAGCAGGGAGTCCACCCCGGCCACGGACGAGTCGTTCGAGGGCGAGTCTCTGGTCGGCTGTCGCGACATTCGTATAGATAAAAGAAGAAGGTTAGTAAGAACGAAGAGGGCGCGAAGATATGGTTTTTTTGGAGTTTTTGGAGGCGGCGGCGTCTGGGGGGAACGACGCGACGACACGGGCACTCGCGAAGGAGCGCGAAAGCCTCGTGTATGATGGGACGGCCTTGCCTCGTGTCCTGCCTATACGGGGAGGCCGGCAGATGGCGGGAGGAAGAACAAGAAATCCTTGAACAAATTGATGGGCCTCACCTGACTTTGTGTATCGCACTGTTATCTCCTTTGGATAAATACCCCGGAATCAAAATGGAGGAGAAAGATGCCGCGGAAGCAGCGTGTGAGAGAGAAGGGGGCTTCGCTTTGCGAGAAGAGAGTGTAGATACGCTACTTTAGTTATAGAGCAGGTGGTCGTGGTTGGAATTAACGCGGGAACATGCTGTAAGCTTCTGCGTACGTCGTCATAGTAAAGTTAACTCCGTGGGAGATTTTTGAGAGACTCCTAAACAAGTCTCATCGACTGAGGCGAGTCACCGCGACCGAAGATAGCCGGCCAAGTGTGGTGTGATAGGATACCACCGCATTACACCTTTCCGCCGCAGCCCTCCGGATCCAGATGCACTTAGATGACTTGCGGCGTAACCATTTCAAAACGGAGAGCAGATGACCGGGGCGAACGGTCCCGGAGTGCCCAACGACTGTCAAGTTTGGAATGTAAAGGAAGTCCTGCATGAAAAGCGAAGTAAACAGCCCAATCGCGGCGACTCATCAGAACAGTCCAGACCATCGCTAGACTATCTGCCAGCGCGATCTGTACGCCCATTCGCTCTGGGGCTGGGAGAGAGGCCAACCGTGGGATGACATCATAGGCAACTGAGGCCGCTCCGTGCGGTAGTTGTCGCAAGAATGCGGCTGAAAGTCGGACCCTGAGTCGGCGGCGCCAAGTGTCAAACCTCAGCTGAGCTATGTTATTACCATGCGACATTTGAGCAAAAACGGCACGCACACGCCTGCAAAAGAGCCGGCAAATGCCAGAAATGCCAGCGCTCGAGCACTTTGAGAGACAGGCAGTGGCGCCTGAACGGGGAACATGGTCGTTGAGTGCTCCAATTTGAAGCCGATCGCGTGCATGATGTACAGTCAGCCTTGGAATGTCATCTACAATCCATCTTGCTTCTTCTTCCGAGTCGTCTCCATCAACCTCTGACGCCTCAGAAACTCTTTGCATAGACTTGTAGGAGGCTCTTACCCACAGAAGTGGACATCTATACTCAGCCGATCTGCACCAGTCTTTTCCATGTCTGAACGGGTGTCGATTGCCGCCCGGGTGTTTTCCATCCCGGAACTCCGGTTGCTCGTGCTTGCGCATATCGCTGCACCAGGCAAGCGCATCCTGTACCCGAGGGATTCAGACGCACTAGCTAACTTCGCACGTGTGTCTCGCGTCGTCTCGGATGATACGCTCTCTGTTCTGTGGAGAGCAATAGCCCGGCCTGATGCACTTGTGAAGCTTCTGCCGCCCGATGCCTGCCTCTTTCAAGACTCACAGGTCAGTGCCCTCGATCTCGAAATGTTTTCCTGTATACAGCAGTGACATCTCTTCCAGTACCGTCTCGCACGCCCTCTGACAGAGGCCGATTTCTCCGTCTTCGACAAATATGCTCGTCGTATTCGTTACGTCGACTTCTCCAACTCAAGTCAGCTTCTGGCCAGAGGATGTGAGCTATTCCCATATATCAAGGCTTTTCGGGATCCCATTCTTCCTTGCCTCGTCGACTTTCGTTGGGAAGTGGCCGTCGCAAATGGTTCCATAGGAGCCTTTCATCTTCTATCTCGGACAGCCTGCTTGCCTAGCAATGAGCTTTCGCTGCTGATGTGGTCCGAAATCGAGCACCCGCCAGATGAGGAGATATCCACTGCTCTTGTCCAATGCATCGATCTATTCAATGATCCCGCTTGTCCATGGATGCCCGATGTGAAGAGGCTCACATTACGCACGCTGGGGTATCTTCCCGCAGTTGGAACTGCTGTCCAGGGCTTGAGTAATCTGGAACACTTTTCGTGTGACCTCTGCATGGATAGACAGCTGCTGAACAAACTGGCCATTCTTCCTCGATTGAAGTCGATCGACTTGCGCTGGCTTTTATCTGATGTCGCTCGAAGCCTGATTCCAAGCCGGCCAAGCTTCGCCGCCATCGAATCTTTCCGGCTTTTGGGTGCTATCGATTCGATCTCAGCCACTCTTCCCTTGATTACCTCGACTGAGTTGACCACTGTTCGCCTCGGCATCAAAGGACTGGAGCTGAACGGGTTGGACTCGTCCTTGATCACTCTTTTGGTTCCTCCCTCGGTGCCGGCGCGAGCTTTGTCGCTGCGGCACTTCCATCTGGTGGGGCCATCCTTCCGGCACCTGGTGGCATCCTTACCAAACCATTTGGCTCTGGGCGACTTCGCGCCTCTGTATTCGTGCCACGCACTGGAAACGTTCTGGATCGATATGAGCCTCAACGAAGTCGTCTGTACCGATGTCGACGTCCATGCTATGGCCGAAGCATGGCCGAAGCTCATTCGACTCTCGATCAACGGCCCGCTTCGTGCCATGGTCAACCGAAGTCCTCCACGAGCTCACTTATACACGCTTTGGTCATTGGCGATCCATTGTCCTCGCCTGAGCGATCTTAGCATCGAGATTGACGCTCGGGTGACAGACCCGTTCTATGCTACTTCAACGTCAGTTGTTAAGGGCTCTGAAATGGAGCAAGTGTCATTCCACTTCTCTCCTTGCGGAGAACCAGAGATGGTTGCCGCATTTCTTCGCGTGGCATTTCCTGGGCTCTCCCTATCTGCATTCAGCGCCCATTCGAATTTGAACAACCCGGAGGATCAAGCGAGATGGGTCGATGTTGGAAGGATGCTCGAGTGAATGTATCGTGTCGTATCTAGATTTCCTGAAGAAAATGCACTGAAAGGGCATCACGCTCTCCGTAATGTGTTAGACGGTCACGCGTTTTGCGCGCCGCGCATACCTTCCTGAAATTGGTTTGACCGTATTTGGCTAACGATTGGCCTGAGCGCCTAATTCAAGTCCTTGCTTCTCCATGTCAACGATAATGACCATGAACCTCGCCCACGAAGTACCTTCTACGCAGGATTCACGCCAATCCGTATCGCAGTCCTCACCACCGTGGACTCTCGGCGCGACCTTTCCAACCTCTTCCGTTCCCGCTCTCTCTCCATCAAGGAAGAGACCTCGCCTAGCAGAGAGTCACGATGTCCCTCCATGGGAATGCGATCCCGTCTCTGGGATCGTGCATACATCGGGATGTATGACCTGCCGCTCATACATCTCCCACATGACCGAGGCGAAAGCCGCGGCCGAACCCACCATCCAGCGCGCCCTGAAACAACTCGAGAAGCAAATGGACACTTACTTTTTCGACGGCCTCCAAGAAGGCCGAAGACAGCAACAGGCGACCGATCAGGCGCGCATTGAAGAGCTCGAGCGCGCTCTGAACGGCGCGACCTCCAGGATCGCGTCGTTTGAGATGCAATGGCACGACGTCACCGAGCAGCTTCGCGCGACGCGTCAACCGTTCATCGGCCCTCACCAACAGCTTGTGCCTCAAGAACAGACACGGGACGCGAGGCGTTTTGGCTCTTTATCCGATCAGTTGCCTGCTATGTCGACCGCCGCGAATTTCCCAGCGCCCTGTCTCGCCTCCAATTCCGCTGCTATTCCCGAATCCTCCTCCATCTCACGTCTCCCCACATCTGAAGCCCCTCACTCTCGTCCAAGCAACCTCCCTCCTCGGCCCACGAAGGAAGTCATTGCTTCGTCGGGCGCGCTTCAGTCGCGTTCACTTAGTGCTTCTGCCGCGTCTATTTCAATCGAAAATCCTCGTAACCTCCGGCAACTCCAGCATCTGATGGCTCAGGCCCACCGACCTGGACACGAAGACCACCTCGCTAAAGTGAAAATGCTCTGTGCGGAAGCACACAACACTCCACGGGAAGAAAAGACCGAGCTACACCGCTACATCCTTTCGAATTGGCGCAATCCTGAGCAAGCAAGCAGCTACTCGCCCGGATCGGCAGCTGCGCCGAACGGCGAACACCTCCCTCCCGCTGCACACGGTGCCTCTACTCTCATGGGACGAAACAATCCTCGCATCGACGATCCTGTTGAGGTCTGGCACGAATTCTTGTGCACTTACCCCGGCTCTTGGCCACGCGGAGTGCGCAAAGTGGCCGATGGTAGTCCTAACCTCGGTGACCTGAAGGCAAGTCGGGTGGTCGCTCGTCTGCGGCCGACTTTGGGATCCCACGGGGACAGCACTGCGCGTGGCGAGTTCATGACCTGCACCGTGCAATTGTTCGCGTCACCAGGAATGTACAAGGACCTTCTGCGCCGCAACTCGATCTCTGTTGCATCGTCGCTCACATATTCCGCCTACAATTCGTCGAATATCGGGCCCACTGCCGTGGCCCGCCACTTTGCTACTGCCGGCATTACGGTGGATTGGGCGGTCATGCATCTAGAACCTTGGGCGTACGAGTACCAGATGGCTGTGTCGAATCCACCAGAAGCATCCAGCCACCGGTCGTCCCGGTCGACTTCGACCAAGCCTTCGTCGTCGTCTACGTCGAAATCTTACCACGATCATCGCCGACCACCCACCAGGCCTTTCCACGACTCGAAGAACCACGACAGAGGACGTGAAACTTCTCGTCAGCGGCGGAACAGTTTCGAGGAAGATCGCTTCGGTTGGAGGTGACATGTCAACTTGAATTTTGCACTGTAACGAATACTGTACTCCGTGTATCCGCATCTTGTAATAGCCCTGCCTCGCTCGTGTTTGAATTCCAAAGTATGTACGTAGATGTCGAATAAGAAGCTTGTGTCGTCTCCAATACTGGATATCCCTGTGTACTAAGATGGACACATCCAAATCGGCTTCCGGGTTAGGGTCACGTTCTTGCCTTGTGCTTGTCATGACCGATTAGTGACGGGTCGCAAGACAATGTTATCAGAACTACCCATCGACATCCTCCACGATGTTCTGGCATGCGCGGACGGACGGTCAATAATACGATGCTGCTCGGTGCGAATGCGTCCTTGTGACTTGCCCTGCGACTCTCAACGCCCGAGGCCAGGTCTGTCGCGCATGGAAGGCGCTGATCGAGTCCTCGGTGGAGCTCACGTATCTCGTCGAGCTGTTCGCGGACGGGCTGGTGTCTTGTCCCTCAGCGGATTCGATGGCGCAGCGGCGGCCCTATGAGAGACTGGAGCAGCTGCGCCGCTATCGCCGCGCGTGGCAGTCTCTCACCTGCACCTCGTGCACGCGGTTCTCGATCTCGGGGCACGCGCGGGCGTACGATCTCGTGGACGGCGTCTACGCGCAGCACGACACGTGGCCGCTCACTGACTTCACGACGATCGCGCTCCCGACGGCGGAGCGCGAGAGCAGAGCGTCGACGTTCCCCGACGTGGGCGTCCAGTCTCTTGATTTCGCCATCGATCCGACGCAGGATCTTGTTGTGTTCCTATGGAGGGGGCAAGACAGTGCCAACTTGGACTGCCGGCTGATGTCAACTCTTGCGCCCCATCCTCTTGCGGCCCTCGACACTCTATCGCTGGGTCTGCGGCAACAGAGTTTCCAGAGGATCTTTCTCCAGATAGCAGACGATGCGGTCGGCCTGCTCTACCGGATTCAGCCTTTGGCTGAGACCCTGCGGCTGGTCATATTCAATTGGCGGACGGCTGTCCTTCTCGTTGTATGTATTTGCTTGATACCGAGTCTACCTGACAGACACTTACACATTGGACCAGGATCTTAGCGGTCCACAGCTTCCGCGGTTCACCTCGGATTTTTCGCTCATATCCCCCCGCTCGTTTCTCCTGGGCACGATGACCGAGGTGCGCGAGGGGACCAACGTCCATCGAGGGGGGATTGGAGAGATCCGCATCTTCTCGTTTCGAGGAGATTCGCCTGCACAGCCGGAGCACGCGACCACACTGCTTCTTCCCGAAGTGGACGTGAATCGCTCCCTGGATCGGATGGTGATCCACAGCGGGCCCTATCTGGCCAATCCACCGCAGGATGCGCTGTTCTACAAGCCGAACGAGAAGAGGATCTGCTCGGTGTCGCTGCTGTATGACAGGTTTGAAGCTTACACTCTTTACATCCACCATCAGTTTCTCGCGGGGTTCCTCCCGCCCGCCGCCCGCCCACCGATCGCTGTGGTACCCTGGAAGCAGTGGGGCCCGGGAAACTCGCGCATGATGAAGGGCCGGCATATGCTGTGGCTAAGGTCACCCGCGAACTTGCTCCTCGAGTCCCTGCTCACGGTGCTGCCCAGATACGTTCACGGCGAACGTGTAGTGTGTCCAGTGGACGCGGTCAGCCCTCGGGTGGTGCAGGTGCTTGACTTTGGCCTGACGCCCAAGCGCTACTGCGACCCGGAGATGTGCCCCGGCGTCAACACCGAAGTGCACATCGGAACGAGCGTCATACCCCGGGTGAACCATGTGTTCAAGAGCGACGTCGCGACGTCGCTCCCGTTCCGGCGTTCGTTCCGCGAGCTGGACGAGGAGCATACCCTGTTTATGATTGACCAAGACCGGCTCATCGGGGTCAACGAGTCGGTTCGTTCACTGTCTTTCTCTTCCGGAATACCTAACGCTAACGATCGCATGTCAGGTCGATACGCTGACCGTATATACCTTCTGAGGGGCTTCACGTCCTTGGTGACGAAATGAGACTTGAGATTCACTCTGGTCCACCGGTGCCCTCGGCTCTCAGTGCCAGACAGTGAGCTAAAAGTCGACCTGCTTGTCAAGCTCAAACTAGCATTCAATCTCGCTTCACGTGGTCCGTGCAGGCAAGAAGATACCGCAGCGGCCTGTGTCTCCAACACCGTTTTACAGAGGTCAGCGCTGGAAAATCCCCGCGCAACAGAGTCAGCCACCAAGCCGGTAATCGGCACGTCGTGTGGGAGCTAAATGTTTTGCCGCCCAAAACCCGGAGTCATGGCGAGCAGCCTGCAGTCTATATCACGAGTGCAGAGGTCCAGCTTCCTGTCCTGAGCATCCTTGATACCTCTCATTCAAGCAAGCTCAGACACGCTGCTTTCGACTGGCCACTAGGTCCTGTGAGCATTAGGAGTTCAATGTCGTAAGTGGGGGAGGAGGCGTTGCGGGAATTGCCGAAGGCCGATGGGTCGGGCGCTGCTCGGCCGAACCCACATTTCTGCATTGACACCAACCGAGTCTAAGCGAGTAGACTGTAGACACAGTCCCTGCTCGGCACTGAACATCATATCATCGATCGAGGAGCGGACTGGGCCGAGTGACGATATGTATTGTCACCGTAGGCTCGTCCAAACATACCGTACCGTAGCGTACAGCACCAGTCTGAGGCTAACAATCCGGCGGCGTTCCCCCGCTCCCCCCAGGCGGACGTCGGAGGGACAGCTGTGTCGGACGAGCCCCAACCGCACCGACCGCCCGTCTTCACTCTGGAAGCCGATTGTCGGCCATCGGCGGAGATGTTATCTTGTTAGGAGTGGCAGTGACAGCTCAACCTGGTGGCGATCACTTCCCCACGCGACCGGTGCCAGCCGGATGGGATAAAAGTCTCGTCGGGTCAGAAAAACGGCAAGCCTGCAGATAAGGAGACACTATCTGGCGGCTACTTATCTTCTTGGCGCGGAGTCTGCGACAGGCGTCAGATCCATATTAGTGACCCGATCGCGCACCGGATCCCACGTCGAACCCCACCTTCCTTGCTTCCTTCCTTCAGCACAAGTTTGCCATGGCCGACAGTCAGAAGGAATCGTCGATTTCGAACGCGAATAACGGCGGAGGCGGCGGGATGGCGGCGGACGAGGCGGAGCTGGCGCGCATGGGCTACAAGCAGGAACTCCCGTGCGTCCGTCTTTTACGTGGTCTGTAGCAGCCCCCCGACGGTCGCGTGACACACCTTTTCCAGACGAGAGTTGGGCCTCATGCAGGTACGTCGGCCCGGTTTTCGTCCGGGGTGTGCGGGCCGCTGACGACGGCGCTGTCCATAGAACTTTGGGGTATGTCAATCTTCGTGGCCACAGTGCGCGTCAGAATGGTCTCGCTGAAGTTTATCTTGTCAGGTCTCGTTCTCCATCATTTCTGTCATCACGGGCATGTCATCGCTGTTCTTCTATGGACTGGTGCGGCGTTGCGAGAATTCTGTCTGTTTTCTGCCTTCTGATGTCATTATAGAATACCGGCGGTAAGCCCGTGTCGCATTGCAAATGCGCCTAGACTTGAAGCCGACGCAACTTGGCAGGTCCGGCTGTGATGGTTTGGGGCTGGATAGTCGTCTGTTCGTCCTCAAACATTTCTATTTCTGGTATCCCAACTGATGCGCTCAGCTTTCTTCACAATGATGGTCGGTCTCGCGATGGCTGGTAATTCCCGTGATATCACTCGTCTATTGACTGTCGCTCAATCCCACACACAGAGGTCTGCAGGTCAGCACGGGACGCCCAAACCGTGATCAATTGCTCAACCAATCTGCCAGTGCCCATCCGACGTCCGGTGGGCCGTACTTTTGGGCGGCCATGCTTTCAGAGGAGAGCCAAGCACCTCTGGCTTCGTGGATCACCGGTTTGTCTCGTGTTCAGGTCGAAACGACCGCTCACACATCTGATTCCTAGGCTGGTTCAATCTCCTGGGCCAAGTCGCTGTCACGACGGGCATCAGGCATGTACTTTTCGATTGAACGGCGGGGTGTTGATCTGACGTCGACAGCTTCGGATGCGCGAACTTCATCGCCACTGCATGTACCTTGAAAACAAGCTTTGTTCCGTCGGCAAACAAGACGATCGGTGAGCATAGACAAACGACGTTCCGATCAGCCAATATTGATCTCTACGCAGGTATCTACGCCGCTGTTCTCATCGCGCAAGGCAAGTGGAACTCCCAGTGGGTGTCGGCGGGATGCTGAGATCCCGGTCCTCCAGGAATGATCAACACATTCGGCGTCGGCTTGTTCCAGATCCTCAACAACATCTCTGTCTGGTGGCATGCCCTCGGTACGTCGTGCCTCTCAGCGACCATGAATGGCTGTTTTTAACACTGCGAAGGCACATTCTCGCTCGTGGTGGCGATTCTCGCCAAGGCCCCGACGCATCAGTCTGCCAAATTCGTATTCACGACGTTCAATGACGGAACGGGCTGGGGCGACCGTGCAAGCCACGCTTACGTCGTTGTGATCGGGGTACGTGTTTTCTTTTCCAATTCGGCATGAAAGAAAACCGTCTCATTCGCGCGTGCAGATGCTGATGGCTCAGGTACGTTTCAATGCCATGGCCGGGCGATCGTATCCTTGAGCTTATCTTATCGCGTAGTACACCCTCACAGGCTTCGATGCCAGTGCGCACGTATGCAATATCCTCCCGGTCTCCAGAGAAATCACCTGATTTTCTGTTATCAGATGACCGAGGAAACCAAGAACGCTGCCATGTCTGGCAGTATCGGAATCATCATGGCCATCGGCGTCTCCGCCGTCCTCGGCTGGTTCCTCCTCCTCGGGCTGCTCTTCTCCATCCAGGATCTGGACACGACCTTGGCAAGCCCGACCGGCCAGCCGGTCACCCAGATTTTCCTGGACACCGTGGGTGAGAACGGTGCAATCGTTCTAATGGTAACGTGCTCTTGGTTTATATCTTGCCGTCGAGTACTCAATTATCCGAAAACAAGGTGATTGTGATCGGTGCCATGTTCCTCTGCGGGACCTTCTCGATCACGAGCAACTCGCGCATGGTAATGTTGTTTTTCCCCCCGCGCGATCCGCGTTTTAACCCCGGGTTGAACTGATCGTGGCTGTGCAGATGTTCGCATTCGCTCGGGATGGCGGCATTCCCGGACATCGGTATCTGAACTACGTCAGCACCAAGTGGCGATCGCCCATCCGTACCGGTGTGTTGGCCGACTTCTGATTGGGTTTCACGGTGATTGACTCGCTGAACAGTGTGGCTGGCGTGTTTCTTGAGCTTCTGCCTCGCGTTGCCTAGTTTGGGCAGTTCTGTTGCTTTCTCGGCGGCGACTTCGATTGCAACCATCGGGCTGTACATCTCATATGTGGGTATTCCATCACATTCCACAGATCTCTCTTAGTAGACTAACCCACCCCACAGGGTATCCCTGTCGCACTGCGGCTATGGTATCGCCACAAGTTCGTGCGCGGGCCGTTCCATCTCGGGCGGTTCTCGTATCCTGTCGCCGCGATCGCCGTATTGTGGATCGGATTCATCTCAATTGTTTTCATCCTGCCAGAAGCCAACGTGCGTTTTTTTCTTCACTCGCTCGCCCTTCAGACGCTGACACATTCGCTCGAAATCCAGCCTGTAAACTCGCAGACGGTCAACTACGCCATCGTCGCGGTCGGCATCGTGCTGATCTACAGCGTCGGCTTCTGGCTCGTTAGCGCGCGCAAGTGGTTCACGGGCCCTGTGCAGCAGATTGCCGGTGAGCGTGCAACGACGTGTGTTGTGTGGATCATTCTGACCTGGAATCAACAGCTGAGGAGATGGGCGTTAATGTCATGGAGCCCGGCGAGATATCCAAGTTTGAAAAGAGCGAGTCAGAAAAAACTATGTCTTAGATAGAGCTTCACTTATGTTGTATCCACGGGTTTATAGATTGACACACGATGGAATAAGACCCCATGACGGATCAGTGTACGACCACGAACGGGATGGATGTTCACGTGAGCGTGGCTGACATTCGATAAGATTAGATCTTCTGATTGATTGGTACTCGATCACGGTTATGCCATTGCGACATAACTTGCTCATCGTTCACTTGCATAGAGCTACTTTCTCATCGAGAATACATCGTCCACTGCATGCAGGGACCAGCTCACTGACGCGCCACCCCGCCTCACCCAACTCATCCCACACGAACCGGGTCGGAACAAGAACAATGCCGTCCTACCGCCCCAGTGATATCATCGCTCCACCCACCCACTCGCCTCCGCGCACCATCGTCACTTTTCCTCTACCATGAACGACCCCGGATTAGAAGACTCGCTGCAGAGCTCGTACAAGAAAGCCGCGTTCCACGTGAAGGGCAACGCGTCGCGCTCGCGCAGCAGCGGCGCGAGCTCGGGGACCAGCGCGCGGCAGCAGGGCACCGCGGGCACACTCGGCGTCCGCGCGGCGTTCAGGGAGGAGCTGCGGGAGGACGAGGAGGAAGAGGAGGTGGGGTACTTCCAGCCCAAGTGATTTATTCCGTGTCCTTGCCGTGCGTGTGTGGGAGACTAACTGAACGCGTTTTTTTTTGAGACGGTGGTGGTTTACGTCGACGGCGTTTCCGCTGGTTGCGGGGACTTTTGGGCCGCTGGCGAACTTCTTCTCGATATGCGCGCAGTGTTTCCGGTGGAGAGAGGAGTCGTCGAGCCATGGATTGTCCCCGACACCGACGTGGTGCGTCCGAATCCTTCTGTGCGCGAGCGTGGTCGATTGACGGATGGAGCCAGGTTCAATGCGATGACAGGGCTGTCATTGGCGTTCTCCCTCCTCGCTAATATCATCCTTCTCGCGAACTTTTTGCACATCCTGCGATACTCGATATCCCAATGGCTGACTATCTCCTTCTGGTGCGAGACTGTCCAATCTTTTCTGGACGAGTACCTATAACAGATGCTAGGTACATCTCCGCGCTGCTGCTGATCATACCACTGGGGCTCAGTCGACATGTCTTGGACGCTCCGGGAACGGACTACACGCAGTCTTTCTATTACGCGATCATCGCAAGCGTGCTGTACGTGATCCTGCCCTCGCTGCTGGCGCTCAACGCGCTGGGCGCGTACAAATTCAAGGCATACGCGCCGTCGTTCAACCCGCTCACGATACCGCAGCGCACGCTGATGGCGCAGACGCTGGCGTACGTGCTGTACATCGCGGGCGGCGCGGCGGTGTTCGCGCGGGTCGAGGGGTGGAACTACCTCGACGGCGTGTACTGGGCCGAGTACACGCTGCTGACGATCGGGCTCGGGTCGGACTTCCCGCCCAAGACGCACCTCGGGCGCGCGCTGCTCATCCCGTACGCCGTCGGCGGCATCACCGTGATCGGGCTGATCGTCGGGTCCATCCGCGGCCTGATCATCGAGCGGGGCGGGGTCAAGCTCGTGCGCCGTACCGTCGAGGAGGAGCGCCAGAAGTGGATCTCGCGCATGGGCGAGCCGGATGAGCGCTGGAAGAAGGATGAGTGGGACGCTATGCGGAGGATCAAGCGCCGTGCGGAGTCCATGCGCCGATGGTCGGCCCTTGCGAGCTCCGCGCTGGCGTTTTTCTTCCTCTGGCTGCTCGGCGCGCTGGTGTTCTGGTTCGCAGAGGTCCGTATCTCCGTTTGATCGAGGTCCGTGGAAGATCAATGATGACGTCGTCAGAGTGCGCAAGAATGGACTTATTTCCAGTCGCTCTATTTCAGCTACACATCGCTGCTGACGATCGGATACGGTGACTTCTACCCACAGTCGAACGCCGGCAAGCCGTTTTTCGTCGTCTGGTCGCTCATGGCCGTGCCCACCGTCACCATCCTCATTTCGAATGTCGGGGAGATCCTGATCGGCCTGGTCCGGCGCGCGCTGATGATGGCCGTGTTCTCGACAGCAGCGGCGGGAGCGGACAAAAACAACAAGAAAAGCGACGACGAGCGCAAGATGGGAGCTGATCTGGAGCACCTCGGGGAAGCCGTCGAGCAATCCGAGCGACAGCGCGGTCTGGGCGGGGGACTGGCCGCGCGCTTGTCCCGCGAAGTTGCGCGGCTGGCGCAGGATGCGATGAGCGGCACGGAAGCGGAGTACTCGTGGGAGGACTGGCAGGGATGGCTTGAGCTCCTGGGAGAACGCACGGATGCTGAAGGCCGCGGGGAAAATGAGGAGAAGCAGGGGGAGTGGACGTGGCTGGGAGAAGAGGGGCCCCTGTTGAGTGGGATGAGCGAGACGCAGTGGATTCTGCAGCGCTTGTGCGAGCGCTTGCAGCAGGTGTTGGAGGAGGAGTATGGCTCTAAGCGCTAGCCAAGAACCTTGGTTCGACTGTATGGATTACTAATAGAGACAAAATGTACACAGAGTGAGAGATTCAAAACAAATAGGGTGTCATGTAGAAGATACCAAAATACTGTCCAGGTCGTTAGTATATGCGGTATTCCATCGTGTCGAACATACCATCAAGTGCGCAGGATTGATCCCGGTGCTTATGCCCTTCATCGAGCCCGCAGGATCTTCGGCAAGGCCAGCGGCGTTGCATATCCTCGTCTGGGCGGGCGAATGCGGGGAATGGCACCAGTACTCCGTGCCGTGGTGCGCAAAGCCGATGGTCCTCGGAGCCATCGTGGGCACACCGTCGCTGGCGTGCACGACTGCCAGCGAAGAGATGAGAGCCGGAATCGGGTTGGAGGGACGCTGGACCTACCGCGAAACAACCTGTGTGGTCCGATGAGGGTGTGTATCCAGTTGGCGAACGCCTCGTTGCCCACCCGCGGCTGTCCGTAGGTGTAATATCTCACCTCCCTGTTGAAAATGGGACGGGTAAGAGAAGGGCAGTCGGGTGGTGAGATGACTGACGCAGTGGGGAAGGTCATCTGCAATGTAACTCCCGCAATCGAGGCCAAAGCGCCGCCAAGCGAGTGGCCGGTGACGACGATCGAGTAGCCGGGATTTGCAGCGAGCTCGAGCGTCACCGCTGCCAACGTTTTGTCTGATACTGTCCGCCATCTAGAGGGGAGGAAAGCTTGAGTGGAGGCCAGTAACGGGAAAAAGAACAGGACGAACGCTTTCTGAAAACCCATGTGGACTTTGGTCTCAGCTACAAACACTCAGTATGGACGAGCGGGGTGCGTAATTAGACCGGATGTACCTGGAGCAATGACATGGCTGGCGTCCCAGTCGACCATCAATCCCATCGCATCCGTCACGAAATTCATCGGTGTCACACTGCGGGAGCAACCTCTATCAGGGCGCTGCTGGTACCGGACGGATAGGGAGACTGCTCACGAGCCACGAAATGCGACGACGATCTCCTTGCGCGTGTCGTCCCGCGCGACATATCCGTGTGTGTCCGTCAGCATGTGGTACATCTGCGAGCGCGTCATGCATGCACCGGCGCACCGACGACGAGGAGCGCTTACCTTCGCACAGAGCTTCTGTCCATTAGGACGCACTGGGATCAAGGACGGCCCAGGCAGAATGATGGCGTAGGCCGTGGAGGCGTATTTGAAGTAGTGCACCAGGTCGTCGTACTGAGCTGTGTTGTCTGTCGTCAGCTGGGCCGAGTTCACGCGGATGCCACAGATAGCAGCTACCCTGCGTCGCAGTAGGCTTCCCAACGATGTCGATGGGTGCGATCTCGTCTTCGGCGGACAGCTTCACCTCGACAGGATCCTGCGGCAGCACGCCCTTCTTGATGAAGTGGTCGAGAGCGCGGACGCCGGGAATCTTGAGGCCGACCATTGAAGCTGGTAAGTTGGCGTGTGGTGCCTGCAGCGCGACATGGGATGAGGGACAGCCGTTAAAAGAGACGGTTCGGCAGTCAGACGAGCACGAGAGTTGATAGCTGGAATGATTCCTGCACCAGCAGAGCAGCCAGGAACAGTCATGGTCGCCAAAAAATCTTCGCAGAAAAGCACTGGTTTAGCGTACTGGCGGTCTTCCGGACAGGATGCATGATGATAACACTGATTATTGTCCGTTGCCTCCAGCAGGTAATCCATACTCTGGCTTGAGCTGGCGAGTTCCATACAAGAAATATAGATTCCAAGAACAGATGAGTGCGTTTGCTTTCCAGTTCAATTCGACACTGCATCACAGATGGGAGAGAGAGAGGGCGCTGCTCAAGTTGAATCGCAGATCAGCCTGGACTGCACAGCCTCGCTTGTCAGACTCTTCACACCCAACCTCCAGAGATTGAATAGTAGTGTGGCAGCAAGCATGTAAACTCCTCCTCGGACCCGTCTGCGACAGGAAAAATTCTGGCATGCCAATAAAATCTCCCAAAGGCTGCCGCCAGGAGACAACTTGCCAATTGTGACCCCGGGTCCTCCAGCATGATGTTGTCCCGCTCCTCCTCCGCCATCCCATCCCCGACGGCCCTGCTGAAGTCGAACCCCCTGACTGCCCTGCATGCGAGCATGGGTACGGTCGTGACGAGCGAGATCACACCGCAAGTCTTCGTCGCGGACTGGTTCGTCGCACAGAACTGGGACGCCCTGGCCGCCATGGGCATCACGCACGTCGTCAGCGTGTGCGAGATCCCGCCGATCGTCAGCAGCAAGATCGGGCACCTACACGTGTGCATCGTGGACCTGCCCATCGCGGATATCTCGGAGCACTTCGTGAAAACGACGGCGTTTATTCAGGACGCGCTCGCGAAGGAGGGCGGGAAGGTGCTGGTATGTTCGGCTGTTTCTCTTCCTCCCCCCGTTGTAGACTGATGTTCATGCAGGTTCACTGTCTGGGCGGCCTGAGCCGGAGCATTTCCGTCGTGTGCGCGTACCTCATCGCCGCCAAGGGCCTGACCGCCGACGAGGCCATCGCCTTCACCAAAGACCGCCGTAGCATCGCGCATCCCAACGGCGGCTTCCGCGCGCAGCTGCGCGGCTGGGCGCTCAAGCACGGGCTGAAGGACACGGACGACATCGACGACTACCTGAAGGAGGAGACGCTCGCCGGCGCGGCCGCGTCGCGCCTCGGCCTCTCGAAGCTCCCGAAGCTCCCGGGCTCGGGGCTGCTCCACCGCGGGTCCGTGCGCAAGATGGTGTCGGACAGTGTGGGGAGGCTGGCGGGGCACGGCGGGAGCGAGTCGGAGGTGCTCAAAGTCGCGCGCGAGAAGGCCCTGGGCCCTGATTGGGTGGGGTCCACCACGGTCGTCACGCGCACGAGCGTGAATCCGGATAACACGGTGAACGTCGACGTCGCGGTGGCTGCTGAGATTGTCAAAGTCTGATTAGTGTGTGTATTATCAACTTACTTATCTCCATGTATCAAGTACGAGCGCAACCAGTCCAATTTCGAGATTGCAATTATGACGCGCTCACGTGAGTAGTACTGTTCAAGCCTACGACTTTGAGATGGGTTCGTATCCCTATTGACTCTGCGAGCGATTACCATCACCCACGCGATGCGTGTTATGACTCCCTCACTTCATTTCTCTCTCCCTTTCTCGACCTAGGCCTTACCGTCCGTCTCATTCGCGTGCCCGTCGTGGCAGGAGCGCTCACACGGTGACGGTGGTGAACAGATTCGGATTGCATGGCATAATTTCGACGAGGTAATCCAGTGCGTGTCGATTCCACCGAGATACTGATCAACCTTTCAAGAGTGGCGAGGACGAGCTGAGGACGGTGTTCGTCGCTGCTCCGCCGAGTCCACCGGCAGATGGGTTAGGCGTCACATTGTCACGTGATGTGTGACAATCCGCGTTAGTTTCTGCCGTTTTGCCACTTGGTCACACTTGTCATGGTCCTCCCCGGGCACAACGAGCATAGGACTCGAAGATCTCCTCGGCTCAAGTAACCCCTGTTCCATCTCTCAGCCGTCCGTCTGCCGATGGGGGCCCAAATCGACGCCATGGGAATTGGTTGTCGACCTCGACTTGGGGAACGATGTCCCGGACACGTTCATTCCAATCATCTCTAAATATACTAAGTACAGAGAGTGCTATTACTAATTGTTTTTACACCGTATTGACTGCGCCCGCTCAGAGCGCTGCATTCTGCCCAGTGCGTGAGATAGCGTCGCACCGACCTGATACCGAGGCCACCCACTGGAACGAGCCTCCTCAAGAACTTCGGGAAAGCCGATCGCTTCTTCTCGTTCTGGATGGCCTCCAGCTCCCTCGTCAGACAGTCGCTGTCGGCCGTGGGCATGCGGTGGTGGCGCGAATCCGTGGGCGGATACGCAAAGTCCCGCATCTTGGGCATGGTGTTTATTGCGGGTCTGTGGTGCGGCACGAGTATGGCTTGGTGCGAATCATAGCAGAAGTCGAAGTCGACTTCAGTTGAGGTGGGCGACTCGGCGCTGGAGCTCTGCACGTATGGCATGACGAGAGGTTGCGGCAGGGAAGGAGGAACTGCTCACCCGATCACTGCTGTCAGTGAGCTCGGACGAGGCACTGTCCTCTCGACGGTGTTGGCGCTCGGTGCTCATTGGTATGGTGGACTGCAATGTCAGGGAAATAGTCGAAAAATAGACGCCTTTTTAAAGAATTGGGAGCGTCAAAGGACGACGACATCCCGAATGAGAAGCGTGTTGACAAAGGGATGGCGCTTTCAAAGACGTTGTTGCCATCGAAGCCTTTTAAATTGTCTATTAGCTGGACTTGCTCAACGCAGTCCAGATCTTGTCTTCTACAGCCCTAACCGTCTCCTGCTCGGTATTGAGACTAGTCATGAAGTATGCAACGTTGCCCAGTGTCCTGAAATGGATCCCAAACGACGTCGTGCTCGCATCCTCACTGTCCCCGAACCTGATCGAGTTGAGCTTCGTCTGTGCCGACATGGACACGTAGCCTGCGGATCTTTTTTTAGCAAATAAGCTCGGCGAGAAAAGGGAATTTGACGGACTTCCACCCGCGTCTTTGACTTTGATGGCGAGAACGGTGCCCAGGGCCATGACCTCATCGACGACGTCCATGCGCGAGAGGGTTTTGAGGAACTCCAGGTCCCACACACTCCAAACCGTACTCGGAGTTCCTGGGGCAGGTTCCCATCGTGTTTTCGCTACAGCCCACGACTCACTCGACGCCTCTTTGTCGATCAGCCGCAGAGTCTCATTCGCCACTTCACACCCCATTACGTGAGCCGTGTAGGAGTGCCCGTGCAAGAGCGCGGTCGCCTTGTCCGGTCCGTAGAACGCCTGGAAAATCGAGTCCGTGGCCAGTGTGACTGCCAGTGGAATGATGCCGCCCGTCAGGATCTTGGCGTGGACCGAGATATCTGGAGTGACACCGAGCAGCGGGATGGTGCTCTTCATGCCGAGGCGGTACAACCCAACGAACACTTCGTCGAATATCACCGGCAGACCTTGCCATGCTCCAGGCTCGGCCGAAGTGCCTCTCGCTCTGACGGTGTCGACAAGAACGCGCTGGAAGAGCGGATCGACGAAGATCATGCCCCCGGCGCCCAAGATCAGAGGCTCGAGAACCAGCGCGGCAAGGCGAGGTCCTCCCGCTTTCTCGAGGCCGTCTAGGGTCTTGGTGATCCACTCGCGATATGTCGATGCCAGAGACGTTTCGAGCCGCTTATTGACGTCGTAGATCCATGACAAATCGTCGTTGAGCACAGTGGAGTCACCTGAGGCCGCCAGAGCGGTGGGCAGAGTGATCACGGGCCGGCCATCGCGGATTGAGACGGCGGGCGGGTCAAACCAGAACCCTTTAGCGTTGTGCCATTCGCACGTGTAAACGCCCTCCTCGATGCACGCATCCATCGCGCCGATGGTGTCTCCGTGATAGCTGCCGCGCAGCCCGAGCACGCCGACGGTCTTGCGGTCCGCGCCCTCCAGGCCGTGCCGCACCGAAAACGCGCGCAGCGCCATCTTGAGCGCGACCTCCATCCCCGTCGACCCGTCGTCCGAGAAAAACACGCGCGACGCCCACCCCTTCCCGGGCCCGTCGCGCACCAGCGTTTCCGCCAGCTGCAGCGCTGGCGCATGCGTTGCCTGCGGGAAGATGACGTGGCCGTATCGGCCAGTGGCGCGCGCCGCAGCCAGCGTCAGCGCAGAGTTGCCGTGTCCCAGAGCTTGGGTCCACCAAGAAGCTGAGCCGTCGAACTGGCTCTTCAGCTGGGAAGAGCTCGATTCATCGGGTTTGTACACCGAGAAGAAGTCCGACGTCGCATGGTCGATTACCGTCACGTCGGCTTCGCTCTTGACGAGTCCGTGCTGAACGAAGGGCCACCAGAAAGTGTCCATCGACCGTTTGGGCATCGAGGATAGCTCCGCCAGTCGTTGGGAATGCTGCTCGTCCAAATGGCTGAGCACCGGTGCCATGTCGAGTTGGTCGTAGTACTGCTGAGTCGACACGTAGTTCTCGTTCAGATTCTCTAACTTGGGAGGCGGAGGATCGAACGCGGTGACGGCGACACCCCGCTCCGCAAAATAGGGCGTCAGGTATTCGCTGTTGCGGTAGTAGGTATCCTGGAAGAGGAGGATCGAGTCTACGATGTAACCCCGGAGGATGAGGGATTCGTATGCAGAGATGGTCGATGAGATGCCCCCGAGTCTGGAGTCTCCGATGAGCACAGTAGGCAAAAAGAGGGGCCGGTAGCAGTCGGCTTGGGTTGCACCCGATAACGTGGGGCTGTGGACACCTGCTCGAGCTGAGATTCCCGAGCCCAGGAGTAACAAAACGCGATCCACTCACCTCCGGCCGTTTCCACGTACATGTGCGCAGCTGTTGGACCCGCCCGGCCCGCGCACCGCCTCACATAGCTAGCGACTGAGTTGACGAAAGTGCTGTCCGAGACGATCTGGACATGAGATATCGGCGCGCTGCGGGGCTTGTTGGATCGGCTTCACCTTTTCGGCGGACCCGTCTCCCAGTGCCATCTGCGCCGCGAGATGCGGGCTCACGGGGACGTGGAACCGATACAGGCACTCCGTGTGTATTCTATCCATGAGCGATCCACTGTAGCGCTTGATGTGTCTGGTTCCAAGTTGCAAAAGTGTCCGCGGCAGGTAGAGTGAGGACGACGCACTCATCATCAGCCTCCTCCATCGGACCCGTGCTGATAGGCTTAAGGTAGTACACCTCATTCTTGAGCGCAGCGGATCCGCGAACCAGAGCGGTGGTCAGGATCGTCTTCCCCACATCGGTGTTCGCCCCAAAGATTTGGTGGACGCGCAGGTTTTTGAAGAGTAGGGACATGCAGACGGCGTGCCCTCCAAGAGGGCAGTGCGGTGCTGGAGATATCAGTCAGCAACGTAGGGAAGAAGGCCGAGCACATTGACGCCCCACCTGCCTCTGCCTTTTATTCCTCGAAGGTCGATGCAGAAGCTCGATGCAGAAGCCTCGGCAGAACGCGGTGATAGTCAGATGACGGAGTTCGGCAACAGATAAAGCCGATATCAGCGATAAGATAATCTTGCATACTTGGCCATGTCATTATAATTACATACGGAAAGATATGCGGCTGTTTGAACAATGAGGAGCAATTGGTACAAGTTTGTATGCCTGAGGCATCGTGCATTTTATGTCTGAGTTGGCCTCGAGAAAATAGCACTCTTTGGCCAATACAATAATTCAAGCAACAGGAGACCAGTCCGCACAAACCATCAGCAAGGCGAGCGAAACACGTGAGACGACCGCAAGAGCGCTGACATCGAATATAAAAGCTGTTTGAAAAGGTGCTATGCTCTGGCAGCATGTATTGCCATATTCAAGAAGATGTGCTGGACGGGATAACAATCATAGCCGTAGCGCCAGCCTGAAACCTATGGGTACCACCGCCTAATTCCCACCGTTGTCCACCCATGCTCCTCATCCTTTCCGCGAGCAGATCCACCAACGCGACCTACCGCAATGCCACAACAGGTCTCGTGCACTACAAAGTGACGACCCCCATCCGCGTGCATCAACTCACCACCACCATCCTCAGGCGCCTTGACGACACGGAGCTAGCTGCTGTGTCTCCCGGAGTGAGCCGAGAACTCGAGGGAGAGCCTGCGTGGGCTGAAGATGGCGGGCGGCGAGCAGCTCCTTCGGACGAGCGATTCGCGTTTCTGGCCAGCGTGTCCTTCAAACTCATTGGATGGCAGACTATCATCAACTTCAGAGGTCAGGAGTTCAAACCGGCCGGATATCTGCGTTCGAAGAAACGAGGGATGCTTGACTGGTGAGCACACCGACTAGCAGCTGTGCGGGACCGCTGGGATTGACCAGGAGACAGGGGGTACACGTTCACGGCCGCAGATGGAAAGGACTATCACTGGTCAGTATCGCAATGGTCCACCAAGGTGCGTCGACTCATTCATCCCCGCTACATGACGATACATCGGCAGGAAAGTTGGCCGTCGACGATGAGACGCGCGCCCCGGTCGCTGAATATCTCGTGAAAAGTCTTGGCGTCATCTCCGAGAGAAAGGACGCGACGATCGAGATTTTCCCCGCGTTCGAGTATATGGCTGATGAGATCATGGTGTGTGCCGTCGATGCTCTCTTCTTGCTTGGCGATAAGAGAGCTCAAGCGCTGCTTGCAGTTGACGTTTATCTGTGTCGAGAAGTATAGAAGATCACAGGTGGACAAACACGAGAGACTTTGAGCTTCTCGCCGCGTGTTATCAAGCTAGTACAGCAGATGACTAGAATGTTGCATGCATCCGCAAGCCAACTTTGCAAGCAGCGAGAGGCAGAAACGAAGCGGAGTTGCAGTGGTTTTGATCCAATCATCAGAAGCAGTTCGTTTTGAGTCACGCACACCTGAGCAAGCTCCACGTTAGCTGGCTTCAAAATGCTTGCGATCCTCTTCGAATCATCAGTCCACTCCCCGAAAAATGGAGCGGTCACTGAATCGCCCGCGACCCGTGCAGGCAGAGCGGAAGTCGCGCGGCTATATCTATGTCTTACCCTCCATGAGAGACAGCATCCTACAACCCGAGCGACTCATCTCTAGCGACAAACGCCAGGGACCCTTGCTATCTGGATCAACCTTGTTCTTCTATGCTGCATCATCTTCATCCCTGGTTCTCCTTTGTGTCGTCACCTGTGTTTCGGGGGAATGCAGCCGCCAAAGGGGCACGTCTGGCTCTAGTTCAGACGTCGCTATCGACAACGTTGTCCTAGCGGAGTCGCCACATTCTCAAATCTCTACCCCTCTTACGGGCTTTCTTGACTGCAGCCCCAAGTTTCTGAGGAGTGTAATTAAGAATCCAGTGGTTACAGTCGACACTGTGGTCGCCCCCGCTATATCGGGTGTCTCTCTCGTCCCTAGGTCCCCGAGTTCAAGTGCTGCCTTGGTATCAGAGATCGAAGCAAGCGTCGCCAATCTCGTCCATGTGGTGAATCTCGTGCTCTCTTCCGCTGCGACTACCGTCGGTCTGCTCCTCTCTCCACCGAACAATCTAGTCTCAATTCTGGGCAGGACATCTCTTCCCAACTTGACCCGCCCGTGAGGAACGTCAGCTCTGCTCTGAACGACATGGTATGTATCATATCTGCGGACTGTTTGAAATGCATCTCTTACGTATTGCGAAGATGACAACCACGTCGTCGCTCACCAGACAGCAAATCGTCGCCATCAACACTTCTCTGAACACGCTTCAACGCGCTCTGCGGCCAAATAAGGAGACGTCTCCTGCAGCGCTCATCCTCGTGTTAGCCTCCATGAAGCCACTTTCTCCTGCAATCAGCGTATGTTTTCTGCGTGCTCATTCTGTGCGCTGAGTCTGAATGAACGTTTCCCCCAGAATGCTGTGCCCATGTTGGGTCCCTCAGGGCCGGCCTTTTCTCTGGCTCAAGCGCTTGCTTGAGCTCGTGACGAACTGAGGAGCCATATCTCGTTTCGATTGTACTATCGTCCTCGGATCTTATGAAATACAAAATATCTACGATGGTCCATACCACTCCAATCAGTTCCCGATGTGTATGAGCTCTGCCAGGTTGGGACATTGCCTCCTAGGAAAACTCCTTAGGCGTAAGTATGAGAGATCATATCCGTTATTTCTTTATTCCCTAATCTCGAGAAGTTGCGCGACGATGACATCGGCAACAGTGTCTCTTCCGATTCCATCGTCCCATTTCATTATCATGTCCCCGACACGTGACCGTGTACTGTGCATTGCCCCCGAGTCAATGGCACCTCTCTCCGATCAGGATGTCACTTGCCGACAACCACAGCTAACATTTGCGGCGCAGCAGTGCCGTCCCCAATCGTCTTTTTTGTCCAATGTCGCGAACGGAGCCTATGAGCAAGAGGGCAGGTATCAGGTGCGCCATACGAGCCTGTCTGTCTATCTGACCCTAGTAAGCTGACGTTGCAAATCGTAATAGCTTCGGCGCCCTCGAGGCCTCGATTGCAGACCGCATCTTCGACATCCTGGCCCCCAAGAAACTCGCCCCGCACAAAAGGCTCGTCCCGCTGCTCCGCATCAACAAGCACTGGCACACACTAGCCGCGCGGCGGATGTACACGTCCATCTCAGTCAAGGGGCAGTGGATCTCGCGGCCCCTGCGCAAGACCCTCGAAGCGAACGGCGCCCTCGCAGCGCTCGTGACGGAGCTCGTGCTGGACACTGAGCTGAGCGCGCAGGACCCGCACGAGACGCGGGACCACATCCGCATCGTTGCGGCGTGCCCGAATCTGCAGAGCCTGACGGTGCTCGGATACGCGCCGAACGACGTCGACAGCTACCGTGCCGCGATCGGTTCGCGTTTCTCACTTGAGGCGCTGAATATCAGCGAAGGGGCGGGCATGTTCACGCCGTCGCAGCTGCTGGATATGCTCTCGTCCTGGCCAAAGCTAGAGAAGCTCGTTCTGAAGGACGCGCTGCTGCCAGCGTCTGAGTCCGGCAATGCATCGTCCAAGGCCAAGGCGAAGTCACCGTCCAGGATCCCATGTAAAACACTGAAGATGGCCAAACTTCTGGATGATTTCAATCCTGCCACTCAGTTTAGTTTCCCTGACTTCGCGACCCTGACGCCGTGTCTGGCCGTGCTCTGGGTCGAGCCCCACGGTGCGATGCCTCTGGATCTGAAGGATGGACTCTCGCTCTGGGCGCCGACCCTTGAAACACTCTGCGCGCTGTCTGAAACCGAGCGTGAGTCCAAAGCTCCACTGGGTATCTACTTCCCGGTCTGACCGAACGTCCAATGGCCCAGTGCATCTCGAAACCGTTCTGCCACAGTTCACGCGGCTGAAGCACATCGACACATGGTCCCAGATGCTCTCGCCTCGCTCCGTCCAGCACATCCCGCCTACAGTGCAGATGCTGACGTATCGGATCTTCCCTGCGCAGCTCCTCGATCTCTCAGAGACGCTATTTTCGTCCACAGTCGCTTCGTCACTCAAGGCTGTTACCATCAAAGGCGCGATCCCGCCCGGCAAGCAGACGCCTATGCAGTTTACGCCGACCGCCATCCAATCCGTGAAGACCGGTGAGTGCCACCGCTTTGCGGTCGGTATTCATCCTGACTGACACGCGCGGGTTCAGTCTGCAGACAGCGGAGGATACGATTGACGATATAAATGATTCAAAGTGTACAAGTATAATCGTAATGGATGGCTCAGTTACAGATTCAGCGACGTGCCGTATCTGAGATACCCTACAACACGCTGACACACAGAGTTTGTATTGATACATCGTCCATTTCATTTTGAAGTTCTGCAGAGAACGAGTTATGGTCCATGGCCAGGTTGTTGAAGTGAACGTACCTTCATTCTGGGGGGTAGCTAGTGTCCGCAACGGAGCTGACAAGCCACTTGCCCTCCATCTTCGCAAAACTCCAGATATTCACCCCGACATGGTGGACCTGGCCCCCGATCCAGAACTCGTAGGGAGTCCAGGCCATGGCGATGTTCCGGTAGACCTTGATCGTGGGCTGGTCCGAGATGATCTCAGCCACCTCCTGAGGGAAGTCGAACGGGATGCGGTCAACGACGCCCTGCATTGTGGTGTATAGCGGCGACCCGTCGCGCATGAGCACCGCGCCGCCGGCGGGGAGGATCTGCGCGAGCATGAGCTCCTTGTCGCGCGACCCGATGCCGTGGAGGAAGTTTTCGGCGACGGTGAGGACCGCGAGCTCCTCGTCGGACATGCCGGTCGTGGTGTAGCGCTTCTGGGCCGACATGGTAAGTAGATCGGGTCAAAGGGTGGTGGGTGCGGTGGCGTTGGCGACCAGGGACGGGGAGCAAGAGCTTACTCGGGTCCTGTTAAGAGGGAAAGGTCTCGGGGTTCGCCGTGCCATATCACGAGAAGCATGGCCTGGGAAGAGAACGCGCGCGTTGAAACAGGCCGTGATTCATTGGGATCGTATTTCTTGGTCATCGCACTCCGATGGACCTCGAATGGGCAGTGCATGTGGTGCGGATGATTGGCAAGTCGATCCCAGTTCCTGGATGAGCAAGAGTTGCAGATGAACAACGCGTGGAGCAGGGGAACGAAGTCGGAAGAGTGAGCAGGCATGATCCGTCGTTCGGGGCGCCGTCATCGCTCCATCAACACAGCATCGATTTCCATCTCAGTTCGCTCGTTGGTCGTTCAGTCCAAGTCGGCTCATTTTTCGCCCTTGTCCTACCGTAATCGCCCCTCTGCGGTGTGAACGGGGAATCTAGAGCAATTGTACAGCCGTATCTACCTGCGACTCATCTGCTCCTTCTTTCGAACTCTGCGTTCATCAAGATGAGTACCAATTCAGGCCGGCATCTTATCTGAAAATGGAACCTCCCCGCCGACTAGTACTCTGGCACTGCCCACATCTACTTATAGCTGCTGGGATCTGTGTGACAAGTAGCACTGTTAGTCATTCAGCGGATACCATCCCCCACCTCCGTCTTCGCCGCCATGCCGCTCACGCTGCCTTTCTGGCCCACCAAGACCCCGTATCAAGCTATAACCCAGGACGAAGAGGAGAGAGAGACCCTCATCGTCGATCCGGAATCCCCAACACCATCCCCATCCCTGTCCACGTTCCCCGCGCAGGCGAATGAGAAACAGCAAACCCGCAGCTCTGAAATCTGGTTCGAGCGGGCGCTGCTCGGCGTCGCGGCTGTCAACGTCGTTGTCGCGTTGGGGACGCTCATCCTGACGCGCGACATGTCCAGTCTGCGTTTCCCGCTCACGGCTGTAGACGTGGCCTCGCTGCCCCGCCCGGATCCCTTTGTGGGACTGAATCTCTGTAAGCGCTGCTCGGACGGACCGGAGGGACGTTTGCTGATGTCATTTCTGCAGAGGATTGTTGTATTGGTGTAACACTGTTGTATTCTTCCTGTGATGATTCTAGAAGAAAATGTTTCCTGGAACAACAGTGACTGCGGGTCCAGTCATATGTTTGTATGCTGTGAATACCAAAGCTACGACTCCGAGACGCTGTAGAAGTGTCGGACGTTGAAAACGCTGGATCTGATCGAGCACATCTGAGCGCACGAACTGCAAGTCTACAAAAATCGGTATAGGAAAAGTACAGGATACACCAATGGGCTACATATTTTACAGTTAGCGTGAGTTATCAGTACAGGTGCCAATGCCAAGCAGGTAGGAGCAACATATTACACACATATGACCGAAAAGAGAGAAAAACAACCGGTTCCTTTCCGTCCATCTTCGTATTAAAATTTCCGTCTGTTTCTTTACGTCCATGAGCCGGGATGCGGAGTTCCCTGACGAACTCTCTCAGCCATAAAAGAATGTCGGGCCCAAGGCTCTGGAGCCGGGGCCACGACTGTAGCACCATCAGGCACGTCCGTCACAGAACCTCTGCCAAATGATCCCATTCCAGCAGACATGAAATCCGCAATGTCCATCTGAGCTTCCGTGACCGCATGCATAACGAATCCCGCGGGAATGGACCCCGCATAAGCTTTGTGGTCCCGCCACTTGGCCCGTCGCTCCGCATTGTCATCGTCCGTGTCCGAGTCCGGTTCAGACTGCGAGTCGTACTCGTCGTCTGATTCCGAGTGCGGTGGGGATTGACGTGTGAATGAGAGCCAAGACTTCACTCGCTCCCGTTTAGATTGTTTCGGTGGGGGAGCGCTGGATGGCTCCGCATAGATCGATGGTTTGGTGCGGATTTGGTTGGTGATCGCCGCGAGTTTCCTGGCTTTCTTCTCTTTCCTCCTCGCTCTCCTCTGCTCTCGGTCCGTGTCATACATCTCCGGCGTCGGTGGGATGAAAGGAGGTGTAGGTGGATTTGGCTGGTACACCCGATACAGCGGGACTTGAGGATCAACGCGCACATTTAGGGATGAGCTCGGAGGGGTCTCAGGATCCCACTTGTTCGCCTCTTGCACCACCTCCTCCATACGCCGACGCAACTCCTGGACGCGATGAGGGTCGTAGTGGTAGTAGTCCATCGCATAGCAGCTGCCCAACAAAAACATCTCCAATTTGTGCGTAGTCCAGTGGTGTCGTGCTACGGAGAGGGTGCCGCTGCGGAGGAGTATGCAGACATCTTCGCGATCTGCTGCGTTGAAGCGGACCAGCTTCAGAGCGATCGACCATATGGGTGTTACACTGACTGCAATCGATGAGTGGTTGTCCACGACAAAAGCCACTGCGCTCACCGAGCTTGAGTAACTTGTTCGGAGACAAATACACGGTCAAACTGTCTTCAAAGTTCAGAGCAGCTTGATGAATCGGGTCAGTTGGACCGCCAGTCCTGGGGCTAAACGAGGATGAGACCAGAGGCAACAGATAGAATCTATCGGGACGCACTCTGTACTCCAAGGCAAAGCCACATCCGGATCACTATTCATCCAATCGGCACCCAGCCCAAACTCACTCGCCACATCACAAATGCACATCTTCAGCATCTCGTTCGCGTTGGGGATATTGTAGCGCTGCTGCCACTCCAGCGCAAACGAGCGCGCAATGTAGTCAATATCTCGCGTCGTCGTTCGCTGCTTGGCAGGTACCCCAAAGCGGGCGGTTTGTGCGGCCAAATCGTGCAGCTCTTGGTTGAGGAGCATGACTGAGCCACCGTGTATGACCAGCCTCACTTGACGCTGCACGCCAAACCGGCCGGCAATGATCTCAGAGAATCGGTTGAGAATGTGGATCATCTTTTCTCGATCGAGTGGGCACATGTTCTTTGAGGGAATCACTGGCCCCGGTGGGGAGAGGAGTAACTGAGCAGGTGCCTGCACTGGGCTGGGTCGGTGATGTTGTGGTGGTGGGTGGTGGTACTGTGGGACCACAGGCGCTGCCAGCGCAGAAAACGAGGTCGTTTCAGGCCAACCGTCCTGTGGGAGTGGCGGCACGACTGGGAGCGGCGGCGCTGCCAACGCGCTGAATTCGGTCACTGGCGGCGGTTCATACCAGTGGGGTCGGGATCGCGGGACGTGGGCGTGCCACGGGGGCATTACTTGGACAGACATCATGGGGGAGGGAGAGTGGGTTCGTGGTGCGGGTCGACGTCACTGGTACTAGCGGAGGCGGAATTAAGCTTCGAAGCTTTTATACGAGGAGCTGTGAGGCAATCCCAAGCGACGGGCCGTAATGGTGACGAGTTGCTGTCTCGACTGGCCAAAGCGAAGTGTAGTCGCGGTGTGCAGCGCCTCGTGGGATGTGCGTGGTGATGGCTCCGACTGTCCTTCCGGGACGTGCAGAGCAACTATCCCTGTCCGCACTCTTACAGCTACTGGAAGACCAAACAGCAGCAGGAAGACCGAGCGGAGACGGTCTATAGCACTCGTGACACAGGACTGGGAAGGTGTGGTGGACCTGAGTCCAAACAAGAATCAGATCTGTTCTCACGGCCCGAAACGAGATTGGAGGAACCGGCAGTGTCACTCGCCGCTAAACCGTGATAATCCAATGCATGTGTATGTATGTAAGTGGAGCTTTCGACAAACGCAATGGAAATCGATCCGAAGTGCGCCTTCAGGCTAAAGCTCCAAAGAGCTTTCGTGATAGCACAATGACTGTAAACGCCAACTTGGGGTCAAACGGCCCGAAGTCAGACAAAAGCTCCATTCGTGGCGTTTTCGATGGGAATGCAAGAATGCAAGAAGGTCAGCCGTGAGATGGATCGGCTAGCCAGCTTATGGCTTGCTGTGAGCTTCCTATGCAAGTTGAACTGCAGCGAACCTCCACAGGCATGATCATGTGATCGAATGCGATGTGTGTAGTGTCGAGTATAGTAATTTGCTCGTAAAACCAGCACTGTTATCAGTTCCGACAGCTTAGACACTCAGTTCCCAGCGACCTCCAATGTTCCATGCACGGCCCTCATCCTTCAGAAACGCTAGGCTCTCGTCCAGGATATATTGCGTCAGGGTCCTCCATGTTTCCTCCTTGTTCTTCAAAAACTGGAAGATTTCGGGTGTCGTCGGACCCAACACAGGAGCCAGACCACGTCCGGTGGCCCTGGGGCGTCGTGTTGCTGCTCTGGCGAGTAAAGTGCGGATAGCTTTTTCTGCCGCGTCGGAGACAAACGCGGTCGTCATCGCCACGAAGCCCTCTTCATCAGACATGGGATCAGAGAGCACGCCCTCATCTTCGTCATCTTCCGTGACGCTCGCGTTTGAGAACATCGTGCTGTTGACCCCGACCGTCGAATGACTGCTGCTCATTTTCCAAAGGCCGCTCGTGTCTGCCTGACTTGCGATCACGTCCAAGTCAGGACATGGCCGTGTGGGCCCTTGCCAGGAGGCAATGTCGCCGTCGTTCACCAGTTGTCGGATAGCCCACAGAAAGAGTCGCTTCATTCGCGGATGAAGTTTCTGTTGATCTTTGGGCGCCATTCCAGCCGGGGGCGGCACCTTCCCCTTCTCGCGTGCTCTCTTCTTCGCTTCCCGTGCTCGACGCTTGGCCTCCGCTTTGACGACTCGTTTTGCCATCAATCGCAGCTCTGGAACGCGCCGTAGATAAGATAGCGTGAACCCTTGAACCACCGGCGCGACTGGCAAGGCGCATGAGAAATCCAGGGGAATTATCCGCCGCGGAGTCATGTCATTCGGACGAGGTGTTTTGTCCTCCAGCGGGATCCGGTTCCGTGACGTTTTCGTTGGCGTCGAAGGTGGGTCCAAAACGCGCGGAACCAAGACATCGGCGTTGTCCATGTAATGTTTGAGATAGATCCGGAAGGAATTCTCCGTCAAGTCGATGGTGTGAAGGCGTGATGGATGTCGGAGTCTGTGAGGTGAGGACTGGGAGGATGATTTTGTCGGACTGCTGGCGTAGCTGCGGTTGGTGGATGGGGTGTTGGGTAGTTTGCTCGTTGAAGGGGTTTGGGGTGGTTGCGAATGCTGCCTTTCGGGGATGACGAACGGTTCTTTCAAATCATAGTATGTTTCATGTAGCTTGCGTACTGCGATCCAATGGGCAGGCTCGTCGTTCGCAGAGGGGCATCGAGCTGGGCGGCTGTCAGGCTATCTATCAGCAAGGTACTAACGAGTAGATTGCTTACAAATCGAGTCGATGATAATTCTGCGCGTCTCACTCCACACTGTTATTCTTCCTTGAATAACCACTGAAGCGCCCACAGGAGCGAACGGTCGTAAGATGAGAGCTTCCGGTTTCGATGACTTCGATTTCCCCTTCCCTGGTTTGTGCAGGCATTCTATGGCGCCCGTTCCGTCGTCCACTTGGCCAATAATGAGCGCAGGAGAGGTTAGGGATCAGATTATGCTCACAGTCATAGACGATCTGCTGCTCCTTCACTTTTACGCCCACCAGAAGTCCCAATAATTTCACGGTACGACATGGGACCCTTCCGAGCCAGTAGAAGTCGGCATCTAAAAGATTGTGTCATGCTTGAGTCCATCACCACAGGACGTGAAGCAATATCATCGACCTCTGATTCCGCTGTCCTTCATCTCGAATACGTCCCGCACGAAGCAAGGCGCCGTGGCCTGGGGGGTATATGTCCACTGCCAAAACGCGTTGGAGGTCGATTTCGAGGGAGCCTTGAGCGCCGGAACGTGGCTGGCCATATGCTTACAGGCAGGCGAGAGCGGATGAGATTGACGTGTGACGGTTCGGGACAAGGAGAGAACGAACAGTCACGGCCATATGGACTGTGACCTAATGTATCAGGAGCGCGTGATCGTTTTATTCTAGGGATGTTGGCCTGGGACTGCGCGCTGCCAACACGAGTGCCGACCGGAGTACAGGAGACAGACCTGATCTCAGAACATTTGTCAGATTGTCACAACCAGCCACGGCTTGACTTGTGTCTTGTTTCAAATTTTCTGGTTCAAATGACGTGCAGGTACTTAGCTATTCACAACCGGGCTTCACACAGATCGGGCTTGGAACCTACAAAATTGCAAGCCGTTGAAACGCTTGACTTCAAGAGTCCTATTTGAAAGTGTCCCGAAACTGCGGAAACAATCAGTAAGCTTTGGTCGCCGTGACTGAATGCTTCACTGCGTGATGTCCGCCGGGGAAACATATTCTGACATCTTTGCCACCCTGCCAGTCTTTTGCTCTCACACAGATTCTGTTTGTCTGGAAGTCACGACGATGCTCTGCGCAAGATCGACCGTGTAGCAGCTTTTACTCGGGGTTGACAGTAGATCATATTTTGGACAAGGAACTTGACCTAAAACGCGTGTACGCTCAGTCATTTAGACGCGCTGCCGAAGCGCCGTATCAGATCTTGCCTCCGCATGTTACTCAATTTGCATCAAATACGCGCAAATAACTGGACAAATTGATCGTCCGGGCTCACATTGCACTTGCCTCATCCAACGCCATCTCATTGAAACGTTCTTTGAAACGATAGACTAGGCCTCTGAGCCATTGTATGTCTCGAACACCACACCACCCTAGAAGCAAACTCGACCCAAACCCTGGTAATATCATCATCATCTAGTTTGTCGTGGTCACTTACATGTCCGCGCAGACACCGAAACCAGCGTGCGGGTTAAGCGACAGAAGACGATGCAGACAGAACGTACGTCAGATTGAACGGCTCTCGTCGACATCTTCGTCCGCATCGCCTCGATTTGATCTGATGTCTATGTTCTCAATCTCCACAGCTTTCGACGACGACATTGTCATGCTTGACACCCGACCACCCACCCCGCCCTCCAACGTAGTCCGGAGCAGCAGCGCCAAGAACGCGCACCTCAAGGGCCGGAAACGATTCAACGCTGATTTCAGTGACCTGAAGGTGGAGGGGATGGAAGTGGGCGCACTGCAGTTGACTAGTGCGTAATTGGGCTGTGCTTGCCTTCCTTCCTAATCCTCGCATTGGCTCATCCTCTTCTTAGACTTCCGGCCTGGTGAGGACGAAGGCCAGATTGCGTTCCAGATCATCGACCGTGGCAAGGGCGACACACGTGTGGCCTCCTGCACGATCACAGTCAGCGGTGGGCGCCTATACATATCGTCACGCATGTGGTGCGTTCCGGACTGATTGTCGCTGCAGATACGTCGGAATACCCCAAAGGACATATGACTTTCGGATATAGCGACGACGCAGATGTCCCCCAAGCCGTCAGCGACGAGTTGGACAACTTGAAAGGCGGCGTTCCCATCGCGGATACATTGGAGCGGTTCTTGCAGAGGATCGGTGGTGCGAAGTCCAAACCGCTGGCTGCTGCATTGTCGAAGAACAAGTCTATCCTATCCGATGAAGAAGCCTCGGACGATGAGTCGGATGGCGGCGGCTACTACTCGGAAGACGATTTCGACATGGGTCGCCCTAGTCCAGTCTCTAAGGACGTCGAACGCCACCGAGTGTTATCCCGCTTGCAGCACGACTTCCTTGAAGTCGTTTCGTCCGGGTACAGGCCTGGGCTCATCCCCTTCGCGGCGCTGTCGTCTGTATCAGGTGGATTCAACCATACTTCCGACTTCGCCATCAGCGTCTCGATTCCTACCGTCAACCTGACGCGAATCATCCCCGCACAAGCACTTGTCGCCTGGGATCGACGGCTCCTCGGTGCCCCGAAAGCCCGCCATCTTGTCCTTCTCATCTCCGGCTTCGGCGCAGCGTATCCTGCAATAGCCAAGAACGGGGAGCCCGCGCAGAAAACGACGCAACTCCGTTTCCAGCTGGGGATCTGTAACCGGTACAAGCCGTCGAGAGAACACGCAGTGGAGGCGAACCGGACGTTTGGGTTGCTTGGCAAGGACGCGGAAGACGAACTGCGGGAGGCCCGTGAAGCGGCTCTGCGCGCGCGAGAGGCTGCGCTGTATGATGATCCGGATGCCTACATAGAAGACGATTCTGCGTTTCTGGATCCTGGACCGGAGGAAGAGCCTGATGATGACGATGACGGTCGCTTTGAGCGCTTCAGTTTGAGCAGCTCCCTCGAGTCACTACTGGACGCGCAGTTCGTCAAGCTCATTGCAATCCGGAGAAAGTACGGTGTCGGATGGGGCGGTGCGGAGATGATGTTTGGATATGTCGAACGAGAGCAGAGAAGTTTGGATGATGTTTGGAAAACATATCGGAAGGTGCGTGATGGCGTTTTTTCAGAGTGGGTGCCATTCTCATCTTCCGAGCCTAGCTTATTTTGGCTGCTGACGCCAGCGAGAAGGCTGAATTCCAAGCGGGGAAACTACCATACGATCCGCTCCAAGGTCAGGCTCAAGACAGCGAGATTAACCTTCCCTACACTGCTTTTTCTTACCTGATTCGGCGGCTGACGGTACGGTCCAACCCTCAGAGAGCTCTCGCGCTGAATGATCGCAGATCTGCACGCGTTACTGTCTTGTCTGTCACGACAAATTGGCTGCCGAGTATGAAGCTCTGAAGCCGTATGTCTGTGACCGACCGTTGTGCACTTACCAATACTATGCTCACAACCGAGGTGCTTCGCTTGAAGTATGTACACTGTTGTCTTTCACTGCGCTGTCCTCTGATCCAAAGCCAGTATGAAATCATCCACAATCCCGAAACAGTGGATCTGCTTGTGTCGTTGGCTTATAGTGCTGCCGCCGAAGGCGTGCTGGATCAGCCACTTCCTGTGGGCATGGCTTTGAAAGTTCCACTGCCGGAACAGAGCCGTGTGGTCACCGCACCGGTTTCCAATCATGTCCGAGGAACACAACAGCCGGAGACGCAGTCTACTTCGCCCGTGGGCGTTAGCCATTACAAAATGGATTTAGATGGATTAATCGACTTCGATACGATGACAGTGCCACATGTAAGGATTCCAGCTGGTTTGTTTCTGTGACGCTCACCAAGGGCTAGATGCGTGCTAGCATCGCCGCGTTGATTGATTCGCTGCCCTCCATCGAAGACATGAAGTAAGCCTCTGTGCTTCGCCGGTTGTTCTTGCTTTCGGGCTGATGCTCGACAAATAGCCGGCACCTCCTGCGCAAAGTGAAACCCGGGAAATCGAAGCCGCGACTGAAAGACATGTTAGATGGTCAGGTGTTGCCTGCTGCGTGGTCGATTCTGCGGTGGTGTATTGCGTCCTGTACTGCGTACTTGGAGGATATGTCGTCCTCTGGAGAGCAGCTGATCCAGGGTGTCGGTAAGTGTTGCCCATGCTATATTGATCCTCGATGACGACCGGAATAGATCCATCTTGGCGCCAGTTCAGGTTCAGCGTTGGCGCGCCAGATGCTGAAGCCAAGTTCCAGAAGGCACTCAGTCACGCTACCGCGACAGATCACAATGCCAAGAAGTACCCGAGCCTGTATGCGTTCCACGGATCTGCTTTGCGTAACTGGCACTCCATCGTGCGCCACGGCCTGTGGTTCAAGTCGGTTGCTAACGGACGGGCGTTTGGCGATGGTGTGTACCTGGCGAAGGAAGCCCAGACGTCGATGGGCACCTACGCTCAGGGCGGGCGGGCCTGTTGGCGCAAGAGCAAGCTCGCCCCGTCGAGCTGCGTCGCCATTGCCGAGGTAGTGAATCTCCCGCACCAGTTTGTAAGCTTCAACCCGCATTTCGTGATCAAAGACACAGAGTGGATCGTTTGGTACGTCGTTTCGGCTCTGCTCCTCCTCGTCTAATGTTGAATTTCATCGATGATAGTCGGTATCTGCTAGTCAAAGCTTTGGAACCTCACGAATCCCGCACAAAGACGAACAAGGCGATCCCCTTGGTCAAGATCGATCCGGCCCAGACCATCACCATGCAGAATCAGCCACTGAAGTTGCCGCAGCCGGGGTACCAGATTGCTGAGCTCGTTCAGCAGCGACAGCGCGAACTTATCGACGAGCCTCACGACGACACGGACTACTTTGTGTTCTCCGACCACAAGCCTCCTGCACCCGTCGTCAAAGCGGTCGAGATCAGTGACGAGGAGTATGAACCTGTGATCATCGTCCGTTCCAAGGGCAAAGCACCCGTGGCGAAAGGCCCGCCAGCGGACGATTGGCAACACGATGAGGATTATGTTCGTCGGACCATCGAGCTTCTGATGCCGCCACCGTTCGAGTCGTCATCGTCTGCGTCGATGGCTGTCCAGCGGGAGCTCAAGGGCGTGCTCAGAGAGCAGGAGAAGGCGATGAAGAGTCCGGAGGGACTGAGAGGACTGGGCTGGTATCTTCCGCAGGACCTCATGGGAGACAATCTGTTCCAGTGGATCGTCGAGATGCATTCTTTCGAATCGTCACTGCCCATCGCACAGGATATGAAAGCTGCGTGAGTGCTGTTGCGTGTACGTTTCCGGCAATGCTGAGCTCTAGCTACAGAGGCATCAACTCGCTGATATTTGAGATTCGGTTTCCGCCGACATATCCCATCGGCCCACCGTTCTTCCGCATTATCACACCCCGATTCTTGCCTTTCATCAATGGCGGCGGGGGTCATGTCACTGGAGGAGGATCAATTTGCATGGATCTGCTGACAGCAGATAACTGGATGCCGACTTACAGGTGCGCGCTTCCGTTTGCACGCATCCAACACCTACTGATTATCTACCTACCACAGCATACCGCCGTGCTCATGCAAATCCGACTGGCCATTTCCAATTTGGATCCTCGACCTGCCCGACTAGCCCCCAACTGGAAGCTGTAAGGCTGACTGTGCGCTTCATTTCGGGCACGTGCTTATCTTATTTAGCCCATACTCGCCATCCGAAGCGTTGGCTGGATTCAAGCGCGCCGCTGCGACGCACGGCTGGACGGTGAGTCATGTGGCTGCTTTCCAACCTGCTTTAGCTCATTCGTTGACAGCTCCCTGCCGGATTGGACAAATTGGTGCAGTAGAGCGTGGACCTCATCGCATATATATCAATATCGTTTTCTATCTTGTCTCCACCACGCAATCCGCTTTGTACCGCATTCCATCAATCCACTTTTGCCGTCCGCAGTTTAGCTGTGCTGATGCTGTGAAGCCAAGCAGCGTGCTCTGGTCTTGAGTGACGTCTTGCGCTTGGCTAGTGTGCTTCCATGTATGTAACCGGCTCTAGTATAAAGTCTGTAGATGCGTGTGACGCTCTAGGACCGACCCTCTACTAGTATGCACCCAACTGTCATCTCAACACCAGTCGTCAAGACGCCCTGCATGGATCCGTATCGCGTCGACAGCGAGAAGACCCGGGCAGGGGCGGGGACGGGGACGGGGGCAGACGAGGATTGCGAGTCGGCAGACTTGACCACACGGGCCATCGTCATCAGCATCGTCACCACCCTCGTGGATGCGCCAGAAAGCGCCTCAGACGTGCGATGACAGTGGCCGCCCTCGTGCTGTTGGTGTGTGCAGCCTTGTTCGCCGCGTACTGCTGGCTCGGAGACGCTGCTGTGAGCGTCGAGGATGTGCTCGAGGAAGGCGGGTGGTTCTTCAAGCGCGCGCTGGGCGGAACCGACACGACCGGTGGGAGTGGGGGCCAGTCGGCGTTCACGCGGCGGAAACGTGAGCACACTTAATGACATCATCGTTATGGATCAACCGTTGACGTGGGTTCCGTGCCCTAGTCTACCTCATTGTCGTGTTCGTCGGGCTCTTCCTGGTGCTTGTTATGGGGATCATGCTCTCCGCGTGGTGCTGCAAAGGTAGGCTGGATGCTAGCCAAGTTCGAGTCTGGGCGTTAACTGATTCACGCAGGGTCATTCGAGAATCCGCTGTGCTGCCCGTGCTATCTCTGTGCGTGTTGCGGAGGACTGGGTGAGTGCAGCTTGTTGGTGTCCTCTTGCCGTTATTCCACTGACACATGGTCACAGCATGTTTAGAGTGTGTCGGATGTGGGCTTTGTGCCGAGGGAGTAGATCAGATGTAGTAACTCTTGTATGGCTCGCATCCACCAAGATGTGGATCGTGTCATTAGATGTGCTTTTCGAAAAGTCTGCCGTCACATTGAAGCAGTCGCGATCACACGCAGTCAGAGCGTGGTGCCTGCAGGCTGGTATAGCTTCATGCCACGTGTATTTAGCTTCAACAGCCACACGATACGGTTTCATCTCCTGCTCACCGATAACAAACCGTCCCCAGGTACCACCCATCAGTCACCTTCCAAGTTCGGACCATCGGCGTTGAGGTTGCTGTCGCGTGTTTGTCCGTGATCGCAAGTGTGTGGGCTGCCGCAGTTGGCTATCACCCCCACCCCAGCCCACCATGCCCTCCAGCGAGGAAGTCAAGCTGCTCGAGGGCGTCGCCGTGCGCCAGCACCGCTTCCGGCTCTCCGTGCCCGCTGCCAACGACGGCGAGCCACTGAGCACGGGCGGCATGACAGGAACGGTGCGTGTGCCGCCCCTCCCCCGGCAGGGCGCGCCGCGACGTGTCTCACGCCCGCAGATCGTCCCCCCGTCGCACAGGGCCTCCCGGTACAAAGAGAAGTGCGTCGTGACGCGTGGGGTGCAGGATGTCGCCGGGCTGACGAGCAGTGGTCGCGGTCGCTAGGTTTCACGCGCTGAGGGAGAAGTATACGCGGGTCACAGCTGTGAGTCGTGCTGATTGCTGTCGTGTGGTCCGGTTTACCGATGTGGGTGCTAGCAACGAGCTACATTCGAGTCGGAGTTGGACGTCGCCAACGCCAAGCTCGCGAAACTGCAAGCAGAGAACGAGTGAGTGGACAGTGATTCTGCCTCGGAAGCGGCTTGGATCAAGCACAATTTAGCATGCTCCTCGATGCACTGTGTCTGGCAGGGAACAATCCGTCGAGCTCTCTGTTCGGAGCATTTGCCTCTTCGCCAAAGTTGGAATCGAGGGAGTTGCCGCCAACAGATGTTGATGCACTGAACCGCACGAATGGAAAGGAGCGTGCGTATGGGCACAATGGGCATACAAACCCTAATCAGATAGTCAATGGGGAACATCCATAACAGGCTCACATGTGCATTGAGAAACTTGGTCAAAGTCACATTGAGCACACGCGAGGGGATGAGAAAAGTCCCAGAAAAGCTAAATTTCTACACTACTGTACAACATATCTAATTTCCGACCGCGTGGGGAGCGAATCAAGCCAAGAGCTGAGCAAGAGACAGAGCAGGGCTGGACGGTCCCAACGTGGGGGCGGCATTCTAGTCCAGATGAGAACAAAGCTCGGAAAAACGGATAGCACGCACCGTGAAGACAGGTCCAAGTACCTTGAACGAGGCCAGTACCTGGGACGACACCTTACCGGACGAGTTGATTCCATTGTACGCCGTCTGGAACGAGGTCAGGGCCGCGTTCATGCTCTTGATTTGGCTCAGGCTGAAGGCCGTGCGGGACATGTTCTGGATGCATCCGTCAGTCGTCTGAGTCGTGCAGAAGTGCGGGTCATACAATGCTGTTCACTGAAGTGTAGAACGCCTGGATGAAGGGCCCAAGTTTCTGCACAACAGCCTATGCAGGGAGGATACCAGTCAGAAGGTAGCATCCAAAGAAGTCGGAGCGACAACAAACCTGGGAAGCCGCAGCCGAGGTGTACGAGAGAGTCGGCAAGACTTTGATCATCCTCACAAGGTCTGCAGCGCCTTCCTCGACACCCCTCACGAGGGAAGAAGCGCTCGATGAGTCTGAGCCCGACAAAGCCGCATTCGCAGCAGCGTTGGCGGCGACGTTGGCAGCGCCGCTAGTCGCTGCGAGGGACGACTGAGCACCGGCGGCAGCAGCGACTGCATTGGCGGGGACTGGCGCGACGACTTGCTTGGCCGTGCCCACGACGGACGAGGCAGCAGGCGCAATGGACGAGGCGACACCGTAGATAAGAGAGGCGGCGCCAGACGCAGCAGATGAAGCGGCAGGCACAACAGCATTGGCGGCATGAATAGCCGCGCCTGCAGCAGACGAGGGGATAGGAACAATCGAGGACACCACGCCTTTGGCCGATCCGACGATTGAAGATGCGGCTGGCGCGATCGAAGACGCAGCGCCTCCCACGACAGAAGCTGCACTGCCCGCTTGTGCAGCAGCAGGTGAGACGACTGCGTTGTTGACGGAGGGAACAACGTTCTTCGCTGCACCGCCGACACGGTTTACACCGGACGCGGCGGCAGACGCTTGCTGAACAGCCGCGGCGACGAAGCCAGAGTTGTTCGAAGAGGAAGGCGTGATCGTGCCAGAGCAGACGGATGCTGTCTGGGTGACGGTGACGGTGACGGTCGCTGCAGCAGCGGCGTCGGCGCCGCTGTTCCCGAGGACCAGATTGGCGGCAGCCAGAGGGACAACAGACAGCACAGCCAGAGGAGCAAATCTTGTAAGCATATCGAAGCTGATGAGGGTAATAGCTGAGGATGAAAGTTCGTCAAGGAATGAGGAGAGCTCGTGAGATGTCGTGTGGGTCGTGAGAGGGTAAGCTGATTGCTTATCGTTGAAGAACGCCAGCCAGTTTTATTCCTCGGGAGAAAGGAGCGGTGTACTCAGACATAAGAATGTCTCCTCGTTAAAAGTGGAGCCGCGAGACTTCCGGCCAAGTTCACATTTCCGGGATGAAACAGAGTTTTTGACAGAGAGGCCGGAAAGGCTGAAACCGAGAGGGAGAGTGTCTTTGGGGCCCCTGATTCACCGATTAAATATCAGCGTGGTAGGAAAATACATCGTAATGCTCAATTCGAGGCTCCAGGGCCTGGAGGCGAGAGACGAGGTCCCGATTGCCTAATCAGCATCATCTTTCCGAAATGTTCTATGTGGCTATGCCATGATGCAACAGTTGCCGAAGGGCCACGCCAGGCGTTCAGCCGCAGACAAGCCGATGCAAACAAAAACTGCGCTCACCACACACCATCATGCAAGTCGACAACCCAATATCCCAACCATCGCTGTTCGCACCATCGTTCAGCGCCGAATACTCGCTAGATCTCAGCGATATCTTCCATAACGACCTCTTCGCTTCGGTGCCCTCCGGCTCCACCGCGGCCTCGTCCTCTTCCCCCTCTTCATCCCGCGCCACGACCCCCAGTGTCCTCACACCCCCTCAGGCCACTCTGGACACCTCTTTCCCCGAAATCCACGATGGAACCAGCCCGGGAAGCCTGCTCGGCTTCATGGACGAGGACATCAAATCCTTCGATCCTATGTCTATGCTGAATGCCACTGCCTCCAACCCGTATGCTTTCCTCAGCGCCTTCGGTAGTGGAAATGCCACCGCCTCGTCATCTGTACCCGGCTCTACGGAGTTGGATGGTCTCTTTGCTATCGACCCCCAACTGGTCGATTCGCCTGCACCAGCAGTCATGACCGATTTCGAAGAAAGCGCATCGCCGGAGTCGTTGTCCATGTCTCCCTCGGCCGACGATGAAGAGGATTTGGCATCTACGACCATCGTTCCCGTCAAGGTCGGAGGTCACGGCAAAGGCCGAAAGGGCACGGTCGCTAGCGGGGGTGTGAAAAAAGCCACTGCCGCTGTCACTGCTGCACCGAACAAAGAGAACGCCGTCACATTCCACCCATCGATGCTGCTGCCACGCAAGAAGGATGGCTTCGATGATGACGACGACGAGCACGAGTTGCCGGAAGATTGGCGTCCGCCTCCCGAGGTGTTCCAGAAGATGACCAGCAAGGAGAAACGTCAGCTGCGCAACAAAATCAGCGCACGTAACTTCCGTGTCCGCCGAAAGGGTACGTCGTCAACTCTCTTTCCTCATGATAATTGTCAACTGATTGTTATCCCAAGAATATATTTCTACGCTGGAGGATAACATTGCTGAACGTGACCGGCTTCTTACGGCCATCCGCGCCGAACTTGGCAGCTCTCAGAGCGAGAACGTTGCCTTGCGGCAGGAAATTGCCACGCTGAAGCGGACGTTGCTGGAGAATCGTGGCCCTGCCCCCGTTCTACCTCCCCCCGCACCGCTTTCACCGTCGGTGCCGGCAGCGTCCCCTTCTATCGCCGCTCTTTCATCCCCATCAATCGCTTCTACCTCCAGTGGTCGAGGCTCCCCATTGCCCACGCCCAACACTCACAAGGACCTGGCTGCCAACTCCCGATTCTGGGGTGGCGTGTCCTCGTCTTTGGGTGGCGGATTCACCAGCGTGCATACTGTCACCATTCCGGATCTGTTGGGTGCCAATCCGTTCGCTTCGAGTCCATTCGCCAGTGCCCTGCCTGCAGTTAAGGAGGTTCGCACCATTCCATCTTATCAATCTGAACATCTTCTGAACGCACAACAGCAAGAGAACCTCAATCCGGCACTCAATGGAATCAAACCATCAGAGGTCTTACGCAGCGGACTCGGTCTTGGTGCGGGCACTGGTGCTCCGACTTCCAGCGGCGATGCATTCGGAGACGTCAACCCGTTCACTGTTCGCAATCTCGATTCGTACGTCCCACATCTTTGATGCTTGCAATCGCCCGTTATAAACTGTTTGACAGGTACAGGATGCATCTATGGGAACGTATGGCTGCTCAGTACAAGTACAACAACGAGCTTCCATCCAAGACGCACTTGCCAACGCTTCCCCCGCTCACTGGATTGGCCAGTCGGATGCCAACGAAACACTTCCAGTCCCCGTCGACGAATGCCAACTCGCTTTCGTCCGCTATGTCTGGCATGTCATTGTCTGGCAAACCCAGCGGCAGTACTCCCTCTGTGCATCAACGCTCCCTGGAGAAACAGCGGGCCGACGCCGAGGTCGCGCAGACTGCTATGTACACTGCGATGGCCAGTCAGACTCTCCTGAAACGACTCGGTGGAGCGTTCTGGGACGCCTTCTCTGGAAACGAGAACTCTCCTTCGCGATTGGCTGCACCGAAGCTCGATGCAGACAAAGTGCGCAGAGTCCTCGATGGCACAGCTGTCCTCAAGGTTGTCGATGTCGATCCTCCGTCTCCGAAAGTCCAGTCGTCGGCGAAGACCGCCGTGCCCGTCGCGTGCACATACAGCCTAAATATGGCGTCCATGCTCGAGGAAAGCATGCGTTCGCTCAGTCTCGGAAAGAAGTCTCAGTAGTCTTGTTATGTCAGCCATATGTGCCACCACATCCATCACTCTCCTTCCCTCCTCGCAGTGCTTTGACGAACCGATTTGTTTGTCAGATCCCAACCCATTTTCGGACCCCCAGCATTCCAAATCCACTCCCTTATTCAAGCGAAACTGTATATATACTTATTAGATCGTCAGCTATCCTGTGTAGCTTGGATAATACTCGATACTCATTGCAATGTTGATCGTTGAAACGCCGAGAAGGCCAAATCTTTCTGCCTTCCGAGAAAGGAAGCCTCTGCATCCGGATAAGGAAGCCAAGTCCTTCATTTGAGTGTGACGACGACCCTGCAAAGACGCGCTACTGACTTTGAACCCTGAGCAAAGATTAACCCACTTCTTTCTGAATTCAAGTTGGCACAGATCTGGGCAGACGCAATCATCTGCTGCAGCAATCATCAGATGGACTCCCGGTTCGACTCGGAAACCATCGAACTTCGAAGACTCTCAACTCGGCCATGTCAAACGGGGACATTCTTCACCATCCTGCGGTTGCATGATCCACATGGGGCTGCCACTGCCGGGCTCGCACACATCACCCGGTTTTCTCATCCCACAATGGCTTCCAGCACTTGGGTGCCCCAGCGCTCTGTCGCAGAGAGTACGTCGCCCGTCCGCGCGTCCTTCAGTTGCATCCGTGTCTCACGACCGCTCTCTCTTTCTCTTTCCCTTTCGCTTTCGCTCAGCGCAAGCTATTCTCGACGCTCCCGGTGGGTGGCCCCGCGCGCTCTCACGCGGTGCGCAAGCTTACAGACGATTGCACAGAATCGCTACTGGAGACGGAGACGCGTGTGATCGACAACAAGGTGCAGCGGGTGTACAAGAAGCTCTGGCCGACCATCCGAGACTTCTGGCTGTGGTCCGCTGCGAGGACGGGCAATGCCGTGCGTGGTGTGGCGCTCTATGCGGCGAAATCGCGTCTCATGATGTCGCACTCAGGACAAGACGTATGTCGTCTTCGAGAAACAGCGGTACACGTACCAGCAGATGTTCGACCGGTCGGTGAAGGCCGCGGCGGTCTTCCGGGATGTGTATGGAATTAAGAAAGGTGTGTGCTAGAGATGTCTACTGTCCGTGCTGATGTGGGGCTAGGGGACAAGGTAGCCATCTGCTCGCGCAACAATCCAGAGTACCTCGTCGCCTTCTGGGCTTGTCGTAGGTCAAGTCGCGGCTCACGGTAAACTCTGCTTCACACTTTCACAGACTTCCTGGGAGCCATAACCGTACTGGTCAACGCGTCAGTGCTGGAGATTTCCCCACGCTATATGCATGCTCAATACATCTCGACTACAGCTGGCTGCCGACTACTCCATTGCTGCATTGCTTCACTCTGACTGAATGCAAGCTCGTCATGCTTGACGCTGAACGCGCGGATCTGCTCGAGCCAGTGGTCAAGCAGCTAGGTGCGGCGGGCACGGTCGTCATCGACAGCCATGAGGGCAAAGGCAGCTGGGATGGGATGGCTTCCTGGAATGCTGTGATGGATCGCTATACTGGGGACGCTCGCTCTGTCTTGGCCACGAAAGTAGAGCTTCTGCCGGAAGACGACGCGGTTATCTTTTTCACTTCGGTGCGTTCTCATGCCCAAGGCGGTCGTGTTATCAGCTGACGGACTTGCGACAGGGAGTATGTCCTCATTTTGCTTTCAGATGCCGAGCTTACCATGGTCCCAGACTACAGGATTACCCAGTATGTGGGCCGCCATCTCGCCAAGTTTGAAGCTAAACGTTGTGGATAGAGGGAGTGCTCAGCACCCATCGCCAATACATGACCAACACCTTGACTGTGCGATACCCCCTGTGTTTCTGTGTGACAGCCAGCTTACACGGGCAACAGGCTTTCTCGGCCCGAGCCCGATGCATGGTGCGACGCGGTGAAGCGATGCCGGTCCTAGATCCGAACGCGTCGCAACAAGTAATGCTTGCACCGAGTCCATTCTTCCATGTCGTGGTAAGCGCTCCCGTGAAACTCGTTTGCTGAAAGCCATTGACACCTTGTCAGGGTGTGAGTCATACTAGTCGTCGCCTTTCCTTCCCCGGGATGCTAACGCCCGAACAGTTAACAACATTAGTGGTCCGTCTGCAGAGTTGAAATGGTTTCGAACGCCGATGAACTGTCCTTGCGCAGATGATAGGGACCTTTAGCGGGGCGAAGCTCGTTCTGATCCGTAAATGGAATGTCAAGGAAGCCATTCGGTTCGTCTATCCCCGCAGCTTCGGCCTCCATGACCCACTCATCCACACCTACACTTGACAGTCTCGCCGTGGCGGAGAATGTCACCTACTTTGGCGGGTGCGTTTCGTGACTAGATGCGCCCGAGGGTGTATTGATATCCGCCTAGCGTCCCGTCCCTCTCCGCAGATATTATCGAAAGTGAACTGAGCAAAATGGGAATCGCGCTTGATACCTTGGCGCTCGGTGGGGCGGCTGTGCCTGCGGAACTGGCTAAGCGAGCGCATGCGGCTTTCCCGATACTCTACTGTAAGTGGAGCTCTGTCTTGATTGCTATTGCAGATGCTCAATGATTTCCAAGACTTCACGCGTAAGTCATATGTAGAATTGCTGACCGCTCTCGCTGAAAGATCCGACTGGATGTAGATATGGTCTTACAGAGACGAACGGTGCTGCGACTTTGTTCTGTGAGTGTCCTTCCTGTGCTTGGGCTGGTCACTGAAAGATCTCTCAAGCTGGGGAAGACTATGTTGCTCGACCCGACAGTTGGTGAGGATTCCACGACTTTCCTCTGCGCATTACTGTATCGATCTTGATCTCAGCGGAGTCTTGCCTCCTGTGGGCGATGTACTTATCGTCAAGGATGGGAAAGCCGTCCCGCATGGGCAGCTGGGCGAGATCTGGCTGCGCGGGCCGAATATCATGAAAGGCTACTACCGGGATCCAGGCAAGTTGATACTCGTATCTTTACGTGTTGATCTTATAGTCCCGTACCACAGTGGCGACGGCAAAGGTACTTACTGACGATGGCTGGTTTAAGACCGGCGATGTCGGCATGCAAGATGAGGAAGGATTCATTTACATCAGAGACCGAAGTAAGATGGTTTGTGGATACCCAATTTCAAAGATTGATCCCCTGCAGTCAAAGACATCATCATCCGCGGAGGCGAGAACGTGGACTCCACGACTGTCGAGAATGCGCTGTTCCTCGAGGGTGTGCTGGAGGTCGCAGCCGTCGGGGTGCCGGACAAGCGTCTCGGCGAACTCGTGACCGCCTTCGTGGCTCTGAAAGATGGCTTCGAAGGGCGCTGGAGTGAGCAAACCATCCTTGCCGCCGCGCGAACCAAGTGCGTCAAACGCTGAAGCTTTTTGCAACTGCTTCTCATGCTTGTTTCATCCAGGCTCCCGTCATTCGCTGTTCCAGTCATGATCCTGTTTAAGAATGATCTGCCGCATAATGCGGCCGGCAAAATCGTCAAGAGCGACCTGAGGGAGATCGCGGCAAAGGAATGGCTTAATCGGAGCGCTGGCAGAGCAGCGACGGCCAAGTTGTAGGACTGCCCATAGAATAATACGCTCTTCAAACTTTTATCATTAAGGCTTACATCGACATACATAGATTGACTTTTCGCAAACTTTGCCTGGGTTCAATGACCGTGCTCAGACGAGGCGCTGAACCAGACATCCTCGTCGTCGTCGTCGCTGGCGCCCTTGGAGGGCATCCTCCGATGTCCGAGACGCCCAGCAACAACCCGGCGCGCGAGGAAGAAGGTCGGCGGCGGAACAGGGAACGCATCCAGCTCAGCCAACATATCGTCGTCGTCCGAATACTCATCTTCCTCGTCCTCGTCCTCCTCCTCGTCATCACCGTCGCCGTCCTCACCGCCGGACGAGCGATCACGAGGCAGCCGGAAGTGCAGGAACGACGTTCGGTCGGGATGCGGGCGTGCAACCGATGCGGGTGCAGATGCCGATCCAAATGCAAGTGCCGATGCAAATGCCGTCTGCGGGATCGGGGGAACAGGGCCGATCGGCTCTGGCCTGGGCGGAGGAAGGACACTGCGCCGCCGACGCCCAGGCCCTGCGCGTGGTGCGGTCTCCGTCTTCTTCTGCATGCCGCGTGTAGGGAGGATCCCAGGCGACCACGGAGATGACGGGGCGGTCCAGGGACGCGGGAAGTCGCGTGGTGGGGGGGTCGATGTCGCCGCGACGCCGAGGGACGTGGGCCGGCCGCGCACCACCGCGTCGGGCGTCGGGGGAGCAGACGACGAAGAGGAGGAGGAGTAGTTGGACACCGTGGGCGAGTGCACGGGCGAGGCGGACGCAGACACAGACGAGAACGAGTCGGAGTCGTACAGCGCGTAGCGTTTGGCGGGTGCGAGGGGCGGGGCGGCCGCCCTCCTGCGCCCAAAGACGTGGCTCGCGGACGGGACGGACAGCGGCGCGGGGCGCGGCATGGCGAGTTTTTGACGGAGGCGCGTGAACAGCGTGCGTGTGCGCGGGGAGTCTGGCGCGGGGCGGGCAGGACCTGCGCTGGTGTTTTGGGCGCCGAGGGGTGGAGGGACTCCGGGGCCTGGGCCTGCTGCTGCTGCGGCTGCTGCTCGAGGACGAGGGAGCGCTCGACGAGCCCGGTGAACTCAGGCAGCGTCATGGACGGTCGTGTACTGTGCAAGGAGGAAAACATGGATACTAACTAGACAGGTCGCACGAAGGAGTGCTTGGGGACGACGGTCGCACCGCTGCTAGAAGTAGATTAGAATTGAGTTTTATCCATCCTGTGGCATCTCAGCGCTGTTCCTAGCCGCTCTTCCATCACCTTGCATATCGGTTCAAGGAACACGAAGTGGGCTCCATGGAAGGACAGAAACTTTAAGGGTGTGTGGGAACTCGTTTTGATCGCTTCTTTCTTCCTCCTTCTCTCGCTTGATTTCGAGTTCTTCCGTGACGCGTCCTCGCTGCTCGGTCCTGACCATCCAGCGCACTCTGGGACCCTCCCAACCGGCAAAGAATCTCGCACCTTCTCGTGCCTGAACAGATAAAGGACCCTCTCATCGGCAAATTCAAGATAGATCTCGAAAAAAATCAATCGCGATCCGGAAGCTGATTAGATATCGATTATCTCTGATGTTCATGTTTTCACAAATTCTAAGTGAAAGGATTTGGGAATGAGGTCCCCCTCGGCGCGCCTCATGGCTCGGCTGCTGCCCGCCTCATTCCAAGTTCTTCCGCCTCGTTCTAGCTGGATCCGTGCGAAGCCCGCAACGTGCTCCCGAACATCGCCCGATACAGGCCTGGGCAGTCTGCACGTGCCCGGCCGCGCGTCACGCGCTGCGTCACGTTGTACATAAGTGGGAAGAATGGGGGAAGTGCATGAGCCGGTTGCTCGGTTCGTTGTGGATGCAAATGTACTGATTCAGGTACGCGCACGCACACACAACATGAGGCAGGTAGAGATCGTCGTACTGAGATGGATGTCGCTCGCATTTGGACAGATTTGGCCACTGTTCATCAGCCTCAGACAGTACGTTGAAGTCACGTGGATAGTTCGAGTTTACAAATTGCTCGCTACTGTTTGATTGAGAATTTTTTCTATGTGAGAGATGTTAGAGTTTGATATTTGGCTGTAGGTAACAGGACTCACCCTCAGATCAGTGCCTCTGAGATGAACAAACGGCACTATCAAATGAAACAAGGCCGCGACAATTCTGTGTTGATTCTCAAGATTAACCTTCGATTGAACAGATAGAATGACACGCGACTCACGCTGCCTCGCATCCAAAGACCTGCAGCCCGCCTCTGGCATCGAACCACGCGAATTGGAAATAGACCACGGCAAAGCCACAGATCGTGCGGAAGAAGTTGAACAGCGCGCTTACTTCACCTTGATGCGCGGGAAAGCAGTCTTTCAGATATGCGTCTATTGGGGGACATCCTTGAGTGGCAAGAATTCTTCCTAGAACACATCGAACGCACAGATTGCCGTGGTGTTCAACATTATCGCAATCTGCGCATCCACCCGTCAGCATTTCTTCAGAACAAGACATGGCAACAGACCTGGCCAAGAAGCCAGCCCATGATGACGCCCGCGAGGTTATGGTTTTGGAATCCGAATCCCAGCAGCAGAAAGCCTGTCACGTAGAGCGGGAGCGCGAAGTAGCACATCCTGGACACGCGGATCAATTCCGGTCCGGTGTGCACTCGAGTTCCTAATATTAATCGAACCGCACCAGAGACGCATTTCGGCTTCGAACACGCCCGCGTTCCGGCGGATGCTCAGGGTTGAGATCAGGTCGTTCCCATATCTGCCGATGATTTCACCCGCAACGGTGGCGGCCTGCCAGAAAAGAACAGAAAAAAAGTCAATCAGATGTGCCACCTGGCCACGGGGTGTTTGGCGGGCGCCACCTACGATCGGGGTGGCGTAAGTGCCGGCGATGACGGTCTCGCTGAGTCCGAAGCCCAGCGGCCGAGGCTCGCCGAGGAGCGTGGCGTTGGTCATGGTAATACCTGTCAAGCGCTCAGGCTAGAAGGCTCAGAAGTGGCGTACTGGGACCGACCGATGCTCAGCCCGAACTGCACGCCGCCGTAGATCATCACCAACAGAGTGTGCGGCCGCCAGGCCACGTTTAGCAGCGATAGCACACATTCGTACCAGGTCAGCCGTTCGCTTGTTATGCTCGGCCTGTCTGTCAGCCCAAAGAGCTCCCGGATGCGGATAACTCTATTTCTCGGCTGCGAGGGAGCAGCGGGCTGCTCAGGAGATCGGTTGTACATCCTGTGGAAGTAGTCACCACCGCAAAGTCCCGGGCGCAGCTTGGGTCTGCCTACTCACGTCTCTTCTCCCAGAAAGAAGATCAAAATGAGCACGAGAAGAGAGTAGATAGCTCCAATTGAATAAGCCCATTCGTAGCTGCGAAAGGTTTAGACAGTGAGAATGAACGGCCGGAATAAATCACTTGACGTGGGCGACGAGGAATCCCAAGACGAATGGGGCAACAAACGGCGACATGATGAACCCCATCGTCCACAGATTGAGCTACACACGCCCGCCCAGTCAGCACAGCCACGCCGATGTTTTCACAGTCACACACCATGCGCGCCTGGAGGTGAAACGGGTACATGTCGGTCACGGTGTACATCCCCGTGATCTGCGGGGCCGTGGAGAAGAACGCGGCGATACAGCGCGTGGCGGCGAACGCTGGCAGGGTCGGCGAGAACATGCAAGCGAGCAAGAACGCAAACGCGAGCAGCTGCGACCAGAACAGCACGGGCAGCCGGCCCCAGCGGCGGGTGACGATCACGGCGGCGAACCCGCCCCATCCGAGCAGCAGAATCGCCCAGCTGCGGGGTGTGCGTGAGAAGGCCGGCAGGTGTATTGTGGGACGTACTTGGAAGACACTTCGTTCACCCGCGCCGGAGTCGTCCCGTAGCGATTGGACAGCGCAAAGATAGACGCGACGCCGATGGAGCCTATGAAATCGGGCACTGCGCTTGCGAGCGTCACGATGAGCAATTGCACGCCCTTCCTCCGGGTCGACCACTGAGGGTAATAGAAGCGACGTCGTCGTTCTCGGACAGCTGGGACTGGATGTGCTGGCTGGACGTACGTTCTGGGGATCCTCGGGGATCGCACTGGGTTGCGGCCACAGAACGATGGTTCCATCCGCTGTCAGCTTCAACTTCGACGCGACCGCGTCACCGAATTCTTTCCTTGCTTCGCTGCATGGTGGTCAGAGATTACAAATGACAAAAGTAGCACGCGACAGACAAAACTCACGCTGGATCGATGATCAGTCGCCCGGCGTTGCGTTTATGATAATCGACGAGGTCGGCGGGGGTGGCATCATGAAGTTCCGACATGCCTGATACAGAGTGGGGGTGGCAAAGGAAGAAAAAACCTGCCAAAAATAAGCTTTCGATCCATACCTCTAAAGCGGTTGAATGCTGCGGATTCGCTTCCCGTAAGACCGTTCCCATGCCGCTGTCACACACACGTGAGAGTGACAGCTCGTTCTCCCTTTCCGAATCCCATGTCCTCCGCGGCTCGTGCCGGCGTCTGAACCCTCCGCCGCTTGCGTCAACCACCCGCACCCGCAGGAAATGAGCATCAAAGCCATCGACAAGACCTCCGTACACCGGATCACCTCCGGCCAGGTCGTCATCGACCTGCAAACCGCCATCAAAGAGTTGGTGGAGAACAGTCTTGACGCGGGGGCCACGAACCTCGGTGGGCACTTCAAAGCCAGCAAGAATCGAGGTTAACATGCTATTAGAGGTACGGTTCAAGCAGTATGGCGTTGCCTCGATCGAAGTCATCGACAACGGATGCGGGATTTCGCAGGATGATTACGAGGGTGTCGGTGCGTCCCCCTGGCTGTCGAGTATCTCTCAAGGACTCAGACCCGTAGCTTTGAAACACCACACATCGAAGCTATCCTCCTTCGAAGACCTCACGACCGTCACGACGTTCGGCTTCCGCGGCGAGGCCCTGTCGTCCCTGTGCGCGCTGTGCGAGTCCGTCGTCGTCTCGACGTGCACGAAGGCGCCCATGGGCGTCACCCTGGAGATGGACGCGAGCGGACAGATCAGGCACAAAGGCAAGGCCGCGCGGCAGGTGAGTCGCTCTCGCCCCCACCCGCCCCGAGGAGTCGGTCCGCCAACTCCAGCGCAGCGTGGAACGAGTGTGACGCTGGTGCGCCTGTTTGCGCCGCTGCCCGTGCGGAGGAAGGAGCTCGAGCGGCATGCGAAGCGCGAGTTCGGCAAGGCGCTGGCGCTGCTCAACGCCTATGCGCTCGGCCCGTGCTCGGGCGGACGCGGTGTGCGGATGACCGTCAGCAATCAGCTTGACAAGGGGTGCGCGGCGTCGGGTGTGCTCGGGTCGGATGTGCGTCTGATGCGTTCGTAGCCAGAAAACTGTGCAGATCCGGACGTCCGGCACCCCCTCAACTCGAGATGGCGTGTCGGCGCTCTGGGGCCCGAAGGCGCTCGAAAACCTGGTCGCCTTGGACCTCCAGCTCGATGTCGAAAGAGAAAAGACGGCGCTGAGGAGGTCGGGATCTCGTCCCCCCTTTGTCCGAATGCTGATGTCTTGTCGATAGGGACGTGAATCACGAGAGCGGGCCGATGAAGGTGGTCGTGCGAGGCCTGATATCCAAATTCTCCGTCACAGGCGGTCGGCAGGGACGGACCGGCAGTTTTTTTACGTCAACGGCCGGCCGTGTAACCTAGCGAAGGTTTGGTCGGTTCGTGTCCTTCGGTACAGCAGCTCAGCGCACTCTCCCAGATCCAAAAGGCTTTCAATGATTCATACCGCGCGTTTAATGCCACTCAGTCGCCCTTTGTCATTGCGGACTTTGTGCTCCCGACAGGTGTGTTGAGAGAATATACATGTGCTGTCGCTGTGAGCTCATTCGTATTCAGATTCGTGCGATATCAACGTGAGCCCTGACAAGCGGCTGATCCTGCTTCACCACGAGAATAATCTCATCTCTGCACTCAAAGTAAGCCCACGACGAAATGTCTTCGAGATTGGACGTTCAAGAAAGTTCAACCATAGACGTCATTGGAAACAACCTTCGCGCCAAATCGGTCCACGTTCGAGCTTGATGGTAGTCACAAGCAGAAAACGCTGACGCAGACGGTGTTGCCCATTACGCTGACCAAGGCTTCTCCGAAGTCCACCACTAAGGCTGCCGTCGACGATGTTCGTGCTGACGAGGACGAGCGATCTTCATCCGTCTCGGCAGCTCCCAGTGTGGTTTCAGTGCCTGAAATCGCCGTCCTAGAGACAATGCAAGACCAGCAGCCCACTTCGACGCCGGAGAGTAGCCCTGCGCCTAAACAGAGCAGCCGTGATCCGTCTGTGGCAATTTCGGACGCAGTGGGCGACAGCCCTTTCCTGCCCCCTGTCTCTCCCCGAGAGGATCCCCCCAGCGAAGTTGCACACACGGAATCCGGGGGCGATCTTCCTGTGACATTAGATGCGTCTCGCGCGTCCTGGAACCGCAAAGTCGACCTGGCACGCAAATCGGCGGAACTGATGGTACCGGAATCATCCGGCGTTGTATCTGATTCTGAAGAAAACCCCCCACCGCGCAAGAAGCGCCGATCCGAGGTCGAAAAAATGATACCGGCACCTCCGTTCACACTGGCAAAGAAAGGTTCTGCGCGAGAAAACCTGCGCACGATGTTAGCTGGGTTCTCTCAGTCTGCCTCGGGCAGTCAACCGATAGTTGCACGTGATGAGGATGGACGCCGCTCGCCTATAGACGTCGACGAGGACCTGGCTGCAGAGGAAGTCGACTCTGATGAGGTGATGAACCTGGAAACAGGGGACTCGGCTCCATCAGAGGTCGACGAGGCCATGGTCGTCGACGAATTGGCTGATGAGCCTCAAACCACGGACGAGACAGATATCATTGATCTGACAGACGACGATATCCATCCATCCGAGCTGATGGCACCTGCATCTTCTCTGAATGACGTGGTCGCACGGCCGGAGGTTCTGCGCACGCTGGATGGGAGCGGAGACCTCACGCTGCGATTAGATCTTGATCGCATCGGGGTCACGTGGAAGCGTCGAAACTATGTGACCAAACCGTCCGGCGCGAGAATCTCACGCGACGACAATTCACTGTCCAACGCGGGCATTGCCGATGGCGTCCAAGATGACGTCGCGGCGGAGACGCTGGGGCGGACGATTGAGAAACAGGATTTCGGGGCTATGGACGTTCTGGGACAGTTCAACCTCGGGTTCATCGTCGTGCGCCGGAGGCCGGCTGATGGGGCCATGGACGATCTGTTCATCGTCGACCAACATGCCGCGGATGAGAAGTACAATTTTGAGAGTCTGCAACGGACGACGCAGATCAGATCGCAGAAGCTGTTTCGGTTCCGTGACCTTTCTCTGCCGATTTTTACTCCTTTTGCTGATAGATGCTCGGCAGACCTCGGCAACTGGAACTCACCGCGGGCGATGAACTGCTGGCGCTGGAGAACGTCGAGGTGCTGCAGCAGAATGGGTTCGAAGTGGCGACGGAGGCCAACGAAGCGCCGGGACGCCGGCTGCGGCTGACTGGACAGCCTGTGAGCAAGGACACTGTTTTTGATATGAAAGGCGGGTGGACAACATCCCTTGGCTAGCGCTGACTTGCGCTCAGATCTCGAGGAACTGATCCACGCGATGCGCGATCGCCCCGCGGGCCACGTCGTGCGCTGCTCTAAAGCCCGGGCCATGTTCGCCATGCGCGCTTGCAGGAAGAGTGTCATGATCGGGATGCCGCTGACCCGGGGTCAGATGACGACGGTGCGTTGAGAGAATATCCTTGTGACCAACTGTACTCGGGGATTGATGTTCCCAGGTTGTGCGAAACATGGGAACGATGGATCAGCCCTGGAACTGCCCGCATGGGCGACCTACAATGCGGCATCTAACAGATATAACAGGACGGGGATTGGTTGGGAATCGGAGGGGATCAATTGATTGGGGACGTTATCTACGCGAGGAGATGGAGTGATTGACATATGTATATACGTTTCGATATCTGTAGACCTGCTGATCTCTTCCTCTCCCTCACAATGCCGAACATTCACGCAGTGAAACGAACGCAATCCCATCTGGCCTGGGACAACAGGTGGCTCGTGTCCCATTCCATCGTGCACCGATGCTGATTGTGGCAACACAGCATCGAGCCGGTCCTACGAGTCCAGTCGGGTGAAACGGTCACGTTCGATTGCCTCGATGCGTCGAACGGGCAGATCACGTCCGACAGCACGATCGCGAGCATCCAGAGCCTCGTTTTCTCGCAGCTGGACCAGGTGAACGGCCCCGTCTACGTCGAGGGCGCGCAGCCCGGCGACACGCTGCAGATCGACGTTCTCAGCGTCGAGCCGGCATCCTGGGGCTGGACGGCGATCATCCCGGGCTTTGGGCTGCTCGCGGATGAGTTCACCGATCCAGAGCTGAAGATATGGAAGTTGGACACGGAGGGTATGGTCACGTTCTTCGACGAGGCGGAGACGATGCGCATTCCCCTGCGCCCGTTCGCGGGCGAGATGGGCGTGGCCCCTGGGCAGCCGGGGGCGTTCTCGACGATCCCCCCGTACAGGACCGGCGGCAACATCGACACGAAACATCTGAGCGCGGGCTCGACGCTGTATCTGCCCGTGGAGGTGGAGGGAGCGCTTTTCTCGATCGGTGTGAGAAGTTGACGTGCCATCCAATGACTGCAGCATGACTGACCAGCTGTTCACTAAGGATGGACATGCTGTGCAGGGAGACGGCGGTGAGTTCGCCTCGCCTCGCCGGTAGCTATCGCGACTGACAGTCTCTCAGAGGTCTGCGGTACGTCGCCTGTCCAATCCTGAATGGCGTGCGCTGGCACCCACACCACACCACACCACTCATATCCTCGTCTATTCCAGGCACGGCAATTGAAACGCCAATGAAAGTTTCTGTCCGCCTGACAGTGCGCAAAGACCGCCCGTACACCAAGACACCGCATTTCAGCACCGCGAAGACGGGCACCACAGAGGAGAAGCGTTCTACTGCACCACGGGCGTCGACTCGGATATGCTCTCGGCGACGCGGGCGGCCGTGCGCAGCATGATCGAGTTTCTCGCGGCGGAGCACGGCCTGAGCAGGGTCGAAGCGTACATGCTCTGCAGCGTTGCGGGCGATCTGCGCCTCCACGAAGTCGTAAGTGGTGCTGCTGCTGCTGCTGCCTGTTTTCTGTGAAGCACGGATGCTGACTAGATTAAATGGCGCGGCAATCAAGGTTGACATGCCGAATTTCGTGGTGCGTGGTGCAATCTGCTTACTCTATGTCGTCGTCCCTGTCTGATTGAAGTTGACGTGCCCGCTAGGTGGGGATGATGATCCCAAAGTCAATCCTGCGAAGCTGATCGCTCCTTTCTCCGCGCGAGAGCCGGGTCAACTGATGAGGGAATGGGATGGAAGTCGCCCGCGTAGTCGAAGTTCAATATTGACCACTTATCGAACAGCAAAGAGCATGGTGCGATGTGATCATGTCCGCCAGGTTGTAATCCCCGCTGCTTGAGATATCGATTAGATCGCGTAATAGCCGCATTGAAGCTTGTGACTAGTGCGTGACGTCCCTGCCTCTTCCGTTAAGTACCGCGGCCGGGACCTGAGCTCGACACAACAGTCTCAGTCGGCTGTCAAGGAGGATATGTATTTATGGCGTCACACATCCTTCCAGGCCGTGCGCTGATATGTTGCCTTGCCATATCTTGATGAGAACAATCACCGCACTAGCGCACTGCGATCTTGACCGCGGGTCTTCCCACCAGGCAGGCAGTTTCCACTCCCTCATCCCGTTTTCGTCTCACCGGTCTGTGATCATCATATCAGCTCCAGCACGCATGGTATAAATCGTGAAGCGAAGCATGGCATCATCACCGGCAGCAACAGCAGCTACTTCCCATACTCACGGCTCTCTCTCCTCCTCCTCCTCCTCCTCCTGCTCTCCCTCCTCATTCTATGGCCTCTGCAGCCGTCGCGCGCGCACGGGCCCCCTCACTCGACGATCCCTTCGCCCGGCATCTCGCCCCTCCGCCGAACGAGACTCCGGACCAGCGCGCGGCCCGCCTGGCTGCGGCGCAGAGAGCCGACTCGGCTTCGCGCCGGATAGACGATGATCTGCTGCAGTCCAAGAAGCTCTGGGACAAGAAGTCCCAGGACGTGAAGATTCTACTGTTAGGCTCGTGCTCAGGCTGATCCCGCGCGAGAGTTTGGACTGACGGAGGGATTCGGTTGTGCAGGCCAGTCGGAGTCGGGAAAAGTGCGTGCTTGTCGACCTTCTGATTCGGAGGCTGTGATCCTCATTCCTCTCCCCCATCGCAGAGCACCGTTCTCAAAAGTGCGTATCCTCAGATCTGGCGGCATGACTCGTTGGCTAAAGGGGGATGCTGCTGACACAGACTTCCGGCTACGCTTCACGCCGCAATACTTTGACACCGAACGAGCGGCATGGCGGATGGTGGTCTTGCTCAATCTGATCGGGTACGCGCACAGCCGCTCGCACCGTCATGGCTGGCCCCGACCGGATCTAACCCAACCTCGACTAGATCGCTGCGTGTGATCGTCGACACGATCCGCGAGGAGCTCGAGTACCCCGAATTCAATCTAGTGTCGGAGCTGCACCAGCAGCGGTGCGCGGAGCTCGACCCGGTGCTGCACGAGGAGCGGATAGTGAATGATCTGATCTCCGTGTCGTCGCAGGTGCCCGGCGAGGTGACGGTGCGCCCGGGCGGAGAGTGGAAAGCCATTCTGAGCGGCTCGGAGCCGGCGAAGAACGCAGCGAGTGTCGTGATCTCGATGCGTGATGAGATGGAAGCACTGTGGGCTGATACGGCCGTCCGCGAGCTGTTGGGCAAGAAGGACATCTCCCTCCGGGACGCAGGTGGCTAGTGAGTCTGGGTTGCTCATCCGTGTCTTCTCTGCCGACATGCGACAGCTTCATGGATGACATCCAGCGCGTTACAGAGTCCGACTACGTTCCTACTGATTGTCTGCTGCTCTCACTCCGCGATACCCATCTGTTGGCTGATTCCTTGCGCAGCTGACATCTTACGTGCTCGAATAAAGACGATGGGGATTGAGGAGCACTTTTTCGAAAAGGAGAAAGCGCTAGGTGCGACCCGGCTCGCTCCGATGGCTTCTCCCATTCCGTGACCTGATGATTACTCAGGTTCGAAGGGAGTCAAAGACTTCTGGATCTACGACGTGCCAGGTTCAAGGGGAAGCCGTGCTGTGTGGTAAGCTGTCCGATTCTCCTGATTTCATCCGCTTAAGGGTTGTTGTCAATGTAGGATCCCGTTCTTTGATCAAGGCATGTGCTCTCAATCTCATCTAATCTGATAGCCGCCAACCCTTCTTTCGCTCCTCCAGTGCAAGCCCTCGTCTTTCTGACACCACTCTCATTTTACGAAGTCCTGGAAGAGGACGTTGGGGTCAACCGACTTGAAGACAGCGTCATCCTCTGGAAAGATATCTGCAGCAATAAGCTGCTCGAACACTGCCAGATCATTCTATTTTTTAACAAGGTGCGCGCGCGCGCGCGAGCTGTCCGCCGCTCTCAGATGCGGGGCTGTGCGAAACATTGATTGACCGTCTCAGATGGACATCCTTAAGACGAAATTACGTGGAGGGTTGATCATCAAGGACTACGTGCCCAGTTTCGCTGATCGACCTAACACGTATGCCGGAGCCATATCATGTGCGTCATCTGTTCGGCTGATCCGCCGTCCAAATCAGCTGATGTGTGCCCGCCCATAGATTTCAAGGAGAAATTCAAAGCCTATCATGTTCGTGCATCTCGGATTGTTTTGAACCCGACCAGCTGATGGAAGGGGTAGAAACGCGGGTCACCGCAACCACGCAGCTTCTTTTTCTATGAGACGACTGCTGTTGTAAGTATAGTTTTTTGCTGACCCTGAAGTGACTGACCGTTCTGGACAGGACACCCGATCTACGGCGAAGATCATTGGTGCTGGTACGGTTGAACCCTTTTCCTCATCCACGATGTTTAACTCTTTTTTTGCAGTGCACGAAGAGATCTTCCGCAGACATCTTAAGGATAGCATTTTGATCTGAGCATTGATTCATTAAGTATCGTTCACGTACGTACCCAAGTACGTATCTACTGTACATATACCCTCTACGTTGACGGGTGGCGCAGACAGTTGATCAGTTGGACACAGTCTCCGCCACGGTTCCGAAACAGCCGGGGAGCAGTCGTGAATGCATAGCACGAGTGAAGCAAAACGAGAGGAACCAGCCATGAGATTGCATACACGAGCCCATCCGAGCTTCCTGAAGATCGTGCACGTGCAATCGACATGAGGAGAGTTGTTTTATGTAAAGCAATTTAATGCCCCGCCGGTCACAGCTGCTCCCCCGCCGGTATCCAATACACGCGCCGCATAGCCGGAATGATGGAAGCGGGCTTTGTCATGAGACCACATTGGGCGCTTTGCTTCCGACTGACTGGCTTTTTGTCATTCGAGAACCCAGAGATTTCTCGAACTCAGGCTAGCGCGAGAGCTAAATCCTCGGATTCGCCAGAGCTGCGCTATGCTCGCAGACGTGCCTTTCGCACCCAAACGCCCTGGGGGGGCCGACGACCGTGCGAAAGTTGAGCTAATGAAGCAGGGGCCTGGCAGTTTCCCATGCAGCAACAGCTTCGCTTCTGCTACTGTAAGTCGTGACGCCACGGCACATCAGACGACCAGCATGATCGATACCACTCGATACCTAGATCCATTCGGTTGCCGTACAATCAATCTCTCTGCCTCGGTTTTGCTTTCTCCTCCCCTCCACTGCACCCATGTCCGACGCGCGGCCCAAGCCCAGGGCGAGCGAGAGCTCGTTCGACCCGTTCAGCGTGTCTCTGCGGCCGCCGGAGAACGAGACGGAGGAGGAGCGGCAGGCGCGTCTGGACACCGCGCGCGAGGCCCTGAGGATATCGCGGAGCATCGACGCGGCGCTCGCGGAGACGAAGAAGGCGCTCGAGAGGAAGCGGCATGCGGTGAAGATTCTCTTGCTAGGTCCGTCGAGACTCTCCTCGTCCCCCCCTCCCTCCCTCCATCCGCTCGGTCTGACAAGGCCCAGGTCAATCTGAATCAGGAAAGGTTCCGTTTCCGTTCTCGGTCACCGGTACACAACGCGCTCAACTTAGCACTCCCAGAGTTCCGTTTTGAGAAGTATGTGCACGGATCGCGCTTCGGTCCTGATTATCTGTGTGTAACCCGCGATGCGCGCATTGCAGACTTTAGGATCGCGTTCACACCCAAGTATTTTGAGAGCGAGCGGTTGCTGTGGAAGACGGTGATCCAGATGAATCTGATCAGGTGCGCGCGTCCGTGCCCCACTCCTTCTGACTAGAATCTTGTGATCATCGCCCCTTTCCCAGTTGTATAAAGCGAATCATCACGACGATCCAGGCCGAGAGCGCCGCCAAGAAACGGACCCTCCCGAGGTGCGCGCCAAATCGCTGCTGACGAGCGAGCACGAGCGGCTGGCGCTGTCTCTGTCGCCGCTGCTCGCGTTCGAGACGAGCGTGAGCAATTTGATCGAGAGCAGCAAGAGCGGATACACGGTCACCGTCCGCGCGGGCTCGGGATGGAAGGAGAAGCTCGGCGCGGGCTTCGGCGCGTCCCGTTCGCCCACCGGCCCGACGTCGCCCACGGGGGCCGACCCGACCGAAGTGACGCACCTGCTGGCTGCGTGCTCGCAGAGATCTCGGCGCTGTGGGCCGATGTGTCTGTCCGAGAGATCCTCAAATCTCATGCGGTGGCGTTGGAAGAAGAGCCCGGATTGTCCGTTTGCGCAGTCACTCTCGCCGCTCGCTGACGACGCCGCACAGCTTCATGGACGACGCCGCGCGGATCACGAGTCTCGCGTATGTGCCCACTGACCGTGCGTTGCTTTCGTCGCCCCCCGATCTCCGATTTTCTGCGGAAGGACATGTGCTCAGTGCATGCCGTACAGGTGACATCGTCCGAGCCAGAATCAAAACGCTGGGCGTCGAGGAGCATCGCTTCGTGACCGAGTCCGGTCCGTGATCCGTATCATCTGCAATGCTGCATTCAACCAACCCATTTTTCGTGGCAGGTTTCAGAGCCGGGACTGAGTTCTTCATTACGGACGTCTGCGGGAGCAGCAGCCAGGTGACGCTGCTCCGATTCCGCTATAATTCCGAGGTTTTGAATTATTGCCGGACTTCGCAAGCGGGCTACCTGGGTGACGCGCAGTCCATATGTTCATTTTCATGTGTAGACTGACGGATTGCAGGTGCCGTATTTCGATGACGGCGGGTAATCTTCCACCGGATTTACCGCTCGTGCTGATCAAGGTGCAAATTAGTTCAAGCCATTCTGTTTCTCGCGCCGCTGGCATTCTGGCAGTACCTCGACGAAGACACGAAGGTCAATAGAGTGGTCAGTGCGATGGCTCGCTCGGCGTCCTTGACCGTGTTTGTTTGATATTTCCTCCCAGCAAGATTCCCTCGAGCTTTGGCGGGAGATAATCGCAAATCCTCTATTATCCAAGACGGCCTTCATCCTTCTCTTCAACAAAGTAATGTCCTCGTCCGGTCCGCTATGGTGATCTCTGACGATCGAACAGAAAGATATCCTACAAGCCCAGCTCGACACTGGTATCTCAGTCGCAAAATACGTGCCGAGTTTCGGCGATCGGCCTAATACTGTCTCCGGGGTTACCAAATGCGAGTGCCCACTCTGTCAGATGAACGGAATTCTAACTGGACACATAGACTTTAGAGACAAATTCTCGGCATATTACGTGAGCGATTGAGCGCCGTCGTGTGCGCATCTCATTCAGCCCCTGCAGCGAAAGTACTCACCTAGGCCGAGACCGTTATATTCTACGAAACGGAGGCTATCGTAGGTCCGCTTGTCCATTTCTTACAAATTTATTGATCTGGCTGGCGCCAGGATACAAAATCGATGAGCTCAATCCTAGCAGAAGGTATGACCGACCTCTTTCATGAGCAGCGCAGGGCTGATCGCTAACCATCGGGGTGCAGTGCAGGAGCAGATTATCGGAATCATCTGAAAGACCTCGATGTGATGTGAATTTGTCTCAAAATACTCCGCGCTTTCGGTTTCGCGTCCTCGATAGTCCCGGGCTCACTCCATTACTCCCGCAGAAAACACACAAGGGGCTAGGATGAGCGCTCGGAGCTCGCGTTCCTTTGCGCCTGGTTGTTTGATTAGTTGTGGCTATACATGCCATGTAGTGATATCTAATACGTGTGGTTATTATAGGTACTGTAAAACGAACGTGATGGACCCGCGCGGGGTCGTATTAGATGGGCGTGACGCGTTAGACTGTGACAAGATTAGGCGATCGAATCCCATATGCGCCTCCAGCACCTCTGCGCACGAGCCCCAATCCAGTCCTTTCGGTGCACTGTAAGAGAGCGTCAGAGACAAAATGCAAGGTGCAGCACACCACTAAAACACGTACGGACGGGCACAGGTAGCTCGGCAGAGGACCGTCGCGCACACGAAACCACCTCCACTCCGCCGAGTGAAGCACCTCCCACCGCTCGCAGCCCTCACAGAATCGGCACAGCCGCTCCTCCGGGACCAGCACCTCGACGCTCCGCATCCCCGTCTGCTCCTCCACCACCGCGAGGATCGGCGGCTCGCGCAGATCCAGCGACAGGAGGACGTCCAGCAGCGACTCCCCGTCGCGCTCCCACCCGGACGCGGCGTGCGGATCGAACCAGAAGCGTGGGCGCAGCGGGCGCGAGCCCGGTGATTTTGCGCCGGGCGGCGGGGGGTGCGGCGCGCTGAGGCGCGCCACCTCGCGGCTGTCGGCGGTGCGGTAGTCGTGCGAGAAGAGCAGGAACCAGTGCTGGAATTTGTGCCCGAGCGAGAGCTGCACGGCGAGCCGCGGGGGCTGGAAGGTGTGCACAGACATGAGTGGAGGGTGGAGGTGGAGGTGGGGGAGGGAGTTTAGATGCTTCGTGCGGAGCAACTCGCTAAGGTAAAATACGGCGCAAATTGCGAGGATTCGCATAAATTTGATGGCCTGCCATGATTCACTATCAGCAGTGATCTAATGGCTTCCGGAATGTTCGTGCCACAGCCCCGCCGTCTAAATCGGTTTTCAAATTGTAGAGAAATAACGCCTAAAAACGATGGATGATGGGTGGAGCTACTGCAACTGAGAAATCTGAGACGGAAGGTCGACGTTGATGCGATCAGTTGAACCCTATCAAGCAGGGACACACAAAGACGTTCGGCAGGAACTAAAAAAAGTGTTTCCGAGAAGAAATTCAAGGCTGAGAAGATCAAATGCTGATATATGAGAGCCTCATAAAGAGGTGGAAGGAAATTAGGATACGGCACATGGATCAGTGAGCTCCATGCTAGTACAATGTCTGTCGCGAGAACCTTGAGGGTATCGGGGATGATGGGGTGGAATAAACCGGGAGACGAAAGCTGATTGATCAGATGCATGGAAATCAAAGTCAGACTACTCAAATGTGTTGCAAATGGAACAAATTTAGTTGGAAGACCAGGTAGCGCGATTCGCTTCGAAGAGTGTCAAAAAAGTTTCTGTCTCAGTCGGACCATCGAGCGAAATCTTTGCATCTTGATAAATGTGAACAGTGCGGACATGCTTGGAGAAACCGAACATGTCACAAGGGTATCTTCACGTGTATAGTTGTAGAGGTATAAGAGGCGGTTCTCACTAGAAAGTGGTGAGAAAAACGTAAAGCATACGAAGAGATCTTACATGCTGTTACTCTTGGCCATATGTGATGGTCAGATTCTGCGCACAATCGAGCCCAGCAAGCGATCTACGGAGGAACTGCTCGGCCCTCCCAATATCCTCCCGGATAGCCATGAATTTAACGACAACCGCGTGTCCCAGCGAGGACCCAGAACACACGCAAGATCGGCCCATGCGTAGTCGTCCATGCTCGCCGCGAGCGGAATCACCAGATCCAGCGATTCAGGCGCGTCGTCCAACTTCTCCAGGTAGCGCACCAGGTACTGCATCTCAGACGGGTAGAACTGAGGGATCGATATGCGCTTGGACGACTGCGAGAAAAGCGCGATCCAGTCGAGGAACACGAGCGACGGCGTGTCGAGGCGCAGGACCCGCAGCTTCACCGTGGGGCTGCGGCGCATCTGCGGATGGTCCGGGGGCAGGCGGCACGGAATACCGACGACGTTGGTCATCTCGATGTGGACCAGGCGGGGCATGCAGCGCGCGATGTCGCTGAACAGGGGCCCGATGGTCACGAGGTGCAGGTGGAGCTGCTGCACGTGGGGAAACATATGGATGATGGTGGCCGGCAGCTGGAAGAACAGGACCAGTGTCGAGACGCGCTGCAGGAGAGCGAGGCGGGGCGCGAGGCTCGCGATGTCGAGGTAGCCCCCCCGGCCGGAGGCATCGCGGACGAAGAACAGATGCTGGGCGCGGAGTTCCAGTGTCTGGACGTGCAGAGGAATCGTGCTGCGCGGGCTGGAGAGCAGGTGGTTGAGATGCGCTGCGCGGAAGCCGTCGTCTGTGTCAAAGCACACGGACGAGAATAGGTGAAACCGGCTTCGCGGAAGCCAGGCACGACACACGAGCGCACAATTCCCCAGGTCCGGACGATCGGAGTGCAGAAAGTCGATTGCATGCTCAAATAGCTCGGGAGGTAGGCTCAGCATCGGATGCTGGTTTCAGAAGACGGTATCACTTATAATCTTGAACCTTGTTCTCCTTTGAGATCGCTTTGTACCCAATGCATCTGCATCATTGACAGCCCATCATTGATCAGGATCAGCTCATAACCGGTTGTGCTGTGATGGCCGCGGGCCGGTTCACGCCGCGGCAAGCGCTCTATCTTAACCATAGAATGCACAGGCACGGAGCCAGTTTCTTCGTCTCCCAGACATGTCTGAGCCCAAAGGGAGTGGATTGGGCTTGGATCCAGCGTCCCCTTCAACCCCCCGTCGCGCCTGGCCTCGCCAGCTGATCGTCCTCGCAGCGCTCGCCGTCGCAGCTGCCTTCCAATTCCTTCCATGCAAGAACGCCACACAACACCCACAGGAGGTCGGCACCGTGCACTGGAAACCTGCGTCTGAGTGCAACGAAAACACGGATTGTGGTTCAGTCATGTGCGTGCATTATCTCGACGAACGCGCGACGCGTCTTTCGGTCTCGGTCTTAGTCTTCGTCCAGCGTTCCCAAGGACTATTTCAATCCAGATGCCGGCACCGCGTCTATTGCCATTGCGCGCTACCGGGCTACCAAGTCCCCCAAACGAGGCACAGTGTTCATGAATCCCGGTACGCATACGTCTTATGTCAACTCCCATTCCTCAATAACGTATGACTCAGGCGGCCCCGGCGGTTCGGGCCTGCGTCTGGCTAGTGAGACGTTCGCTGATATCGTCGGCCACGATTGGGATCTGTTGGGCTTCGACCCGCGGGGTATCGGCCAGACTTCGTGCGTATCTTACTACGCAGACCTCTCTTCTCACACATATCACGTTGTGCGCAGCCCGCAAGTAGCCTGCTTCGAAAGCGCCGAGGACTACAATTTCTTCGTCTCGAACACCGTACTCGAGCAGGGCTACAACGTACTGTCTTCGTCCAACCGCTCGGATCCGGCGTTGGAGGCATCCTTCGTGGAACAGTCGCGCGAGTTCATCGCGCTCAAGAAGACGCAGGCGGAGCTCTGCGCAAAGAACATGGGGGACGAGCTGCGGTACATGGGCACGGCGAACGTGGTCAGGGACATGGATCTCATGGCCCAGCTGTTTGACGGGAAAGGCGCAAAGATGTCGGCGGGTCTCATTCGATCAGGGAGTCGGTTTTGACGATCATCTAAAGAAACTACTGGGGCGCGTCATACGGTTCCATCCTAGGCGCGTATCTCGTGAACATGTTGCCCCACCGATCCGGGAAAGTCGTTATTGACGGCATCGCTGACCCTGTCAGCTGGTCCAGTTCGTTCTCTCGGTACTTGACCTGGAAAGTTTACTTATTCGACAATTTTCAGCCGAGCCGTCTCATCTGTGGGCTGCCAACTGGGTGGCTTCAGCGGAAAAGACGTACATCTTCTACCTCGAGACGTGCTCCAAGGTGGGATCGAGGCGTCTCAACCCTTCTAGGCTCACCCTTGCATGCAACAGGCCGGCCCCGAGGCGTGTCCTCTTGCGCAATACGAGGGCGAGTTGTACCAGGACATTATGGACCGCATCGAGGCATTTTTGGACAAGCTAGTCGGCACACCTCTGCCGGTGCCCTTTGGTGTGCGACCAGGATATCTCACCTCCGGCGCTGCTCGATGTACGCCCCTGTTCTCCGGTCGACGCTCACCCCTGATCTCGCGCCCACAGCCCTGTTACTGATGTATCTCGAACGGCCGCCCCAGTACGCCGAGGCAGCCCTCGCATTCAGCCAAGCCATGGCCGGCAACGGAACGCTCCTCTTCAACAAACTCGTCACGAAGCGCCCCGACAGCGTGCCGCACACCGACCTAACGCGCCTCGGCGTGACCTGCATGGACTCGCCGCCGCCAGCATCGCGGCGCGACATCCCGACGCCCGAGGACCTGGCCAAGGCGCTGCTGCTGGCGATGGAGGCGTCGCCGCACTTTGGCGCGAGCGTGCTCGTCGGCGAGCCCGACGGCGGGTGCCAGTACTGGCCTGTGCGCGGGCCGGAGCGGTTCGCGGGGCCGTGGAATGCGACGCTCGAGTGGCCGATGCTCATTGTTAGCAACACGGTGCGTGTTTGTATGCACAAGCGCATGTGGGCAACCGACTGACGTTCCGTTTGCGCAGATGGACCCGTAAGCAGCCTGGGCTCTGTTGCAGCTCATTCAACTGATCTTACATCGTCGATAGCATTACGCCCATACAGAGCGGTCTGCGGATCAACTCGCTCATGGGCAACTCAACCCGCATCATCGTGCAAGACGGACCAGGGGTACGCATTCGGTCCATCACGTTGTGCAAATCTAACGCGCACCCTGCCCCACAGCACTGCTCGACAGCAACCCCCAGCCCGTGCACCGTCAAGCTCGTCCAGAACTACTACGCCGGGATCTTGCCTGAAAACGGGACTGTCTGCGACACATCCTTCGACTACTTTCCCGATTCGCAAGAGGTGTCTGGGCTCGAGGCTCTGGGTGTGGAGGACGAGAAGTTGATGCGATCTGTACTGGATGCAGGCAAGATTCTACAAGATATCCAGCGCCGTTGGTAGAAGCGACTGCACCACAACCGTACCACACCAATGAAGTAATCTCTCTCATGCACTTGTCCGAATACCCCTGTCTCCAAAAGGAAATCTCCGCTCCAGCAAATTGGCAAGACCGTTTATCCATTGCCTGGCACCCCCAACGTCCAGATGTAAATCTAAGTCTAAATCTAAATCTACAAGGATACATTCCCAATTACAACACATGCTGGTTAGTAGTATACATATGGTCTGCTCTGCTATGCTACGGTCCGTGCCGCTCAGAGACTGAAAACTGCACCGCCCCGCCGTTTCGACTGGAACGGATGGACCACGACGAGCGAGAGACCAAGGCCGACAGCCAGCCCGATCGCGACTGAGATGAGCTGCAGGGCGGTCTGGAACCCAGACAGGTAGGAGTTCGTTGTGTCAGCGGTCTTCTGGGACGCGTAAGTGAGCAGTCCGCCATTGCCCAGGCCCGAGGGAAGTTGGAAGAGGATGCCAGTGATCTGGTGGAAATGAGGACGCGGAGCCCGCGAGGACAAGAAGCGGGACGCACCATGATGACGAAGGCGTTGCCGGAGAAGAACCGGGCGTATACGTTGGCAACGACGCCAACCGCAAAGGCGCTGGAATGGATTCAGCTTGACGCGAAGAAAACAGGGCCGAGAGGAGGACGTACCCAACAGCAGCACCAACGTCTGTCTGATTCGGGAACTTGGTTGACGTGAAGTGGTCGGTGACCCAGCCGATGGACGCTATCGCAATCAGGAGTAGCATTTGTCGGCTATTCCACGGAGCCTGATTCCGCATGCTCAAGAAGAGAGAGTACATGGGGACTGTCAGGAATGCTGCACCAGGCTAGATCAGTGTCCATCCATCAGCAGTGCAGTCTGACATCACGCACCCCAGAATTCGCTTGGCGTGCGCTGGTACCAGGGCCCAGACGGATCATGACTCTGGCTGCAAGTGTAATCGGTGCTGCCAATGATGGGGTGGCCAGTCATCTGCTGGTACGCCTCGGCGCCCATGGCGAGTCCAAAGCCCAAGAAGAGCGAATACACGACCGCGTAGCACATCCGCACGGATCCAGAGACGATGTTTCGCGACATGATTTCGAGCGAGCCGCAGAGCACGATGAATCCAGGCAGGATGAGCACGACTGAGCTGGACGCGATGGCAGAGTAGCAGAACTTGTGCGTCGCAGCGAGCGCGGCCGAGATGAAACTGAACAACGTGGCCATGGTGATCCTTTCCCGAGTCAGTCTCTAGAGCGATCCAAGAAGCTGTGAGACATACTCGAAGATGTTGGAGTACAGTTCGTTGCGGACACTGATAAGCTGAATCGCAACCAGCAATGCACCAAGTGGGAACGACATCAGAGCGTCGATGAAGCTACCGCCGAAACTGACAGTGCAGATGGCAGAGGAACAGAATCCACCAGTAAGCACAAGCTGCCACCAGTTGTACAGCTGCCTCTTGACCATCAAGTTGTCCAGCTCGCTGGATGCCTCAGAGACGGAGATTTCGTCGTGAATAACCTGAATCACAGCGCGTCAGTGGCGTTCGCCCGCTTGAGCTAGATGAACACACCTTCCAGTAGATAGAATACGCGTCCGGCAGCTTGCCGAGATCCAGAGAGCTGGCCTGTCGAATAAACTTGAGGTTGCTCGTCCCGGTGCTGCTGTCGTCAAAGCTGATGAGGATGACGTCCGGAAGGTACATGCAGTTGACTTGAATATCCAACACGCGACCTGTAGACTGGATCTGAGCTTGCAGGCGATGGCTGGGTCCACCGAACATCATCATCGCCCGCGCGAGCTTGAGGATGAACTCCTGGCGCTGGATGATCTGGGCGACGTGGCGAGTGATCTGTGTGAGATCGACGGTGAGTCGCTATGCGGCGCTTGCGGTGAACACCGGACATACATAGACCTCGGCCTTTTTGCGCTTCCGACGCTTTTCCCGCCTGTGCTGCTCCTGGTCGCGAACGGCCTTCTCGTCCAGCCACTCGTCGCGGTCCGTCATGCTAGTCGACGGTGTGGTTTGCCCCGGCGTGCTCTTGCCGCTCCGCCCACCGAACGTCAGATGCTCGATGTCCTTCAGCTTCTCCTGCCATCCGCGTTTGCTGGCGAGCGAGCCAGCTAGCTCTGACAGCTTGGAGTTCCTGTGTTCGGATGCCGGTATCGCCTGTTCGGCAGTGCTAGATTGTGCAGGTGGTAGGCTCTTGGGGCGCTCCACTTTCGCGCTATATTTGGGTACATCCTCGTCCCAGGAATACCTGTAACGCTAAAATTAGACCGAACCCAGGGTAAGGGCAGCTTCGAAAAGACATGCCGTGAGAGATGGTATCCGGGGCGTTTGATGTTAGGAGCGAGCTGGCTGGAAGTTGGAGCTGCAGCCCCACTGATGTTGCCTGTGCTTGCGATCAAAGCACCCAGAGCTCCAGACTTCGACTTCGGCTTCTGTGGCAGAATGCTGAATTTGGACAGCGAAGCGGTTGACCCGGCACGAGAATGATGTGAACGTCCGATACTGTCGTCTGCCGCAGTAGCGCTTTTTGATAGCGGTGGGCTAACACTGGTCTGCGAATCGGGGGAACTCTGCTTTCGGGTCACTTGGGGCGGCGTGATCCACGGTAGCTCGTTCAGTGGCTCGAGACCAGGAGTGGAGGGCAGAGACATCGACTCGTTCTGCTGGTTGTAGAGATTCAGCAGAGCACTAAGAACACCGCCGCCGAGGGGAGCGTTCATAGGTGCAGCCGTGGCTGCGCTTTTCTCCATATCGTCTGGGACCGTCTTGTCCTCTGAAGCAGTGGCCGCTGCGGCCTTCTCGGCGTTGTGTCGTCTGCGCCGCTCTCCGAATCCGCCCATGAAGCCTTTCCGAGTATGCGAACGGACGACATTGCTAGCGACACGATGCGCGGTCTCCTCGATGTTTGTCGAATTGGGCAGACCGGCAGTCTCGTATCCGCCAATGTAGTTGCCGGGTATATCTCGCGTGGGGGAAGGCGGACCGGACGGAGCTCCCTCTGATGGCGTGGTAGCAGTCGATTTCTGCGCGGAGTGCTCATTGGACACGGGCGGTTGATCGGTGTCAATGGAGAGAGCGGCGGTTCCAGTGCGTCGAGGGGCTGAGAAGTAATTAGTGCGCGGCCCGGGCCTTCCTGCGACTTGTGTCGCTCGAGAGCGGTTGTCAAGGTTTGAAACGAGGTCGGCTAGGAGAAAAGTTGGCGATCCGAGGTCCAAAAGAACAACGTGCGATAGAGAACGCACGTCGATGCCCTGCTCATCTAATGCATGCGTCGATCCTGCTGGGCTGTCTCCAATTGTGTGATCGAGCCACTGCACTTTTCGAGGGGTCTTGGCCTCGGGTGGCGCGGAGCTGAGTCCCCGCTGTGGGTGCCGGTCATGATGCCTGTGGGAGGCAGCTTGGAGCTGGATGCGTGGGCCATTGTCGGAAAGCGACGTTACCTTTGCGAACAGAAGACATGGTCAATATCGTCAATGGAATTGAAAATGAAAGAAAATGAAGGAAGTGGATGGGATGAGAGAGAGAAATGTATACGCACAATGGAAAATCCGGGCGGGTCTATGGGTTAGTGTAAAGATTCTTGCGAAGGGGGTCGAGCCGAGCGCGCTTTGCTTGGAGCTGCAAAATTGGGATGACGTACATCATAGTCCGGAAGAAAGATAATGCAGTTAGCTCTAGCTCCGAACGGCATCACCTGCGGCATCAAGTAATCATGTATCAGCTGTGTTTGATAAAAAGCCGAAATCGAGCGGCATGTCGCACCCTGAGCGTGCCCTGAGCCCTCGCATATTCCATCAGTTGACTTCCCTAGATAGTACTAACCCTTAACACCCACAGCCATCCACACTTGGTTTCTTTGACGACTGCAAATTTTTCGTCCGCTGGTCGGTCGGGTCTCCAAGAAAAGGCTTCGTGAGGGTAATGAAAGCTATAACTTCGAAGGGATAGTTTGATTGGCCCCAAAGATAAGATCAGGTTGTTTCGAAATGAACCACGCCCGCGGCGACTGTCTCAGAATGGCCAGTGTCTCTTTGCCAACCATCATGAAATATTACTCATGGGGCAGATTTTACACGTGATGATTTTGTATGCGGTAAAGAGCTATATTAATTCTTGAGGATGCAGAGAGATTGCGGAGAGCTGCCCGAGTGGAGCGTGCCTGAGTTAATGAGCTAGTACGTCACGCGTTTCTCTTGAATGGCACGTGCTCTCACGTGCAGGGACGATAAGATCAAATCAGATAAGCGACGCGAGCGAGGAGATTGCAGTTCTATCGATGATCGAACACTCTCAAAAAGAGTCAGTGAGTCACGTTTCGCTTGGACCATGCACCTCGCAAATTTCAGATGAAGACATGGACCACATTTGAGGTAAATATGGATGCGATTGCCACGCGGGAATCGGTTGACATGATGGGTCTAAGATCCAAATGCTCCACCGCAGCAAGTTTGTAACTTTCAGTCTCAAGTTTGTGGGATCAAGCAGAACTATTATTCACTGAAGTCCTTGAACCAGCCTAGATTATCGAAGTGCAGTCGGCGGAATCAAAGTACCGATATTTCAAGTGCCAAATGAACGACTTGTTTCCCGAATCTCCGACCGCGGGAGACACTGCCTCGGTGATCATTCCGTGATCGCATATATAGCAGTTGTCACTTGCCAACGTTTCCTCATCGTACCCCTTTCTCTACACATGAGCTTCTTGAAGAAACTAGGAGAGCTCGCTGAAAGACTGCCAGAGGGCGTCGAGCATGCTCGGGACCAAGTTATCGGTGCGTCGAAAGCGCCCAACAAGCCCCAGAGTCCTTGGCAACCGAAACTAATCGCCATCTCCCAGGAATGCTGAACCCCAATCGTGAGTCGTCGTACAGCGTCGCTGGTATCCCTCAACCAACGTCCGTGCTATCTAGGTCGTCACGACGATCCGGAAGAGAAGCGCCAAGACGCCATTCGTGCTGAGATCAATGCTGGACATCGCTTTGACAGTTTCGCAACGGAGCGTGCAGAGAACTTTGTCAAGTGGTGCGCACCCCTTCATCCCGATCCAGGCCATCGCTTGATGTTCCTTCTGAAGGCATATTGATGGACACGATTACATGTGGGCGCTGTCTGAGATGCTGGACAGTGCCAAAGACGTCATCTTCATCCAAGTATATCCCTTCCGTCCCTCTCGTTTCATTTCTCTGTTCTTTAACAAGGCACCCAGGACTGGTGGCTCACCCCCGAGATCTATCTCCGCCGCCCGCCCGCCGCATACCCGCAGTACCGCTTGGATCGCCTGTTGAAACGCAAGGCCGAGGAGGGTGTCAAGATCCATGCCATCGTCTACAAGGAGGTCACTCAGACGATGACCATGTCGTCCAGCCACACCAAGAATTATCTCGAGTCTCTGCACCCCAACATCAAGTGTATGCGGCACCCAGACCATATCGGCGCCAAGGGTGTGCCGGTTTCTGTCCTTGGCGCGGGCGTTGCTCTGATACATACCAGATACCGTCGAGTTCTGGTCGCACCACGAGAAGGTCGTGGTGGTCGACAACCACTACGCGTGCATCGGTGGGCTTGACCTGTGTTTCGGCCGCTGGGACACGCACAACCACCCGCTCGCGGATGTGCATCCGACGGACTTCTCCAGGACGCTATTCCCGGGGCAGGACTACAACAATGCACGGGTAATGGACTTCCAGAACGTCTACGACTACGTCAGCAACACGCTGTCATCGCTTGAAAGCGCGCGCATGCCCTGGCACGATGTGCACATGACCATCTGCGGCCCCGTGGTGCTTGACGTCGTGCAGCACTTTACCGAGCGATGGAACGAGATCAAGAAGCGCAAGTACCGTGAGAAGCAGGAATACGTGTGGCTTGCCCTTCCCCACAACGTCGAAGCCGCCCCGAACGAGGCTGTCGTCCGCCACCCGCATCGAGATGCGTGGCACAGGATGGGACACAAGTACAAGCAGCGGTGGCTTGGACTGCCGGAAGATGAGGAAGACCCGCACTATCCTCCACGCAAGACCCCTGGAATGAACGTCCAGGTTGTCCGCAGCGTCAGCGATTGGTCCCATGGAGTTTTGACTGAGCACAGCATTCAAAATGCTTGTGAGTGCACATGGCCGACGGCGCCCGCACAGCAACTGATCGCCTGCTCCCAGATTGCCAACTCATCCGGGAGGCGGAGCATTTTATCTATATTGGTCAGAGCACAACCATCATCACGCATGCACGTAACTGATTTGCTGAGACAGAGAACCAGTTCTTGTACGTGGAGAAGACATACTGCTCTATGTCAATCTCACCTCGCTCAGTATTTCGTCCACTAACAAGGACGACGTCGTCAAGAACCAGATCGCTGGCGCTCTGGTCGAGCGTATCGTGCGAGCTGCTCGCGAAGACCGCAAGTTCCTGGTTCGTGCGCAACTATCTTCGTCTCTCATTCTCTGAACCCGCTCAGGTCTTCGTCGTCTTCCCGGAGCTGCCAGCGTTTGCTGGCCAAGTCAAAGATGATACCTCCTTGAAGACGATCATGGCCGCTCAGTATCGCACGATCAACCGCGGAGGACACAGCATCTACGAGGAGATCCGCAAGGCCGGCTTTGAACCGTGTGTATGATCGCTGTCTGGGGGATGCCACTCTAAGCGCAGTGCAGGACCGACTACATCCGCTTCTACCATCTCCGCGCTTACGATCGCATCAACGCTCCGCTGCAAAGCTACATCGCTAAGGCGGAGGAAGACAGCGGAGTCAAGTACCACGAGGCGCAGGTCGCGTTGGCCCGTCAGTGGGTCGGCAACGATCCGGACGGGCTGAAGAAGGTGACCGTGACCGTGCCCCTTCCCACGCAGGAAGGAGTCGTCCTCTCGAAAGAGGAATCTGTCAAAACCTTCACTGTCCCGATCCCCGAATCTGCTGAAGAGGCCAAGGGCGTCATTGAGCGATTCGAGGATGCCGCTCGCAACATCCGCGGGGACGAAGACGTGTCCGATAATGTTGTGCAGCACATGCTTCACGACCGGACCAGCCTGCTGGACGAAAAGTGGCTTGGGACTGAGCAAGAGGAGTTGGATTCGTGAGCCGTGCTGCGAGGCTACTAGATTCTTGCCTGACTGATCTCCACGCAGCTATGTTTCCGAACTCCTGTACATCCACACCAAGCTGATGGTTGTGGACGATCGTCGTGTCATCGTATGCGCCTCTTTTCTACGATGAAGGATGACCGTGCTCACTCGAATCCCAGATGGGCTCCGCCAACCTGAACGACCGTAGCCAGAAGGTGTGTGAATTCCGATCTGGGTTGCAAGCGGGCTGATTTGTATTATAGGGTGACGGTGATTCCGAGATTGCGATGGTTGTCGAAGACACAGATATGATCGATTCGACGATGGAAGGTCGTCCGTACCAAGTGGCTCGCTTCGCCGCCACTTTGCGTCGCAAGCTCTTCCGAGGTGCGCCTTTTCTCATTTCGCTGGCTCTCCCTTTCACCAGTCCTAATCCTTCTTCGCAGAGCACCTGGGCCTGATTCCCCCCCAGAATGTGCACAAACACGCCGACGTCGACGATTTCATGCACCCTGCACCCCATCCGAACCCGGATGAGACTCAGGACGAGGAAGATGCGCTCGTCGCCGATCCGCTTGCGGATGAATTCGTTGATCTCTGGAACAGCACTGCCCGGAAGAACCGGGAAGTGTTCACCGAGATCTTCCGCCCTGTCCCGTCGAATCTCGTGCGGGACTGGAAGGCTTATGATGTGGGTATCGTTCTTTTTGGTGCTAGGGATATCTAACTGACGACGTCGCAGAATTACGTGCCCAAGGTTAAGACCGGGCACGTCGTCCCCGGAATCCCGCTCGAACGGGTCAAGAAGCAGCTTGCAACCGTCCGGGGTGCTTTGGTCGAGTGTCCTACCGTCAGTGACCCTCGAGGTATCTTGGCGAATCTGCTAATAGGCTTATAGGACTTCTTAATTGACGAGAAAGAGTTCGTGGAGGGTCCGGACTGGGTTGGCCTCAACCCCACACTTCCCATCTACATCTAGAGGAGAAGAACTTACGACAAGGAATCTACGTACGAGTAGAGAAGAATCTATGGAATGTTACGAGTTATTGCTGGAGCTTCGATTGTTGTCAGAAGTGGATGATTCTCACACTGGATGTTTTGGTAAGAACGATGATGGTCCAAAACGCACGGAGCGTGATCATCTCTCGAAAGGACATACGACGCAGAACACGGCGATGCATTCAAAGACGACGGTGACATTGCTGCATGCCCGTCAGCACGCTTCCTGGACTTGCGATTTGTCCAGACCTGGTCGAGAGTTTCGATGGCACCCTCAACGGCCGAATACATCTGAGACGCTTGGAATCTACATCGATTGGCGGATCACCCTGTGGGAGCCTCTTCTGCTGGCTACAGCGCGTCTTTCAGGCCAAGATGGATGCAGACACACCACTCTGGCTGAATCATGGCCTGGTTGACACTGCACTCCCGGCCCACCTAATATCAGAGTGTCTTTCGGTACGGTGAGTTCGCTCACTCGGTGTCGTGATTTGCTCTCCATGTATCGCTCTCTGATCATGTACTGTACATATCGATGCCGGTAAGCTCCGGAAGCGCTGCTTTGCTCTAGTGCAGTGAAAGCCGGGGAGGAGGCGATCCAGATCCGATAAATGGTTTCTACCCTTCCCCTCTCTGCTTTAGCACAGTTGGAGGGTAGAAGGATCCGATAATAGTACAGGTCATATCTTATACATAATCTTATAGGCGTACCACAAGTCGCACTGAACTTATACTGCTAGTAACATAATCCCATACGCACACAGAGTCCGCCGTCATAAATGTGCAGGGATATCCTTGTCCTCGTCGTCTGTAGCAGCACTGCTGCTCTGTCTCGTGCCCGGCAACGAGATCTCTAAGATCTCCTTCGAGCGCAGGTCGTCCTGCGTGCTGAGCTCGGGCATCGTCGAGGACGACGATGAGATAGACGCGCCTGGCGGGCTGTGCGCTTGGAAGGTGATGTTCTGCGCTTGCTCGACAGACGATTCCCTTCCTGCCCGCCGCAGCGCCGAGACGGCGCGAAGGAACGACTGTTTCAATGGCTAGGTCAGTCACGATTATGGGTGGCTGGAGGAGGCGACGCACCGGGTCCGTCGCTGCGATCAAGCTGTAGATCAAGGGCCGACAGGCGTAGAGCACGAGGTCGACCATCTCCAGCAGCTGTGCCTGGAAAGCCACCGGCCGTCGTCAGTCCCATCTTCCGAGCGTGAGGTCCTGAAGCCTACGCACTGGATGTTCGCCTGCAGTGCTCTTTGCAACGATGAGGTCCAACGCGACCGTGGACAGGTTCATCAGGCACGACGCGAGTGGGTACAGTCCTGCGCGCATGCGTTAGTCGAGGGCTCGGTGCCGCGCGGTGACAGAACCTGCCTATTCGGATGATGAGGTTGCGGTACTTCACGATGGGCGACTTGGGCTCGGGAATGATGCCGTCAAGGGAGTTCGCCCCGGTGGGTTTGCGCCGGTAGCGGCGGATGGTCAGCTGTTCGGGTGTCAGGCATGATGATGACATGAGGGACGCCCCGGCCGGACTGACCGCGTAGGATATCAGATAGCCCATGATCACGAAGAACACGATCAGTTCGCCCGTCACCATGAAGAGCGTCCAGAAGGATTGGGTGCCGATGACCCAGCGGAGCATAGTCGCATCGGACGAGGTCCGATACCAGCACGACTGCATCGCTTCTGACCAACTGGGAACAGCAGAACATAAGCCGTCGCGGTCAAGCCGATCTGGGAACGCCCCACTCACCCGAATTGTTCAGCGGCATAAGGCGGGATAGTGCACGCCGCGCACAGCAAAAACGAGCCGATCATGTAGCACAATTCTAGGTTCTTCCACTGTACGTGATGCACGAGAACCAATCTGATGTGGGTGAGCCGCTGTAGCAAATGCCGCTGGGAGCACGCACTGGAGATTGAGCGCCATGCAAAAGAACATGTTGCACGAGAACAGCAAGCTAATCTGCCCTCCTCTGTGGTCAACATCCCAGTCACCAGAAGACTACCTCCGATGACACTCACGTTCATCAAGAATACCGAAAAATCGCACTGCGGACTCGGGTGACGGCCAAATTCCGTCCCCATGCAGTAGGCTGCCCCGAATATACAGCTGCAACCGTCGGTCAGCGGGAGCGCAGCGGGCGCGGGGCGTCGGAGCGCGTACGTGGCTACAAGCGCATACACGAGCAGTCGCAGACTGACTCGGTTCATGTGCACCCTCGATATCGGGTTCCACGCCACATATGCAAACGCACAGAGCACGAGAAAGGCGAAGACCGTGCCGGGGATCGTCAATCCGAGGACCAAGTAGCTGCGGCGGCGATTCAGCATCGGACAGCGAGCCCGTTCCCGCCGTCGGCAGGGGACGCATGGACTTACTCGACGGTTCCGAACGAGGGCATGTTGAGTTGTCGGGTAGAAGCAGAATGCGAGACAGAATGTGTGGCCTATAGCTGCATTCTGAGGGGTAGGTGAGACGGAATGAAACATCGTATACAGTGGCGGAACAGGCAGGTAACAAGTCGAGGGGCCTGTCGTTGATCCTGCCGACTCGAGAGACACACCTACACACACACGGATCTCCGAGGCCTTTCCCTGTTAGGGACAGTTGCTGCAGCGCCGTGCTGAGGTGCAGCTCAGCACAGGTGGGGCACTACGTTGGCCGATGCTCTATGCTGAGTCATCGTTCGAGACGGCAGTCCCACATCAGCTGTAGCTGTGATACAAACTGAGACCTAGTCCAGGGTAAGCCAAGGGGCATAGGGTCTGTCACATGGGAGTCAAGTCGGAACCATTTTTTGGCCAGCAGCCCTGCCAACAGTCAAGTCAGGTGACTAGATCTCACAGCGAATTCGTCAATCGTAACACCATGTGCGGAGCCCAGTACTGATCATCGTTCGAGTTGGCATCGGCTTCTCACACTTTTGACTGAGCACTGCACAGCAGAATGCAGGGTCGGCTGACATTTTGTCAGCAGCTAGTGCCATCACCAAGTCAATCTACTCTACCTCATCTTATCTCTCAATCTAGCACACACATCCTTACACGAACATACACAACTCTCGCTCCCATAACCGAGATGCAGAAGGTACATTACGAATCCAAAACGAGACATAGCGACTAAAATTGACATGACAGTTTCCTCAAATCGGACTGTGTAGAGTCCGATGTTGACTTGTCTTGGCCAAACAAGGGGTTGTCCGCAAATGTCATACTTTGGAGCTCGTGCTCCAAATCAGGCACACAAGAGAGCGACACCCCCACAGGATTGGCCATCTCAAACGCGACACCTTGTTGGACGGACCACGTCTCGTTCGGGCGGCGCAGTGCCAGAGTCGCGCGGATGAACGACTGAGGAGAGAGGTCAGCTCGAATCAGGGACGGCGCGACTCGTGCCAGGCATAGCGGGTCGGTCGCAGCAAGAGCTGCGTAGATGAATATCCGACCAGCATACACCACCAGGTCGGCCATACTGAGTCGCCAACTCTGAACAGCGAGTCATTCATCGCTCCAGTCATTGGAAAGAGAAGCACAAACTTGGTTGGCGCCCTGTCCAACAATGACGAGATCCATTATGACCGTCGAAAATTTCATCAGCCAAGAGGCTAGCGGGTACAGCGCTGTGGCAGATGTCAACGACGCGCAGCGAGGCAGCTGAGATACCTACCGATCCGGAAAATCAACTGGCGATACATCAAGATAGGCGATTTGGGGCGAACAGACTCAGCCACGGACATGTCATCGTCGGCTAATCTCACGCGCACCCGCCTCGTGATGAGCTGGAGCATGTCTCCATATCAATGAAGGCGAAAATGTTAGCTGAGCACTCACCTCATAAGAGATCAGATAACTCAGAATTACACAGAACACAGCGATCTCGCCCGCAGACATCAAGAGAACCCAGAATGATTGGGTGCCAATCAGCCAATGGAGCACCGACTCGCCCGATGAGCGAAACCAGCAAGTGGCGTTCTATTCGTACCACCTGAAGGCAGCAGCGTTTGTTACGTTCAGACTCAATCGGCAACAGAACTCACCCGAATCGGCCTGCAGCGAGTGGGGTCACGGTGCAGATGGCGCATAGCATGAGGGAACCGAGGACGTAGTACTTTTCCAACATGTGCCCTTTCAGATGGTGTACCAGAACAAGCTTAAAGACAATCAGCTTCACGATTAGAACAGCGCGTGCGGGACGACGTACTGCAGATTGAGAGCCATGCAGTAGAGCATGTTGCATGAAAAGAGCAAGCCAGCCTGTGTCGTTGATTCAACGTCAGCCTAAGCGATTCCCGCAGGCCTCGGTTGCTTACGGTCATCAAGAACGCGGATAAAGTGCAGAAAGGACCAGGTCGAGTGATGCTGGATGAGACACACATTGTGACGCCACATACTAAACTGTTCTCAGTCCGTCAATCTGATGCCAACCATGAGCCTGAGGAGACTCGCTACGCTATCAATGCATAAGACAAAAGCCTCAGGCTGACTCGATTCATGTGCAATCTGTACACCCGAGGTGCCAGAACAGGTAGCAGAGCGCATACAGCAGCGGCAGTGTCATCACCGAAGCTGCTATGCTCAGTCCCAGTCCCAGGAAACTGGAGACGAGCAGTCAGTGCAGCTCAACCATCTCCCTGATGCGTTTCACTTAATCATACTGAGAAGTGAATCAGGCGCAGCCATATTTGAGGCGGGTAGTGAGAGCCAAAGAACGAATCCGCCGCGGGTGCGAGAGTAAGGGGCCAACGCGGGACGGACGCGGATGAGTCCCTCCTTCCCCTGTTCTTTCATCCATCCTTTTCTAAGCCGTATTTCGACACTTCCTAGAGACGGTGGGACCGTCAGAGTGCATCGAAAGTGCCGTCAACGGAGAGATGGTGTGAAGTCTTGGTGGAAATGCAGCGGGACATTTCCAAGTTTCTGAGTGGCCGTCGATCGAGCAATGCAGATCTATTCAATCCGGACGTTCAACAGAGAGTCGAGAAAGGCTATGTCCAGCCGTTAGAGCCTTCACATCTGGTGTAGGACAGAGTCACTGTCCGTGAGAGGTCAGAGTGACAGGTGATCGCGTTGAATCACGGTTCACGTGTCTTGTCACATATGCACAGATGGGGCACGGACCCCCCGTCTGGATTCCTGGCAGGCTGGTGTGTGGAGTAGAGATTCAGAAGGATCGCCACTCTCTGAATTGGATGGCTTAGAAGTTAGATCGAGCGCCGTGTCGGTCTTTTGTGGGATATAGTCCATTTTATTTGGTTATCATATTCTCAACGCGCTTCTATTTCTGCGCTGGGTGGAAAAGAGGGATGCTCATCGCGGCCTTGCCGCTGCACGCAGCTCCTGCTTGGTGGCTGGTCTCGTTTTAATTGCTCTTTCGGTGTACCTAACCCTAACCTCATCATATTGCCGCTCCTGCAACGTATCCCCAAAACTTGTCCCACACCACATGTGCGGGCTATGGACTCTCAAGTCGGATGTCCAACATTTCGCTATAATATTCTTCGAAGCGCGGCATCGCCTTGCATCGCTCGTACGCCCCAGCTAAGACCAGACCCGTCTCGGCTGCGGACGACTACATAATCCTACAATATCACCAACGGACTAGTACCTGCTTGGCCTCACGAAGAAGGAATCTTCCGTATTGAGGCCTTCTCAATACGGCCTTTCGATGCTCAAATGCTCACTCCATGGGCGCCTATGTCGGTGCATGGCATACAGCGCGTCCCACGCACAAGCAATTCTCTCGCCTGCTCACGATTGGCGCCCGTCTCCACTCCCGATTCGTGCACGAAACTTCCCATCTGGGCCTCAGCGGGCGCTTTTGGAAGCATGCATTTGTATGAGGAATTTTCGAATCTTACGTCGGACGCGCCCGCGCGTTTAACGCACGCACCGCGCACGAAGCCCAGAATTCGAGGACTGCCGCGTGGTGAGATGAGGGATTGGGTTAAATAGCCGCCCTCTGGGTGCAGGAGCAGCACATCTCGTGTCCCTCTCTCTCGAGCACATGGCCATGAGTAAACTCCGACGCCTTGCTTCGAACGGACGTTCAGGGAATGCCTCCTTCAATGGCAGACGCGATAGTGCTGACAACACGCCGCACTCGGTTCCGGGGAACGCGAACGACGGATCCAGCAACGCAACTTCGGAGCTCCTCGGCGATGCCATGACCACCGGCGCTGCGACTGCCAGCGAGCCATCTCCTCCCTCTGGGGCTCTGACCGGTGGATACTACGCGCAACGTTGCAGAGAGCTGATGATCTTCAACAAGGATCTGCGCGCCTTGGGGTCAGTTGCGACGCAGACTGTCGCGTTCTCGCTCATCTCCTTTGTAGGGCGACTAACATGCTCGATCTTCCGACGATTACTGTGATCGGGGGGCAGTCTGGTACGCTCAGCATCTTTGCATATGACGTTGTGCTCAGCGTGCGCTCGACGTAGCTGGGAAGAGCTCTTTGGTCGAGGCAGTTTCCGGGGTGCGCTGAACTGGGTCTTCTTCAAGTTCTTCTGTATGCCAATATCTCCAGATCACTGTTCCGCGTGATAGTGGAACATGCACTCGGTCTGTTTCTATGCTGTTCCTTTCAATTGCCTTGGTCTCCTGACGCGCTCGCAGTTGTCCCATGGAGTGCGTCATGTCGAGCGCAGCCGAATCATGGTCCTGCAACATCTCCTTGCGCTTCGATCATGACGAACAAGTGCTCGAGCCCAAGGACGACTACGCCATCCATCCCGCTGGCTCAGCCCACGAGATTCAGTTCGGCCCGACGATCACTGACCGTAGCGCCGTCGAGATCTGGCTTCGTCGCGCACAGGCCGCCATGCTGAGTCCGCACCGCATGCCGCAAGAGTTCTACAATCAGAATGCAGAGGAGCTGCGGAATTCAGGGACCGATCCTCGGCGTCTCAAGTTTTCGAGGAACGCCGTGTGTCTCACTTTGCGCGATCCTGCTATCATCAGTCTGTCACTGTGTCCGGCAGCTCAACCCTCTATTTGATGCTCACTTGTTTCAGATCTCTTATTTGTCGATCTCCCAGGTTTGTTTCTCGTCCGCTGGGCAACAGAGTCAGCTCACGGCTGCATAATCAGGCCTGATCCAAAACGAGGAGCCTGAGAACATCCAAGTCGTCCGAGACCTTTCTATCTCCCGGATTGAACAGCAGCAGACGCTGATTCTCGTGACCATTCCCGCCAGCGGTACGTGCTGTCGCTCTGGTCTACACTCATCGTCTCAAGAGCGGGCGCAGATGACATGCAGAACCAGCAAGCAATGCGACTCGCTAGAAACGTGGATCCGTCTGGTCAACGCACGATCGGTGAGAAAGATCGAATCGGTCATGGCTCATGGGCTTATGTGGCTGATGACAGCCGTGCTCACCAAGCCCGATTCTCTGGGTGCTGGGGATATCGGGCGCCGCAGTCAATGGAAGGAAGTGTTGGACGGTGACCGGGATGCACTTGCTCACGGGTACTACTGCGTCCGACTTCCCGACGATGCTCAACGGTCGCGCGGGATGACCAGAGCCCAGTGCGACGCTCAGGCGCAGCTGTTCTTCGACTCGACAGCGCCGTGGTCTGAAGTGCTCGATCGCACGCGCTTTGGAGTGGGCAACCTGGCAGCGTTCCTAAGTAAACTTCTTACCGAGCGCATCGAAGCCAAGTATGTCTTCCATCGCTGCAATGCCCGGTACTGACTTGATGCCTACCAGCTTGCCTCAACTGCGAGCCCAAGTCCATGCACTCTTGAAGCGCCACACCGAAGAGCTCAATGGTCTGCCCCCGGCACCGGATCTGGATCACGCTGCGGTCGCCGTGTTTGGCAAGATCAGTGCGTTCTGTAATGCGTTTCGTGCCGCCGTAGCGGGAACGGAGCGGAAGAGCTTCGTACAAGACTGCAGAACGAAGTACGGCCAGTTCAAGAGCGAAATCCAGCGCACGACCCCCGACTTCCGGCCATTCCATGGCCACGAGCGCTTCAGAGACCCGCTCATTGCGTTCGATGAAGTGGATTATGTTGCGAGCACCATCCCGCCCATCGATCTGCCGGAGGTCCAACTGACTATCAGAGAGTGTGTGTCCAGAGATGCTGTCAATGCTCAGCACTAAGCAAGTTACCAGTGCCACAAGCTGGGAACTGCCTGACCAAGTCCCCTTCCATGCCACGATCATTCTCGTTCAGCGGTTCACGAGCAATTGGAAGGAGCCGGCGATGTCCTGTTTCGAAGGCACGGTGTCTTGTGCTGAGGCGCTCCTGTGCGATCTCACGCATGAGCATTTCGGCCAATTCAATTTACTCAAGCGATTCGTTACGTACGTTACTTTCATTGCCCACCCCCTCACCGCTGCGAATGATTCTGATCCGTCGGGCAGGTCGCTTGTCACGCAAGAGCTCGCAGAGTGCAAGGATCTCGCGCGACAGACTCTGGAGAAGTTTCGCTCTCTCGATGAGTCACCGTTGTTTACTCAAAACCGGGACCTCTTCCGGACGCAGAAGGCCGCGTGGTCGGCCAGATACAAAGCAGCGCATGACGACGCTGGCTCGTATTACCTACCCGGCCGCCATCTCTATGTGCGAGAGGGACACGGCTATGAGAGCGAGCTCGATCTCATGGCGACGGTGCGGGCGTATTGGCAGATAGCATACCGGGTCTGTCTGTGCATCTTTTCGTCCGCTCGGCTGTCTCGTCTGACTGGACTGGGCTCGCTGCAGCGCATCATTGATTACGTTCCTCTCGTCATCGAGCGTGAGTTCAACCAGTGCATGGCTTCTCGCTTGGAACCTGTGTTGATCCAGAACCTGCTCCGGGGCCCTGACATGACGACGCGCCTGCGAGACCTGCTTGCGGAAGATTCGGCAATATCAGCCAAACGTGCCTTCCTCCACGACCGAATCAGCCGCTTGATCGAGATTCAGCGGAAACTGGATGGGCTCGGCCAGTCTCGGGATTCTTGAATTATAGTAGGCGGTCTATCTATACATGTTTTGTCCCTGGGCTAGGAGGGGTAAGCAGTCCGTGGCAGCCATTCGGTCACATTTATGCACAACTAAGCTTCTGTTTTTCCCATCTGAGCTTCTCTCTTCTCATCCATGATTTCGCGCGATTCGCGCACAAAGTCCTCTGCTTCATCGCGTTCGAAACTGAAGCAAGGCATTTCAGCGTGTTGTGCAAGTAGAGGATCCACGTCTCCTTACGCAATTTTCGTGCCCTTGACAAACATATCGGGCTCCCTCAGTGCGAAAGGGTTGATGTCGGTGCGTGTGTTGAGGTTTGCCAAACTGTGGTTCACGAATCGATGCGTCGTCTCGTCCGACCGCACGGCATACAGCACATCAAGGAGCGTGGCGTCCTTGGGAAGACGCCAGTAGTCGATGGCGATCTCTGGCGCGGGCTTATTTGTCCTGGTGGCGGTCGTTCAGCGATCAATCGACTGCACAGTAAACACGAACCATTCGGGGATGCGCCCAGCTTCCAGATCTTTGATGCAGCGGGTGCTGTCGTGTGGTCAGCGGATTCGTTTGTGTGTGACATTACCAAGGGCCATACTAGGTGAGGACCGCCTCTTCCTCCAGATGACCAACAAAACGATGGCACGTCCGGGGCGAGACTATGTACGCGAGGACTGGCAGGCAGTATTGAGTATGTGGCGAGGGCCGTGTGAAGAGACCGGGCCGGAAACGTACAGAACATGTTGTAGAAGACCCCTTGAGCTCCGAGAATCAGAGCGCGGAACCAGATCGAGTTCTTCCGCAAGGTCATGAAGGTCCTGGGACAACATCAGCAGTGTGCCTCGAGCTCAAAGACGGCACCTGCATCAGATGCATGCGTTCATTCTCCGCTTCTTCCAGACATGTATGAATCCTGGACAAAATTTCAGATGGGGAAGCGTAGATATTTCGATATCGTACCATCCACTGTCTCGGCGCTAAAGTAGTACATATGAGCACACCCACGTCGGTGTGGATGAACAGAGCGTAGAGGACTTGCCATCAAGCGCAAACTAGTGAGATGCCTGAGCGTTGCAGCCACCATCCCAGGAACCCCAGCAATAGTTTCCAGGAATAAAATTCGCTGTTTGAAAGAACAATCAATTGGGCGTTTAATTTCCACAGAGTAACTCACGTTCAACCAGCCATGCTCGTCCAGTAGGTATCCGTTCTTGCGGAGATCCTCGACGGTCATGTTGCTCTCTGGGGGGATCTCCTTGTGCTTATAGCCCGAGACGAAATCGAATCCGAATCTCGTAAACGTTTCAGCCAGATGGCGTGATTCGTATCACAAATTGAACTTACCGCGCTAGCAGCACCAGCTTTGATGCGATCTTGTCCGGGATATTCTTCGCTTTGTGGTGCAACACCTGGCGAATCACATGAGCCCTATACATCTATGGGCAGTGGACTCAGACTCGCTCACCTCCACGGCCTTGACCTCTTCCGGAGAGTACACCGGGTGGAAGAGCACCCAATCGCCCCGGACCATCGTCGGCACGGTGCTCACAGCGTCTGGCGTGGTCAACTGATCCCCGCCTTCGCTGGCACTCGACGCAGTGCCGAGCGCTGTCGGGCTGCTCGCGAAAGCCTGATCAGAGCGCGGCGCGTCCGATTTGGCCACCGACGACAAGGAGAGGTATCGAGTACGTGATCCGCGCAAGGTTGACGCGCCGATCACGCGCAGAGCCATATAGTGCTTCACCGGAGTGAAGCTGAGTAGAGTAGTTCGTAGCATAGCAGCTGAAGTATAAGGAAAGCAGAGTGCAGGGCAAATTGCCATATATATATACAGTCGGTGATATCCGTATCCTGTTCCTCCCGTTGCCCTCCGATCCGACCCGATTCGCCCTTGGTCGGTAGAGATGAGGATCCGGGGCTTGGGATCCGATGAGGGCATAGAGCGACCGCTCACATGGATTTCAAAAACGTCAAGGGCAGGATATTGGACCGTTACATCAGATGGGGCATCAATCAGCGCAGATTGCCGGGAGACGACTATGGAGTTGGTGCTTCGATTGTATCAACTCGACCGAGACCCGACCCTCGTCGGCCGGTCGAGTTGAACATTGATTCGTGTCACTGGTGAGTCGACCTTTGTGATTGGGCAGCCACTCCGAATTCACTCCTGTCTCAATCGTCAGTGTCGTGCGGGCTCGGGGTTGAAGCCCGAAAGTCTAGGTACCTCGTCTCAGGAATTTGAAGCCTGGTCTAGCCCGACTGATTGGCTCGGGCAGGCACGTCCCAGTATTTATATCTAGAGAGTCACCTGAAGACAGTCGAAACCCCAATCTCGCAAGCTTGGGAACATGATGGAACAAACATAATCTCCCAAGCCATACATAGTACGGGTCTTCGTCTGTCTCGGTGTGGTAATTTCATACAAAAATATCACTACTTTCCTCGTCCGATTCATTTTGGCACATCGCAGTGATCCAAGCCCAGTAAGCGAAGGGTCTAAACTTTTTGAACAAATCTGATGGCGCTCTGATGCGCTCTGAGCGCCATCAGATTTGTTCGAGCAGTCTAGGCCCTGTCATCGGGCTCAGGCTCGGGCCCAGGCCTACGATTCTGAAAGCGTGAGCCCTTGAAAACCAGCCCGAGCCCGAGCAACTATAACACACCGCAAATCAGTCGCATTTGCGCCAATTCAGCAGAGGCTCATGGCAAACCTCACCGACACTGAATCGAGACAAGCCAATTACACAATTACACCGACTGACTTAGGTTTGCACTGAAGGCTTCAACTGCCGTGACTCTCTGGAGCTATATATTTACATGCACAAAAATACAATCCCTTCACTTCTCCGCGCTCACTACGTCCGTCCCAGACGGACATAGAGCAACCACGTTTTCGCCGAGCTCCGCCCTCATCGAGCCTAATTGGATGACGTTTGAAGACGCCTTCGAGTGCGTCTCTGGTTCGTGCACAGCCAACCCAAGCCCGATGCGCACATGGATCAGAACGGTCGAGATCCCCAAAATAGCAGGGCCAATTCCGACGAAAATAACCTGGCCGATGAACTCATTCTCGAACGTCACTAACAGAGCTATTGCCGTGACGCTGTCTCGAAATGAATATCACAAAGTAGCCTACTTGACAGAGACACGCACGTTTGGATGGCGGCGCTTTCGACGATAATGGCGAGTATAGACTTGTGAATCTGAGCACAAATTGTCGCAATTCACAGAGCATGCTCACCGTAAGCTTCATTCCCGCGGACATTTTAGCGGAGAACTGTTTGACTGCCTTGTTCGTACGCCAGATCTTCCACCATATTGTCCCAGTGCTGTAGCTGCTGATTCTGGGACTAAGAATGAGTCGCGGTGAATTCGAACTGAACACTGTCCCACAAGATAGACGCCGTCAGTGCGGAGCTGACCCAAGGATTGGATAGAGTGAAACAGGATTTATCGTATATCCCATTAATTCCAAGAGATCGATATATCGTCCCTGTGGAAGCAACTGGCGTACATGAGTTTACAAACATTATTCCGGGTCTGCAGGGGATTTATTCACCCAATTCACAGAGAAGAAGAATCAAAGAGGGGAGTATGATCTTGATGCCCTGATTGTAGATGACATAGGCTCTGTGAATCTTTTGAAGAGTTAGCGAGCCTTTGAGGTCATCAGATGACGGGGATCACGAACCACGAGAGCATCTGTCACGGGAATCACCAAGATCCCAGCAATTCTTGTTGCCTGCTCAACCCCAGAATATCGTCCTTGGAAGAGGAAAAATGCAGCCGCAGCCTCTATGTCCAGGTTCCCGAACGCATATATGCTCCCGTATACGGTTCCAATGGAATGCTGAGTGAAAATCGGTAAGCTTTCTTTCCGTTTTTGTCCCAGGACACTCACCACGGCGACCAAGAGGAACTGGAGCCCGAGTGTGCCGTGCAGCAGCCGCGTCTTGATATTTCCTACGACGCCCTCCCGCCTGCGTCGAGTCACAGCGAGGTAAACCGCCAGGCCAGATAAGAGGAGATAAATCGCCCAAAAAAATACTTCGAGCAGGGCTTCGATAACGTAGGCGGCAATTGAAGGCCGTACTGCAATGTCTGTGAGAGTTGGTGGCGGCATCATCACACAGTGACGAGAGATTCGAGGTTTGAGGAGGAGGTAGGAGTCGGTATCGACATGCTGGCGTGTTCTTATAGCACTGTGAGATCGGGGCAATCATCGCAGGGGATCGAATCATTCCAGGTAGCGATGGTGGTTGACTGATGCCTCGAGAGGAATGACGATGCCGATTACTGTAGATCAAATGCTTCTTTGATTGAGAAAGTGATATCTGTGTCAGAAAGTAAGTTTTACCATAAACTTTCGAAAGGTCATGTCCTTTCTCCTTACAAAGCTGGGGGTCAGACGTGGGAAATCAAGATCAATTGAGTCTCGGCGAAGTTACGGCTTATCTTATCAGCCGGTCGTGGCTGTGTTACGAAAATGCAATGATTGCCGTCTACGGCTGTGCTTACCCCCAACAAGAAGAGGAACACTGCCGCTATTCTGACGTCTTCTTCCCTCCTACTTTCCGCTTTATGCGCCCTCTAAGCCTCCATAGCTCTGCGCTCAACGATGAAGAGTACTCTGTTTTCACCGAGAACCTGGCCTCGCTCCTGGACACCGATGCCGACAATGCGGAATCTCAGACAATGACCCTCCGTGAGGTCCGTGCGTGGATGCGCGGGCGCTACCCTAGATTACCGGCGGCCACTATCGATATGGTTCGTGAGATGAGACCGCGTTCGTATCGCCACTCAGCCTGCCTCCAGATTCTTGCGTTATTCCCCTCAAAGGATACTCTCAGTGGAGGCGAATTTTTTGCGGCTCAGCGCCTCGTGTCGCATGTAGAGGCAGGGAAGGGGATAGACCGTGCTCTTGCATTCGTGCAAGGTCAGTACTGTCATGTGAATGCGTTTAGCGTGCTCACTAACGAACAACCGCAGTGCATCCCGGCTCCACATCAACGACTGTCCCACCCTCGGCTCCCGCAGTAACGGTTCCGCAGCCAAAGGATAGCATTGATTCCAGCTCTGCGACCTCCGAGCAGCGACGCAATCCATTCATACCGCCCACCTCAACGCTCACAAGATCGAAAACCGCTCCCACTTCATCTCGTGCCCCGATATTACCTCCGCGGAGAGCCCCTGCGCCTCCCGTCGCGCCTTCTCCACCCCCTCGGCACCCTCCTCTGCCGCCGTTACCCCCACGGTCAAACAGTCCGCAAAAACCTGCACATGTCACATCGACATTGATGAAGCAGAGCCTGCAGGCGTCGAAAGCGGGCCAATGGATGAAGCAGGGACAGGCCCGACTCGAACAGGAGCGGGTTCTCCAAGTTCTGCGCAGCACAACATCAACGCCCCGTCAAAACGTGTCCTCTGTCGACGATGACACAACATCGTCTTCATCGGACGGCAGCCGCAGCCGGGGCAAAGCTCGGTCCATCCCTGCGAGTGTGAGCTCACTAGAGCAGGTCGCACTCGCCTCTCCGTCTCCTGCGCTCCAGCGAGCGTTCGACGACGCATACGCCGACCCCGTCCTCCCCCCACCCACCCATCCTGATCGCAAACCGAGTGCTTCGCTGTCTTCGAGAGCGTCAGCGTCTTCCCGGGCGTCAGCGTCCTCGAGTACGTCATCTCGCTTACGCTCGTCTCCCGAACGACCAGAAAAGCCTCGCCCCCCTCCGAAGCCCGCATCCATATCATTATCCCATTCGCAGTCCCATCCCGGGATGCGGCTGACACGGTCAAATTCGCTGCGACCCTCGCCTCCACCGCCGGTGCCGAGACCCGGACGCGTGCGCCCGGAGAGCGTCCACGCACTCCTGAACGGGATCGGCACGCTGCGGCTGGCGGAATCGCCGTTTGGGGACCCTGTGAAAACGGGGCGAGGGGAAGAGCGTGAGGGACTGGTATCCCGGCACGGCGCAGAATCCGATTCGTCCGATTCTGACGACGAGCATGACGCGTGGCGACGTCCGCTTGATTCTGATCTCACACCACAGGCGAAAGAGGTCTTGGAGCGCGACTCGCTGAAGTGGCCGGTCGATGTCCAAAGGGAGGGCTGGCGTCCATTGTGATCCGATACTCTTACCTACCGATTACCATCAATGTATTCGCTATTTTCTCCAGACTGCAGTGCATATGATTTGTCAAGTGCATTGAGTGTTCAGATGATGTGCGTAAAAATGCAATTTGACGCGATCAGGTGAAAGTCAGGTGGTTTCGGTCGTTGGCGTGAAATTCAGGATTGCAATTAAAGTCCGTGCTGTTTTGTGTATACATGTACTAAGACTACCATCCGCGGCCGCTCCACTGCTCGACAGTCGCTGCGGTCATCTCCTCCAAAGTGTGGTACTTCATGCCAAGAATGCGGACGCTCTTGGCGTTGTCGTGCAGCGTGTTCTGGACGACGTCCTTGCCAGTTCCGGGGTTGCCCTTCTGGTACTTTCCAGAGGCAGCAGCGGCAGGGGGCAAAGCATCAACTGCAAGCAGCGTCAGAACAGCACTGGCGCGGGGCGATAAGCCACTCACTGATGTCCTGCCATGTGTAGTTCTTGTCGGCGCAGACGATGATGCGCTCGCCGCCGGCCGCCTCACGCTCCAGAGCGAGGACATGGGCGCGGGCGATGTCACGGACGTCGACGTACGGCGCACCGCCGACGAGCGCTGCGGGGTTCGTCAAGCCGTTGTACATCGATTTCGAGGATGTGTTCAGATCCGCGGGAGATTTCACGCCCTGGATGTCGGGCTGGAATAGGAAAAAAGGGTCAACCGAGAGTTCCAAACAGCTCGAGCAGGACTCACACCGAGGACGATCGGAGGGTTCAGCACTGAGAGATCGAACTTGGCCTCCGGGTGGTCCTTCATGAACTTCCACGCAGCTGAGACATCGATGAGGACTCGCGCAGCACGGGGAAAAGATTCTTTGCAACGCACCGCGCTCAGCCAGGGTCTTGCTGGCACAGTACTTGGCAACATTGTTGGCGCTGGCGCCTTTGGTCTCCACCTCGTGGACCGCCTGGTCATTCCAGTGTTCTTCCGTGAAGACCTTCGGCTTCGTGTTGGTCAAGTCGATGATGGACGCGCACGACGATGTCACGACGACGCGGCGGACATTGGAGCTGTAGAATCGATGAGGGACGTGTACGAAGGGCAGGGAGGATCGCGCGTACCCGTATTTCAAAGCACTCTGGAGCATCCCCACCGTGCCCTTGACCGCGGGCTCAATCAGCTCTGCGGGCGTTATGTGAGACTCAGACGCCGAGACTGGCAAAACGCCAAGCATACCAGAGGGCTCGGTCACATTGAAGTAGAACGGCGAGGCGGTGTGTGCGATCCCATCGACGCCCTTGACAGCCTCGTCGAACGCGCCCTCCTGGAAATCAGACATGAGCATCGTCGTCCCGCCACCTCGCCCGTGGACACGATCCACGCACCGCAGTGATATCGGACACAACCACGACCTCAAACTTGTCGCCATACGATTTGAAGAGCTCCTTGAGGTGTGCTCCTTTGCTCGCCGAACGGATAGTGCCGCGCACGGAGTAGCCTTCCTGCAAGAAGGAGCGGACCACCCACTGCAAGATCACGGTCAGCGATCTCGAGATAAGGAGCTCAGACGAGGGAAACAAACCGTGGCGAGGAATCCGTTGGCGCCTGAGACGAGGACTTTTGCAGCGGCAGAGATGGTAGGCATGTTTTTTCAAAGAGGTTCTGGGAGATGAGGAGGTGGAGTGAATCGAATGAGACCAGGACGCGTCAATGCACACTCCTATTTATCCGGGCTCATTCTGCTTAACACCTCGCACATTTTGCGGAAGATCGACACCGAAATGTAGATTTTCGGAACGGCATCTGGAATGCGTCACTCTGCCGCAAAGAGCAAGATGGCGTGGGAATTCGCGATTTGCTCTCTTTGTAATCCTTCGCAAATGACCTACGACGGCCAGTCGGCAGCCCAGGCAGAACTATGTTCCTCCTCCTCGGGCTCTATTTGACCCCATGCGCTGCGGTGAGCTAGTGACCCGCCCTCAGCCGCTGTTCGACGCGTCGTCTTCCTCCATGCATGATCATGTGCGTGCAGATGGGCTGGCGCTGGCTGTAAGCACCCCACGATTGCTCCCTCCAGGAAACCAGGGACGAGTCCTTGACGCGCCGAGTTTCGCCGTATCGCTTCGTGCTGCCTGGATACGACCAGGCCAACCCCGGGTTCTCAACGAGGCAGAACACGTTTTGGCAAGGACACAATCATGACCTCTCGAGCCGAGCCTTGATCCAGACCACTCACTGCACTACATCCCACGGATCGCGCCGAGTTGCCTGCACCATGCCATCTGTTCAGCTTCGTCTCCACCTCTCGCGCAGCGTGGCACTGCGTGCCTTCTCCGGCGAAGTCCTCATTTCCGCTACCTGCAAGGAGCGGGCCATATCCACGGCCCGTTGCTCGTCTTCGAAGCAGTGCACATGCCCGCCCATGGCCAACCGACGCGCTAGCGGGTCTTCATAGATTCATTTCCCTCTACCTCATGGCCGCGATTCGGCGCGCTTATCCGGGACCTGCGTACTCGAGTCCCCACTCTGTCCATGCCGCTACTCTAGCTGCTTCCGGTCACATCCTTATTTGCCTTGGAACAATCACCACCCACGACCTTCCCATTGTTCTACCGTAGCCGCGGTCATCTCTGCCAACGAACGGTACTTGATGCCCAAGATCCGGATACCCTTGGAGTTGTCGTACAGGAACATCTGCGTGAAATCCTTGCCCGAGCCCGGCTGACCCCTCTGGTACTTCCCAGACGCTACGGCGGCAGGGGGCAGGACGTCGACTAGCGGCCATTCAGCTTGCAAGCAGAAGCTGGGGAGAGAGAGATACGGAGCACGCACTGATATCCTGCCACGTAAAAGGCTTGTCGGCGGTGACGATCATCCTCTGTCCTCCCGCCTCCTCGCGTTGCAGACTGCGTACGTGCGCCAGAGCGATGTCCCGGACGTCGATCCACGGTCCGCCGCCAACGGGCGATGCCGGGTTCGTCAGGCCGTTGTGCATCGCCTTCGATGAGGTGTTGAGGTCGGCTGCCGACTCAATCGCCTGGATATCCGGCTGAGGGTCCTCAGCACCATCCTAGCAAACAGCACCCCGAGGGAACTCACACCGAAGACCAGGGGTGGATTGAGGACGGCGAGATCGAACTTGGCTTCCGGGTGCTCCTTCATGAAGCTCCACGCAGCTGGATGAAGACATGGCTCAATTGGCAAGATAGCAGACCAGCCTCCAACACGCACCCCGCTCAGCCAACGTCTTGCTGGCATTGTACTTGACATTCTGGCTTGCTTTGGCACCGAGCGACGCGACCTCCTTGATAGCGTTCTCGTTCCAGTCCGTCTCGCTGAAGACGGTGGGTGTCGTCACCGTCTCATCGCGGACGGAAGCGCATGACGACGTAACGACGACACGGCGGACATTCGTGCTGCGAAGAGGGGGTGAGAGATCGCAGTTGAATGTGTGGGGCCGCTCTAACCGACCCGCATTTCAATGCACTTTGCAGCATCCCGACCGTACCCTTAACCGCGGGCTCGATCAGCTCTGCCAAGCAGATGAGCACAATCCCAGACACGGCCGAGCACAGGCGCCTCACCGGCGGGCTCGTTTGCCTGGAAGTGGAACGGGGAGGCGGTGTGCGCGATGCCGTCCACGCCCTTCACGGCCTCGTCAAACGCGCCATCCTATCGCAGCGTCGCGTGTGCGCGTCAGACGAATAGGAACAGGGGGCTGCCGTGACGCACAGCCGTGATGTCGGGAACAATAACCACTTCAAACCGCTCGCCGTACGCGCTGAAGGTGTCCAGCAGGTACTTGCCCTTGTCGGATGACCGGACCGTCCCGCGTACAGAGTAGCCTTCTTCTAGGAACGTGCGGACCACCCACTACGCACAGCAGCTCAGATCAGTCGAGAAGACAGGGGACGATGACAGGACGGACGACGGCGATGAATCCGTTGGCGCCAGAAACGAGAATTTTACCAGAAGAAGACATGGAGGGCATTTTGGTCTGTAAAGATGGGGTTGTATTGAGGAGCCTGGGGATTATGTATGACTAGTATCTGCTCAAAGTTATCGATTACACCGATTGGTACTTGTCACGTAATCTGCTCCCTAAGTATCAGTAAGCTACTCGTCCCCTCTTCGATACGGTTGACAAACAATTTATAAGTGTGGGTAAACGGGGCCGGATCAGCTCGGCTTCTACACTTGTGATGTGATCAAAGATTCAGCACGCGCCGCGTCGCCTGGCTGCAGTTTTGGCGGGCCAAGCAAAGGAAAATGACTGTAATAGTGCACAGTGAGAATGAAACAAAGTATGTACGCATGAACTAGGAACTGTTGACGGAGACGTATCACGGATTGTACTTGGCCACCATATCAGGGTATCTCTCCATTGACTTCCTGCATGACAGTGTCAGGCACGAAGTAAACAGCGAAAGCACACGCCCAGCTTACCGGAGACTAGCCACAGAGTCCTTGGCGACCACGCCTTTCAGGATCCAAGGGCAAACCCCCCACATGCGCTCAACAACTCTGGTCTTTCCTGGACCCAAGTCTTCCAACTGCCGGCTCTTCCACACCCTGACCCCGGCACCCTGAACAGCAATCTCATACGCAGACCGGTGGTGTCCAGGATCCAGGATCTGCCACGACTTGACGGTCACCGTCTGCTGCACCAACCCAAATGCGACCGGGACTCTGTCGACAACCGTGAAGCAGTCCCGCTGGAGCCCAGTCCCTGTCTCCAGCTGGCTGATCCGCGGCAAGGAGCCAACCACGCCCAGGTCGAAGCTGGCGACCCAATCTGCCCCGTGATGGGTGAAGTCCGTGCCGAGCTCGAGCGACGGCTCGCGCGTGCCGACGAGGAACCGGCTGATTGCGCCGGCATCGGCTGGGAGCAGGATAGGCGCCACCGCCTGGATGGGAAATGCAAGTTCGATCGAGTGCGACGCGCAGAACATCGGGGACTGGCCGAGGAACCGTACACCCGTCACATCGAGCTTCGCGAGGTGTTCGAGCTGATCTTCCAGGTGCTCGCAAAGAGCATCGGGGTCGGGTATGAGGGCTTTGTCGGTGCAAACGGCCACATTCAGTGCCCCGTTGTAGCTGTAGACCGCGACTCCGACACCGATATTGTTCAGCCCCAGAGGATGACACCGAACCGTGTCGACCGGCACTCCGCCGATCGTCAGCGGTATCGCGGGTCCTCTCATGTTGCTAACGTAGCACGACACCGTCTGTGCATCCGCAGCAATCATGCCCAGTCGCATCCGGGCAGGAAGCCCACCGACAAGACGCGACGCCATCGCCGTCAGTCCAGTCCGATACCCAGATTTCGCCTGTCTCATGGTTTCGCGAACCCGAGCGAAACGCGCGAAGGCGTCGGGTTCGTCCACCGGCAACGGCACATTGAGATCGCTTAGATGGACTCCGAGGACGACATCGGGCGAGAGGTCCGTGGGCGAGAAAACGTCGACGGGCAATTTACATGAGATGTGATGTGAGCCGGCGGACAAATACTTCTGCAACGCGCCGCTGACAGCGGCTAGCAGGATATCGTTGATCGTTCCACCGCCCAGGCGTCCGGCAGAGGCCTTCAGGTCGTCTATCCTGAATGGGCGTCGAGTCCATGCGACTGCAGCTTCGCTGAGCGGCTCCCGGCGTTTAATAGCGCTCGTACGTTCCGGGGGCCGACTGAGATGCCGGAGATCCAGGAGGCTAGCAAGGGTCGATGCTCTTGCATGCGGCGCTATCCTCTCTCTCGGCGGCCGACTCTGGTCTGCACACCTCATGAGCAGATCGCTGACACCCCGTCCATCGGTGATAGCATGATGCACCCGAACGAAAACGACGGTCTCGAGATCACCAAGGTGGATGACAGAAACGTCCCAGGGCGGGCGCGAGAAGTCGACAGGAGCTCTGCCGAGCGCTTCGATCACGCTTCGAAGCTGGGCATAACCTGCACCATCGACTTTGTGTTCCCTGACGTGCATTGTCACGTCCATCCGAGCACACCGTTCCCAATAAGGTGCACCAGACGTAGGGACGACCAGGCGGTCCGACATCCGAGGCACCGAAGCTATCAGCCGCGAGCAGACCAGCTCTCGGGCACGGTCCAAGGACAAATTGCCACCCAGCTCTAGGACAGCGGGAATCATGGGATCGCGCATTCCGATGAGCAACCGGTCTGTCCATGGGACCCAATCTCTATCCAGCGACGGCTTGATCCAGTGGTAGAGCATCACCGATCCTGACAGCACTGGAATCAATGGAAGCCAAGGGAGGAGATCACCATGCGACGCACCGACTCCCATCAGCAGTGCTGTGACAATGCCTCGCTGATACAAAGTCAGGACGTTCACCAGGGCCAAGGCAACTCCAAGCACGGGCCGCTCTGCACGGCGCAATTAAGCATACGGATCGCCACCCGAGAGAGAATGATCCATCGACACACCTGAGCTTGGCGGCTGTTTCACATCTCGTGCCTGCAAGTGAGAGGTGTAATACCAGTCGATGAAGCTGGTCACATCCTGTGCATGCAAGGGTGAGATCTGCTGCACCCCGGAGCCAGTACAACAGACACACCAGTGCGATACGGGCAGGCAGGGATCTCTCCGCCAGCCACCTGGGGATGAGGCCCCCGGGTGCGCTGCACGTCACCAGCCGCCACTCGGTTTCTCCACCGGGAAGCCCCACGATCCGCTCGACGCATGCATAGCGACCGGTGATGGTGCCCGGGGGTGTTGTGCATAGATCATCGATATCAATAGGCACATGGACCACCCACCTATGGAGACTCTCAGCCGAGCTCCATGCACGAAGCGGTTCCATTCGATACTTACCCTGCGGGCGGACCTGCCGAGTCGTCGAGATGCGTGACTTGTAGCACGGTGAACACGCGCGGGGATATGGGCGCGGAGAATCCATAATCGAGGCGCCATATCGAAGCGGTGCGCGAGAGCGTCTTCACTAGCGTGACCTGCTTGATTTCGTGGATGTAGCTAAGCAGATGAGAAGGATAGTCGTCGAGCCGTGACGCGCCAGACTTACAGATCGTTGAACGCCTTCTTCGTCTCTATCCACTCGTTTCCCAGGAGCGCCCAAAACTGGTCAAACGGCAGAGGATGCCGACTGACGCGCGAGTGCCACGAGTTCCCGTCGGACCTGATTGCATGCGACGTCTGAACCTCCACTAGCCCGCGCTTGAAGAGCTTTCCCAACGGCCAACCCTCCGACTCCGCTGTTACCGACCGAGAGGCGGAGATAAGACGGGACTCGATGTCCGAAGGGAGGTCTGTGAGACCGGCGGCCTAGCTTCAGCGGGGAATGCGGACGGCAGCAAACGACGGCGTACTTACCGGATAGTCGATGGGGCGTCAGATTCAGCTCATACGCCGCATTCATCGCGTCGCGCTCTGGCAAGTTTCATCGCCTTACAGCTTGCGCGAGGGGACATATAGGCTTTGTTATGCATCACGAGGCGGGTAGACAAGGAGATAGGTCTTGATCGTTTCACAGAGTGCACCGCCAGCACTGAGCGGGCGTTGTCATATGCGAGGAGACAAGCCTGGAAAGCATCAGATGGCACAGCATTCATTGTATTACGATTAGACACACGAATCCTACAGGAGTGTATATGGTAAAGTAATCTCGGAAGAGTCAAGGCAGGTATAAGGAGAGGACGGAAAAAGTAATAAAAGAAACGAATGAAAAGTCCACAAACAGTCCTTCATATTCATAGAGTCGTGATGAGTCGCATAGAAAAAGGGTGGCGCATATATGGTGTAGACCGAATCGCAGTCTACCACGAACCGTGGACGGGCTCGTGGAAATGCGTCGTGGGGGATCCGGAGTGTCCACCATACGTCCACTCTTCTTCCGACTTGACCATGAATCGGTGCTGGGACTCAAACGGGTTGGTTGGCGCCGGGCAAGCGATGCGGGGCTCATGAGTCATCACGTCGTACTTCGCATACGCGATCTCGGGGCTCGGGTACGCCGGGGAGTACGGCGACGGGAACGAACCGCTGGAGGATGACGAAGACGACGGAGGGGACATGCCGTAAGCATAAGGATACGGGTGCGTCTGGCCGTGGGGGAACGCATGCCCGCTCTCGAACTCCTCCTCCTCGCCCGCATCGACGGGGTCGAGCTCGAGCTCGGCGCCAGTGAGGACGATCATGAACCCGTCGCCGCGCCGGGGCTCGGCGATGCATGGCATCCCGCTGCGCTGGCGCCACTGGTTCACCTCGGCGCGGAGGGACTCGGTTTCGGCATGCAGGGCGCGCAGCTGCTGGGCGGCGAGCATGCGGTGCCTGCGGGCACTGTTAATATACGCGATAGATGATTTTGTGATGGCGATGCGCGATGGTCGGCGCACTCCGGCCAGATTGGGGAGCATTGACGCTAGTTCCTGGAGGCACCAGATCAATAGCACGTCCATATACAGAAATCAGCAGGCATACCAGGATGCGTGCATTCAGCCTGTCCCGGCGCTGTCTCTCCACCGCATTGTGCGATGCGCGCCGCGCAGCGGTTTCCATCCGCTGCTTTTCCCGGGTGTTGTATTCCGAGTCGCTGTCCAGACTGCTGCGGCGGCTAAGCTGGCCAGAGAACTCTTCGATCTCTACGTCTGCCGGAGACAGCGAGAGAGAGGGGAGCACCAAGGGACGCATCATTATCGGGGACGTGGTGGTTTCTTCCGTGGGGAAATTGGACATGGTAAGTGAATAGCGTGATGTGTCGTCGAGACTGTTTTTCGTTAGGCCGCAATTATCTGCTCTTCGTCAGCCGGCATCCCATCGCGATGCTGAGTCCCGAACTCACTCCAGGCGGCAAAATCGAGTTGGGCGAAGAAAGAAAAAGCAAGAGAGGCTCGGGCGAAATTAGAAACGAAGAAGAGTGAATATGAGCCAACTCGAAAGTCTCCGTGAGCGTAAGAAGGGGAAAACGAAATGAAGGCTCCGACACCTCAGCTTATATCACTGCAGGTTAGATCTTTGATGGCCTTCGTCTTGATGTCGTGTAATCAGTGTCTGTAAGAGCCTGACACCGCTTAATCAGAGGACATGATGATAAGTGTGGAGTTATTCCTGACTGGATACCTAGTCAAAACTGTGCCTTCCCAGTCACACTTCGTCTCGCCGATCTATACCGAGAGAGCGTCCACTGTGCAAATTCTCGTCAAACGGAACTTTTGAGCGCCAAACTCCGAGGGGCCGGCTGGGTATCATGGGACTTCTGCAGCACGCACTCCGGAAGATCGCATGTCGAGGAAAGAATGATCGCGGCGTCAAGAACTGTCTCTTCCCACTCCCATGGACGACTGTGATCGCGTTTGAAGGGGGCAGGAACTGGCCGGAGGAGTCATCCATCACTGGAACACCTCGGGGGTCAGGCCCTTCACATGACCGAGGATCTGCAAAGGAAGCAGAGCGGGTGGATGCAATTCCCGGAGATTTCGTCCGAGAGGCGGCAGAAAAAACCGACGACACCGCAGGCCGCAACCAGTCGCACGGATCTCCAAGATGGACACCAGCCTGTAATAAAGATTCTTCACCATCGAAACACATGCGCTTCGGAATCCACTGGCACTTATACGCATCTCCAGCTAGCGTGGATCCGCATTTGGGCGGTCCGGCCTGAGACGGTGCCGACCGATGAGGCCGATAGTAGCCATGGAATCTTCAATAATCATTCCAATGTTGGGGGAATGTCCGGAGCGACATTGACAGGGGCAGTCAACAGCAGTATTCGGCATCCAGAATGTGTACATCGACCGTCAGATCAGCGCAGTCACGGATGTGAATCAGCAGCTCTGACAGTGGGCACCGGAACCTTCCCACTGTCCTTTTCTTCGGCACTCTCATGAGGGAAGAGAGCGGTGACCCGTCTTACATCGCTCAGGCGCATGAAGGAAGTCCAACGAGGGTGTCCTGGAGGGTGGAACGATTGGGCCGGTGTCGCCGATCTTGAGCTTGCAAGTCACGAGAAACTCTCAGTACACAAGTGTAATTCCATCATGCATCCCAGTGCGTGACCTCCAAAGCCTGGTAGAACGCGTTACGTGTTTTGAGAGTGATGGTAGCTGCAGATGGGCCGAAAGACAAATTGATGACATAATAATATTAATAATGTTCTAGTAGATTATGTAATATATGTAGCCGGACAGGCCTGCTAAAACGGATATCACGCTTGAACAGACCTGAATAGGTCTCAAACGCGGGTGCGTAGTGCACAGTGTACCCTATTTTAAAACACGGTGGGTGGCGTATGATTCGTAGGCATCTGGGGTCCTACGATACGGGAATGTGCCTTTAGTGAAACAATCGAAGGAGTGGCAGTTGAGAGCCCCCAGAACCGAAATAGCAAAAAGAGGCGATCGGAGGAGGCGCAGTCTTTCCGTGATCCGTCCCTTTCTCGCTCGGATGGTTAGCCGTAGATTAGTCAAATGGGCCAAGAAACTGCACATCGGGATACATACGGGAAAATTAAAGTTCCGAGAGTCCTATGGATATTTGCACGATGTTTCCATCGGTCCGTGAAGAGGCGCTGTTGAAGAGATGAGTTGCGATGCCCGATAGACACCGCAGACCCTCCTGCACACACATTGAAAGATGAATCCGCAAGGCGGGCGTACAAATAAGCGCACGGGGCCACATGCAGCGAACGCCTATCCAATTATCACCTCTCTGTCTGTCCCGAAAGCTCGTCTGTATGTCTTTTTCTGCACCCGGAAGCCACAATGCAAACGCGGGACGGTGTCGAGTCAGAGGTACTGTGATCTGGGACCGAACGCGGGACGGTGAATCGTTGAGCGGCAAATCTCCGTGATAGTTGCCGATGGTCACTGGTGCCGCGATCTCTGCGCCTTGGACGACGGCTTCCTTAGTCGGCGCGAAAGGAGTCGCATACTGTACATCGACATGAGAATGTCTCTTTGGTCAAAATGACTCGGGGAGATCAAAGTTGGTCGAGTCCCAGCACAAGGACAAGCCCGATCATCGAACCAAATATGTTTGACAAGGCCATGGCGAAAGTGGGGGATGGTTAAAGTATCGAAATTGGAGGTGGGAACGCGAGGTCTGTTCACGAGTTCAGAACATGAGATAGGTGGTTTCTGCTGCCGTTTTGACCTTGCAGCTTACCGCCCATGCAGCTCCTGGGTGGGCGGTAAATCTCAGAGTTGAACTCTCTGACACTATTGCAGCCTGTTGCCGTCTCAAGGGAAGGAAGAGGCGAGTGAAGACCACGGGTTCATAGCGGAAGGATTGACGATATGCTGTGGTCTACACAGTGTCAGCACAGACGAAACGTCCAGCAGGCCGTCTTGCTAATGAAAGAGGCGGATACATTCCTGTTCTTCTTTTTACGGCAAATGTTTAGAAGGCCTCGCTTCCGCAGACACGCATCTCAGGAAGACACGGGTCATCGGATTCGGAGTCCCCCGCGCTTCCTCCGAACGATCATAACGGCCCTGTAAAGACTTGTAAGCGATCGCGAAGAAGCAGGTTCTTGAACCGTCATAGGCTGCCGTTGTCTTTTGCTCTTTGCGGGCTGCAATCATCACAAGCTGAAGATGCACCCGGATACCGGCGACCTCGTGCGTATGGACTTGACTTGCGTCTCACGCGTTGGCTCCGTTGACTTGGTAGCACAGGCGCTGCAGTTCCATCCTTCGACTGCCCTGGGCCGGCATCAGACACGCATTCGACGGCTCTGAGACGCACGTCCCAAAGGCTCGAACTGGCGGCCCGGCCGGGGCACCCTTCTTACCCGCAAACGCAAAGGTTCTTCAACAAGGACATGTGCCATCATCATCTATCCTGAGACGCCCGGCTCTGAGCGAAATCGACAGCGAGCGCTGGGGCGAAAATTCGGATTGACCGGGAGAAAGGACCGGAGCCAGCGGGAACCTGTCCCTGACTGACAAACACGCTCTCGCCGTGCATCAAATGAAGTCCAGTCGGCCAATGGGCTGTATGTGCGAGGCAGAGGCAAAACTATCAGTGAAAGCTCAGAGTCCGAAATGAGATTTCAGACCCAGTCCACGTGTTGACCTGCCTCCAAGTTAGCGCCTTGTTCGACGGTGACGAGCCAATCACCACACAGGCATCAGCGCTCGCAGTTCATTCGTGCACGGTCGACTCGGATCCATGCGTAGGCAGCGCATGTCCTCCACGTTTCCTCACAGTCTATTCCCATGCTGTCGAGTGCCTATTTAAGATTTGGAAGCTGGAAGGACGCCTGAGCGTCGGGAGCTGTGATAGGGACCCACGCAGATGATGCGAGGTTCGTATGTCTGGCATCGTCTGCACTCATTCCAATTCCTTGAAGACGATAAGTCACCCATTGGCCTTGTTCATTTTGGGGTCGTTGTTGGCTCGAATGTGTACTGTAAGCAACCCTGACCAAGGCGCAGTACTCTTTCGGAACACAGGCCCGAAAGACATTGGACCGCCGTCGGCGATAAGATCGGGTAGATCAGATTACCAATGGGATGATGCCGCTATGATGTCGTGTGCCTTTTTTCTCCCCAGCCACTCCGCCAACACGATGCTCGCGCCTGGCCGACGTGGGATCCCCCCCTACGCATGTCTTTGTAATAACTCCGGGCGCGTGTGATGACTCCCAAGCTTTGCCCCCCCGATCAGCGTCGCCCTTGCGACGCACCCTCATTTTTCTCCAAGACCATCATGGAAAATCTTGTCGGAACGCCCGCCCTGGAAAATTTCCTCGGACACCCTCCGGCAGCGCCCGACACGGACTCGGAGAATCTCATGGAAGGTGAAAATAATTTTCGTGGGCCTCGCGCAGGTATAAAGGTCCAGGCGATGGGCATGCCTTTCTCCCCCAAGGACTCCCGCCTGCGCATCCCCCATCAACTGTTCTCTCTGCGCTTTCCCCCATGCCTTCTATCATGCAGCAAATCAGCATCTTCCTCCTCGTCGCGTTTCTGAGCGCGTTTACGCGCGCCGCCGCTGTGTCACTTCCCCGGGACACGGCAAGCAGCCTGGAAAAGCGGATCACGCACGTCGGCAGAGTGAGTCCTCATCCTGGTCTCGCGTGTTCCGTGCACTCAGTCCCGATACAGGGCACCTGGTACAACCCGAGTGCCGGTCAAGGTGCGATCCAGCCGTTCTATGCCATCTCCAGCACCGCGCTAAGTTCATTCCAGGCAACTGCGGCTTCTGGGACAGCGACGCGAGCCCGGTCGTGGCGATCTCCCTCCAGCGGTACGACTCGAACAACGGTGGCAACTGCAACCAGGTTCGCGCGCCGCCGCCCCGTGTTCCCAGACTCAAGTGCACTCACTGATGACCGCGTTTTCAGTGGATCGAACTGACGAACACGGCAAACGGCAAAGTCGCGTACGGCCAGACGCGCGACAGCTGCCCCTCCTGCGACACCTCTTCGCTCGGTGCGTTTGCGTTTTCCGCTGTGGTGCGGAGGCTTTGCGCAGTGCTCACATCAGGCAGACATGTCGCCGTCGCTGTTCCAGCAGCTCGCCCCGCTGTCGACGGGCGAGATCCAGGTCTCGTGGCATTTCATGAATGCCGACTGGTCTCCGTGAACGTGCGTGTGTGCGCGGGCCAAAAATATCGCGGACGAGAGAACGCTCGCACGCCGAGCCATAGACGAATAGAGAAGATGCTCGAAGCATCCACCGTGGAAGACCCAAAAGAACTGCTGCACCGGTTTGCCAGTAGCTTAAATGTACAGATCCAACTTGAATGTCATAAATGTGTGTGTACCGCCGTCAGATCGGCTCTGAATGGCAGCGCATAAGTCGGCCCTTTCTCATGAGGGACGCAATCCATCAGCACCAAGCCCCGGCCCATGGACACTCAGCCGTCGGCGGGGGCAGCGATCCTCTCAGCAAGCAGGGACTGATGCACAGACGATTCGCGAAGCACGGCGCAGCGGCATTTGCCGCGCAGACTGGATGATGGGCGCCATGGACATGTGGTGTGGGGCAAGGATCGCCCATTCATTGAGATTGACAGAGCATGAGAACGAGAAGTAAGCCTTTGTTGTGCCCATGTGGAGCTTCCCAGATCTGACTTCTAAGGCCACTGAGGGAGGGGAAACATCGACTGCACATCATGGAGGATTCGGGAGGGAGGTAGGGCACTGGAATCCCTTTGACTCCGTCCGAGCGTGTGCGCCGTAGTAGCCAAGCATTCGGACATCGAGAACGCGCCGAACTGCTCGAGAAGTGTTTGGCGGCAACATCCGGTCTGGAAACGCACCCCGGTACTGGTAGACGGAAACGTCCAGTACTTCATGCATAACCGCGCCGACCCAACCGTTGATAGCATTGGCGATTCGCGGAAACGCCTGGGTCAACATCAAAAAGGGAGCAAACTGGTCAAGACTGTGAGGGGGAAAGACGCAGATACCGTTTCAATGATATGTCAGTAGTACCGTACCCCAGACCCAGGCCCAGTTCCTCAGTCATCAGCTACCATCAGTGACTGGGTCCGGCAAGGAAGTAGAAAGAGGTCAAGCTGGCATGAAAGGAATGTTCATCGGCTGTCATTGGAGTGTAGGATGTACTAGTCGTGCCAGTGTGAGGACCTGTCAGGGCTGTGGCCTTGGCCGCAGGTGCGACTGCAATACTTGGTGGAGCCGTGATTCAAGATCCTGCGTTTTCCGGTAAGCACCCAGCCCAGACTTTAATCGAGGCAGACAAATGGAAGATACGCACGGTGCAGGAGGTCAAATGGCACCCCCATGCGTGCCCAATACCCCGTACGACATTGGAGCTGGAACAAGCGAAACGACGCTCGGAGAGGGGGGGAGGGGAAAGAAGGTAAAAGGAGTCAAACACGTCGAAACCCACACCAGAAATTCAGTTGAGCACTCCACGTAAGCCTCACAGAGCAAAGGCACAAAGACGATGCGTAGTCGAAGTCGCAGGTGGAAGGCTGTTCAGCCGGCAAGAAGGGGAGGAGACAATTAATTGAGATGGGCTTAGGAAGGGCGTTAATTCCGTGTCAGGGAGGACAAGGAGGGCAGAATGCTGTCGGTAATGAGCCCTGAGCCAGAGCGTCAGTCGGTTCACATGGGGGGCTAAGCTGCGAGGGCGGCTGGCGACGCAAATTGGGACGATTTCAGGTTTGACAGAAGATATTCGACATGTCGGTACATGCCTCCCTACCCGGGACTGGCCAAGGAGATGGGTCGCAAGAATGACATTCCTCAAGGCTTGGAGGTGCAATGTTTGCCAGTGTGTCTGCATGCATCCTGATGGGGGGGAAACGACGACTCAAGATAAGATAAGATGGTGTGTGCAACTTTACAATGTTCGTGAGTACTTGAGACCTTTATTGAGAATTAATGTGACAAGAGCGCTGATGCGAATTTGGGCAGACATCGTCACTTTCCACCCGAGCACCTGGAGCACAACGTCCCGACTCTGCCGCCGAAGACACGGCGGGGGCGACTGTCCATGCTGGATGTAGGAACACAGAGATAATGAGCGATCGAGGACAAATGAGTGATGGAGCCACTTCGAGTGGCGCTCACCTATCAATGCAGATCGAGCTGCAGACGTGCAGTCCTGTCGGGTGTCGGACGCTGAATGCGCAACGCTGTTTGCCGCAATCCTCCTGCAGATGAAATATCCACGTGAGTTGCGAGGCGGACAGCATGAAAGCGAATCGCCCACCTGCGAGACGACCCCATCCGTCTCTTCGTGGTTGCAAGCGTACAGAATATACGTGATCGTCTTGTAACACATTTCCGAGTCAAGTTTGCGGCAGAATGCAAATGGGTTTTTGAACACCAGTGAGGTCAGAGCTCTCAAAGCCCTGGCTTTATATCTATAACGAGGCTCGCGGATGGCCACAGGCGACGGCTATCGCCGGCAAACCATTGCGCCAATCGAGAGCAGGCTGCTTGCTGGACCTCTTCTTGAACTGAGGCTCATCGCGAACCTCCGTTTCGTGGGGCCTAACCTGTGGTTTCTCCGCGTCCAGCATCAAGGCCTTTGGCCGAGATGTTTGTCGCTCTAGACGTTCGGAACATGCTTGGTGTCAGAGCGGTGATCAGGAATGGGCATTACTTCATGCGGAGGGCGATAAGGACTCCGGTTCAAAAAGTCAACATCGCCGAGCTGGATACTCATCATCAGAGCATGTTGGAGCTTCACACGTTCACAGAAACATCGCATCATATTTCGCGCTCCCATCCAATGCTTTCCTACTGCGGCGACCCTGATTTCGAACTTGTTCGCGCAACGGGAGAATCTGATCCAGACACCACGTGTGAGTCACGACGACGCAATTGAGGTTCGGAGAAGTAAGGGGTGATGTAATTTCTACTTGCCTATGAATGAAACTGCATCCAGAAGGGATGCTCGGCCCAGTCTCCGCTGATTCGTTCAGGGCGAACATGTCTGCCGGCGCAGTTTGGCGCCATGTCGACGGACCGCTCCAGGAACCAGAGCTCAGACACGCCTGCGCTCCGCAGATAGCCGCGGATCTTGCCGTAGTTCAGCGCGACAGCGTGTGGTCCGTGACTATCGTCGGAGAGTGTCAGACGCCCCCCACTCGCCACAATGATCTATGCGTGACAGCTGTGGCTACGGGTCCAGAGAGCGTTCATTAATCAGCACGCACCTCCAGAATGTCCCTCCCGGGGTACGGTGTCTCCCAGTTCTTCCGCAGGGCAGCCGCATTGACCTCGAACAGCGCGCCATATTCAATGGCATACATGATATTGCGGCGCGCGCGATCGAGCACCTCGGGAAACTCCGAAAAACTCAACGAAGGAGTGTAGAGCCGGCACAGATCGAAGTGGCCCACGACCTCGGGTTTGAAGCGCTCCAGAAGCTCGAACTGGGAATCGAAGTACGCAATGAGGAAGGCCTCGTCCTTGCCCCTGGCACCGGCACTGGCTCCAGGACTCAGATCCTCGGCTCCATGCCCATCACCACTACCAGCATCCACGCTGTCGACCGCCTTGCGGAAAGTCGCCTGGTCGAAATCGATCGGAATGGCGTTCACGTGGTGCACGGATCCAACGAGATACTCCACGCGCGGGTGGTGTTTCCGCAAAAGGTCCTCGAGGCCCGTCACGTCGTCGCGCGTGATGTGCTCCGTCTCCAGCCCAACCAGCAGCGTGATCTGCTCCGCGTACTTCGTTTTCAGCCGGTGCGCCTCGTCCAGGAAGCGCGTGAACTGGAGCATGAGGTCTGCGGGCTCGATCCCTTGCTACATCGCGTCGGTCGCTGGTATGAGAGGCAGCAGAAAGAACGGGGCGGCACCTCCTCGGGATACAGGTCTTCGTTCCGGTATCGCGGCACATGCTCGGTTAGCCCGTAGACGGCGAAGCCTCTCCGAATTGCCTCCAGAACAACTTCTTCGAGGGATCCGACCGCGTGTTTGCAGAATTGCCCGGAGTGGGAGTGCAGGCTATGAGGCATCAGGGCAGGCGGCAAGTGTTGGGTGGGTGAGAGAGATGTCACAGAAGTGTCATGACGATCGAAGATCAGCGACAATGAAGTTGGAGAGCAATTTAGTGTGCGTGTGGGAAATATCTGTCCATCCAAAAATACTACTTCGGCCACTCTCTGGACTTGACCGGAGTCGAACCGATGACCTCCCGCACACCAATCAATGCGAAGCGGACGCGCTACCAACTGCGCTACAAGCCCTGTGATGACGTCATTCAGCGAGATCAACCATACTTGAGATTCTTTCCACTACATCTCATGGTTCAGAATCTATTATCATAACTTGGCAGCGAATTTTCTCCTTCTCTCCCACTCCTTTCCTGCCAGCGCTCTCAAATCTGCTTTGACCACCTTCCCGCTCGCATTGTGCGGCAACACATCGAGGAAAAGCACCATCACAGGCACCGCAAATTTGGGCAGTCTACAATCGCACCACGATTTCATCAGCGCTAGTACCATTAGAATGAATGAGACCTCACCGTTCCCGCGCGAGCGCAATGAGTCCTGCTTCTGTGATCTTCTCTCGGAACTCTGGAGACACGGACACGACCGCAGCGACCAGTTCCCCGAGTTTTATATCGGGCACGGCGACCGCAGCAGCTTCCTGAACACCTTCAGTGAACAGCGCGTTCTCCACGGACGTAGAGTCGATGTTCTCTCCGCCGCGGATGATGATGTCCTTGACTAGAGAGCGTGTGTCAGTTTTCTGTTCGAGCTGAGGAATGATGCTAGAAGGAAAAACGTACTTCGGTCCTTGATATACAGGAAACCCTCCTGGTCCAGTAGGCCGAGATCCCCGGTGCGCAGCCATCCGTCTTTCGTGAGAACCTTTGACGTCGCCTCTGGAAAGAAACAGTGAGACATCAACCGTAATTGGAAGAGACTAAGCGGTGATCGCACTTGTATCGCGCCAGTACTCCTTCATGACATTGGGTCCGCGAATCCACACCTCGCCGACCTCTCCGGCGGGGACTGCTCTCCCCTTGGCGACGATGGAGATTTCGTTGACAGGTGGGGGAAGACCACTGGAAGACGCTATCAGCGTAATTATCATCCTGAAGAGTGGAAACACACCAGCTTGTAGGTCTTGCGAGATAATCTTCGCCCGCTGCAACGAGGTAAGGGGCCCTGATCCAAAGATTTGATAATTTCCTCACCGAAACTAGTCGCAATCGCATTGCATTCGGTCATTCCGTATCTGGAGGTATGTCAGCGCAAGATAAAAGCAGCCTGGGTTCTACCCCAGCTCTCACCCTTGACTCCTACGCAACATTTGAATAAGATGAACACGTTGTATACGACCAAAAAACTCACAATGTGACGGAGGGGAAAGCTTTCCTAGCTCTGGCCGGCAAGCTTTCGGGAGCCGGTGCGCCGCCCAGCGAGAGACCCTCTATCGGGTAGTGCTGCTTAGCAAGGATGGTTTCCAGCAAGTCTCCTGGCATCGAAGGCACTCTGCACGTTCTCAGATTACAGACCGGATGATTTTAGCAAGAAACTTACCCTCCGGCTGATGTCAATTTCTCCTCGATGATAACGCTGTTGCGCACGGATGTTACAACGGAGGAGGATTTAAATGGTTTTTTTACGTACCGAGCTGCTTCTTCTGGGACCCATTTCCGGATCAAGACCGCCTTAGCGCCGCCAAAGGTCGCCATCATCTATGAGAGGACCATGAGCTCGCATGCGCGCACCGGCTAAAAAGACGGTTACGCCGCACCATATGCGAAGTCAGCTGCGCGCGGTGTCAGTAGGACGATATCAAGCAGGATGGTTACTCACGCCCTGGGCCCAGTGAATCGACGTCAACCGGGAAATCTGACTGACGTACCGTGACATGGAATAACGGCACAGAGATCAACAACCCCGGCTGGGGTGATCCCGGAGCGGGTACCGGGATCTCTTCCCCGCGTCGAAGAGCAGCACGTCGGCGAGCGACGATGGCCTGGGCTTCTCTGAGTCCAACTTTTTACAATCGAACAATGACGCACATTCAGAATGTTCGTCCCGAATTGCCTCTGTGTGCTGAGCACACCCTCTTGAGCGAACGAGTCAGATTTTCAAGGTAGGAGATCGGTTCCTCGACACTTACTCGGGAGTCCTGTTGTCTGGTTTCGGATTGTCAGCAGCGTTGAAGCGTCCAGATGGCACGTACCCCCTGTGGAAAGGTGAGGAGAATTGAAAAGGCTCATCGGCTGCGCACTCACAGATGTGAACATGATGGTTGCATTGTCCTCGGGATGTATGTCAACGAAATCCGGCTTCAGAATTTCACTCGTGTCTTTATCATAGGCCGCCATGACCTCGTCCCAGCAGCGCATGCCTTTCCACCGGCGTCCTTTGTCTTCATGACTATTCAACACAAGAAGACTGGCCCCGCCGAGCTTCCCGGTCGACGGCTGCAGCCGCTTGGCTCGTTCGCAGTCGAGCACAATCAACTTGCACGATGTGTGTGTCAAGCAGTGGATTAGCGGGACGGTCGGGAGCCACCTGTCAAAGCGATGGTCAGCCGTGGGGCACGCGGGAAGCGGCATGGCACACACGCGTTGGTGAGCACAGCTACGGCCCCGAGAAGCTCTGGTCACACGCCTCCATCAGCGCGAGAAGGTCAGCGAGTGCAATGCGGCTTACGACAGGCGTAAAACGCAATCATGTAGTCCGGGTAGTTGCGCGAGCAGATCCCGACGCGGTCGCCTAAATGCAGACACGATTATCATGATTTTCTCAACAGGCAGTGAGACTTGCCTTTTCGGATGCCGTAAACGTCCCGGAACACGGCAGCCGCAGTCAGCGATTTCGCCAGCGCCGCCTTGTATCTGGAGCGGCTCAGCAGCGTGCTCGGAAAGAAGAGCTCCAAACACACGTGTAGCGTTGATCCTCGAACACCAGATACACACGATCCTGCGATCCGTTCTCGGTCGGCCGACTCTCCGGATAAGTGTAACGACGTACCGAGTACGTCGTCGCGGCCCAGAGCCAGAATGCGCGTAACGAGGGCCACTGGTTCTTGTACACGCGCAGAATCCGTCCGTCGACGAGTCGCTCCTCCACCTCCAGCGGAGTTCCTTCCATTCGCGTCCAGCAGTCGAACCCGCAGCAAAAAAATTAGTCGGGCTCACCCGGTGCGGTCAACAATGCGTTCACTAGAACGCGAGTCAGGACTGGTGTTTTGAGCTTTGGATAGAGATGTCGGACCTTCAGCAAGACTGCGTTTGGGACTCCAGGGCTCTGCCATGGTGGGGGTACTTGTCAAGAGAGATTCTCGGAATTCGGCTCCCCTGACTGCCGGCGTCGCCTATGTCATATCTGCCCATCAGAAGCCAAACTCATGCCGCGTCTCGTGATCGCGGTGCCCTGATGGCCGGGCCGAGCGTAGTTGGTTGTGTCTGTCCAAATTCCACCGGACGGCCGAGTGCTCAGATTAGACATTGTTGTGTATGTGTGCAGTCCTGTTTGATTATCAGAGCAGAAAGTCGCAGTCAAAGTCTTCTGCAGTGGTCACCATGGGCAAGACTGCGTGCAAGTGAGAAACTTATAGACATGTCATTTGTCATTCGGACTGAGGCTCAGCTCGAGTCTTTCCCGGGTCGAAGGGCCGTTGCTAGGTTTTAGGAACATCAAGGTAGTCGTACAGAAGCTGAACCAGGCAGGTTGCTAGTTATAGTTAGCTCTAGATTCTCCTCAAGCCGAAAGTCATTATCAGCATGAAATAGGATCACAAACAACTAGGAAACTAGACGGTATCCGTGAGTGTCAATGCCATCAATTTTATGCAGCATTTTTGGTCTCGAGTGTGGTTCTACGACGTGAGCAGCCAGCGTAGCAGTTTCCACCACTGTCACTGTGCGGTGGCAATCAATATAATGAACCAACTTGCAAACCTTTCTTGGACTTCGTGGTCTAATGGTACGATAGCCACCGTCTCGGTGCAGAGGCGCGAGTTCAAACCTCGCCGGAGTCCAGATCACTTCATATTTCATTATGTTTTTCTCGACAACGCATGGATGCATTGAATGGGCTAAGTGTCAAGCCGTTGAGCTGCCGCCGACCAAACAACATATTCCACACATCATAACACGTGTAGGATGCACATTGGCTCTCTTTCAACTTACAAATTTGATAAGTTCCGCGACTGACTTATCACTAGTTTGATGTATGCACCATGACCTGACTCCAGCCACTGATTTTTGGCCGTCTACTGTCATTTTCACTGTCTTGACTAAGCGCGGTCGACGGTAAGGGCTGCCGGCCCACTGAGAGATCGGGGCTCAATATTTAATTCCCGTTGGAACACATGCTCTGTCAATTTTGTTAAATTTATGACAACTCGAACGCCTTGACCTGGGGTGAAGACAGTGTGCCCACGTAGGGACTCGAACGGGAAATGGACTTGACTTTTGACTGTATAGTTCCCGACGGCATATTCCGTGTGCTCAGGCACCTGGCCGTTGATGCTCAGATCGCTCTTCAATGCTCGGGCTGGACGTTCCAAGATCCACGAGGGAAACTACGGACCCGCTGAGGCAGGAATGCGAATTCAATTATCGCATGTGCCCAATGTCGCGCGGATGTTGGGTCCAGACCGTTCAGTGACATACCTTCCCCGATATGGAAACCGGCTTGGTCTGGATTTCCGATCATCGATTTCTTTTCCAGCCTGGGACGGAGCTTCTTGGCAACCACACTCTCCGTTTCGCATAAACCCCTCGGCTCAGAGTCACAGCGATCAGAAGACGCACGGCGGCCGTGGAATGTTGATGATTTCGAGCGACCTAAGCGCAACAAGAGGTACAGGAGTTGGGGGTGGAATGGAATGGGAGGGCGTGTGAGCTCATCCCGCAGCGGCAATCGCTCATGACCGCATGTACGTGCAAGGTCCGCAGTTCGAGCGAGGTGTTTTGAGCCACCTCTATGCAGCCTCTGTACTCCACGGCACGTCTTCGCGGAGATGTCAAAATGAATTACCAGGCAGGCTGCTCGAGCACTAGCTCCTAAAGCCTCTTGAGATCGCCAACTTTTAACCGCACGGACCGAAATGGAAGTGCTCACCACCCTCCCCCCATCATGCCTTTTGTCGACATCGTCAGCTCTGGTGGTCCTCTGAGCGTGGCGTATACGATCTCCACGCCTTCAGCCGCGTCCGCCAAGAGTGTCGTTCCTGGCTTACCGGTCGTGGTGTTCCTCCATCCAGTTTTCATTGGGCAGCATGGGTTTCACCGTGTGTCTCGCCTCCTTACTTCTCCCCCGCCCTCCGCTGACCGCGAGCGATACAGCCCAATTCGCGGACCCACAGCTTAGGCGATTCAACCTCGTCGCGCTCGATCTCCGCGACCACGGCGCATCTGTCGGAACGGTCAAGGACGATTACGGCGTCGCGTCGGCGGTGGACGATGTGGTCAAGTTCCTGGTGCGCACATACCGTTGCTTTCTCGCGCAGCTGGTGAACGCTTGGGACACCCGCCTAGGAAGCACTGAAGCTGCCCCCGGTCCATCTTGTCGGGGTCAACTATGGATCGCTCATCGCGCTCGAACTGGCGGCCTTATGGCCCCAACGCGTCCAGTCGCTCACCCTCGTCTCGCCACCGGCCATGGAGGAGGTCAGCCCGCCATGTCTGCATCTCCTCGAGATCTATCGAGTAGCTGATCCTTGTGATAGCCTGAAGACGTTGCCGAGGGCCGGAGGGAGATCTACGCGTGTTGGCAAGCGGGATTCCCACCCGGCCAGCCGCCAGATGAAATAGCACTCCTCGACGCTGTATGCGGGGCGCTTCAAGTCGGGACCAACAACCAGCAGTCGCCCCTCATATCCGCGTAAGCGCCAGCATCATCCTCATCACGCCTTTCGATTGATTCCTTGTTTGTGTAGTCTGACGAAAGTCACCCTCGCTGCGGCGGCACACAACTGGAGCCCGCCGAGGTTGGAAGAGCTGTTCTGCGCCACCGCGCTGTTTTTCATCAACCGGGACCGGCCGACATTGGAAGGGATCACTGCCCCGGTGCTCCTCGTGCATTGCGGTGAAGACATCGCGTATCCCAGGGCAACGACCGTGGAGCTTAAACATGCTCTCGAGAGCGCCGGGGTTGCCCATGTGAAGCTGGAGGATGTTCCTGGTGCTGTCCAATGGGGTCATCTCACACATCCCGGAGAGTGCGTACATCATGTTCCCGTTTGGAGGGATGCTGATAGGATAGCCTGGTAGGATCAACAAGATGATTCATGACATGGTCGTTGATTGCGCGATTGAGAAGGATGTACCGCTCGCGCCTCGGAGTGTTGTGTCCCCGTTTGGCGAGGATCTCGGTCAAGCAGGGTTGCGTGGGGAGGATGAGGAGTCAGACGATGACGAATCATCTTGAATGTCTTCTTCTCTCTGGTTTTTTTATGGTCCCTCGGCATGATATACCCACCTTCGACACGCCCAATGTAACAGTGCCCTGTGTGCTTATCATAGGGTGAGGCACATTCTCCGGGGTGTGTATGATGCGCCCTCGACAATCCAAGCTATTCCGATTCCGATTCGAGTCCTAGAAAGCATATGAAACAGTATTGGACTGAAGAGCTCTCTTGCCGGCTGTTTTATTCATCTCTATCTCAATAACTCTCATTTCACGTGATCGCGTTTGGCCGGCCCGGCTCGTCTTGCTGTGTCTGTCGCAATCAGGTTGCTGTGTGCCAAGAATTCACTGAGCGGAGCACTCATTCGATTACGAGTATCCTGTCTTCAACGCAGGGTAATCGGTGGCCGCAACTGATGGTGCTTACTCTACTTCAACCCGGGAATCTCCGTAAGGCGGTGCATCAAGCGCGTACTTGCTTCTGGCAACAACCACATCTGCCTGTGGCGTGCATTAGACGCTTTGGGCTCACATGAGCAGCGGTTCTGGACGGATGGATAGGGCCCCCATCGTGATCGAGTTGATGGATATCCGCGCGCGAGCGGCACACTATACTTGGGTCGGTTTGGCCTTGGACGACTGGAAAGGGAATGCTTATGCTGGGTCTAGCTATGTGACGGCGTCAACGACGTCAGCGCGCGGCTTTGGGGCGTCAGCCACTCTGTAAGCATCTAGGCACTTGGCATCATCACCCAGTGTCGCACTCAGCATGAGGAGAGCACTGGACGCTCTACCACCGCAGCGGCCTTATTCCGTGCTTCCGGGTTCTCAGACCAGATGTGAAGATCAATCAGACCTATACTTAGTGTGACTACAAAGACTGATTAATGGACAGCTACGGCGCACTCTCTCCCCTCTCTGCGACGGCGCGCTCCATGGTATGCCGCTCCCCCTTGGCCTCAAGGTCGCATGGCTGGCGCTCTCTGGCTCCGGTGAGATACAGCACCTCGTCTGTTCCTCGGAGACTCACTGTGTGCGCTACGAACGCAGGTGTAATTAGTTGCTGGGCCGTGCTTATCCCCCTGGCGTGGAGAATGCAGAGTTATTGGGGCCCAGTCGGATACGCACTGGGCGTTACCGTCCTCGAGGGTTCTTTTATCTTGGGTGCGTGCTCTTGGTGCTCGTTCTATCCCGAAGCTCATGACATGAAGGGATGTCACGGCGGGGGCTAGATCCCCAGCGGTCCCCGGTGGGCGTTTGTCTCGGTGAGCTGTGCATCCTGCCTCGAACTCCGCGCTGTCGACTGATCATCTGTGTCTTGCACCCAGCACAAGTGCTCGTGATCGGATTCTCGACGTTCTTCATAGCAGGGATCCTGGCGGCTCTGACGACGGCTACGACGATGCACATCGCAAAGCCAAAACGATGGGGTCCTGGATCGGATGTCAAGTGAGTTTGTTGGCAGATGGCAGATACTTGGATGCGGGAGGCTGATACATCTTCGGTGCAGTGTTCTCAGATGGAAGAGCCACTACATTCTTCCCGTCCTTCTCTTTCCTGTGCTAGCATCCGCTGTCCAGTCCACCCTCGTGCTATTCTCGGCCACGTTCGGTGAAGAGGACAGCCTCACGTGTATTCCATCTCCTCTATGGTGCGTGCCATCGCAATCTCTACTTGCTTGCCTCCCTGACTTTGTGTTATCTCAAGGCTCCGCTTTGTCGGATATGCGGGCACACCTCTGCTCATAACTCTCCCCTGCCTATGGCTCACTTGCCTGTCCGCCTGGAGGATCTGGCGGACCCATCGACACATCTCACGGTCGCGGAGATCAATCCAGTTTGACAATCTCGACAAGTACACGGTCGTACCGCCCCGCCGGCGTCCCTCGAAACACGAGTCCAAGTCTGGCGCATCTAGATCGACCGGAACCCGCCCGCCAACGCCACGAGCAGTGACGTTCCCTTCTCCGCCTGTTTCTTCGACCATCCGCATGACACGCGAGCCGCGGAGGCAGCCGACCAGCCTGGCTGTGCGCGAAAAGCGGACGAAGAGCTTCCACCTACCCTTCGTCCCGAGCTCCTTGGGCGGCGGCAACTCCTCGAGGAGGACGTCGTCAGACGCCTTGCATTCGCATCCGTGCGACGAATCATTCGGCACCATCTCGAGCATCTCGTTTGTGGAGATGAAGCCTGCGCCCGCGGTTACGAGGGGCACGCCGGCCGATGTCAGCCCGACTCCGTTGAGGTCGATTCCGCTGTCTGAAAGCCCGCTGAACAATACCGAGCGGACGCCGACGTCGATCCGGGACAACGGCGATGGGCGGCGAAGTTCGATCATGGAGATCGCGCGGTATGTGTATCACAGTGAGCCCCGACGGCAGAGCTCGGAGGCGGAGGCTGCTAGTCGCGATAAGTCTACCCCGGCGCGCTCGTCGCGCATCTCACAGTCAGACTCGGATTGGCAAGACGTCACGTCGGAGATATTCTCCGACGCGACTACGTCTGATCTGGCCGCTTGTAAGCTTGGAGCGCCTGGCGCAAGTGTCCATTGCTAACTCTTTCGAGCAGCCTCGCTGGAGCTCGGATATCACTGGCAGTACCACCAACCGAGCAAGCTCTCCCCAATGCTGCGCAACATTGTCATCTTCCAATTGTGGGTACCAGAACGCTTTGCATGGACCAGTAGCTCAGGTTTGCCAGTGCGATCATCGCCACACACATTCTTTCAGTGATCACACCCCTGGTCGATCTTTCGAGGACATCACCCTCGGAATTCGGGACACAGCATGTGGCACTGGTCCTTGCTGCCTGGATTCCGGTGGTTGTATTCGGTGAGGTTCTCCATGGCAGTTCCGCACGGGTTTTGGTTCTCATCTTGACAGGCTTCTTGCCATGGATAATGGACACACAAAACCATAGCCTGTAACCATGTACTCCATTACTTCATTATTTGAGTCGTAATATCTAATAGCACGGACGTCTCACGCCATTCGTGATTGTCGACAAAAAGGGGCTTGCCAGTCTCAGTTTCCACGCTTGGTGGGCGCGCTAAACAAGGTATCTACAGGCGCATACCGGGACGGGCATGAGAAGAGGACCGAGATACAAAATGTGAACTGGCTGGCGGCCTTCTTGATCGACTTGTACTGGCAGGAAACCAGGTGAGTGAACTCACAGAATCCGTTGAGATCGAGAGGAGATTCGAAAAGAAAAGCAGGAAGGATTCAGGATCTTCTGTTCCCACAGGAGTGACAGCACTCCGTATGGAATACATCTAAATCTGCGACAGGAAGGCCTTGAAGCAGGCGAATCGAATCTTACATGAGTGGCTTGTGCAACACGGCTAGGTTGTTTCCATGATATTGATATCAACTGCTGGGAAAGTTCTCATCAGACCACCTAACTCAGTGGTTAGAGTGTAGGATTGCAACATTTCTTATATGAATTTATCCTGAAGTCCCGTGTTCAAATCACGGGGTGGTCTATTTTTCTCCGGGATTTGCTCAGTGCTTGTTTATCATCTCGCGCTCTTAACGCAGGAGGTATCCCATCTTCTTTCTGCCCCCTCTGTCGGCAGCACCACTCGTCCACTTTTGTTGCTTCTCCATAACTTTCAATTGCATGCGTTTCCTCCCAAATTGAATGAATGCCGGTTACTTTGGGACGGTTGCATCAACATCATTCATATCATACTGTATCCTCTTACCACCATCCACACCATGGAAGCCCGCAGACCACACGATGCGCGACGAGCCACACCTACGGTTCTCCTGCTCTGCTGCGGAAGTTCGTTTTAGACACCACTTTCAACCGCAGTCCCGTCCCCCCTGCCGACGAACACCATCGCGTCGACGACTAGCCACGACGATCAGCCCGTCGCTAGCCAACGCCTTGCGCGTAGTCATCCTTTCTCAGCGCCCACCGGTGTACAACTGAAACCGCGTCCGGGGCGGCGACGTAGAGCTTGCCAGGTGCTGCGGTTTGTGTCCACGGGGGTTCAAATAGTGCGCGGGATGGTGCAGCGGGGTGTGCTCGACGCAGAGGACGCACGAATACGGATACGAATACGAACACGACTATCAGCATGAGCTCGAGCAGGACTCCTCAACCCAGCCGACACGGTACGGCCTTGCGACGGGGCAAGGCGTGTCTCAATTGTCGGTGCGTTCGTATCCCTTTGATGCGCGTGCGATGCACTGACTGCTCGGGCTAGGCACCTGAAGATTGTGAGGACCCCAGTCTCACCTCTAGTGCTCGTCTGCTCGTCTGACTTGTGATTCTTTGCCGCAATCAAGAAGTGTGACGGTGAGGCGAGTCCGACCATGCTTTCATCCCGCAACCTCGGATTTAACCCCCATCGTGCAGCGGCCTATCTGTGGGCCGTGCACACGCGTGCCGAAAGACGACCCCTGCGAGTTTACGGACGATGGGACGTCGCGTACGGTCGAGCTAGAGAACACGATCGTCCGTCTGCAGTCTCGGATCGACGAACTGGAGGACAAGGTGGGAGCTCTTTCCTCGCCGACCGTCCGCAGGTACTGACTTCTGGCAGGATCTTCCACCGCGTGTGGCACACCCACTGTTCGCGACTGCTTCCACTCCTGGCATGGCAACTTGCTCACAAATCCACAGACTGGATGCTTTCTGGCCGCATATGACGGAGGTCGGATACTTCCTGCACCCATCTCGTTTGCAGGACGTGTCAAGACCACCACCGGCTCTGCTTTTCGCCGTGTACGTCTGGAGTGCCCAGCTGACCGGCCAGTCGGACATGGAATCGACATTTCTGCGGCGCGCTCAGACACACCTGGCAACAGAAACTTCGTCGGCATCCTTCTTGTATACGATCCAAGCACACGTTTTGCTGTCGACCTATATGCTGCGCAGCTGCAGACTGGTGGAAGCCGAATACTACGCTAGTGGGGCTGGGTCCCTGGCTCTGGGATACCACCTAAACGCGTCTGGTCATTCTCCCCTGGACGGAGAGCAGATCCGCGGGTTCTGGGCTGTCCTCACGCTTCAAAGCATGCTCGGGATTGCGATCTCGATCCTGGATGCACCCGGCGTTGAGATCTCCACGCCGATGTCAGGATGGGAGGAGGGGTACTCTGGCTCCGCTCAAACCTTGCAGGCGTTCCTGTACGAGGACGTCCCGGGTCCACTGAGCGCTGCTACATCCCAGGCGGCCGTATTGCTGCATTACAGCAGGCGCCAGACTGCCGGTGCTGACATCTCGTGGCTGGACTCCCGCATCGCGCGGTTTTGGAGGTCCCTTCCTCCCATTGCTAGCTACCCCCTGGCGCATGGCCTAGCCGCCGCAGCGACCATCCATCTGCATCGTTTCCGGGCCACGGCGGACTCGCGCGGGAAGCGTATCTACGCTGCCACCAGCCTTGTTGGCGGCCCGCATGCCATGGATCCGGGCATGCCGGCACTGATTGCATTGGGGTGCGACGTGTTGATAGACGAGATGCGGGAGGCTGAGAGTGGCGGCGGCTCGTTGCTCTTGCTTGAGAGGCTGCAGGCTGGGATTGCTGTGCTGCGGTTGTATGCGGAGACCAGTCCGCTTGCGAGTACGTCTTGTGATTCTTCTTGATCAGCCCAATCTTCTGACACTATTTTAGGATATAATCTGGGACGCATCTTACAGCAACATGCCGCGTTTTAGAGAGAAGTTATGAGATGCTGTAAATCGCTAAAACAGAATATCATAACATATGTTTGAGTCCCTTCTCGCTCGTGGATAGGAAGGAACACACAGCAGTGCTGCCTTCAATTGGATAAAAGGGCGTCTTTCAAGACTCCGATACTTGCACGCGGACGCAGAAACCCCCAGGTTGATCTTACCTTGCCTGCCATAACCGAGATTTGTCTCAACTTGTACGGAATTCATGTGATCTGCGGCAGCCTCTCTGAGCCACGGCAATCACGAGCCACGGCAATCACCCCCGGGCGGAGATCAAAGCTTTCAAAACTTTGAAGGCAGGTTTGCGTCTACCCGAGGTCCGCAGAAACGACGGCATTCCCGGAGAAAGTAGAGAGTTCCATGCTGTTGAGGATGTGGAGCGGATGACAACTTAAGGTGCAGGCAGGCGACTCGGCACAATCCGTGGCGGGTACAATGAGCGTTTTCGATCCAGGCTCGGCTCGAGAGATAATAATTGTGTTCTTGCAAGAGCGTGTTCAGCTTCGACTTCGTAAAGAATCCGGGAATGGCCTGGTCTTATCCAGGCAGCACGAGGCGAGATGCCAAAATTCGGGCAATTGCGTGTGCTTTACAGTCAGCCCATTTTATGCATAGGAGAAAAGGACACGTCGACCAGAAGCCGGCGACACGATGCCCTAATAGAGCCCGACAGGGCAGATGGTTATGCCTTACCTGCCGAGGGCCCGTCGTAGGCCATTTTGCGAAAGATTACAAACGGGATCAAGGTGCCAACATTCTCACGCCAACTTGTACTCTGCGGCAGAGTGACGCATTCAAGATGCCGCACCGGGAACTTAAATTTCGGTGTCGATCTCTCGCCAAATGTGCGAGGTATTAAGCAGGACGAGTTCATATAAATAGGAGTGTTCATTGACGCGTCTTGTCTCATTCAATTCATCCCGCATCCTCACCTCTCAGACCTCCTTTGAAAACATGCCTACTATCTCTGCCGCTGCAAAAGTCCTCGTCTCAGGCGCCAACGGGTTCCTCGCCACGGTTCATTTCCTCCCTCCATATTCCTTATCTCGAGATCGCTGACCGCGATCTTGCAGTGGGTGGTGCGCTCCTTCTTGGAGCAGGGCTACACCGTGCGCGGCACTATTCGCTCGGCGAGCAAGGGAGCGAATCTCAAGGAGCTCTTCAAATCGTACGGGGACAAGCTTGAGCTGGTCGTTGTGCCTGATATCACTGCGGTGCGTGGATCACGTCCATGGGCGAGATGGCGGGACGACAATGCTCATGTCCGAGTTCCAGGAGGGCGCGTTCGACGAGGCTGTCAAGGGCGTCGATGGGATCGCACACACCGCCTCGCCGTTCTACTTCAATGTGACTGAGCCCTCTGGTATGCCTGGCATTTTACCAGCCTCCGCGTCTGATTCTCACACCTCGCCATAGAGCTGATCGAGCCCGCGGTCAAGGGTACTGTAGGGATGCTCCAGAGTGCCCTGAAATACGGGTAAGCGCCATCTTTTCCACTGCGTCACTCGCCTCATCGATTCTCCAGCGCCAATGTCCGCCGCGTCGTCGTCACGTCGTCGTGCGCTTCTATCATCGACTTGAACAACACGAAGCCCACTCTCTTCACGGAGGAGCACTGGAACGACGGAGCGGTTCACGAGGTGGAGACCAAAGGTGTCGACGCCAACAATGGCGCCAAGTACTGTGCGAGCAAGACCCTGGCCGAGCGCGGTGCGTTTCTTGAGATCTTATTCGACTCATGCGCTGCGAATTCTCATCGATGTCTCAGCTGCGTGGAAGTTCATGAAGGACCACCCGGAGGCCAAGTTCGATCTCTCGGTGCTGAACCCTCCGATTGTTCTCGGTGTGAGTGTGGCTCGAGCTGTGTGGAAGGGTTCTAGGTTAACCCTGTTTTCTAGCCCGACATCCAGGGAGTGAAATCTCCCGCGGAGCTCAACACGTCCTTGCAATCGATGTACTACGGCCTGACGAACCCCGACGCGCTCGTCGGCGGTGCACCGTACGTCGATGTCCGGGACATTGCTCTCGCCCATGTCCGCGCGCTCGAGCGTGAGGCGGCGGGTGGCGAGCGCATCATCGTCTGCGCCGACAAGAACTACACCTGGCAGGACATCAGTGAGTGGCCCATCACGTCCTCATAGTGCCTCATTGACGCTTTTTTCAGTCGATGTCTTGCCCCCTGCGGCTGTTGCCTCTGGGAAATACCAGAAGGGCAACCCCGGGACTGGCAAGGACTTCGTCCAGCTCACGCTGCACGACAACGCCAAGAGCGTCCGGATTCTCGGCATGAAGTATCACACTTTGGCGGAGATGACCGCGGCGACTGTTGAACAGTGGGGTGGCCGTGGATGGTAGTCGTAGCTCAATCGAACAGCTCGGACTTATATTTAGTTTCATTTTCGAATCGGATGCCTGTGGCCTAAACCGGATTTTCACCCTATCGCTCAGATTGAATGCCACACAGGTCTTCCATAAGCTCGTGATGCTCAAGGTTCCGTTGAGATTTCGTCGTCATTGACATACCCAACGCACTTGACGCATGAGTTACACTAGTGAAATTAACCAAGGCATTGATGGTAGTCGGTAGCTAAGAATACCGGCTGTATAGCCTTCACGGGCGACGGGCCAAGGCTGTCCTTTCACACGCGCCCTCTCTCTCATGTCGTCTTTCACCGAGCTCGAAGAGTCATCAGTCGTATGGCGTAGTCGGGTGTTGATTTCGGCAGCGGGTGCGTTCAATGTTCGGTCTTTTCTTGCCTGACGTGCCAAAAGTGGTTTTCTTCGACGATTTCCTGTTGACGCTCCCAAGAGAAGTGCTGCTCTTCAGCAAGTGCAGCAATTTGAGCTGCCCGTGCGCGGTCAGGAGACCGCGGGGACGAAGATGGGTGCCGTGTCCCGCACGTACTTTGAGCGTTACGGGTCCGAGAGGAACACGAAGGTCAGTTGGTGGTCCGATTTTTGGCGTATTGTGATGTACCATTGGAATGAAATAACGCTCATAGGGGTTGTATTCGACTGATGGAGATGAGGGCTTGGGCGCGGTACGCCGGCAAAGCATTGTAAATCTGCAAATCTGGGAATCTGAATGAACACCATAGGATTTTGGAACGACGATCATACGACCGGGGATAGTGAAGTCCATTTGCCTGATGTATCGTCGTATCGTGGATCAGACCTGTCAGGCTCGACCACCGTACAAAGTGGGCCTAGAAGGCTGCCGCAGTTAGTCATAGCATGCAAGACTATCATCCCGTTCAGTTCATTCTTGAGCGCCTCTGAAATAATCATAACTACCATTTCGAATCACCTGGGAGCCGAACAGGATGCTAAAAGTGATCAACCCCCGTCCCACTTATAAAGCCAGACCGAGCACTATGTACATATCAATCAGCTCATCCCGGATGCAGCTCCCCGCCATCTCTTCCACCCGTCTTGCTCTTGTAATCACCGCCCTTGCAGTGGGTGCCAACTCCGCGGCAGTCGAGAATCGCATTCTAAAACGTGGCTGGAACGAGGCTGAACAGGCCTGGATTTGCTACACGGGTGCTTCTTCCGCATTGTCGATAGAGAAAATCTCATGTGATCCAGGGCAACCTTCCTGAGCCATCGGCAATCATCCCCGGCAAGAAGTCAAAGCTACTAAAAACTTTGAAGGCCGGTGTGTATGTTGGCCCAATGCTGCCCAACGTGCGCAGAAAGGAGGCATTCGCCGGAAAAAGCAGAGGATTCCACGCTGCTCAGGATATCTGGAGCGGATAACATGGTGCAAACAATTCACCGCAATCCGTGGCAGGTACAATGCGCGTTTTCGATCTAGACTCGGCTTGTGCGGTCACGATTGTGTTCTTGCAAAAGCGTGTTTAGCCTCAACTTCGATAAGAACCCAAGAATGGTCTGGCCGTGTGCATGCAGCACGAGGCGAGCGCCAAAACTCGGGCGATTGCGTGTACTTACAGTCAGCTATTTTATGCAGAGGAGAAACGGACACGTCGACCAGAAGCCGAGAAGGCGACGCCCTAATAGCGGCCGAGAAAGGGAATACCCATGCCTGCTAATCACACCGAGGGATTGCGAATATCACGGCCCATAAAGAATCAATTATATTCTATATATTGGGGGATAAAAAATGAAGGGATCTGATATGTGACATATCGGGCACCCGGATCATACCCGGCACCCGATATCCGTGGTATCAGGTCGTTTTTGCGCTGATATGTGACATATCAGGTCAGCTTCTTTTTGGGGTCACGATATATGGAATATAATTTATTCTTTATGGGCCGTGTTATGTGTGATCCCCCGGTGTGAATGACCGACCGAATGCCCGTTGCAGGCCATTTTACGAAAGATTAATACTATCACTAAGTATCACTATCACGAACGGGATCAAGTGCCAACATTCACACGCTAACTTGTTCTCTGCGGCAGAGTGACGCATTCAAGATGCCGGAAATTTACCTTTTGGTGTCGATCTCCCACCAAATGTGCGAGGTATTAAGCACGACGAGTTCGTATAAATAGGAGTGTTCATTGACGCGTCTTGTCTCATTCAATTCATCCCACATCCTCACCTCTCAGAGCATCTTTGAAAACTATGCCTACTATCTCTACCGCTGCAAAAGTCCTCGTCTCAGGCGCCAACGGGTTCCTCGCCACGGTTCATTTCCTCGCTCCATGTTCCTTATCTCGAGATCGCTGACCGCGATCTTGCAGTGGGTGGTGCGCTCCTTCTTGGAGCAAGGCTACACCGTGCGCGGCACTATTCGCTCGGCGAGCAAGGGAGCGAATCTTAAGGAGCTCTTCAAATCGTACGGCGACAAGCTCGAGTTGGTGGTCGTGCCCGATATCACTGCGGTGCGTGTGCATGGATGGTGTTCATGGGCGAGATGGCGGGACGACGATGCTCATGTCCGAATTCCAGGAGGGAGCGTTCGACGAGGCTGTCAAGGGCGTCGATGGGATCGCACACACCGCCTCGCCGTTCTACTTCAATGTGACCGAGCCCTCTGGTATGTTTGGCGCTTTACTGCTCTCCGCGTCTGAGTCTCACACCACGCCATAGAGCTGATCGAGCCCGCGGTCAAGGGTACAGTGGGGATGCTCCAGAGCGCCCTTAAATACGGGTAAGCGCCATCTTTTTCACTGCGTCACTCGCCTCATTGATTCAACAGCTCCAATGTCCGCCGTGTCGTCGTCACGTCGTCGTGCGCGTCTATCATCGACCTGACCCACACGAAGCCGACTGTCTTCACGGAAGAACACTGGAATGATGGAGCAGTCCAAGAGGTGGAGGCCAAAGGCGTCGATGCCAACAATGGCGCTAAGTACTGTGCGAGCAAGACCCTGGCCGAGCGCGGTATGTTACGCGGGGTTCCTTAAACGTGCTGCGCGAGTCCTCATCGATGTTTCAGCCGCGTGGAAGTTCATGAAGGACCACCCGGAAGCCAAGTTTGATCTCTCGGTGCTGAACCCTCCGACCGTCTTCGGTGTGAGTCCGGCTCGGGCTTCTCAAAGCTTTCAGCTCACCGGATTTGTCCAGCCCGATATACAGGGAGTCAAATCTCCCGCGGATCTGAACACGTCCCTGCAACTAATGTATAACGGCTTGACGAACCCAGCAGCGCTCGTCGACGGTGCTCCGTATGTCGATGTCCGCGACATTGCCCTCGCCCATGTCCGCGCGCTCGAGCGTGAGGCGGCCGGTGGCGAGCGCATCATTGTCTGCGCTGACAAGAACTACACATGGCAAGACATCAGTGAGCAGTAGCTTGTCACCCCTTATCAGTACGGCACTGACGCTGCTTGCAGTTGATGTCTTGCCGCCTGCGGCTGTTGCCTCTGGAAAGTACCAGAAGGGTAACCCCGGAACTGGCAAGGACTTCGTCCAGCTCACGCTGCACGATAACGCCAAGAGCGTCCGGATTCTCGGCATGAAGTACCACACTTTGGCGGAGATGACCGCGGCGACTGTTGAGCAGTGGGGCGGCCGTGGATGGTAGTCGTAGTTCGATTCGAACTTATATCTAGTTTCATTTTTGAATTGCATGCCTATGGCCTAGACCGGATTTTCAGCTCATCGCGTCGGGTTGACTTTTTTACGGGTGTTCTATGGGTGTTCTATAAGCTCCTCATCTTGTCGGTTTCAAGAAGCCCATCATTCGCTTCCCCAACGCACTTGAGATATGATTCGAACCGGAGAAACTGGCGAATAGATTGATGATAATCGGTAGCTAAGAATGCCGGCTTGCCACGGACGCGCCCTCCAGAGCCCAGCCCGTCATACTTATCATCAGAATAGCGCGATTGGGTTCTGCTCTGTGTGGTACTGGGATATCAGCTCCCTCTCGTTCTTTTCTTCCACCGCTTGTCATAGGGTTTATCCATGGCTTTCGGTCGTGGGGCTGTCGCTCCGTCAGATCACTACGGATATCCCTGGTGCTCTACTGGAATAGCAATCCCCTCCCGTTCTTCTCTTCAGCCATCTTTCTGCCAGTCCCCTCTCGTTCATCTCTTCGGCCATTTTTCACAGGGTCTATCCATGACTCTCGGCCGTACGGCAGTGGCCAAGTCAGGTATTTTCGAACTCCCATCAGTTCTTGGAATCCATCACTTCCTGGGCTTACTCTTTCCGGGAACCGAGCAACCGTCCGGATCGCACTGGTACCAATCGATCCCCGAGTCCCCACTCAGTTCTTCCATGTCTCCGGAGCGATTCGCAGCTGGGAATGAAGGATGCACATATTACGTACACACTGGACGACCGACGTTGCAGTTCGGAGGCGTGCGCCACTCCGAGGGGCCGCTCTGGCTCCAAGCGCGCCGTCGGTTCCGGCTTCCGACAGGAAGTCACCGGCCCTGCGATTAAAATGAAGTCCGGGTCCGCATGGGTTTTTCTTAGGAGTTTAGTGAGTACTTGCCGAAGGGCAGGTTCTAGCCCTCTTCGGGTGCTTCCGTTCTAGGGTGAACTGGCATGATGTTCGCAAGGATTTGAGGTGGCTTGTTGTTTCCTGTCCCTCTCGAATAGCGATTGTCGGAGGGGAGTTCACGTCCGACCCGACGATGGGCTTATAGACATGAATAGAGAAGGTAAATCCAGTCCAAACCCAAACCCAACCCGGAGCGTCAGAGCTCGTCTGATCCGACATCATACATCGCATATTCGCGGAAATGCCGGCCCGGGATTGATGCGCGCGCACCGCTGCTCTCTCAGCCTCCAGTACACGCGGAGAATCTTTCTGCGATGGGTGTTAGTCCCAGGACGCTTCATTACGGCTCTCCCATTGATCCAGTCACCCCAAATAGCCCCTACGCTGTGGTCTGGAACCGCAATTCCGAGTCTGCCGTACTGTGCGAGCCCCTGTGTTTCATGACCCGCAACTTGATTGCTGTTCCTGCTCGCGGGTGCATCTTGCCCGTTAATCTTGACTGGTCGCGGATCGAGTGCAGAATTGGTTCGACCGACGCGCAGGGATGGGGATGGGTTCTGGTTTTATCGAGGCGAGTCTCCACCATATGCAGCCCTTGGCTGACGCGCTCGGCCGTCTTCTGGCGGCTCTATCGGCAGCTGGATCTCATACCGTCCATCATTTGTCCCGAATAACGGTTCTTAGTTTTTCGGAAGTCCGTTATTTCCCTCTCCTGACTGTCCTTGGTGCAATGGTGGAGAATCCTCTCCGCCATCGAATCCACTGCGCCCGTATTGGACATATCTGGGCGTATAAAAGGGTGAGCTCAGCGACGGTACGGAGCATCGAGCAAATCAACTACAATGATCTCCAACGTCTTCTGCCTCTTGTCTGCTCTCGTCGCCTGCGCTGCGGGAATGGCCGTGCCCAACGCAGCCCCGTCTCCCTACGCAAACGCGACGGCGCCCGCCACCCCGGCAGGGTACAGCTACGGCTTCCAGAACCTCACCTGCGCCGTGCAAATCACGCAGCCGGCCAATGCGTACGAGACGTTCGCTCTGGTCGATTCTGCGCAGGGTACATCCGCCCGCCATGGCTTCCTCATGTGAACTTGCTGCTGACGGACGTTGCAGCCTGCGGCGACATGTGCACGGCTCAGAGGGACTGCATGAGTGCAAACTGTGCGTGGACATGAATGACTTGAGTTTCACTCACTGACTCGGAACTCCCATCCAGTCTACCACGACAATGGAAGCGTCGTCCGTCTTTTCTCTCTCTCCCCCTCCGCCAAAATCACACCGCTGACAATCTCCAGAAGAAAAACTCGACGCAGCTCACGTGCTCGCTGTACCGCGTCGTCGCGGGCCAGAAGGACGCCAACAACTGCGGCCACCAACTGCAGATGGGCATGAACGGCATGCAGAACTCAATCACCTACAGCTACCTGCTCGTCAAGGGCACCCAGTAAATGGGCTGCCCACCCACCTGAAGGATTCAACTCCTAGCCCGCTGTGTGTACGATAGGTTCTAGTTCTTCTGTACTCGTCCCGGCCCTGATCAAGCCGAGCAATCCAATCTTTACCTTCGACTATAGCCGCGGGAGGCGAATCGATTGATTAGATTCAAAGGGAAGCAAGTCGTTTGTAACACCTTCACCGAAGTTTCAAATTGCATGTCGCAGTCACGGCTGTATCCGCTCATTCTCGAGTCATCTGCAGGGGTTATCAATGTCATGTACTGTATGTAGTCTCTTCGCTATGGTCGCACCTGATCCGAAAGCCATGATCTGTCGCGCAGGGAGAAAGGGTCGGGTAAGAGTGGGGTTGCGTTTACTCTGTCATATGTACGACCCATAGACGGATGGTCTTGAACGGATGGTCTTGAATACATGAAGTGATGGTGAAATGTCATAGTAATCGCGTTTCACAGGCTCTATCTATCACCAACAGATAGACAGATCTATCTCGATGTGCATCGCTCGCTTTTTACGGTTAGCGTTATCAGCATCATTCCACCCCTCATGACCAAACTGCGAGCTGGTAACGGATCAAAGGACACCTTCGGAAGCCGAGTCTGTGTCAGCTGAATCACGTTTGTCATGGCGAGCAAGCAACTCCGCAAATGGAGACGCCACCGTCGTCGGAGCCGGTGGGAGGTTTTTTTCACGAGTACGCCGCAGCACCATGTCGTAGACCAACCCGTTGATCCTGAATTTCCCTGATCAGCACAGCATGCAGCACAGGGGATAATGCGAGGAAGACGCACTCGTCGACGTCAGAGATATGCGCCAGGGCAAACGCGCCGGGCACCTCGTGCAGCATCACTTCGACGCCCGCCGCCTCCATCGCATCGCGCATCTCCTCCGCCGCTTCCAGTGGATACGCCACGTCGTGTTCGCAATGGATCAGCAGCACCGGGCACGCGATCCCGCGCACCGTCGCTCGCGGTCGCCCGACGAACGGGGCGACAGTCACCCGCCGGCTGAACTGGAGGTGCGCGCCGTCCCAGTTATGCAGGGCGTGCTTGACGGACAGTTCGGTCAGTCTGCGTAGGGGTGGTGAATATGGCTGGGGATGCAGACTGGCCTGGCCGACGGGGAGTGGGTGACGCACTGGTCGACCAACGGGCAGTCCGCGTTGTTCACGTTTAGCTGCAGAGCGCCGTACACGGCGTCGTGCAGGAACTCCTCGTCCACGACTGTCCCATCGTGTCGTGCACCCTCAAACGCGTTCGCCCAGAGCGCGTAGATCTCGAAGCGACCCTCAGCGACTGCTGCGGGCTATGAACACCAATGAGCCGAGAGGGGATATACAGGTGCGTGCAGCACACACCTCTTCCATCGACGGGCAGGAGTTCAGAATCAGCGACTGCAGACGATGTGGGTATCTCACAGCCACTTCGAGGGCTATGATGGCCCCGAGGCTCACGCCCATGAGATGCACGGGGGGTAGCCGGAGCGCTTCCTGGGTGCGAAGTCGGTCGCGTGGACGCGTATTGCGCGGGGGGCGAGGGACGTACCAGAAACTTCGCGACATCATCCGCAGCCTCCTCGACCCCGTACGTCTCCTTCGCGTCACCCACGGTCTCGCCGTGGCCCCTCAGATCCAGCGCGATGAGGTTGAAGCGGCGCAGTCGGGGATCGCGGAATTGGGCTGCGCGGCGCGATCAATCAAGGACCCGGCGCACTGAATCTGCGCGCGGAAAGCGACGCACCGTCGAAAGACGCTTTCCCGACGAAGACGGCATGCAGAAAGACGATCGTGGGCAGACCGTCCGTGATGGTCTTGGCGAACGTCGAGTTTGGGGTGGAAATCGTGTAGGATACGGTCAATGGGCCGCCCTTGCTAGTGATATTGACCGTGGGCATCGTCCGTAAGTTGTGGAATGCGCGTCTTCGTCGTTCAGGGAGTGCGGGGGAGAAACGGCGAATCCAGGAACATGCACGTCTGCTTTGAGGAGCGGGGAGACATAGATCACTGCTCACGCGACGGTTCTGCACGATGTCTATTCCCGTGCTGACTGTCAGAGCAAATTGATTTTTCATCCAAAAATCACGGGGAACGGCAAGAAATCAGAAGTGAACTGCACCTTCGGAAGGGGCTAAGGAACATCAATCAATCAAATTGTGGTAAGCGACCGGACCGGCCGGGCCAGTCTGATTCCTCGTTCGGTGCCGTGAGACTATCAGCACTCAAACTCTTCCTGTAGGCCCACGGACACATAGGGTGAACATCCTCCGCCAGTCTACCTACTTTTACGTTAAATTTTTCGACATTTTGAACAACTTTTACTCTATTTTCGGAGGGTTAATTCGAATTTTCTCCCTAAGCTTCTAGGGACTGTATTTAAGCTGTAGGAGCTTTCACCTGACCTATACCACCTCTAGGACGCACAGTATCTGTTCCCGCTACGCGTTTACGAGCCGATGGGACGTCCTTGTAGACTTTTCCGACGCCAATCCATTCCGAGAGATCCAACTCTAGGTCTGTACTCTCGTCACTGTCCGTGACTTCGAGGACAGCTGCCGACACTTCTGTCATGCCCATGTACTTCGGGAACCGGCAGGATGGCGCAGCGCTTGGGAGCCGGGAACGATGGGCAAGAAAAAACGATCAGGCAAGCGATCATTCTGATCATATCGGTTGTTAGATTCTCCGTAGACTTACAAATTCAGTACATTTCCAGCTAAAATTAGTCTTGCTGACGACTGAAAAGACTACATGAGCCCAGATGTCTAAATTCAAGTCAGAAATGCCCAGATCAGGCCGGGTTCTACCCGATTTTACGCTGGTGCAGGGCTCAAATCTTTCAAGATCGGCAGGGATCTAGCCAAGTTTTACGCTATCTCCGGAGGCTTGCTGCCATTTTTGAAGCACTTTTACGCTATTTCCCGGAGGGTTAAAGTCAAAAATTTCGGCCAGATTTACTTTATTTCGGAGGATGTTCACCCTATGTGTCCGTGGGCCTCTTCCTGTCCATAAGAGTGATTCGCTCAGGTCCCATAAGCAGAGTTTACATGGCAGTCACCTATAGTGAAATTCGAGCAACGAGTCGATGCCAGATGTACATACTGAGGATCTCCGACGAGCGTGGGTCCCTCGCGCCGACAGTATGACTCGGACCAGATCTTTTCACGTAACACCTCTGGTCCTTTGTAAGACAAGGACGGGCCCGAGGCCGGTGCCGAAGTGAACCGGTTTCACCCAGATTTTGGGTCCTGTCCCATCTACCGGGAGAACCTCGCAAACAGTGGATGTTTGCCTCCCGCTGGGCTATGTCCACACGTAGGAAGACTGATTCCGAGCGGGCTTTGGTTAGAAACAGTCACCGAAATCTTGATCATGATTCCAGTTCCATAAATTCCTATTGAAAGATCTCGGACCTCCGGGGTTGCAGTTGTCCGACAAGTGGAGAGCAGGGTCGGATCAATGGACGACATTCCGTAAGGATTTGGCCCAGGCCAATCCCCATATATAGTTAAAATATGACGCAATCGATGTGATGTGAATCAAGGCTGTGCTCAAATCACAAACGCTCCACAGGCCAAATCACGCTGATTTGGCCGAGGCTCAAGACCCTCGGCCAAATCCAAAAAAGGCATTTCCATCAGGCCAAAACGTTGCCGAGCAAGCCGTCCGCCACGTGATAGATCGAGACGCGGCCACGGCACGCGATCAAGACTTTCTTCCTCGCTCAACGCTCGCGCCCTCTTTCTCATTGCTCTGAGGGCATTATGGCCAAAACCCGACGCGGCACTCAAGCTTCCGAGGCCACACAGCCTGCTGAACCCGAACCTACTCCGATTCCTGCACCGACTCTGACACCTTCTGTCCCTTCTGGACCGATGTCATGTCCGCCTTCAACGCCTTTTTATTACGCGCCGGGATACGGACAGGGGTACTATCGTGACGGAAACGATCGAGGAGCCATGGTTCATTCGTTCTCTGCCTTTCTGCTGCTTCCCAGACTGACAAGTCACTTCGAAGCCTGTCGGATTGTCACAATATCCGTCTGTCCACACTCACGCACAACCACCTCTTCATTCCACGCAACCGACCGCTCCGCCATCCGGTGTTACATTCCAAGCAGGGACCGGGAGCTCCTCTGGTCCTGTTTCGGGTCGGAGAGAAGGGCAGAAGAACATTTCGGAGGGTGAACTCGACATTCTGTTCTCAATCTTGCTGGAGGTCAAGCCTCATGGCCCGAATATGTGGAACAATGTTGCATTGAAGTACAACATAGAAGCGCAGAAGCAAGGCTTTCCACCTCGGACTCTTGCAACACTGCGACGGAAACTGAACAAGGTGCGTTGATTTCCCCATCCGTGAATATGGGATTAAAGTGTTTTCAGCTCATCAGGGAGGCCGGCGGCACGAAGCCTACGGGGCAGAGTCACAAGTCGTGGCGTCTCCAGAAGGCATTCGAGGTGGACTGGGCAATCCGTGAGAAGTATGGATGTGCCGTGGTTGACGACACGGCTGGTATGGAGGAGGACGAGGGCTCGGACGATGAAACTCAAGTATCACAATTCACACATGACTCTCAGCAATCGGCGAGTTCCGCACAGGGTCCCCGGCGATTGGCGGCGAGTTCCCACTCTGCTTCACAAAAAGAGCGGTGGGTTGCTGATAAGGCTTATAAAGTCTCGCAGACTCCCGTGGAACTGACATCGACGCGTGGTCGCAATTCTGCGGCGGTCCAGGCGATTTCGAACCTCGCATCCGCTTTCGACCCCGCAAATGTGAAGGCCCGTGATGAAGCCAAGGCAGAGCAGCGTGTTCTGTTGTTGCAACTTGCAGATGCGCAACAGGAGCTTCAACGTCTCAAAGCAGAGAATGATCGTCTTCGAACAGCCCTTAGTGAGGCTGAGCTTCGCGCGCAACGGGCTGAGGATCGGTTGGAGCTGGAGAAAGAAAAATATCAATTCAAGCTCGAAGTCTTGGGAAGCACTCGAAAGAATGGGAACTAGCTTTAGAAAGTATTACATTTCCTGTTGTTGGACTACAAGATGAAATCGGGAAACCCGATCCCTTTCCCGAATGTCCGCAAATGCCATGTTACTCAAATTGTCCCAAACGTCTGGTTCTGCCTCCCTCCAGTACTTGAAGTAAACTTCACGGATCTCGTTAATCCCAACACATTGTGCTCGCACATTGATGAGACGAAAACAGAGTTCCAGGAGCTCGGTACGCTCCTCCTTGTCTGCATCATTCACGCCGGACGGAAGTGGGACTCGTAACCGTCCAAATGAGGCTTGTATGATGCGCATTCCCCATTCTGCAGTCTGGCGATACGAGACCAACTGTCGATCAAGGCGCTCTTTTGCTGCACGCTCAGCGGGATCATTTGGATATGTGTCACCTGCTTTTGCTGGAACTTTGATTCGGCCCTCCATTTCTTGGTTTCGGGGAAAAGCAGTGTCACAGACAATGAAAAATCCGGGTGGTAGAGCTCGTAATTTGGTGTAAATGGGCTGGGCTACTTGAGCGTCATGCCAGCTTCCCGGATATCCGTATGCAGCTGCAAGAATCTCACCTAAAATGTACATTAGGAACAGCCTGGAAAGCGACACCATTGATCACATACCCTTCGGTGACCAAACTAGAATATTCTTGATGAAATGGGCAGCCTTCCATCCACTGTACGTCGCATTTTCAATATCCGGATCACTGTCTGAATCGGCGGGCAGATCCAGGCCATCACAAGTTGCGATTGCACCAAAGAGTGCAGGATGACGCTCAGAAATAATCCGAGTGAGCTCAAGACATGCATCCTCGTCCTGTGGCATTCCGATCCTTCCCTCAGGAAGACTCCGGACAACATCCAGAAGAATTTTCCGCGCAAAAATAATGTAACGAGACACGGTCGAAGGAATGATAGCGAAGATCAGGGAGAAGGTGACCTGATGTGAAGCAGAGCCAAGATAATGCAGAATGAGGCCAAGCGCACCAGCTGCATCAAGTGAGCGCCCTCCAGGACGAGACTGTCCAGCACTGTCCGTGTCGTCTCGTAGAATTGGAGTGGAATTCCACCGTCCAGAAAATCCGACAAGAAGGAGATCAAACGTTGCAATGTTAACACCCATTGTTGTGATAAAAGATCGGTCTGTGCGAGTGTCATACAGCTGTTGCCACGGAGTGGAAGCTCGGGGATTTGGGAGAAGTTCGTGCCGTTTGAGGTAACGGTATGCTCTGCGCCGTCGCTCGTTTTGCTTGTCCACACTGGCCTGCTGATTAAGGGCCAGTAGAGCGTATAAACCAGCAATTCCTAGAACCAACTCCTCTTCTTCCTCCTCCTCATCCTCATCAATCCATTTTTGAAGTAAATCAGAGGATGCCGGGCTCATGGGAGTAAGTAAGAAAGAGAGATGCGTTTTAGATGTGCATTATCACTATCGATCAAGCCCGATCCGGGAATCGCCGGATGGCCTCGATTTCGTCTCCGGTTTCACGGTGGGGCCAGATGTCACGTTACCACCACGTCATTTCTGATTTGGCCTGGGCCAAATCCTTACGGAATGTCGTCCACTGGATGACGGCGCTCACATTGGCTGCCCATGAGTCTTAATCACCATGCTTTTCCTTCTCTGAGAACTTGAAATCTCAATCATCGAGTCCAACGATTAAGAATCCATCTGTTGGCCCAATGCAAGACCTGTCAAGTCAACACGTGGGTGATGGTCTCCCACCACGTGACCCACACACCTTTGCTTCGATCCGTGACGGTGGTTTCTGAATGCTTATGGACATTGAACAAGCTGCTGGTCAGCATTTCGAAAGGCCAGCCAAACGGATGCGCTCGGAATCCTCCTCCCCATCCGAGCATGGTTCTGCCGTCGTGTCGCCCGGCGAGCGAGATCCCGACTTCTATCTTTCATCGGGAGATTGTGTTCTTCGCGTGCAGAACACGCTGTTCCGGGTCAGTCCCATTTGGTTGCTTCGTAGATGCGCTTTTTGATTCAAGACGAACAGGTACACCGCTTCCTTCTCGAGCGCGATTCGTGTGTCTTTGCAGCGGTCTTCGATCTGCCTCAAGGACAACTCGACGTGGAAGGAGCGACGGACGCAAAGCCCATACGCTTGGAAGGAGATGAGGTGGAAGATTTCAGGGCTCTTCTGAAGTATATGTATGCTCCGTGAGTTCGCAGACCCCTATTCCCTCAAATGTATCCATTCCGCTCATCAGAGCACCCGCAGTGCGCTCGACACGCAAGTGAAGCACGTCGCTCTGACGGAGCTTCCCAACATCGTCCACGTCTCGCAACTCGCGCACAAGTACCAGATGTCGAAGTGGCAGCAGTGGACTGACCTTGTCCTCCTCGAGCTGGTTCACAATCACAGCGCCGTCCTCACCGACGACGACATGGTCGCGGTGTACTGTGCCGCGCATCTCAATTCGTTCCAGCATGTGCTTGAAGCGGTGACGAGCTCGTGGTTGGAGCAGATCCGCGGGAAGCGGCTCCGCATCGGTCCGGCTCTCGATGCAGGAGAGACATATAGAGCCCGTTCATTCCTCGGGGCACTCTACGAAATCGCTCTCTCTCGCATGCCTTCATCTCCCACAAACCTCTTCACGCCGATAAATTTGTCCATACCGGACATATCACCCGTCCACCTCGGCCGAATCTACACCGGCTACTCATCTCTTTCGCTTTCTTGGCTCGGCCTGCGGCACAGGGCGGCCAGGATCGACGTCTCTCGCGCCTTGTGCACCCTCAGCTACCACGAAAACACGTGCCAGACGCGGTTCGCCCGCGACTGGGTCGCCGCGGCTGTGGCCGTCGAGAAGGACTATCCCAACGTTTGCGATATTCGCGAACGGCTGACCAAGATGCGGCAGATCTTGGACCCTCCCTTTGCGGCGCATTCCTCCGCTCCGACTGCCTGCGTTTTTGTATCGCGTGCACCGAAGGATCCTTTCGTTAAATTGCTCAACGCCGTCTCGGGTCCCGAGGGTTTGGTCGCTCATTTTTTCGGTAAGTGCATAAGTCTAGTTCTCGGTGAAATAAATTGTTGACTCTGAGTAGCTGCTGAGCCTGCTGAGGCCGACGGTCTTTGATATGGTAATCAGAATCGTCGATATATACATTCGTCTAATTAATACTGTAAATCCTCGCGCCGTTTGCGCCGAACTAAATTCGAAAATGTTGTTCTTTCACAGACGTCAAATTTTGAGCTGTGTCTCATCCGATGTCGAGATCATCCGACGGAACTGAGTCGCTCGCCGACGCGGACGTGGCCAGTTTAATTGAATCTTTTCGGCTTCTCATCTACGCATACGTTGTTACTCTTGAGTCGTTGATCGTTTTTGTCACACTGGATACTCAGGTGCGCAATCACGTCGCCACTGTGAGTGCGCTGGTCGGTCTTGCCACAAGACTCGGAGATTTGCTACAATCATTAGAGAGATCCACGATAGATGCAAGGAAAGTGGTGCGAGTACGGAACATCCTAGCCATTCACCGAACTCGACGGGATGGCATGCTAAATTCACACGAATAATGATTCTCTACGGACTCGGCTATGAAACGACGACCGGATTTGGGTAGAAAGGTCGCTTGTTAAGGAGTCACGTGGGTGTATATCCTTTTGGTATGTCCGAAAAGACCGAGACTGTTCATCAAGATGGTTATTGGCTGGCTCAACTAGCATAAAATTCTCGATTTTTTCAAGAGAAAATGAGAATCTTGCGCGATGCTTGGAAAGTTTCCCTGGATCCACTATTAATGCTTTGGTGTTCCAAGTCAGAAGGTTGTGTTTTCGCATTGAGATGGTCATCTCCTGTGGGTGCACCGGGTTCCGGCGCGATCGTCCCGATGTGCAAGTGATGGTAACAACGCTCCATCAGATGGGGATTCGCCTCTTTCTCTGCACCCCCATGCCCGATCCCTCGTCGTGAGCTCCCGCACGCTGATCCTCGAGGTTCAACTCCGGCGGCCCACTGTGCGCGATCAAAACGAAAGGCGATGGAAACCGAGGATGCGGTGCAGATTCAGAACGCCATGTACGTCCGTCCGTCTTCCGAGTCCATCACAGCGTTTTCGTTCCCGCTCCGCACGGCTGACCCGGATTGGTTCAGATCCACCGCCCGCGTCTTGGTCGTGATCCCGTATAGTGCGTGTGTTACCCTGGCCCTGCATGCACGGACCCGCTGATCCGCATCCGTGACCTGCAGCCGTCCTCGTGTACGACTATTTCCTGACCATCCAGCTCGAGGTGTCGGGTTTCTGGACGACGTCTTTCACGTGGGGCTCTTTCTTCTTCTATCTCAATCGCTACTCGTCACTGCTCGGCACAATCCCGGTGGTGGTGCAGTTCTGGTTGACGACGACGGATCCGGGCAAGATTCCAGTGCGTGACGCATTTATCTCCGTGCATGCTGCTGCGATCGCGGGCTGAGCTGTCTCCAACAGATGTAATTAGCTGATGATTCATTCCGAGAAATCAAGCACACGAGACTGATGCCGGTGCTTAGGTGTCATTCGCTGAGGATGTATCACCAGTACTTTGCGCTCATATCGCAGGTCCTTGTCGCCTGTCCGTCGCGATTCTACTTCTAATCGCAGCCCGAGGTCTGACTGAAAGCAGGCATACTGATCATGCGCACCTATGCGCTGTACTCGAAAAACAAACTCGTTCTCGGGGTCATGATAACCATCACGCTCTCGGCATTTGCCTCCGCTATGGTCAGGTCCTCGTTGATTCTATCGATTCGCCCGCATCCTGACCATCGGCACCAAAGACGCTTTTGCTGACCGGGAACAACGAAAGCACCCTCTCGCCCGAGCTGCAGGTTTATGGATGCCCGTTTGCAACCGCGCATGCCAAGTATGTGCCAAGTTTGGTCTCCTCGTGGCTGATTCGGCTCGCTGACAGCTCCCGCCAGGAGCATACGTACGTTTCGCACCGTGGAAACAACTTCCAGTTATTGACAGAGGATTCACTCAGGCTTAGCAGAAGCATGGGCCGGGATGGTACTTACCCGCGCAAACACCGGGCTATCCAAGAAGCTGACGATGATTTTCCCAGCTCGTGTTCGATTCGATGATATTCGTTCTCACGCTATATAAGGCACTCAGTATCGAGACACGACGAGGCGATCTTTTGACTGTTTTGGTGCGCGACGGTATGTGTTGTTCCGGTCCATTTCCGGCCACTGATTGAATGTGATGAATCAGGTACTATCTATTTTGGGTTCGTGGAGTACTGCACCGTATCCCACAGCACAAGCTTACCGAGACCAGGCTGATACTAGTCGCGAATGCGATCAATATCGGAACATACACTGTTGAGTTTTCCATGATCGGCATCTGTATTAGATGTCCTGATTCTCTCTGCACAGATGGGCAGCGTAAGCCATCCGCACTCACGTGATGTGTGATCTCAATTGTCTGTTGCAACCAGCCCTTCATTCGCGGGAGCGCCACAAACGTGACGAGCATGTGCGTGGAGCTAGTTCCACTGGTTGAGATCCGTGAAGCACCGCCGCTCACATATAGACAGAACGTCCTCCGTGATCACCCATAGTGCTAGGATTTAGTCAAATCTATGGCTGTAGCCATAAAAATTGCATTCAAATTTATGGCTGTAGCCATAGCATGGATACAGTCATAGCTTTGACTAATACTGCTATGGCTACAGCCATAGCGTGGCAGGCCTTTGGTCCTGTTGCTTTTCTCGGCATCACCATGGCATGTGCAAGATCATCATTGCCATCAGCACCACCATGATCCCCCAACATAAAGTGTTGATAGGCCTTACTGTCTTGAACAAGCCGCGCCCCTCTGGGCGCGGAGGTTAGTGGTTCAGGCTAGGGTTTGGGTTTGGGTTAAAGGTTAGTCCCCAGAGACGTCATTTTTTCTCGGTTATGGCTGGGGCAAGGTAGCAAAAAGAAAGCCTATTACAGGCTCTGTAAGGGTTGGTTAGGGTAATAAATATATTTATTGTCAGTTAGGGTTGGGGCCAGGGAGCAAAAAAAAAAAATCCTGTTAGAGGCTCTATTAGGGTTGGTTGGGGCAAGAAATATGTTTATTGGGTGATAAGGGGTTGGGATAACCAGTACTAGGATAAAGCTTTCTCTCCACTTAGGGTAAGCCGCTTGCGGGTTACCCTAAGTTGAGGGAAATTGCAACTTGTTTAACAGTGGTTTAGCTCAGTATGATAATGTGTTGGTTTACCATACATTTTTAGAAGGTCAGCCGTTCAATCCTCACTGAAACCAGTGACCACCGCCTAGCTGTTGGGTGTCAATCACAATCACAGGTTGTCGATCATAATGATCGTTGTTCACATCAGCACCGCCACGCCCTATGGCTACAGCCATAGATTTGAATGCAATTTCTATGGCTACAGCCAAACGGATTTGACTAAATCCTAGGGCTATGGCTCCCGTGATGATCTCCCGACTGATGTTCAATCTGCACGAATCCGGCCGTCGACGGGATCAGTCCCAGCGCTGGCCAGGCCGCCATTCGCTCGCCACCCGATCCTCGTCGGGGGCAAGGGAAACCGACTTGCCTGTCATCTCGACGTTGGGTCCCCGTCATGCAGCATATACGATGGACACGGAGTACACGACAGACGAGTGGGCAGAGACGGCATCGCAAAATTGATGACAGCAGAAGTACAATTATTGTATGACCGTGGACTGCGGTGAAGAATCGACTTCGACTTGGGAATATCCTGACTGTCTTCTGAGTCAGCTTGAATTTTTTTTGTCTTTCAACACTGAGAAAGAGGTACCTGTCTAGCAAATCCAGGCCTGTTCAACCTCGTTCCAGACACATTTCCCCATGCGGTTCTCGACTGCAGCAGCGTTGGCGCCGACTACCAGGGCAGTAACCACAAGAGCGAGACGAGTAAAAGAGATAGTGGGGAACTGCATTGAGGGGGTGAGTTGATTGCTACAGCATGGATGCTTTGTCTGGCTTTATAAATGGGTGGCGGGGTGATTATGCATCCTACCCGGCTCCCCAGTGATCCAAAAGGTCATTATTATTATCCCAACGGCGCTAGAGAATGAATTGAACGGGATGATAATCTTACATACTATTAATAACTTCGCCAGCGTTCTAGGCCACTCCACTTTGTATGGTGGTCGAGCGCGACAGCTCGGATCCCCGATACGACGATACATCCGGCAAATGGACTGCGCTATCCCCCGGTCGTATAGTCGCCACTCCAAAGTCCTATAGCGTTCATTCAGAATACCAGACGTGCAGATTCGTAATATATTGCCGGCGTACCTTGCCCGAGTCCTCCTCTCCATCCGCCGGATGCAATCCCTATCAGCGCTGTTTTATTCCGATCCACCGAGAATCGGTCCACAAACTAACCTTTGTGTTTCTCTCGGAGCCGTAACGTTCAAAGTACGTGCGGGACACAATACTCATCCTCGTGTCTGCGGGCTCCTGGCCGCGCTCGGCCAGCTCAAGGATGAAACGCGTCGCCAGCAGAGGTGTCAGTCTGTCCCGATAACATGTGTTCAGCGGTGCCGCAGTTTTATCGCCGCGGCTACTAGAGACTCACGCATCAACGTATGGCGTGATGAAGTTCCTCGCGTGATTGCGCGCCTTTGATACTAGTCAGTCGGCGCGTTCTTAGGGAGCTAGTCAGTCTCACATACCGAAGGGATCTAGAAGAGGTGAGAAATCAATGTTCCCCTCTCGCCTTCATTCAATAACGAGATCGGAGGATACCTGGAAAAAGGTTGCTTCCATCGCCATTATCGCAAATATCAACCTGGTAATAAAGGTCGTACTCAAGTTATGAAAAGATACTAGAAACAAAAACGCACAGAATATCCTTGATTTCTGTTCCCAGTTTTAATCCACCGTGTTCGGGCTAACGGTGGGGCACTCGCCTTCTTCCATCATGTACCCGACGAGCCCTCCAGTGCTCAAGCCCCGCAAGCCCCGAATCGCACGCGAGTGCTTCCAGAAGGTGAAGAGCAACACGATCGTCGTGAAAGCGTCGAATGTCGCCCGTAAGCAAGGTACAAACAGGACTGTCCCCTGCGTCAGGCTTTCCACAAATCCTGCGTCAACTTCGACACAGAAAGGCTCTCACTGATTCTGTGAGGGATTGAGCCTGTTCTGGTGAGTACCAGCAGCGGGCAGCCGACTGACCTCGACGTATCAGAGGGGTTTATTGCCCGGCACTGAGGGAACGCCGACGGGTTTGGGAGAGCCACGTTGATGATCGAAGGCAAGAGACCCATGGCGAGGGCGAGCGCTCCAATCGGTCTGCCAGTGAGGATAAAAATTCTCCAAGAGACGATACCTGGGTCGTTCAACTCGGTGCAGGATACGAGAGATGAGTACTCACAAACATAAATCATCTGGAAGGCGGAATCGAAGCCAAGGCTGATTGAATCCCAGATCGCACACCTTCAGGGTCGTGTAAGGGGTTATGTGAATGGTAAAAGTCGTGAGGGCTTGTACGCACGTCTTTGTCAAATTCAGAACTATCTCCAGGCGCAAGAAGCAGACGCGACACACCTGCACGGTCCAAACATCACGGCATATCGGTATTATCACCGCCAGGTGATACAGCACAGGAATGTATCGCAGCAGGATGAAAAAGACCGTCCCGCCTACGCGCCGATTGCTGCGCTCTCTGTAGAACCGCACTTCTTGCGGCAGCGTCAACAGGAAGTCGTTGAAGAAGACCACTATTGCCACTGGAATATCAGACATGCCAAGATCTCCAGAGCATCGAGCGCACCTGCTGCCGAAATCAACACCCGACTGCCCCACACAACCGATGACTCGTCGAGCTCGGTGAGAGACGACATAAGAGAGAGGACGCCTGTCAACGGACAGCCTTCGTCAGTCCCCTTTAAAGGCAAAACTTCAGAAGCCATCTCGGGAAGGCTGTACAAGCTGTCCAGTTCTTTTGGCATGGATGCTAGATCGTTATCCGTTATTCGAGTTGGCACCCGCGGATCTCCCTGGCGCGAGCAATCGAAATGCGGACACTTTGCGGATCCGTACCGGGCATAAAACAACTCACGGCTCTGCTCACCACTGAAAGGATACTACTCCAGGTTCATCCACTATCGTGATTAGCTTCCCGTTGATGCAGCTGATCAATGCCACGATCCCTTCAAACTCGGTTGTACTCACTTCATCAGTGGTTCTATTCTCTGAGGCAGTGAACACTGTCTGTCTATGTAACACGTATAGATAGAACCACAGCTATGATCGAGAGATCACCATCCACGGCCCGCCCACTGCTCTACCGTGGCAGCGGTCATCTCCTCCAGCGAGTGGTACTTGATGCCGAGGATCCGTTTCCCCTTCGAGTTGTCGTACAATATGTTCTGGGGGACGTCTTTGCCGGTCCCGGGCTGTCCCTTCTGGTACTTTCCAGAAGCCACGGCCGCCGCCGGCAGTGCATCGACTGGGCAAGGGAAGGAAGGTTTTTGTCAGCGTGCGATGCACATGGAGCGAAAGCACTGCCGCGACTCACGGCAGTCTTGCCACGTGTAGGGCTTGTCCGCGACGACAATGATCCTTTCCCCGCCAGCCTCTTCTCGCTGCACCGCGCGAACATGGGCCAGCGCAATGTCGCGCACGTCGATGAACGGAGCGCCGTCGACAAGTGCTGCGGGGTCGGTGAGGCCGCGGTACATCGCCTTCGAGGATGTGTTGAGCTCGGATGGAGACGAGACACCCTGGATATCAGGCTGGGAGCAGATCGTGTCAGTTTCGAGGCGAGCGTGAGTGCGAAAGCTCACTCACACCCAAGACAAGCGGGGGATTGAGCACCGTGAGGTCGAACTTGGCCTCCGGGTGCTCCTTCATGAAGTTCCAGGCAGCTGGTCGTTCTAAGCTTACCAATACGAAAACCTAAGCTGGCACTCACCACGCTCAGCGAGAGTCTTGCTGGCACAGTACTTGTCACCAGCACTGGCTTCGACACCCAACTTCTCTACCTGCTCTATTGCCCGTTCGTTCCAGTCCTTCTCACTGAATACCGTCTGCGTCGGCAGGTTGGCCGTGAGGACCGTGGCAGTCGAAGCAGTCACCACTACGCGGCGGACGTTCTCGCTACAGATCAAATGAGTGATATCGAAATCGAAGGATAAAAAAGGACTGACCCGCATTTCAAGGCGCTCTTCAGTATCCCCAAAGTGCCATTGACAGCGGGCCCGATGAGCTCTTGGAGAACGAGTCAGCGAAAGAAGGGCAGTGAGAGGCGACCACAAGCGCACCCGATGGTTCGTGGACCTGGAAATGGAACGGGGAAGCAGTGTGCGCGATCGCATCGACGCCTTTAACGGCCTCGTCAAACGCGCCGTCCTGCATCGCCATGAGTCAAGGCTGCGCGACACGGACGATCATGCACGCACCGCCGTGATATCCGGCACGACAACCACCTCGAGCTTGTCGCCGTATGACTTGAAGAGCTCGACAAGATGCGTGCCTTTGTCCGCTGAACGCACCGTCCCGCGCACGGAATAGCCCTCTTCGAGGAAGAAGCGCACCACCCACTGCGCGTTGGCGTGTTAGATCGGAGGGCAGCTCGGGGAAACGGAATGCACAGACCACTGCGATGTATCCATTGGCGCCAGAGACGAGGACTTTGCCTGATTGGAGAGTGGGCATGAGGGAGTCGTGGAAAGTGGGGGCGCGATTATGGCCATCTCGCTGTGCGTTTCCGTTGTTTTATAGATCGATTTGTGGGACGTCAGTCAGCGCGATCAAGACTGCGATAACGCCCAATATGCTGACTCATATCCTTGTGCGCCCTTCGATGGCCGGATGCGAGGACGTCATCGGCCCGTTACTACGGCTTGCGAGAATCCAAATGACGCCTCTCCGTTCTTCAAATCCGGGGTTTTCCGTTGGTACTTGCCGACTCATGTGGTGCAAAGTCGTCCCACAGCAGCGATGACGCTGCGGCTCATAGAAGACGAGAACTGCATCGGCGGAGAAAGGATGACGCGTGAGCTATAACACGGGAAGAATTCGAAGTGAGGAATAGTCAGTTTTAGGTGGTCGTCGGAAGCTGGAAGTATCAAGCAGTGAAGCGACTTTCAAGAATGAATGTAGATTCATGGCCTGAAGACCTCTGGGCTCTCTGAAAGGGATGCTTGACTGGCCAAATTGAATGCCTGTGAGAGTAGTGAAAAAAAGCTGTGCGTGGTGTGACCTCATCACCTGAGGTGTGACTAATGGTGTTGGACATCAGGCCGATTCACCGGATCATTTCACGCACATTGACAGCACACAACCTCTCTCTCTCTCCCAGCAAGCCTGTGAATAACATTGGCCGCTCAATAAGCTCAGCCGGATCGAGAATGATATTCCGGAAAAGGATTCTACTTCTTCTACTGACGCTCGTACTTCTATCGGTACGTTTCGGAGAGACGTGCTTCTACTTGAATGCGCGTCGGTTTCTAAGCTTTCTCAGACTTATGTATATCACCGGCATTCGGCCCAGTTGCTCTCGGTTTTTTACCCCAGCAGGGGTGCCATTCTCGGCTCAGATGAGCTTCAGAGTCCTCCCTTGCCAAAAATATGGCGCGAACCGCCATACAAGATACCGATGGCGGAGAAATACTACCAGGCCTTCAACACCTCGAAACGCGCTTCCGCCGCGATAGTAATCCTCGGTATGTTTCATGAAGACCGCGAGACAGAGATAGAAATCTAATTTATCTCGTACAGCTCGCAACCGCAACTTGCCTGGAGTGGTGCAGACACTCATCCAATTCGAGCAAAAGTTCAACCACAAGTTCAATTACCCATATGTCTTCCTTAACGAAGTTCCATTTGATGAGGCATTCAAAGTGTGAGCGCTTGATGGTATGTGCTGTGGATGTTGCGTGCTAATGCAGTCGTAGTGCCGTGACAGCGCTCACTCGTGCGCGTGTCGAGTTCGGTTTGGTTCCACCGGAAGACTGGTATCAGCCATCGTGGATCGATGAGAACAAGGCATCTGCAGTGCGCGAGCGAATGAAGAATACCGTGCTATATGGAGGTGTGGACAAGCCCTGGTCATTCCATGTCCGCTTGATTTGACGAACCGTGCTTCAGATAGCGTTTCGTGATTCGCAATTGTCTCTGCGCCCGCTGAGCTGATACTTGGAGGCAGATACCGGAACATGTGTCGCTTCCAATCTGGGGTGCGTAACCACCCGGCATTTCTGCCGTCTTTAATAAATCACACGTGCAGTTCTTCTTTCGACACGAATTACTCAAGAAGTACAGATGGTACTGGCGGTGCGCAACTTTGTCCTGTCAGCCATTCATTTCACAAACTAGATCCACCCGGCAGGGTAGAGTGAGTTCCGGCACAATCCTTGCGATTCGAAATTTTATCAACACCTCACAGACCGGATGTGAAATTCTCTTGCGATCTGGATTTCGATCCGTTCCTGTTCATGGAGGGCGAAGATAAACGTTACGGTGCATCTGCTTATATTTCCCACCATTCCGGCTATTGAATGGCGACCGCAGCGTTTACGATCAGTCTCGGGGAGTACCGGAAGACAATCCCATCACTCTGGACAACAGTCCGAGGCAAGTATGGTCCGTTGCTATCGTGCGCAGTCAGATTCACTTGACGATAGCATTCATGCAAATGAATCCGGACTTGTTTGTCACAGATAACGCGATGGAGATGTTGATTGACCGCCGCAAAGGCTATTACAATCGGTGTCATTGTGAGCCGTGTGCTTTTCCATGTTCCGAACATCCTTGATCGTGCCTCGTTTGTCAGTCTGGTCCAACTTTGAGATTGCGGATCTTGATCTCTGGAGGAGCGAGTCGTATCTCAAGTATTTCGACTTCCTCGACAGGAAGGGTGTCAGTATCAACACTAATCGCCGCAGCTGTATACTCATTACATCATTATAGGGCTTTTACTATGAGGTCTCGGTGAAATTTTCTTCCATATTTCTACTAAAACGCCACACAGAGATGGGGTGACGCCCCCGTACATACTCTTGGAGCGGCCATGTTTCTGCGCAAAGATCAGATTGTGTGTTCTGAACTTGCTGCTATTCAGATCCATTTCTCACTTCCACGACAGCATTTCTTCAATGAAATAGGTGTGCATATGTGCTGTCCAGTTGATCTGTTTACTCACACCGTCGAAGGCTATTTCCATATGCCTTATGAGCACTGTCCAGAAGGACCCGCATTCACCCGCGGCCGGTGCGAATGTGATCCCGCAAAGAGTTTCGGTTCGTGCCTGACTGCATGCTGCTCTGAAGCTTGGCTGACGGCGGCGCTCTTCTAGATAGATCGGATGTCTCATGCCTTGCAAACTACGATGCCATGTTTCGTGGAGAGGACGAGGAGCACCTAGAGGGGATACCCGGGGTCGAATGACCTCAATCGGGAGCAACGATTGCTCTCTTCGACGCTGTCGTTGCTCGCCCAAATGCTAATCGTATCCTTCTCGATACCGCGGTCCCGCCGCACCGTTGTCTGACATGTGTTGTTTCCGTGAAGGTTAGCGTGATGAATGATTCGTCTTAATCGTCCTGTTCGGAATAGAGACTGTCACTTAGAATATCTCTTCGGCTGCCCGACTGACAGATCCGAGGAAAACGAAATATAAAGAGAGAGTTGAGTCCCCCCTTGGAAGCAGTATAGTTTCACTCATCAAGAATGCCGATCGCCTCTCATCCAGAACGTTTCCCTGCCATGGGAATGTACAAAGCCCCGCCTGGAATGCCCAAGGCGGAGTTTGAGGAGCATATGAACACTCTGACTGATGATCTTGTCCGGGTCCCTCTCGCTGCGCAGAACTTCAAGACTTTCGAGATGGTTGTGCAGAACGATCAGCTCAACGAACATTTGTTGAAGCTCGGCCTGCCACTTCCTCACCCTGCCGTGTGGCATATGATCGAGTGCGACGTAAGACTCTTCCTTCCTCGCTACTGTAACGCGATGATGTTGAAGAATGTCACAGACTAAAGAGGAGCTCTCTGCGGCAAGTCGAGCTGCCCCTCGCAGTCGATCTTTCGACCGTATGCACTCACTCACAGATAAGTAGCTCATCCGCGACCCGCCGTTCATCGCCCGTATCATGGAAGCAGAGCACTTCGGCTTCCACGCCGGCTCCTGCTCCTTCTCCGCCGACCTCCACACCAAGGTCCACATCCCGGAGGCAGACGACCGCACGCATGCCATGGGCATGTTCAAACTCGGCCCCGACACGTCCGTCGACGGACTCAAAGTGGTTCACAAGAAACTCGAGGACTTGATAGACAAGCTCCTCGAGGTTCCCGCCGCGAAGAAGAATCTCCTCGTGCACAGCTTGGTGCGTGCTTGAAATCACTAGTATCTCGCCCTGGTGTGGATGACTGATGAGATTGGGGTTGATTTCAGTGGATCCAGAACGAGGATATTCGTGAGGATCTGGTCGAGCTCAATCTCCCCAAACCGGAGCCCACTTTCGTCGTGACGGTCGAGACTGAGGTGGGTGTCATTCAGTTCTATGACAAGACGGCCCGATTTGATCATGTCTTGTGGCAGAAATTTGAGAATCTGATCAAGGTTCGCAATAATCTGAAAATCTCCCGAAATCCATAGCTGAAATATTTCTCTGCTAGTTCCTTGACGATGAGACGGTGCAGAGTATTCTCGCTGAAGGCCTGGCTGCTCTGCCGCAGGTGCTGGAGTCCTCGATTTTCTGTGCGGATATCATCCCAAAGATCCGTAAATATTGAGACGAAGATATATCTGCAAAATTTATTCATTGCCAATAAGGACTCGGCAGTACCGTATTTTGTAATATGAATGAGCTTGAAATTTTGAATTCGAGTATTGTGCCGACGTGCCTTGTTGATGGGCATCAGATGATCATGGCGGATGACTTTGTACACTGCCAGAACCTGTCCGCTGGCTGAAACCACCAGTACCGCAGTGCAAAAGCGCTTCCGTCGCGGCGCTCCCATCAAGAGACAACGACCAGTTCGCCAACCCAACTACATCGCCGTCGATGGAATTTGACGCGGCCGCGGCCGATGCTCGCACCATGTTCTTAAGCGCACAGTTCCGCTGTGTTCCGCTTCTTTCCACTGTATCGATACCATGGAGGCCATTTCGAAGCTAGAGCAAACTGAAATCTCGGAGGTCCTCTTTCCAAGTGCGTGCATTGGCAGAGTCAGCTCGTAGAGCCTGGACTCAATGCATGCCGAGGATAGCCGTAGGGATCTTTGTACCTCTTCTAGAGCCGTTGAGAGAGGAGATTGCACTCGCTCGGAAGACATTCCAGTACGGAGGGACGGGGCGGCATCAGGTACGCTACAACTGCACTCTCATCGACCATCCACTGACATCGATTAGCTAGACATCTACTCTCCGGCGGACACAAGCCAGAAACACCCAGTGCTGTTCTTCGTCTACGGGGGAGGGTTCGTGCAAGGAGATCGCACGCTCCCCTCACCCGCCGACACATCGTACGGAAACGTCGGGCTCTACTTTGCCAAACGCGGCTACGTCACCGTGATCGCCGACTACCGCCTGGCGCCGGGGACGACCTACCCGGGGCCTGCTGAGGATCTGCGCGACGCTCTCCAGTGGGTGACCAGCCACCCGGATGAAACGGGGCCCGGAGCGGACCTGGATAAAGTCTTCTTCCTGGGTGTCTCCGCCGGCGCGGCCCACACTCTGACGCTGCTTTTCTCACCCTCCATCATTGGCGGACTGCTCTCCAAGATCAAAGGAGCCACCGTTGTGTCTGCCCCGTATCATTCTGATGTGGGCCTGGATACTACTGCGACCTACTACGGCTCAGAGGCCAGGGCCAAGACATGCTCGCCCCTTGCCCTACTCTCGGGAGCATCGGACGAAACGATCAAGTCTCTCCCACCGCTTCTGATGGTGCGCAGCGAACGAGAACCTCCCAAGTTCATCAATGCAGGCAACGAGTACGCGGCTGCTGTCAAGTCCAAGGGGATCCAAGCACCCTACATCACGGCTGCCGGCCACAACCATATCAGCATCACATTCGCTCTGGGCACAGGACAGGGCGAGCATTGGGCCGAAGAGACGATTGCTTGGATGGCCAAGCCGTAGTCTGAATGAGAATCAAAACGACTTTGCACATAGGGAATCCACAACTTTAACCTGCACTGCTTTCACCGATTGTCAGGCGATGGAGCGAAGTGGTGACATATGCCCGAGTATAACCTCCGGGGCATATCATTCCGCTCGAGATCCGGCGCTATGCGGTGCTGTCTCACCGTCTCCTTGTCTATCCTTGTGCTCTGACTGGACGACATTCCGTAAGGATTTGGCCCAGGCCAATCCCCATATATAGTTAAAATATGACGCAATCGATGTGATGTGAATCAAGGCTGTGCTCAAATCACAAACGCTCCACAGGCCAAATCACGCTGATTTGGCCGAGGCTCAAGACCCTCGGCCAAATCCAAAAAAGGCATTTCCATCAGGCCAAAACGTTGCCGAGCAAGCCGTCCGCCACGTGATAGATCGAGACGCGGCCACGGCACGCGATCAAGACTTTCTTCCTCGCTCAACGCTCGCGCCCTCTTTCTCATTGCTCTGAGGGCATTATGGCCAAAACCCGACGCGGCACTCAAGCTTCCGAGGCCACACAGCCTGCTGAACCCGAACCTACTCCGATTCCTGCACCGACTCTGACACCTTCTGTCCCTTCTGGACCGATGTCATGTCCGCCTTCAACGCCTTTTTATTACGCGCCGGGATACGGACAGGGGTACTATCGTGACGGAAACGATCGAGGAGCCATGGTTCATTCGTTCTCTGCCTTTCTGCTGCTTCCCAGACTGACAAGTCACTTCGAAGCCTGTCGGATTGTCACAATATCCGTCTGTCCACACTCACGCACAACCACCTCTTCATTCCACGCAACCGACCGCTCCGCCATCCGGTGTTACATTCCAAGCAGGGACCGGGAGCTCCTCTGGTCCTGTTTCGGGTCGGAGAGAAGGGCAGAAGAACATTTCGGAGGGTGAACTCGACATTCTGTTCTCAATCTTGCTGGAGGTCAAGCCTCATGGCCCGAATATGTGGAACAATGTTGCATTGAAGTACAACATAGAAGCGCAGAAGCAAGGCTTTCCACCTCGGACTCTTGCAACACTGCGACGGAAACTGAACAAGGTGCGTTGATTTCCCCATCCGTGAATATGGGATTAAAGTGTTTTCAGCTCATCAGGGAGGCCGGCGGCACGAAGCCTACGGGGCAGAGTCACAAGTCGTGGCGTCTCCAGAAGGCATTCGAGGTGGACTGGGCAATCCGTGAGAAGTATGGATGTGCCGTGGTTGACGACACGGCTGGTATGGAGGAGGACGAGGGCTCGGACGATGAAACTCAAGTATCACAATTCACACATGACTCTCAGCAATCGGCGAGTTCCGCACAGGGTCCCCGGCGATTGGCGGCGAGTTCCCACTCTGCTTCACAAAAAGAGCGGTGGGTTGCTGATAAGGCTTATAAAGTCTCGCAGACTCCCGTGGAACTGACATCGACGCGTGGTCGCAATTCTGCGGCGGTCCAGGCGATTTCGAACCTCGCATCCGCTTTCGACCCCGCAAATGTGAAGGCCCGTGATGAAGCCAAGGCAGAGCAGCGTGTTCTGTTGTTGCAACTTGCAGATGCGCAACAGGAGCTTCAACGTCTCAAAGCAGAGAATGATCGTCTTCGAACAGCCCTTAGTGAGGCTGAGCTTCGCGCGCAACGGGCTGAGGATCGGTTGGAGCTGGAGAAAGAAAAATATCAATTCAAGCTCGAAGTCTTGGGAAGCACTCGAAAGAATGGGAACTAGCTTTAGAAAGTATTACATTTCCTGTTGTTGGACTACAAGATGAAATCGGGAAACCCGATCCCTTTCCCGAATGTCCGCAAATGCCATGTTACTCAAATTGTCCCAAACGTCTGGTTCTGCCTCCCTCCAGTACTTGAAGTAAACTTCACGGATCTTGTTAATCCCAACACATTGTGCTCGCACATTGATGAGACGAAAACAGAGTTCCAGGAGCTCGGTACGCTCCTCCTTGTCTGCATCATTCACGCCGGACGGAAGTGGGACTCGTAACCGTCCAAATGAGGCTTGTATGATGCGCATTCCCCATTCTGCAGTCTGGCGATACGAGACCAACTGTCGATCAAGGCGCTCTTTTGCTGCACGCTCAGCGGGATCATTTGGATATGTGTCACCTGCTTTTGCTGGAACTTTGATTCGGCCCTCCATTTCTTGGTTTCGGGGAAAAGCAGTGTCACAGACAATGAAAAATCCGGGTGGTAGAGCTCGTAATTTGGTGTAAATGGGCTGGGCTACTTGAGCGTCATGCCAGCTTCCCGGATATCCGTATGCAGCTGCAAGAATCTCACCTAAAATGTACATTAGGAACAGCCTGGAAAGCGACACCATTGATCACATACCCTTCGGTGACCAAACTAGAATATTCTTGATGAAATGGGCAGCCTTCCATCCACTGTACGTCGCATTTTCAATATCCGGATCACTGTCTGAATCGGCGGGCAGATCCAGGCCATCACAAGTTGCGATTGCACCAAAGAGTGCAGGATGACGCTCAGAAATAATCCGAGTGAGCTCAAGACATGCATCCTCGTCCTGTGGCATTCCGATCCTTCCCTCAGGAAGACTCCGGACAACATCCAGAAGAATTTTCCGCGCAAAAATAATGTAACGAGACACGGTCGAAGGAATGATAGCGAAGATCAGGGAGAAGGTGACCTGATGTGAAGCAGAGCCAAGATAATGCAGAATGAGGCCAAGCGCACCAGCTGCATCAAGTGAGCGCCCTCCAGGACGAGACTGTCCAGCACTGTCCGTGTCGTCTCGTAGAATTGGAGTGGAATTCCACCGTCCAGAAAATCCGACAAGAAGGAGATCAAACGTTGCAATGTTAACACCCATTGTTGTGATAAAAGATCGGTCTGTGCGAGTGTCATACAGCTGTTGCCACGGAGTGGAAGCTCGGGGATTTGGGAGAAGTTCGTGCCGTTTGAGGTAACGGTATGCTCTGCGCCGTCGCTCGTTTTGCTTGTCCACACTGGCCTGCTGATTAAGGGCCAGTAGAGCGTATAAACCAGCAATTCCTAGAACCAACTCCTCTTCTTCCTCCTCCTCATCCTCATCAATCCATTTTGAAGTAAATCAGAGGATGCCGGGCTCATGGGAGTAAGTAAGAAAGAGAGATGCGTTTTAGATGTGCATTATCACTATCGATCAAGCCCGATCCGGGAATCGCCGGATGGCCTCGATTTCGTCTCCGGTTTCACGGTGGGGCCAGATGTCACGTTACCACCACGTCATTTCTGATTTGGCCTGGGCCAAATCCTTACGGAATGGACGACTTGGCCTGGGCCAAATCCTTACGGAATGGACGACATTCCGTAAGGATTTGGCCCGGGCCAAATCAGAAATCACGTAATGGTAACGTGACATTTGGCCTCACTGTGAAACCGGAGACGAAATCGAGGCCATCCGGCGATTCCTGGATTGGGCTTGATCGATAGCGATAATGCAAATCTAAAACACATCCCTATTTCTTACTTGCTCCCAGGAGCCCGGCATCCTATGATTTACTTAAAAAATGGATTGAGGAGGATGAGGAGGAGCAAGAAGAGGAGTTGATTCTAGGAATTGTTGGTTTATACGCTCTACTGGCCCTCAATCAGCAGGCTAGTGTGGGCAAGCAAAATGAGCAACGGTGCAGAACGTACCGTTACCTCAAACAGCACGAACTTCTCCCAAATCCCTGAGCTTCCACTCCGTGGCAACAGCGGTATGACACTCGCAGTCTTGATTGTGTGTCGACTCGTGGCCGCGTCTCGATCTATCACGTGGCCGACGGCTCGCTCGGCAACGTTTTGGCCTGATGGAAATGCCTTTTTTGGATTTGGCCGAGGGTCTTGAGCCTCGGCCAAATCAGCGTGATTTGGCCCGTGGAGTGTTTGTGATTTGAGCACAGCCTTGATTCACATCACATCGATTGCGTCATATTTTAACTATATATGGGGATTGGCCTGGGCCAAATCCTTACGGAATGTCGTCCAATGTCGTCCACTGAAAATGCGTGGCAAGCCGTGACGTGCCTTGAGACTCCTAGACAAGAATCTGGCAACGATAGTGCGTGGCGGCCGGGATCGTCAGATCTCGGGGGGCTCAGTGGGCGGGAGATGACACGCGGATACATGTCCTTCGGCATTGGCATTCGCTTGGTGTTGTTCCCCGCCGGCAGCGATTATAGAGCTGAGCTTCACGCCGAGTCTGGTGTCGGAGATGGTGAGTAAACAACCGGCAGTAATCGTGCCGCATTTTCGCTTGAAGTTTCGCATAGACTCCATATCTTAGTCTTCTAATCCTTCACAGCGCTCTTCCTCTTCTGCTTCTCATCTTCGGGAGGGCAGGCCGCCCCATCATTCCCGAAAAAAAGCCGTTATGTTGGCCAGCTTACGTGCTGCGATCAAGTCCCGGAAGCAGTGCACTGTCAATAAATCACACGCCTGCAATTCAGCACAAAAACTTAGAATCTCTCGGTAGCGGAACCAGAGCGGAGACTGAATGTGGGCGGCGGCTGGCGACACCGGATCTCTCCATACAAGCTTTTGCAATGATCTTCGGCCGTGGGTGTGAAGTCCTCTTCTTTGATAATGGACGACAGAAAATGCTTCGCAATCTGTTCTATAACGTCCGAGCCTGACAAGCGATATTAAAGTCGACCCTCTGTTATTTGATAGGATGAGGACCTCAACGCAAATAGTAGCGAGCCTTGGTTGGCCTTGTCAACCGGGGTTTATGGCGTGGCAAGGGACACCAAGGGATGTCAGCAGACCCAATGCTGATAATGCTAAATATACCGGAAACATACACAACAGCCGTGCCTGGTCTGATTGAATAGAATCTCCAAAAGATCTCAGACTCGAGGTTTGGCCCGGGCGGGCCGCGGCCCGCCACTCCGCAATTGATGGCTTCCCCGGATGTGGGGTCATGGGGTCCTAGACCTCTGTCAAACTATATAAGCCGTGTGAATCACACATTTGGGGTGTGCGTGCTGCCCTTGCTCTTGACGGCCCATCCACTCAGACGAACAAGCAACGCCATCGAAATGGGAGAGTCCAGCAGATTCCAAAACATTCGTGCCTACTGGGTCGCGTTCGTCGTGTACTGGGTGAGGCCGCCCGCTAGACCCCATCCCGTTTTTGCGCGCTGACTTTTATCCTCAGGGAATCATCCTCTTTGGTTACGACACAGGTATCGCGGGAGGTGTCGTGTCTGCCCACTACTTCCGCCAGCACTTCAACATGCTCGACGCCAAGGGCCAGCCCATCTTGTCCAAGACAAACGCCATCTCGGCGAACGTCGTCAGTGTGCTGCAGGCGGGCGCGTTCTTCGGTGCTTTGGGATCCGCACCCATGTCCTGTGAGCCCCATCTTCTTTTCCGAGGCATGCGCTGACGCGTAGATGCTCCTGCCAGCCTACCTCGGCCGCAAGCCCACGCTTGTCATCTTCAGCGTTATCTTCGCTATCGGCGCAGCGCTCACCACCGCCGCCAAGTCCCCCTCGAACGGCCTCGCGATGATCTACGCAGGCCGGGTTATCTCCGGTGTCGGTGTCGGTGCTATCAGCGCTGTCGCCCCTGCGTTCGTTTCGGAATGTGCGCCGAAGGAGTCTCGGGGTCGTATCACCGGTATCTTCCAGGTCACCGTGGCGATCGGTGTCATGATCTCGTATTTCATCAATTGTGCGTGCATGCTTTTCATTTCCTTTCTCAGCAAGCCGAATCGCTTCTGACACGCGTGCAGATGGTCTCTCACTGTCCCCGTCCCTCGCCAACTCCCCCAAAGTATGGCAGATCCCCTTCGGATTCCAATTGGCTCCGGCCGGGCTCATGCTCCTAGGGCTGTTCACTGTTCGGGTGCGTTTACCCGCATGCTATCCCGTCCCCTTGCATTACTGATCGTCGGCGTTGATGCTAGGAATCACCCCGGTACCTCGCATCTCGCGGGAACTCGGAGCAAGCGTTGGCCAACCTGGCTTACCTCCGCAGCCTTCCGCCGACGGACGAGCGGGTTGTACACGAGCTTGCGGAGATCGAGAGTGCCATCGCTGAGGAGCAGGAAGCCCGGCGGGGTTTGGGCTGGAAGGAGGCATTCTTCGGGAAGGGGAACTTCATCCGGTAAGTTTGCTTGGCTATGCATGATGCGGCGGCCTTGCTGAGCTTGCCTGATAGTTTCGTGATTGCGTTCTTTATCTTCTTCCTCCAACAATTCTCCGGCCAAAACTCCGTTGGGTACTATGCTCCGCAGATCTTTGCAAGCATTGGCTACACGGGCTCCAAGAACTCGCTCCTCGCCAGTGGCATCTACGGTGTCGTCAAGGTCACTGCGACTGCTATCTTCGTGTTCACCATGGTCGACTCGTTCGGTCGTAAGATGTCGCTGTTCATCTCTGCGATGGGCATGGGAATCTTCTTCTTCATCATCGGCGCCTTGCTCAAGACGTTCCCTCCGCACGCCTCGACTACTGGCGCCCCTGTGAACCCGCCGCCGAGCAGCAAGGCCATGGCTGCGATGCTGTATCTCTACGTCTGCTTCTACTCAATGGGCTGGGGACCCCTTCCCTGGGTATATGCATCCGATATCTTCCCGACTCGGACGCGGCACTATGGTATGGCAGTGGCCAGTGGAAGCCAGTGGCTGTGGAGTGCGTCTCGGCGAATGCTCTGCTGCTTCTTTGTCTAATCTGCCTTCTCACAGATTTCGTCGTGGCGCACTTCACACCAAACGCAGTCACTAAACTTGGATTCAAGATCTTCCTGATGTTCGGGACGATCAACATCGGCGCCATGGCTGTCTTTGCTTTGTCAGTTCTCTTGTACTGTCAGATCTCCGCATGCTGACCCGGACGCAGGCTTATCCCCGAGACCAAGGGCCGCTCGCTGGAAGACATGGACATCATCTTCGGCGCCACCACACAGGAAGCCAGGACGGCCCATATTGCGGCCCGTGAGAATGAACTGGACAGAGAGGTCACCAGTGTCCATAATGACGAGAAGGTTTAACCGAGTCCGAGTTTACCCTACACGCTTTGTTATTTCCCTCACGACGTTGTATGACTATCTGCTTGTTCGACTGGGAACTTGTCTTATGTATAATAGTATCATCATCCATCTCAGATAATCTTTGCTGTCCACCGAAAAAAAGTTACATTCAAGGTCATTTTATATGCGGCCCGCCCCCGGCCCGGAAGGTATGCTCTGAACTCTATTCCTCTTCTCCGGAGAGAAGCTTGGCAAGTTCTTCATTCCTCGGGATTATACGACACTCGAATGGGACGGGTGCGCTGTTATCTGTGTCAGCCGCCATTTCCCCGGGAAATACTGCTGCTTGGCTCACTCGATCAGATTAGAATCATATGCGTACGTTGGCTCGATGGGGTCTCCGTGCTGATCCACGGCCTTTGCGATATCGAATGTGGCGAGAACGCCAGAGAACGTACTCCATAGAGTGGCCATCGCCACATAGCGCCCAGGACAGATTCTCCCGTCGAAGGCTAAGCACATGAGCGGTAGATCGCCAGTGGCTCTCCTCACCTGCGCCCAAATCCATATGCAATTTCGATCGACCCAATCATGTCCCTCGCCACGGAATCGTCTAGGAACCGTTCAGGTAAAAATATATCCGGGTCTGGAAACGTCGTCTGTGGGAGGCGATGAGGTTCAAGCTGGCCGAGGGAGAGTCCTGATACTGACCGGGTCGCGAAGCAATTCACTGGAGAGAACAGCAGATCAATCGCATGAGCAGACAACAAAGAGAGAATGATCGAAGACTTACTGCATGTTGCCGACGACATAAGCACCAGCAGGGATCCGATAGCCCTTGTACTCGTCTTCGACTGTAACACGATGCGGGATTGCTGCAGATTCGTGAGGCTCGAGGATTCGTTCGAATCAAAACAAACACACACCAATCGGAGTAACGACATGCCAGCGCAGCACTTCTTTGACCAGTGCCCCAACGTACGGCATCTTCTCGCGGTCAGAGAAGTCGGGGAGCCGTTCGCCGTGCGTGACCGCGTCGATCTCACGCTGCGCAGTGGCCTGGGCCTCCGGATTCGCGAGCATAGCCAAGAAGAACGTCGACACGGCCGCCATGGTCGAATCAAGGCCTGCCGTATACATTGTTGCAGCGACTCCTTTGATGGCCTGCTCATCTTCCATTGGGCTGTTTGCGAGACATGCGGTGATGAAAGACAGAGTGGGCATTCCAGCGGCCTGGTTCGGATAGCCAGATAAGATAAGATTAGATAAGTTTCAAGCAGGGTTCGTACGTGCCTCTCTTTGCTTGACCTGCGCGAAGGGAGCCTCAACGACGGAGCGACCGAGTGCCCGCCACTCATGGAGATTTCGCTTGAAACCGGCGCCAGGGAACCATGCAGGAAAGTGCTTGAGCATCGGGATCGAGTCCTAACACGAATCAGAATTTTAGCAGCAACCCTTCCGGACTAGTACTGACGACGAGAAATCGGCCTGGAGTGACTGCTTCCATCCCGATTCGGGTGACAGCTTCCGACAATCCGACCAGCGGATCGTTCTCACGCTGGATCGGCAGGCCATATGCGAAGGATAATATTGTTTCCGCGATGAGCCTGGGACTCTCAAGAAGAGATCGGTCATCCATTTACTCCAGGACTTACCGATGGATATTTTTCTGCAGCGATACGGGATCAGTCAGAAGGCTTTTTAGAAATCGGCGTGAGGCAGATTCCTGTGTGGCATAAAATTGTTTCGCTGTCTCAAAGTTGGCCTGTTGATGCAGCAGTCGACGGGCTTTTCTCCTGATGAAGTTGTTTCACGGGTGATACCCGTAAGTGTGAGGCGAAACGTACCAACGAGGGCCATACTCCATGGTTGCTGATCGATCAAATCAGATGTGGTAAAGCGGCACTTGAGAAATCAAGGCTCACTGAGACTGAAATCGTATCTCAGGATATCATGCAACATCGTGAATCTTGGTCTGGAGTGTTCCTTTGAAATCGATTGAGTCGAACGGGGATGATCAATGCGCACCGATCAGAATATAAAGCCGATTTCTTATTCAGTAGATCGTCAACAGCCTGGGCCGAGTTGAGTACGATGAGATGCGTCCCTGCCATGTCGAGGTGGATGATATCCGAGTCTGTACAGAATTTATGCTGGAGTATCGGAGGGACAAGAGAACTCTACGCACTGAGTTCCCGGCCCAGCCGGGCGTAGGCCTCCCACTCTCGGCCTTTGGACACAGAGAACAAGTTCCCTACGAATGGCAACTTGCGTGGGCCCGGTGGCAGAGGCGGTGCAGGGGAAGAACTCTTGCTGCCGAAGAAGCGGCGGAGGACAACAACTACAGAAAAAGCAGCAGCAAGAGTGATGAGACTCGGAATCGGGTTGTCCATGGGCGAATTCGTCTGTGCGTGCGATGTTGTGGTTTGAATCAACGCAGGGATGTCTGCGTTAGCGTGGGGATTGTGCGGATGGGAAGCCGATCGACCGTCAACGCATGTCACACCCGTGTCTGGATTCTGAGAAAAAGAAGCGAACGATCACGGACTTGATGGTTCAAGCTCGAGGTTCAGTTGTTAAACTGGGAATTGTGTGTGCACCCGCGTGACACAATCTGATACTCAGGGATCTATGGCAACTTCATCTTGAGCATAGGATGATTGACATCCACTACTTGCAGGCACTTTGCGGGGTAAATCGGGGATGCGTTCGAGTCGGACGCTCTTGGTAAGACTGTCAGTCATTGACCTGGCTGGTTCGTTTCGTTCCGGTTCGCGTGAATTGCCCGCAAACATCTCTCATTGTGGAGTCTCATGTGACCTCAATCAATCAGCATCCCATAACTCGAATTCCGGACTGGCATTTGTGAATCTTTCTTGTATCAGTTCGGCACAGTGCATAGTATCATCGGGAAATAGCCGTATCTCAGTTTGAATTTGAAACATCGAACACTGAGATCGTATAAATCACGAGCATAGTCTCCCAAATTTTCTCCAGGCGCTGTCCTTCTTCGAGAGTGGGAGCTCGCTACATGTGCGCCAGGTTAAGAGGGGGTGATCGGATCAGAAAATTGCTCAAAACGTAGCGAATTACGAAATATCTGACCGAATGTGGGAGGTCCTCAGTCCGATACAGTGCAAATCAGGATGCAAAAAGCCAATCTGGTAGCGAGACTCAGCCTTTTCGGGAGAATTGACATGGGGTTTTTCAATTCCTTTTTCACAGCGCCAGGTCATGCCAAGTACTTACGCACAGTTACACCGTGCCAGATTTTAGTCATTGGCCGCGGCCATCAATTTGAAGTCCTAGCGGTTCCCGCAAGGGCGCTGACGATTCGATGGATACACGAAAGATATCAAACATGTATGGAGATCTGGTCATCTCTCCGTCTCCGCTCATGAGCTTCCTACAGAAGGTCATTTTGCTGTCTTTCATAGCGCAAGGCTTGGCTTCGCTCGCAGGACAGCCGCTTCCCTTCGCAGGCTTCTTCGAGGAAACCCCGCTCGTCCCAGTAGCGACAACGCGCACGAAGAATGTTTTCATCACCCCCGAGATCGACGCTTTCGCCGAAGACCAGCTCGCGTCATTGGGCTCCTCCGGTCTAGCTCTCGCCATCGTCCGAAGCGACCCCGACACCCCGCTGAACTGGACCGTCGAGTTTGGCTCCTACGGTATCGCCAAGGCGGATGGGTCGCTTGTCACGCCCGACACGATGTTTGCCATCGCCTCCAACAGCAAGCTCTTCCTCTCGCTCTCGGTGGGACTGTTGATGAAGAACGAAACGTTGGCGGAGGAGCGGGGCAGCAAGTTTGGCTGGGACACCAAAATCCGGACCCTCATTCCCGAGTGGAAGCTGCTGGACAAGGACATGGAGCGCATGATCACCATCCAGGATATGCTGTCGCACCGCACGGGTCTGCCGCGCCACGACTATTCGGGGCAGGCACGCGAGGGTGGTGTCGCTGAGATGGTTCGTACATGAATCGTGCACTTGCCAAAATCTCTGACTCCCAGAGCTAGATATCCACCCTCCGGTATCTCAAGCCGTCTGCCGAGTGGCGCGAGCAATATCAGTACAACAACTTGATGTACGAAACGCTCTCGCATCTCCCCTCTACTCTCCTCAATCAAACGTACGAATCCTACATTCACGAGCACCTGTTTGCTCCGCTTGGGATGAACTCGTCGACGTACTCGGTGGCCGAAGCTGAGAACTGGGGTACCCTGGCAGACGGATACTACTGGTCGATGCAAGACTGGTCCCGCGGCATCAATGGCACGCTGACGCCGACGATCCCGTATTTCCAGCGCCCAGGAGAAGAGGGAATATGGGCCGGCGCGGGTGGTGTGCTCACTTCTGCTCGTGATCTAGTGGGTCATGGCTTCTCATGTTATACTCTGAACTTATAGTAGACAGACGTCCTGGGTTGCAATGCTTCTCAACGACGGGCGCCATCCGATCACCAACGAGACGGTTGTGCCGGCCGATGTCGTGGAGCACGTTGCCACTGGTGTCACTGTCGCGAATGGGAAGGCCTCTTACCCTGAATTGGTCCGTAGTTACCACCAGCAGCGTGTTCTCAGCTCTGAAGCAATCTGACGCAGAGTCCCAAAGTGTATGGGTGCGGGCAAGAGCGTGCATCGTATCGTGGACACGAGTACATCGAGCACGGTGGCAGCAACCCGGGCTTCAAGACCCAAGTCATCCGATTCCCTCAGGACAGATTCGGTGTCATCTCGCTCTCCAATGATGAGCTGGGCAATGGCCTGATGGAAACCGTCAAGTGGAGGCTCATCGACTCAGTGCTGGGTATGGAGCCTATCGACTGGACTGCGAGGTACGTGCAAGCGAGCTTCCGCTATGAATTCTGTACTTATCAATGTCTCCAGATACCGCGAATCGCACAACAAGCGTTATAAAGAGAGCCAGGACGTCACTCCGCGACCCTCGTCACCGAAACCACCATCGTCCTCCTTCGCTGCTATGCACGGGACCTTCTCTCACGGAGCCTACGGTTCATTCAGTCCTTGCTATGTCGCGTCCGGCCCTACAGGTCTCACGCCCGAATGCACTGCCGTGATTACGAGCCCCGTCGTCCAGCGCATCCTCGATGCCTCTCCAGGCGCACTGACTGGTGACATTCCTACGTTCATCGTGCCATTCAAGCGGACGTTCTCAACGTATCTGCGGCTGATGCACTTCGACGGCAATGTGTTCAACACGTCGCTGATCGTGACGAACAGAGAGACGCGTCGTGCGGAAGGGTATTTGGACGAGGAGAACGACATCTACGCTGGGTTCGATGACCAGAATGAGGTTGAGTGGGTCGATGGCCCCGAGCCTGGATGGGCTTTCCGGGGAGGCTTTTGGGGAAGCCAAGGGAAGATCCGGCCGCTGGAGGGAAGCGTCAAGGACCGGGCTGAAGTGTGGTTTGGTCGCGTTTAGGTGTGAAATCGAAGCACAGGTGGGATTTCCTACCGGATACAATACCCAGCTCGCTCATTCACGGCAGTTGAGAATACATCATGGAAACACACACTCACTTCGGTGCCCCAAGCAATTCGCACTCCTGAAATGTGAATATTCAGAGTCCTTGAGCCAACGCTTGCTCACAACTCGGAATAAGATCTCTAGTAGTGCCAAGTATACATTCTAATATGCAGAAGCGCATAGATATCAATAAAAAGTCTAATGAGAGTAATCTAGAAGTCCAAAACAACACCACCCTTTGACCATGCTCCCATTTGAGCAGATATACGATGAACGTAGGGCGTTGGCAGTCCGTAGTCGTATGCCAGGTCTCTTGTGCGCGGAGAGCGTACTCTCACGCGCAAACGAAGCCTGGAAAGCGCCGGGAAGGGCTGAGACAGTGGCAGACTCAAGGAATGAGATTGCGTGAATAGCGAGTCTAATCGGTCCCATTCAGTGTCGTCGAAGGCAGCCAGCGTCGGCGCGAAGAGCGTAACAATCTCCAAAGAGCTTGCCATGCCCCGGAAAGTGGTAAATAAGCGAATCAGGGCGGTGGAGGCAGAAAGTGGGGGTGCAGCAGGGGACAGTTCTATGCTTAGATGCTGCAAGGAGGGAACATAGGGAGCAATTGCTGAGTGGAGGTGGTCTAGTCCCTAGATCAGCTGGGAATCGAGAGTGAACGAAACCATACACACGCACCCATGTTGCAGTTCTGAAACTCCAGAAAACTGAGCCCTTCCGCTTGCTCGCTAGCTAAGAACCGACTGACAGAGGCCCATTGGGGCGGAGTCTCGAGATCCCGAATAACCATTTGATCCACTGTGGATCGGATCCTTCCCGAGGTGACAATCCAATCCAAAATTTCAGGATATGCAAGCACAAGTCTTCGAAGATTCTGCGGCAACGCTGTCGTCTTGGGCCAAGCGTCCTCCCTGACCGTCACCCGCGCAGAGCCAGTAATCTCCAACGACTGCAGCTTCGGGAAGGAGGAAATGTGATCCACCAGGGCATCCAAGAATGTGTCGTTGTGAAGCTGTAGCGCAAGATGCACCAGAGACGGCGCAAATGGGAAACCAAAGCCGACGCTCTGGGGACTCGATGAGCGCAGCTCATAGGCAGGGCAGTTGATCTGCAGGATCTCCGGTCGTATCCCCGCACGGGCTAGGACGGCCAGGATGGTCTGCACCGGTGTCATCCCCCAGGAGCGTTTTGCCAGTACGACGCACGTCACGTACGGCACCAGTGTCACCGTCGCAGCACAGCATGGCACACTTGAGGAATCTGAGCCCGCAGAGGTCCCGGTAAGAATCTCCATGAAATCCGTCACCGCGTTCGGCTCCGGCGCCCAGTCCGCCGAGAGGTCGAGTGAGGAGAACAAGTGGTATCGAGTTCGTGGTAGCCAGGACCGACAGACTAGGCTGCATGCGGACAGACTACGGGGGGATGTGCGCGAGGCGTCGATGATGCACTCGGCGACCTCTATAGGGAGAAGTTCCCGCATGTGTGCACATTCGGGTTGGAGGGGAGATAAGTACCAGGTCGTCAACGATGAGCCGCGGCCCGGGGTGAGTGTACTCTCTGCCGGACAAATCAAGACCATATGCCCGCATGCCTCCATTTGGCTTGGAGGATTCGTTCCTACGCGTCACTCGTCCTCGTCTCGGTCAAAAGAAGTTGGTGGTTGTGAAGGAAGCAGCATGGGAAACAGGACAGGCCATGTCCTCGCTAACATCATATTGATGCGGAGATGAGCCGAAGTACAGTTGCGATACGAATGATGATACTACAGAAACGACGCCCAACCTCAATTTACTCTGCTCTTGATTTTCGCAAGTCTCTCAGAGTTGTAACAACGGCCTCGATAAGTGCTCGATCCTCTCCGTCAGCCCACATCAAGGCACTGAATAAGGAGTAGAAACCAGCCTTGCCAAGGAGATATCTGACTTCATGATAGTCCGCTGATTCCGCGATTCGGGGAATACTGTGCGAGATAAGCACATGCACACCTCTCAATCGCACAGTCTGAGGTGTGATGTTGCCAGTGTTTGGCGGGAAGAGCAGCTCCTTGAGCACGTTGTAGACCTCCTTCCCATCCAGGATCACGTAGTGATACAATGCGCCAATGAACGCGGTCAGACTCATCCCGGCCTCGACCTGGGTCACGGATGATATCTTGGATAGGTTCTGTGAACGGACGACTAGTGTCTGAGCGCGAACCAATGGCATGAAGACAACGAGCGCACCCGAAAGTCCATCATAAACTTCTTCAGGACATGCATCCCCAGCAGCGCATACCATTCCCGCACCCCGCACAGCGGAATTCCCGAAAGCTTGGTTGCCAAAGCCGCGACGCGATGCGCTTCGCTCGGATTCGAGACTGCACGGGCAACGAGAGCAAAGGCGACACCATGCATGTCCCCGCAAGCCAGCCGACTCCGCTGCAGTTGGGCGAACATCTCCCAAGATTCTGGAACATGGGGAAATGCGTTTACCATGGGCTGAGTAGGAGACAACGGCGGCTGAGTCCCGAATGGACGAGAAACATTGCGCTCCTGCAGGGGCAAGGCCGAGATGACATGCGGTCCAGTATCCTGTGCCAGACCTGCACGCGTAATACCCAGTGGCATGGATTTGGCCCGCTCCCATTCGTCTTGAGGAATGGACCAAACAGGTGGCTTGTCAAGATCTGCGTACAATGTCCAGTCGGGCACGCGCTGGACGTTCTTGGTCGTGCTCCACGTTTCCGGCGATGGTATGCTCAGACAAATGGCACCCGTGGAAGGGGATGATGTCGCAGCGACAGTCGATGAGCCACGTCGTGTGGGAGTAGGTGGTCGAGGCACATAGAAAGGTCCAAGGAGATGGGGGAGAGGTGCAGGGCTACGTTTCCGAGGTTTCTCTGGCGTTGGTACGGTCAGGATAATACGAGGTGGAGACACAGGGGCAAATTCTGTGCCAGGAAGTGGCTTGGCCCGTGGTATGGACGGAGGTGATGTCTTGAACCATGCATTCGAGCGCGATGGGCAGCTTGTCTCAGCTCTAATCGGTTTTGACGACACGAACTGAGATTGGTTCTGCATAGATTTTCAGCGAATTCTGAGAGAGAGATTGATTTCTGACCACCTAGATGGTAACTGCAGTCTTTATACCGCCCATATCAAAGCGCTGGCAGGGACAAAGCCCTGACTGCTTTCTTTCAAAGCGTCGGTTGCCCTGAGTGGCAAACAATGTATCGCAGGGGAATTGTGGAGCTGCTGATACGCGTAGCTGCATGGCGGTCGATCTCTGTTGTTGACAAATGGCGCGTCAAGAGAGAATTGCCTTGCTTGTCAAGGCTTCTCCACCCTCATGTTTGGCTCGATTTCGTCGGACCCGGATTCCCCCGCTGTTCCGTTCCTCTCCGTGCTCTTCTTGTCGGTCTCGAGTTCGACCCGTCGTAGTTGCCCGTATCAAAGAAAAAATTAAAATTAATTTTGATATCAAATAGCAAGGCAGAATGTCGGCGGAGCCAACGCTTTCTAGTTAGGAGTGCTGCTGAGAATCCAAGTAAGTAGGTAGTGGACAAATGATTGACGTGGTTTTCCCGTCACAGCCACTCCCAGACGCAGATAAGATCGATAAGATTAGAGCCCATGATCAACTGCGGTCTGGGCTTTCAGGTAACAATGTCCAATACATTTGTGGTTGCAGGGGTCAATCCATGACAGCAGATACCATATTGCGATCTCGACCCTCGGTACTGGGACACGGGAGGGAAAAACCCGTTGACCGGCCAGGAACCCGTTGGGTGCAGCTCCTCAGGGCAACCATGCAAAAATCAGCTTCAAAAAAGGAGAACTTTCAATTGGAGACTGATGATCGTGCACCACGAAGAATTCAAATTTACGATTATACTACAGTCAAGGGAAGTACAGAAAGCATGGAGGCGCGCAATGGCGCGCCTCATAGATCAGCGCTCAGTCCTGTTATCAGCCCGATGTGTGAATCATTCGGCATGGTCCCAGACGTTTTGGCAATGATTCCTTTGGGCCGTGAAACCCCAATGCAGAAAACAGAAAAAGATTCAATCTGTCTGAGACGTGGAGAGTGCTGATGAAGAGCTCGAATTTGCTCTCACCTCAGTTACCACCGCCATCACGCGGTTCTCCCCCCGCGGGGTACCTACTGGGTACCCTCAGACGTCTTGCTGAGGGTACCCAGTAGGTACCCCCTGGCGGGGGGTGGGGGGGCCATTTAGTCGATTTAGTAGCGGGGGCATATGCGGGGGTCAGGAGGAGGGGGGGTGTATGTAGCATGTGACTTGTCCATAAGAGCGGGTAGCTGGGCGGGAAAAAAAAATCCAATCACATGACGCGCTGCATGGGCGGGATGGCGGGATAAAAAAATCACGTGATGCGCTGCACCAAATATTACCAAAATGCTGGCAGGGATTGGCGGCGTCATTGGCGGGGTCACTACCACCCCCCCGCACACCATGGCGGGCAGTGGGCGCATTATCACGTGACTTTTTGGGCGCCTTTTTTGCAGCATTTGGCATGATTTTGGAAATGCTGCTTGATACATTGCATGCTGTGGCAGACAATGGGCGCAAAATCACGTGATTTTCCGCCAAAAAAATGGAAGACTCCCCAAATCATCCCAGTATAATTTCCATAGGTAAATAGGCTAGTTAAACATGAACTTGAGCTTAGAAAAACCAAAATGCACCCTGCACAATGGGATTGGTGACACACTTGATCCCATCATTTGGCAGGGCCTGCCGCAGGGGCTGCCGCGGGGGGTGCCGCGGGGGGTGCCGCGGGGGGTGCCGCGGGGGGTGATGCGGGGGCTGCCCCAGGGTTGGTCTGTTATGATCCATTTTTGTTCATTGAAGATCTTGTAGAGGTGAGCAGGGCAACAGGCCAACTGGGAATTTATAGGAAGACATTGAAATTGATGCAGGGGTCAGATGCGGGGCCCACTGCAAGGTCTACTGCAGGGGCAGGGGTGCATTATATCAAATTTCGATGTATCTATTCTGGCCATGGCCATAGAATGTCACATAATTATCCTTCAATTTGGCAGGGGTTTCTTGGTATGGTCTGCAGCTAAAGATATTTGATTCCCTTGTGCTTTAGCAGAGCCTGGGATATTGAAAACATGCAATAGCACCTGTATAATCTGTCTATGTAGGGTCAAATACAAGTTATAACTTGGTACATTTGGGCATGGTCTGCTCAAGCTATTAGGTCGAATTTAATGTTTGAAAAATGCGCAACTTGATTTGTTTGGCAAATCCCCCAAGGGAGTTTTCCATGTGCAGCCAAATTGATCGCCAGGAATAGCTACTGCTCCTTGTCCCTGTCTGTTTGCTTCCAATAGTCTGTCTGCTCCCAAATCTTCCTCTCCATTTTCAGGATATCTGATACAGGTGTTAGGATTGTTGATTGATGGATTTCATATTCCTTGTCTACACACCATTTAGACACTTTAATGGATGTGATAATACTGTGAACACTAACAATTGATTAGGCAGCACTTTTGTCCATCCAATCCTTGCAGGGGCTGGGGCAGGGTTGATGGTGGGGGCTGCCGCGGGGGCTGCTGCGGGGGGTGCCGCGGGGGGTGCCCAAGCCTCTGCCAGCCTACCCAATGTGGATCAACTACAGGATCACTTTCCAAAGCTTCTGTACTGCAACCCGAGTGACTTCCAGGTTACCTTCACCCAATTCCAGTGACACAACTTGCCTGCTCTTGTTTCTGGCCGACAATTGATTTTATAAGCTTGAGTGTGTATGTGCACTTTTTGGTGGGAAAGGAGGCCATTTGGTGAGGGGCAGGGCACCGAAACATTGTCAAATACCACATTAAACATGACCAGTGGCTTACATCTCTTCAAACTGGCCCCTATCTCATGTTTATCAAGACCCTATTTTTCGGACCCATTTCAAGTTTTTGAATGGTTCCAGGGTCCAGGGCTCTCAGAATTTGTTTCAGACACTGCCAAGGGGTATATCATTCAGCTGTATTGAGTTGTTCATTTGTAGAAAATATATTTTTTGCAATACCCAAAGTGAACTATGTTGAACCATTATCTATGTAGGAACCTTGAGCAACTGTGAACTGTTTTCATGTTTCGAATTTTGGATGGACAAATGATATGAAATACCTACATATTCAACAAGAACAGCATAGGGAGACCTTATTCCGATGGTTTTCAGCTGCATAACTGTAGAAACAGTGTCAGAAGAGCAGGAAACACTTAGGTACGACATTTATACAGGTTCTGATTGGCTGGTGACTTGACGTGTTCCGAGCTGTCAGATTATGTAATCTTACATATGAGAAGATGGCAGGGGCAAGGCACCGGTGCAGCGGGGGGTGTGGCAGGGGGTGTCAGCCTGGCGGGGGTGCATGCGGGGGTGCAGTGGGGGGTGCCAGTTTGGCGGGGGGTGCCTGCAGGGGTGCCAGTGGGGGTGCAGGTAGAGTTGCAGGCAGTGAGTTATGGCAAGAACGTATACAGTCCCAGTAGCAAAAGCAATCATGTATGTTTCTGCAGTTTGTCTTGCAAGTATCCAAGCTCTAAGTGGAAAGAATTTTGTATATGAAATCTGAATTCATGCTCAATCTCTGGCTATTGTGAGACAACTTATTAGTGAGTTAGTTCATCCTCTTATATACGACCCAGGAATGAATTGAGGGCATGTCAAATCCGCTATGTTCCATCTGTTCATGTTGCAGCTTGAGAAAATCATTTGCAAAGCATCACAGAACTTCTGATTTTCAATGAGTCCCAGTCAGGAAGTGAGACATTCAATGTGTACTTGACATGTGGTACAATGTGCCGCAGGGTAAGATTACACTGTGCTAACAGTGTGAACAATTGACCAATAGCCATGTATGTAGAATGAGCGCACCAAAAAATCAATGAGATGACAGTGGACCCAGTGCAGCCAACCTACCCACCCTGCCGGTCAACACATGAACAAATCATAACTTGTATTTGACCCTACATAGACAGATTATACAGGTGCTATTGCATGTTTTCAATATCCCAGGCTCTGCTAAAGCACAAGGGAATCAAATATCTTTAGCTGCAGACCATACCAAGAAACCCCTGCCAAATTGAAGGATAATTATGTGACATTCTATGGCCATGGCCAGAATAGATACATCGAAATTTGATATAATGCACCCCTGCCCCTGCAGTAGACCTTGCAGTGGGCCCCGCATCTGACCCCTGCATCAATTTCAATGTCTTCCTATAAATTCCCAGTTGGCCTGTTGCCCTGCTCACCTCTACAAGATCTTCAATGAACAAAAATGGATCATAACAGACCAACCCTGGGGCAGCCCCCGCATCACCCCCCGCGGCACCCCCTGCGGCACCCCCCGCGGCACCCCCCGCGGCACCCCCCGCGGCAGCCCCTGCGGCAGGCCCTGCCAAATGATGGGATCAAGTGTGTCACCAATCCCATTGTGCAGGGTGCATTTTGGTTTTTCTAAGCTCAAGTTCATGTTTAACTAGCCTATTTACCTATGGAAATTATACTGGGATGATTTGGGGAGTCTTCCATTTTTTTGGCGGAAAATCACGTGATTTTGCGCCCATTGTCTGCCACAGCATGCAATGTATCAAGCAGCATTTCCAAAATCATGCCAAATGCTGCAAAAAAGGCGCCCAAAAAGTCACGTGATAATGCGCCCACTGCCCGCCATGGTGTGCGGGGGGGTGGTAGTGACCCCGCCAATGACGCCGCCAACCCCTGCCAGCATTTTGGTAATATTTGGTGCAGCGCATCACGTGATTTTTTTATCCCGCCATCCCGCCCATGCAGCGCGTCATGTGATTGGATTTTTTTTTCCCGCCCAGCTACCCGCTCTTATGGACAAGTCACATGCTACATACACCCCCCCTCCTCCTGACCCCCGCATATGCCCCCGCTACTAAATCGACTAAATGGCCCCCCCACCCCCCGCCAGGGGGTACCTACTGGGTACCCTCAGCAAGACGTCTGAGGGTACCCAGTAGGTACCCCGCGGGGGGAGAACCGCGTGATGGCGGTGGTAACTGAGGTGTTTGCTCTCCTTACCCCCTCTTTCTGCGATGCAAACCGAGCGGATTGTTACCTTGTCCCCAGATCACAAGAGCTGTCGCAATGGAACTGCGTTTCCAAACATCGGGGTATAGAATGACTTGAGGCAAAATCGAGAAACGGTGGTCGTTCGTGTCTCCCTATTCCATGGCGCGATCGTTCAATTGGGGACACGCCTCCGGCGAGCTAATGCCGGTTTCAACTGCGGAACGGAGATCTGCTGATCACGTCCATAATCTCAACAGCGAAGTTAGAGGGAAGGAGGTTAATGAAAATTTAGATTCATCTCAGAACCTTTTTAACCGGGAATTGGCTTCTCGGTGCCAGAATACTTACAGCCTCATTGTCGAGTTATGACCCCCAAATACTCGAGGCTGTGGGAATCACGAGTCCAGACTCATATTTCAACTGGTGCGCATCAGACTCACAACGCTTGAAGCTGCGTGAATGATTGGAAGGGCTGTAAGGGCCACAATATCACTAGAACCGACCACGTTTTGAAAGAGATTTACGGTAAATGCTAGCATAGAAGAATATCCCGATACGTATGCACCCTAGAATAGAAACATACTGATTCTGGTCGTAGAACTGTTCAATAGGCGATTGATGCGCGTGTGAGTTGACAGAACACAGTCTCAGGACACGTTTCGACGGCCGCGGGCCACGCGGTTTTTTCCCCTAAGCTGTGTCTTTCACGGAATGTCATCTGCACGTTTTTTCCTAAACGTGTGTCAAGGCTCCATTGGATCTTCGTTCATAGCTCGAGTGGTGATGAGCCACTAGCGAGACAATTTCTCCAAAATCAACTCTCAGCTGAAGCTTACATGAAGCGCGCATCAGACGTCCTGGTGCGCGAAATATGCCGACCAACGCGCTTGTCTCGTTTTCATCGGTAATCAGCTTCGAGACTCTTCACGCCGACGCGCCGGACACGTGCAGCTCGGGGGTCCGCATGAGGTAATCGCAGTGTCCCAACCCAGCATGCTTCCATGCCTCGTCCATCCCACTGGTAGAACTCTCAACGGCTAATGTCGGAAAGTTTGGCGCTTGGTCCTAACTGCCCGACCGGAGTCCGAATATGGTAATGAAGCTGCCTAATCCGGAGCCGTCCGGCTTCGTCTCTGAGAACCCTAACCCGCGAGCAACTCGACAATCACAAGAAGAACCCTTGGCAGTGCACTCGCCCACCCATCACAACCGCTTTTGTTTTGTTCTTCGTCCATTCCATTTGCTATTTTGCTTTCGTACGCCGGTACCACCATTGACCGCTCTATCCTCATTCGATTGGTGCTAGTGCTATATCCAGCCATCATCCGCGCACTGCGTCCGACTCTGCTCCGAGCTCCACCAAGCGACATTCGAATCTAACGTGGGTACCCAGCATACACACACCCACTTTCTCGCTCCCATTTACCGCCCGACGCGTTGGGAGAGCCACGCCCGACACCCGACCCACTAAGTAAACGTGAGTGTTATCAGCTCCCTTCGGGCCTTCTCTCCGATCACCCCATCCTCGAGACGCGCTCATGCTCATGCGCATTCCTGCTTAGGTTACGCCCCAACACCCCGGGATCTCTCTTTCCGATACTCCACTCCACGCTATACGAAAAGACCCCACAGTGAACGAGAATAGTAGACGGCAGCGCTCGAACCGGTACGTGCATCATGCCACCGTGACACTTTCGCCCATTCATCTCGGCCTCCGTTGTACAGACACCACTTTATAACCTTGGTCCTGCCACCACAGCAACGGGACACCACATCAAAGGACAGCAAGAGAGCAGAAGTCGCCGTATATAGCCTGATTGGATTGGATTGCACTGGCTGTCAGGGTTACGACTTACGGTATGTCGCAATTGGTGTTTATACCCCGAGGGCGTGGTCATGATCAACCATCTTAGTATCTCTCCACTTTCCTCCCACCTGTCTGTGCGCCCGACTACAACCACCGAACAAGATGTCCAGTGAGAGCGAGCACGAGCCCGAAGCGAGCCGGGAGCCTGAGCGAACTGCTGATCCGCAGAAGAAAGAACGCAGTGAAGAACCGGACCGAGAACGCGACAGGGACCGCGAAAGAGACAGCGAAAGGCACCGAGAGCACTCTCGACACCGACACCGGCACCGACACCGGCGCTCCCCTTCTCCATCTTCATCCTCTTCCTCTGCTCGGCACCACTCGGATGCGAGGGAGAGTCACCGGGAGAGAGATAAGGGGAGAGAAGGAGAGGAGAGAGATCGGGAACGAGAGCGGAGCCTGCATACAGAGCGAGGGAGGGAAAGAAGTGGAGAGAGGGAGATGAGGAAGGCAAGAGACAGAGAACGAGAAAGAGAAAGAGAAAGAGAGAGGGACAGAGACCGCAATAGAGCGAAAGACCATGACGCGGACCGTCACCAACGATCGTCTCGCACACACCACCGCTCCCACTCCCGCGATCGACGAGGCTCTCACCATCGCCGGAGGGAGCATCGGGAAGATTCCGAGGAAGTGCGGACCCAGCGGCACTCAGAAGCACGGGAGAGAACGAAGAGCCGGGACGAAGACAGAGACAAGGAGGCGGAAGCCGGGTCTCGTCATCATCGCCGCCGGCGGCATTCTCGGTCCAGAGGACATTCCGATCCCGACACACCGACTGCAGCCAATCCACGACCCCACGAAGACGAGCAACAACCTCCTTCTCAGTCTCTCGCCAGGCCAGCCGAACCGGCCCCAATCAGCACGCTGGGGGAGAAGCAAGAGGCCGCGTATGGGCCGGAGTTTCTGCGGGCTATCGCAGCGAAAGGTGACGAAGTTGGCAACTTCCAGGTTTTGACTGGTCGGGATGCACTGCAATTTACACAACAGTTCATCGAGTGCGTAGGCGCTGAGCGCCGATGCGTCGTTCCCTGGGATGCCACTGACGTCATTACTTCAGAGAGCGAGCAAGGGCGGGGTCACCTGACCAGGACGACATCAAAGAGGCTCCAGGACATGAAGAACCCAGTCGACTGGCACATGCGCATTCCCTGCTCGACTCGTCCAACCCCAAGACCAAGACAAACAGGGTTCCTCCGGTGGTGTTTGCCATTCCACGTGTCGTCGAAGGCGCCGGCCGCATGGCAATGGATCTGTACATGAGCTGGAATAAGAGCAAGACAACGCCACGCGCCGTCATGCGCAAGAAGCGGGACCGCAATCAGGAGTTTCTGGACAACGAGTTCCGCAATGTCAAGGGTGCGCTGGACAAGGCCTTCGAGGCCGAGGGAGACGAAAACGTCCCCGCGATGCCGCCGATGATTACCAAATTGGCCAAAGAGGAAGAGGAGAAACATCTGAAAGCCCCGCTGATGGCCAGTCGAACGCAGTCTGACCCGCTGCCACTCCCGTCTTCGTTTCCGCTCAACCTTGACCCGCCGCGGCCGTCGTTGGGACCTCACCGTGGGAGCGTGGACAGTCTTGCCAGTGTACAGAGCATGCCGTTTTTGGGTGCGGTGCGGAATGTGCCCAATGGGAATCGACGTGCGTTCTTTATAAACATCGGCCACGAGGCAACGGCGTGCTGCTGCTGTCTTGCCTCAGCCTCCTATCTTCATTCGGAATGCTGACTGGTTGGCTCATCAGTTCCGCTGCGGGTCACGAATATGGGCCCAGGGGATCGGTTTTCCATGTGCGTGCTTATCCTTTCTACCATTCTGGCTTGTTGGAATCTGCGCCGCGTTGGAGATTACGTGCGAGGCAGCACTGATTTCTAAATGCCTTCGGGGTGCTCGTCCGCATTTCGGCCGGTGCACGCAGCTTGCCTTTTACTTTCATCCTCTGCCCCTTCAGACCATGAGACTGAGGCTTCTATGTTGCAGGTCATCCAGCACCACCTCTTTGCTTGAAGTGCCAGGCATCACGGCGCCCGGCCCGTCACAGTTAAGGGAGACGTTGTTCAAGGCTCCGCCGTCGCCTATCGCTGAGGGTGCGTTGCTTGGGTTCTTTGACATTTGGCCGTTACTCAACGCTGGGTGCAGAAGTTCCAGAACAGGCTACCACCGTCCCGAGACGTGCACCCTCAGTAGCCAGCCGATCGAGCCACGGGAGCAGCAAGTCGAGAGAGAAGATTACGATCGTGCTGCTAGATAAAGCTGACCGTGAGCTACTCGAGGCAAAGCCAATATCTAAAGAGGTTGAAAGCAGTTGGCATGGGTGTGTGGATTTCATTCATAGTGATCAAACGTGAGGCTGACAAACTCAGCCTCGAACGCCGGCTTTCATCCCGACCCAAACCCAAACCCAAGCCCAGGCGCTACAGTGCCAACTCGTCGCCATGGGCAGGGCCCGTCGCTCATCGAGACGAGAACATCCGCTATGTGCATACGCCGCCGCCGGAGAACGCCGATGACTACGTCTTCGATGACAGCGACGATGGAGATGGAAGTGTGGATGGGACCGCGTTGGCTCCTGTCATGCAAGCCTTGGGGTCGATGGGCTATTTGTCGCCAGAGGCCAGTTACATCAGGCAGACCACACCTGGGTCGTACCCGAACCTGCGCACGCCGTACGGCAGTCCGTACTCTGCGACAGCCGCGACAGCCACCGTGCCGTATTCATCGCCATACGTACCAGGGGTGAATCTGACTGTCGACACGAGCACATACACGCCCTCGCCGTACTCGGCAGCAGCCTTCCCCTTGCCTCCCAGCCGGCCGATCACACCAACCTCCTCGCCGTACTACGCGTATCAGGGGCTGGGCAAGATCACTCCGCCTCAGCAGACGTTTAGTCCTTGGAGTGCCCCGGCGCAGTACCCTCCGACGAACTACAGTCCCGGATATCACTCTTCGCCGATCCCCAGCATCTATGCGCCGTCGCCTGCCAGCGTGCACAGCAATGCGAATCTCGCTGCCGTGTACGCGAGCCCGTATGTTTCGCCTGTTGGAGTGCGGCGCGCTGGCTCGTTGACGGGTTTCGCGTACGGCGCCTAGGTATTACTCTCTATGCTTTCATTTTGCTTTCGGTGGTATTCTACTAGGTCCAGTGTAATATATACGAATGTATTCCCAAGAGTGTTCTTCCTACATGCGGTCGATTATTCCTCTATCATGTCTATCCTGTTAGATTATTACTCCAGTCATGCCTATATGTTTATGTTGGTAGGATGCTAGAGACAAAAACGCAACGAATTTGGCTTGTGTACCGGGCCTTCACACAATTAACGGCCTGCAACGAGCCACAAACGCGCGTACATTTCGAGCAGACTAAACACTTCCCGTAGTGAGCATTCGGACTGTTCTGTGAGCATGATTGCACGTTAACTCAAAGATAAAACGATGAGCTGAGATGAATTAGCAAAGGTCAGGAGCGACCACCACCACGGTCACGCCGCATCCCGATATGAAACACCGAAGGCATTCGGACATCACCCGGCGGCCTTGAAACAGGTACTCTCTCAGGATATTCATAACCGTACGACTAGTCCCAAGGAAGATACCTTTGAAAGTTAAAGTACATTGATTACATTATGAGTTTCCATTTAGAAAGGGTTGTTGGCCTGGGTCTGCGCCTTTCCAGCCTCCTCCTGCACGTTACCTGTCGCGTCTGTCAGTGTCGCGAATATCGAATGGGGATCAAACAACGCACCCTTGGCCTGCTTCGCCTGGTCGCCGGTCACAGCACCCACGACGGCATCGAATCGGCCCTGTGCGCGGTCCTGGACACCGTCGCCGTAGGCCTTGACCTGGGCGGCCTTGTGCTCAGCCTCGCCTGCTGCGTGCTCCTCCTTGCCGGACTGCTGCCATGATGTTGCGCCAGTCGCGTTGCCAATCTGCGCGAAGGAGTGAGTGGGATGAGGGTGCGACAGGGGCTGTGAAACATACAGCTTCGACGACGGTGCCCTTGACGCTGTGGAACTGGCCGGTGACTTGGCTGGGCTCAGAAGGCATGTTTGGTTGAATTGGTGGGTGGGTGGGTGAGTGGTTGGATGAGTGTGTGAGAGAGGGAGAAGTGCTCGTTGTCTTCCCCTTGAGGAACGCGTCGGTTTATATACTAGTCTGCGTCCCGATTAGGGGCACGTCTTTCCTGTCTCGAATGTTCTGCTGGTCGAATGTGCCATGACATCACATCTAGCTCTGTGACGTCGTGCTTTTAATTATGACGTGGGGTGTAACCCTGCTATCATGCGAGTCTTGTGCATGTGCGACTCACCAGGGTTGGGATGATTACCGGGGCTCGTAGTCGAGCGCATGAGGGCGACGAATCTGGAGGTCGAATGATGGGTTTTGATCTAGGCGAGACGCGTCTGCAGGTAAACGCGTGACGTCATACTCGGAGCTGCGGGCCGATCGCGTCGGCACTGAGTGTCACGGGACTCGTGTCCAGCAGCTTTGTCCTGGGCAATATCATTGATGTGCTGCTCAGGCTGCTCAAAAGGTAATGGCGAATTCAATGCTCTCAAGTTGGCGAGAAATCCGGCCATAGATAATCACATTGAAGTAGACACCAATAGAAAAGTTGTTCGTACAATTGCGCAATCACACCGACAGATGACTGGTGTCAAGACGATGGTCCGAAGGAGCGAAGCCTTCTGGCTGATCATGTAACAGACATTATCGATCTTCGTCGAGCCGTGCGAGTCGGAAAAAAGCCAATATCACGGGGTGTCCATCGGGAAAACCGACTAGGTCGCCGCGTGAGTGCACATGGTGCCAGGTCGCGATCGAGTCGTGGGCCGCCTACCGCAGATTAGTGACTGAGGACGAAGAAGCCACACTTCCACTAAGCATCTCCCAGCTGAACGCGCCCAGACTACATTTCAGCTTGGTCCTCGACGCTTCCCTCCGGTGGGCGAATCTTACCCTGGTTTCCCTAGAAGCCCACCCGGAAAGCCCATCCAAGCTCTGGCCCATCAACCAACTCGCCCCGCACTACAGCGCGCCAGGGGAGGCGCTGAAGACGTCTTGGACGACGGGGCTCATACTCGCGGCATTACATCCGGGCGTAAGACCTGTAGGGCCAGAAGCGACATAGCACGGGCTGAATGGCCCGTGAGCTCTGTGAGTGAAGGTCTCGTGCATGGCAGCAAAGGAGGACGAGGGTGCCTTCGGTGACAAGGGTGCCTTCGGTGACGAGGGTGCCTTCGGTGACGAGGGTGCCTTCGGTGACGAGGGTGCCTTCGGTGACGAGGGTCGCGGAGTGATGTCCTGGCTCTCTTTATAACGCTTGTTGTGCGATTCGCGGTATCTGGAGACATTAATAAGTACAGAAGTCATAGCGGAAGCTCGCTTGCACGTACCTCACAGTCCAGTCGATAGGCTCCATACCCAGCGCTGAGTCGATGAGCCTCCACTTGACGGTTTCCATCAGGCCATTGCCCAACTCGTCATTGGAGAGCGAGATGACACCGAATCCGTCCTGAGGGAATCGAATGACGTGGGTCTTGAAGCCCGGGTTGCTGCCACCGTGCTCGATGTACTCGTGTCCACGATATGATGCACGCTCTTGCCCACACCCGTACACTTTGGGACTCTGCGTTAGATTGTTTCAGAGCTGAGAACACGTTGCTGGTGGCAACCACGGACCAATTCAGGGTAAGAGGCCTTCCCATTCGGAACAGTGACTCCAGTGATTTGCATTTTGGCCAATCAGTGGATGCTCTGAGGTATCTGAAGATCGACGTCTAGCTCTGTAGATGGGTACACGTCCCACAAGCTGAAAGCGAATGAAAGAACCGTCTCAGAGGCGCCGTCCTCACGCACCTGCCTGGGCAGACCCGTCCGCTGTGACAGCATGTTCTGAATAGTGAGCGGGCTCCAAATTCGCATCGACAAGCTTCCACTCGGGGACGAGAGTCTGAAACTTCGTATCCCAGCCAAATTCGCTCGCCCGCTCCTCTGCCAACGACTCATTCTTCATCAACAGCCCCACCGACAGCGAGAGAAAGAGGTTGCCGTGAAATGCGACGGCGAGCATCGTCGGCCTTGGCAGTGCCGTATGATCCAAACTCGAGGACTCAGCTCAGCAGTGTGTCGGGTCGCGTCTTACGATGGCGAGAGCTCTCCCGATGGAAGTCAACCTTGAGCGAACGCCTCGATCTCGGGAGTGATCAAGACATTTCTCGAGCGCGTTGTGGATACCGCGCACAGGAGTTTTTGCTGCAAAGAGCCTGCGGAGGGAATGGGTCGGTCTGACAACGAAGCCCAAGCCTGCACTGCCAGGAAGAGTAGCTTTCTGCCCGAGTTTCATGAGCGGGGACTGAGAGAGGCCTGAGCGTCCAACATATCCCCGAGTGAGATCTCTGCGTAGGAAGAATATAGACAGTCCAGCAAGTAGGCGCCTGATCGGGACCCGCGAAAGGACAGGAAAATATAGCACGAGCTGCCATCTGTCATTCGTGAGGTAGGTGACAAATCTGATGCTGATGGCAGATGCCTCCTGCGATCCCACCTAGCGCGGGTCCAACTGTGATTGAAACGTGCCACTGGTGCCTGACAAACGTCGTTCTGGTACTCGCCGTATGCGCCACTTCTCTAAAGGTTTCACAATGCTCAAATCACATCGCAGAAAGCGAGCCAGACGGATTTGTGCTCGTTAGGCGCTGACGCTATCTATCTTCGATGAGAAATGAAGGGCCGACTGAACTCGCTTTTCACACAGTCACACAATCCGAGCCGACCACTTTTCCAATTCTTCCCAGCGCTTACCGGGTTCAGGCGCATCTAAGAGCACGATCTCTGCACGTACATACTTTCACGAGGCAGGTTTCCATCGGACATGTGAGTTTTGCCTCTAAGAGTGTGGCAGCCTTAGTGAAATCAGTGATAAACCCAAGCGGGGCTCGTAGACCGAGACAATCACGCGATTTCCCTCCGCTCTGAGCTCTCCCAGGCGTCGGCCGGCGCGGTTGACGTTAGCGGTGTTGTGCGCCTCAAATTGCGCTCGTAAGTGCTGTCCGAACGCACGTCACGGTCAGATCGGCCTTCCTGACAAACCATCTCTCACAGCACACCTTATAGCCGACGCACCGGCCAAGATGCCTGGAACGGCGCCCACAGCTGTCCCTGTCCTCTTCCGGCATGCCCAAGTCCCTCATCCCCACCGTGCTTCTCCTCGCACGAGTGCTTCACGCTCAGGCGAGCATTATCAGCTCGCTCAACACCACCGCGTACGACTATATCATCGTCGGCGCGGGGCCCGCAGGTCTTACACTCGCCAACCGGCTCACCGAGCTTCCCACCGGCGCGAATGTCAGCGTACTGGTGCTCGAGGCGGGCGAGAACCGGCTCGGCGACCCGCTCATCGACATCCCGGGATTCCTCGGCTCGACGGTCGGCAACGCATCATACGACTGGTTGTTCACGACCGTACCACAGGCGAATGCGAACCACCTATAAATCCCGTTAGAACTCTATAGTTATAGATGGCAGATCCCCCTATGCACCATGTATAAGTATTGACTTTTTAGTGGATGCAGTATGGAGGCCGGGAACTATATGCTGATAAACGGAGGACGTATCACTGATACGCGATAGTTTGCCGACATAGGATCAATTTCATGATGCGCTCCATGTCATGATGCGCCTATCTGGACGGCTGAAAACGTTATACTAATAACCGATGTCTGAATCGTGGATGGCCGCTCGGCAGATATTGATCAGATGATTGACGCAATGATCAAGACCCCAGGTAGCCGACTATCGCAATATCGCAACATCGTAATATTCGAAAAGCGCAACATTCGAGATAGGATCAGCGGCCGGGTCGCCGGCGCGAGCAGGCTCGTCGCAAGTCCGGACTCCCAGGCGACATTCCAGGGCAGCGGTTCGTACGTCGTGTTCGACTGGGGAAGGAGGTGCGCGGCCTCCCTGATACAGCGCCGTCGAGGGTCAATTCACACACCCATACTGTAGCTTGGGGGGATCCTGTCGCTGACGATCAACAACGCGACGGCCCAGTCGCAGTTCTCACTGTCGTTCACCGAGTCCGCGGAGTTCATCAGCCCGCTCAAGTTGGACGACTCGTGCCAGCCCGCACGGCTGCAGAACTGGGACAGAATCCAGACGTTCCACGTGCCGCGAGCCACGGGGCTGCTGACGCAGACCGTGGGACAGCAGCGCGGCGGGTTCCGCTTCCTGACGATTGTGAGTGCGAGCGCGGACCCGCTGACGATCTCGAACATCTCGCTGGCGATCACGTTCATGCCCCACTGGGATGATCTCAGGGCGTACCCGGGCTACTTCTTTGCACCTGACCCCGGGTTCCACGACATCGACTGCCTCACGAAGATCTGGTACGCCGGTGCGTCATCGCCTGTTTGCTGGCTGATGTGGCAGAGCGTGGCGTGGGTGGGGGCTGACCGCTAGCAGGCACTATAGGGTGCAGACCAACACAATCCCTCCCCACACGGCGCGACAGGAGCCGTGCCCAGCAGGAGGTTCGTGTCGGCGTGGATCTGAATTTTGGACTCAAACTGTGCGATCACATTTGTAGGTGGCTGGTCCAACGATGCCTTGGGAGGAGCTGCCACTGGGCCTATCCTCGTCGATGGTGCAAAACGCGACAGGTGAGGAATGGTCGGTCGCGATCTGTGTGTGCAATCCCTGCTGATGACATTGGTACTGTCAGGAACATCTGGCCAGGTAACCCCTCATGCTCATGGACGCGATCTAACCCTCGGACTCATGCGACGGATCAGGCGACTGCGGCATCTCCACACACACGGAGCTCGTCGCGCTGAGCGACATGGAGCCGACCAAGAACTCGTTGATGGTGATGTTCCGCACGCAAAACCTGACGACTGGCGCGCTGCAGTACTCCGGGCCGCCGCTGAACAACCAGGGAAGCGACACGTACATCTCGTGGTCGCTCATTGGGACGCACAACTACTTCCTGTACACGGGCGACCTCGATTTCATCAAGTCTGTCTGGGCGAACTACACCAAGGCGGTTGGCTTCCTTGAGGGCCAGGTGGACTTGACCGGCCTGATGAACGTCTCGTCTGCGCTCTCGAACGACTGGGGCAGGGCCAGCGGCGCCGGACACAACTCTGCGGCAAACGCGTTGCTTTATCGCGTGAGGATTGATTTCTGTCTCTCGCATCATGTATCCGCGCTCATCAAGCTCGTAGACGCTCGTCACCACGGCGGACCTGGCGACGCATCTCGGCAATGTCTCCCTCCCCGCCACATACCTCGCCAACGCGACCAAGATCAAAACTGCGTTCAACAGCCTGCTGTGGGACGCCGCGGCGGGCCGGTTCCGCAGCAACGACCTGCCGAGGAGCATCCACCCGCAGGACGGCAACGCGCTCGCGGTCCTGTACAACCTCACGACATCGGACGCACAGAACAAGGCCGTGAGCGCCGGGCTGATGAAGTTCTGGACGCCCATCAGGCCGTGGCTTCGAGGTGCGTGTTGCGCTGGTGGTTTGTGGTTTGCGTGTCACCTGCGCGACAGATCCAAGCGCATTTTGTGGCCGGCAAGGGCGAGCGGGCAATTGATCTGATCGAGCGCGAGTGGGGGTACATGCTGGAAACCAACTTGAGTGTCAAGTCGCCGCTGCTAGAGGGCTTCTCGGCCAACGGATCGCTCGGGTGCGTGTCGTATCAATCAGCTGCGGCAAGCTGTTGGTCCTGATCTGTACGCATGGTTCTCGGATGAGGAAGACTCCCGCGAAAATGATTAGTGAATTACAGTAATTACATGCTCACTACGCTATCTCGAATATTACACTATCTTGAATGTTGCGCTTTTCGAATATTACGATGTTGCGATATTGCGATAGTCGGCTACCTGGGGTCTTGATCATTGCGTCAATCATCTGATCAATATCTGCCGAGCGGCCATCCACGATTCAGACATCGGTCATTAGTATAACGTTTTCAGCCGTCCAGATAGAGCGCATCATGACATGGAGCGCATCATGAAATTGATCCTATGTCGGCAAACTATCGCGTATCAGTGATACGTCCTCCGTTTATCAGCATATAGTTCCCGGCCTCCATAATGCAGCGCTTGCTGAGCCAAATGCTGGCACAAAGGCTGCCAGAAAGAGCTGCCTTGCACTTATATTAGCACTGATAGGCCTGTAGGCCTCTCGGGATATCCCAGCGCCATCACCAGGCACTGCCGCCGACCCAAAATGGAAGTCCCGCCCAACACCATGCTCGACACTCATCACAGCCGTGATTCCCATCACACTTCATGAAACTCCATCACCGCCCGCCCACTGCCCCGCCCCGACGGTGTCACATGTGTGATCTTCATCACATTTGGTCACAACTTGTGATCCTCAAATCAATCCTCGACTTCTTGTTTTATTTATTCCTTCTGTGCAGTAGCTAATTTATTTGATTAAAAATCTGTTGTTGCAACCCCATCCTCAGTGTCTTTTGCCTTCATCTTGCTTTGAATTGTCCAAGGTAAGGCTCATGCACTTTTGGCTTAAATCACATGACTTGATGTAATCAATTGATGAAATGATGCAGAAAATGATTGAATTATAACATGCTATCCCTTACACATAAGAATAACTAAGGTCATGCTTTGACATGTGACCTACTGTACCATGCCAATCAATTCAACAATGGGGCCCAAATTTTTGCCTGAAAAAATCCCAAAGAAATCTGAAAAATCGAGAAAGAATTAAATCGGGGGTCTAATTTTTTAGGTGTGATACGTGACTGACAATTTGATTGGCACCGTACAGTATGCCAGAAGTGTAAGAGCTCTACCTTAATATAAGTCCTAATAGGCCTAGAAGGCATACTTGGACTATCTCAGTGCCATCACCAGGCACTACAGCCAACCTCAAACAGAAGTCCCACCAAACACCCTGCCTGACACCCATCACAGGCACTGCTGCCTTCCAAATTTGGAAGTCCTGCCCATTACTCTTCACAGCCATCACAGCTGTGATTCCCATCATACTTCATAACTAGAAAGTGTTACCCTTGGCGACTGAATGCCTTGCTTGAGTAACCTACCATGACATTGCATGCCATGATAAGTAACTACAAATAATCACGCACGACTCAGAAAAACACGGAACAGCATCACTAGATCAACAAGGCCATCAAAAGAGTGAATGATAAGTGTGGAGAGTGCCTTGACAAGCAAGGCAACATTACATCACTCACTGGCCAACCACATCAGATATATGATATGTATCACATCTAATCACAACTTGTGATCTGGCCCACTGACTGTGTCACAGATGTGATCTTAGTCACATTTGATATACAAATTGGAGATGTCACTTTCTGTCACAATTTGTAGTCCTGCTCACAGCTCTGTCACACCTTTATATATTATTTCACTGTTTTCAAGTACAAACACTTTTGACACTTATCTTAATACAAATACAAAAGTTATTTCACTTTGGGGGGACTTTTTTTTTCCGTGGAAAATGTGCAACAGTCTAGAAGTCTGATTGTCACCATTCTGTTTTCATTCAAATTTGGCTGAGTTTTCTACAGAGAAAAAAGTCCCCCCAAAGTGAAATAACTTTTGTATTTGTATTAAGATAAGTATTAATCGACTGGCTTCTAATTAACCGGAAGCAGCTGCCTTGGCTTTCTCAGCTAAAAGCATGAGCCGGGAGCTCTTCTTGGTGGCGTCCTTCTTCTTCAAAACCTCTGCCTTCTTAGTGGCTGCTTTCTTTGAGGCAGATGGCTTGCTCAATACTTTCGACACCAGTCTATTAGAAGACGACTTCCTCTTGGCTGGCTTCTTTATCTTCTTGGTTTGTTTGTCCACCTTCTTGCTGCGTTCCGGGCCGCTGTCGCTGTTCTCGTCATCGTTGCTGTTGTCCATTATTTTGGCACTCTTGTCAGCGACTTGCTTTGTCGGTGTCTTCCTGCTCGAAGTCTTGCGCTGGTGCGTGCCATTGAGATTGCTCCGGGGCTTCCTTGTCACTACCTTGATCCTGCCATCTTTGACCTCCTGGTCATACTTCTGCCGCCAATCTGCACGCTCCTCTGATGTAATCTTCTTCCAGTGACAGTCCCCAATCTTCAAAGCATCCCGCAGCTCTCGCATGGCCTCGACGGTGGTAATCTTGCTTGGTGTGCGGAATGGAATTCTTGAAGGCCAGCCAACGAGGCAAACTCCTAGTCGCAACACGATCTGTAGGATGTACTGGTCCCACTTCATAGTAGCGGTCTTGACACCAGACACCACAGCTAGAAACAATGAATCCTCTCACATCCCGGGCAATCAATGTACATACATAAGCCCAGCTTGAGGAACTTGTTGACTTCAGCGTGCAGATTGTCCAATGTCTCATTGTTGCCACTTCCTGGAATCAATGATGAGTCACTTCAGCAAAGAACAAGTACAACACACCTTTCGAATTTTGCAAGGTCCACAAATGAAACATAGCAACTACGTCAACAGCTGCAACGTGCAGCATCTCTTGAAAGAATCGAAGGGAACTCCCAGCCTCCAGCGCATAGGGGATGTTGATGTCCTGGATGTGCGATGGCGAAATGAGCATCAACGATGTCATGCCTGTTCGTTCATGTAAGAAAAGCAT